TACTAAAGTAAAACATATCCAATAAGAAATGTCGGAATAAAACAAACGGAACTCCGAAAGTAAATGAAAAGCTATGTCTAGAAATTGGCTTGGAAATTAATGAATGTTTATCACATCCGCTTTTTCTTATGAATAGAAAGTGAATTATTTAAAGTGAAAGATCAAAAAACCCATCCCTGAAGCAGAGCTTAAACAGACTATTGCTTGATAAAATGTTGTTATATATACTAAGATGGGTCAAACATATATTAATTATAAACAGATTAAGTTTTTGAAGTTAGTAAGAAGCCAGTTTCTGTCGCAAACGTCTAACCCAAGAATTGTATTCTATCTTGGTTTTCATGAATACGTTTCTATTTTACCACATACACGACGTATCACGCGTAGACGCTTACATACTGGGTTAGGACACAGAAGTTCTTACTGAGGAGCATAAAACACTGTTAAATCCGACTTAGGAAAAGTTTTAAGTGGTTTGAATTGATATTACGTTAGTAATAAAGATTATATGTTAAAATTTTGTAAGCTTTATTATGGAACTGAATATTCCAAACATTACCAACTAAGACGGAAGTTACACAAATGTGTTGTCATTAGCAAGACATACAAAAAGCTTAAAAACGAAAAAATAATTTTATTTATAGCTACCCTGAACAACCAGAGAAACAATTAATATAGGTACATTGAATGTTTGCATAATGTGGAAAGTTGTGGCAGAAATGGAAAAACACGATCTAGTGACAGTTACAATCAGTGAAACACATTGGAAGGAAGTTGGACAAAAAAATTATCTCCAAGGAAGATGCTGTTGTACTCCATCCATGAGGAAGAAAACGCCTTACACACAAACAAACATCCATACTGATGCAAAGTAGAAGAATCAAACACCACACTAGCAGAGGCACTGAAAGCAGACACAACAGTAACTGCAAAGACGTTCAATGTTCTCATCAGTAACATTAGAGAGGAAGAACAAGTTCCAACAGTCTGGAATGAATAACTGTGATATTCATAAATTCATATGCCTTCAACAAAATCGGCGGTACTGTATTCTAAACTAAACTCATACACAAAGCTACATGGATTTCACCACATCACACAACTCAGAATCGAATCGACTATATCTCCATCAATAAAAAATTCAGAAGGACCATGGGGGAATTGAGAAACAAGAGAGTAGCTGATATATCCTCATTTCATCATCTGGTGATGGCCAAGATGAAATCGAAACCAAGGAAGCACTGGACAGTGAGGTCTACAACATCTATTCGGGATACTAGAGAAACTCAAAGAGTTGAGCATAGCACTCACCAATAGGTTACATGGTTTTCATGATCTACTGTGTGTAAAGGCAACTACCATAGAGAAAAATTGGTTAAAGATTGAGGGGGCATTCACTTCAAAATGTCAGGAGGTTCTGGGCCACAAGGAACGGATTTTTCTTGAAACAATATCAAAAAATGAGGAAGAGGAAGGTTGCAATCAACATCAGCCAAACAGGAACAGAGAAAGACAAGGCACATGCTGAACACGCAGACGCAGACTATGAAGTGAAGGGAAGAATCAGAACCGAAAAACGTTATTTGTGGAAGATTTAGAAATGACTGCGGAAAAGGCTACAAGAGACGTTTGGACGCAACAACAAAGACGTTGACTGGAAATGATCTTAAACAAGAAAGACCAGTGAAAAGCAGGGAAGGCAAAATAATCAACATTACTGTCGAACATCAAAACAGGCGGGAAGAGCAGTCGAAAGATCTCTTTCATAGACCAACCACAATGAACACGCCCAACGTTGAAGCAGCATTCAAGGACTTCCCAATCAATGTAGGCCTTCCAGCGATTGAAGGAAAAATCAAGACAATCAGACAGACCAAGAGCGGTAAAGAAGCACCATCAGACAACATTCCAGCAGATGCACTGAAACCAGACATGACTACAACCACAAAAATACGCCACATTCTCTTCGACAAGATTTGGGAGGAAGAACAAGTTCCAACAGTCTGGAATGAAGGACACCTCATTAAGATACAAAAGGAGACCTTAGCAAGTGTGAGAAGCACAGATGAATCAATCTGCCCTCAATACCAGGCAGTCTTCAACAGGATATTGCAAACAGAGTGAAGGACTTCGTAGACGCACAACTTCAAGATCAACAGGCTGGATTCCGTAAGGATCGATCACGCACCGACCAGATTGCAACATTATGGATCATTGTGGAATAATTAACTGAGTGAGATTCACCACTGTACAGCAACTTCATTGACTACAGGAAATCACTTGACAATGTGGACAGGACAACACTATGGAGGCTTGTTCGACACTATGGCGTGGCTGAGAAGATAGTCAACATCATTCGGAACTTACGATGGAGTACACTGAAAAATCGTGCATGGAGGCCAGTTCACAGACTCGTTCCAAGTGTAGACCGGTATCAGATAAGGTTGCTTACTCTCACCCTTTCTCTTTCGCCTGATGGGCGACTGCAGTATGAAGACATCAACATCTCAGAAGAGGTGCGGAATACAGTGAACAGTTTGAATGCAGATAGACAATTCGGACCTTACAGATGATCTAGTTTATCTATTCCATACATAACAACAAATACAGGTGAAGACGACCAATGTAGCAGCAGCCTCTACAGCTGTAGGTCTCAATATGCACAAGGGAAAAGACAAGATCCTCATATGCAACACAACATGCATCAACCAAGTTACACTTGATGGAGATGCTTTGGAAGGTGTAGAGATCTCTACATACCTCGGAAGCATCATCGATCAACAAGGTGGGTCTGATACAGATGCAGAGGCACAGACTGGCAAAGCAAAGACAGCATTTCCATCATTAAAGGACATCTAGAACTGTAAGCAACTACCAACCAATACCGAAGCCAGGATTTTCAATACGAACATCAAACCGTTCTATTGTAGGGAGAAGAAAGTTGGAAAACTAAAAGATACAGGTGTCTATCAACAGCTGTCTACGCAAAATCTCGGGTAACAGTAACAACCTACTGTGTGAGAGGACAAACCAGAATGCAGGTGAGGAATAAATTAGGAGAAGACGCAAGAGGTGGATTGGACACACGTTGCGAAAATCTCGAAACAACAGCACAAGGTAAGCCTTAACCTGGAACCCTCAAAGTCAGAGAGAAAGAGGCAGACTAAGGAACACATTGTGCCAAGATTCCGAGACACATGAAACGAATGGAAAGCAATAAGGGAGAATCGGGAGGGGCTGCCAAAATATTTTTGTTTGGAGAATGCTTCTTAGCGGAAAAATAGCAATTCGGTGGAATTGGGTAGAATTATCAACCAACATCCATGTCAGAATCCTCACTAGAAATGTTAAGGCAGTTTTGTTTGGAGAATGCTTCTAAGCGGACTATGATCAGCTAGGGGTAACAAGAGTAGGGTATATGTGACCATAACTTAATAATTCCTTCCAAGCTTTTATCTTCACATTATAAATCAAGAGAATACTGTTTTTTAGTTAAACATACAATTACTGGTACAAGGGAACACCTCAATGTTTATTCGCTACACTAGTTATTGAAATAGCAATTCGGTGGAATTGGGTAGAATTATCAACCAATATCCATGTCAGAATCCTCACTAGAAATGTTAAGGCCGTTTTGCTGTGTGTTACATAAACTTGGAGAACTACGAAGGCAATCAGCCAGAATATACAAATGCTCTCTGAAAGTTATATACACAAAATACTTCGGATCCATTGGACGTAAACTATAAGCAACAACCTACTATGGGATAGATTTATGAATAATTGTGAATATTTCCGAAAAATTACAAAGGTATGAAAAATGGATCCAACGACTATAAACTGTGGACAAATCAGAAGTGTCTAGTTACTCTCACTCGGGAATCCTCCAGTAATAGCGAATAATATGGTGATGGGCAGTGAAGTGAAATAAAAGACATCAAAAACAATGAGCATCAACCAGAAAAGAGTTAGGATGCTCAGGGTTCAAGAGCACTGCCGTTTGGATATCTTTCAAAGAAATTATGTTAAAGTCAACAAAGGCTTCAGCAGCTACCATTACACTTATGTAATCAGAACAACACATATAAGCGAACAATATTGTTTTCGATTAGATCGTCATCAGGCTTTACATGAATATTTATATGAAAATGTTAAACCAATCAGTACGCCTGTCTTCCTACTATCCACTTGTACTTTGCCTATTGTATGTAGTGACGTAACCTTTTTCATTTTATTGTGATTATGACTCGAATTGCCTTGATTGGTTTTACATTTTCATACAAATATTCATGTACATTAGAATAAAGCCTGATGACGATCTAATCGAAAACAATATTGTCCGCTGGTATGTGTTGTTCTATTTATGTAATCAACAACACTAATTGGTTGAAATGGATGTTGAATGATTATAAGTTGTTTGTTTTGGAGGATACTTTATCACTGTAAGCTAATAGTTTGTCTAAAAATCCAATCACCAAAGAAATCAGTTTGCATACATTTCACATGTCAAAAGTAAAACTTGGGTACATCCCATTAAATCTTTTTTAAGATTCTTCAGTTATTTGGCGTGTACTACTGTGAGGCACTTTGACTTGTAAGCATAAATTGGCTGGACAAAACCTAAGTATTATTATTTGTTTATTTTTTTAGGTTTGTTAAATACAACAAGTGTTCTTGAAATATTTTGATAAGTTTAGTAATGGACATCGGTAGACCAACATTTTGTTAATCCCATATTAGAGGTTAAAATTCTATTATAGAACGAAAAAATTGTGAAATGGAAATTTTTGTGTTGGAAATCATATCAAACCTTTGTTATACAATGAGTGATAGCACCTGGAAGTTAGTGTTTGTCTGCATCCAATCTGCACATTAGGTAGGTACAGTGCGCGACTATCAACTTGAGGACTTCGGGTTAACTAATAATGCTGACTGACGTTTTCTCCGCTAACACCAATCTATGATCCACTTATATCAGTCGTCACAATGCTATTGTAAATATGGATATTAGAAGGAGAACAACATATTTATCTCGAGGTTCTGATGGCCGCCCTTCTCATAACTACAGCTCATTTTTCCAGTCTGCACAGAAAAAGTATTGCAATGCAGACCCTGAAAGTGGTATTCGTCTCGTTGGACCAATGTTTGAGTTAACTGCTTGTGTAGAACTTAAAGGAGAGTGAGTTATTAATATGTACTCAAAATACATTTTGCTGTCTGAATTTGAAACCGTCTATTCATATTAAAGCGATGTCTTGTCTTGCCTATAGAATTGTAGCCAAATCTAATCATCAAGCAATTTGTTTATCAAAAAAATTTCACGGCCGAGAGGCAAGGGCAACGGGTTTTTTCTTTTAGTAAATGTTTACTCGCGTAGCGGACCTTAATACCCACCTGTTTTAGTTTTACTATGTTATGTAAAGTTTAAATAAGTAAGAGACTGTTGATGATGCTTGGTCTGCCAAGCTGTTAGTTTAGTTCGTGCCTGACGAAGCGTTTGGTGATATGTGCTTACATTCTAACGAACTGTGATAGTTGACTCCTGACCAGATTGTTTGTGTCCATGACATTTTACTTGTTCAGTAACCCACTGTTTTGCTGACTTAGTAAATCGAGTAGGAAACACGATTAGCCGTCTCAGTGCTTATCATTAGGGGATTTCTGAGGTCATAACCCAAAATCTCAACCCAGGTTTTATCATTGTGACCTTTCAGTAACTGGTACTGTTCAGAAACTTCTAATCTGACAAAAACGTTCTGGGTAAAGAATACGCCATTGTGCCTGTGCCCTTGGAATAATAATAAAGTTATGACCAGGCTTTCTTAGTTTGCAGTGCTACACTTCTAGTTCATTCAGTTAGTCAGCCACAACGTAGAACTCGCTACGCACGTAAAACAACAATACACGTGATCAGCATTCCTAGTTAGACCTAAGTAGTCGTGAAATAGCGTCTCAGAGATTTTAATTGGCAGCTTGATTGCTTTAGGGTCTTAACAAATGACTTGTGGTATTTTCGTAAACTCGAACTGTTAGCCACACTACATTCCATCCCGCATAGAATAGTGTGTAGTACTCGACTATTCTATTTAAGGTAATCCGATTTATCCTCCTTTCATGAAATTGGTCGCAGTTTTCTCTTTATTAACGCGTTTCTATCTCAGTTTCTCCCTGTTTCAAAAATTCTTGCACCAGTCTCATTCGCGTGTTTTATTTTCCGCCAAAATTATTCGATGTGATGTGCGACAGTCGAAAGTACTCATGTGTAGTGAAGTTTAGATATTTTCCCAAACCCCTTGTTCTTAAGCTATGCAGCGTCTTCGTAGCTTGCGTTTAGCAAGCTCGCAAATACCTAATAAGTCTTGGACATCGTCTGGAATGTACTGACTAAACAAAGACCAAGTTCTGAAGAGTATATTTGCTTACTAGTGACCTACGCCAATTGTTTTTTGACCCAATGGATATTCACCTTAGTCTAAAATAGCAATACGCGAAATTTTAAAATATACACAGCTATCCCTAAGCAACGATGCAAGCACTTCCGGGATGCGATTCTCCCCGTCGAAATGCAAATTGTTGCTTCAAGTTGGCTTGTATCGGCACTTTAACTAGTGATACAGAGTGAAGTAGTCGAACGTGTAAACCACTTCACTTATCTGGGGAGTCTCATCAGTGCTGATGGCCTGGTGACTGATGAAGTCTCAGCACGGATACAGAAAGTTCGAGTGGCTTTTGCCAACATGAGTCACTTACGGCGTAGGCGAGATATCCGTTTGCTGACTAAAGAACGAGTGTACTGCACAACATTCCTCTCCGTCCTACTACATGGCTGCGAAAAATGGCCGGTAAAAGTAGGACATCCGTAGGTTACTGGTTTTCGATCGAAGGTGTTTCCGAAGCATTGCTCGTGTATCATGGGACAACCGAGTAAGCAGTTGAGGTGTTTGGGACATGTGTTGCGTATGCCTAACCACTGACTGCCTCGACGAGCTATGCTTTGCGATGTAGGAATCGGTTGGAAGAGAGCTAGGGGTGGCCAAGCCAAAACATGGCAGAAATCCATGAAGTCACTACTGGACTGAGCCATTTTGGTAGGTGTCTGCTGCCTGGTTTTTGGCCCGCGAGATGAGAGTAATCGATGGTTAGGAACCCTGTATGACGTGGCTCAAAACCGTTTTCAGTGGCACAGGTGCATTCATGCTTTGTGTTCTCTTAAATCGTAACCTTCTGAATTCCTCATCACCTTTTTCTTTTAAGTTTCACTAGATTCTACTTCTTGAATAATATTATCGAACCCTGAAATTTCTGACTAACATTTCTACTACCTCTACTACTATGGGATTTTAATTGATAATAGCATCTCTGTGCAAATGTGGTATGGCAATTCGAACTGATATACGTAGGTACGAAGTTCTGTGTTGCCGTTGACTGACATGGCGTGGGAGAAAAGTACTTCAGTAACAGCGACCACGGAATTTAGATTGCTAAATCTTTATTACTACCACACAGGTTCTTGTTAGTGGCTTACGCAGTTAGATGTGGACCATCTAATTGAAACCCGCGTGGTTGTTGTAACTATCGCTTTAAGTGGCGTGACTCAAAATCTTTCACTATGACAGGTGCATTCACTGTTTATCTTCCTTCGGATCCTAAGTTTCTAAATTACCCTGTGAATTACTTTTATTTAATGAATCCGTATTTTCTTCGATGCCTAATCTTTTCTGCTACCAGTCATACTGTTACTACCCTTACTACTCTGAGATTTTCCTTTATTATTTGGTCTGGCTGGGCTAATGAAGTTTGGTAGTTTAAATGGTTGTACACATGAACCAGGTTCTACGTTGCATTTGACTAACTGACCAAGTGGTCTATAACAATAATACACTAATTTATTTATTTTTTATCCTATTTATTAGTGAGGAGGATTTCGAAACTATGTATCCAGATACATCCCTTTCATTTGGACCAACTATTTGTTCATTTGGCCTGAAGTATAACGATCACAACTATGCCCTACCTTCAGGATTAACCCCTCCTTCAATGGCACCTCATTTGATGGATATTCAATTACCGAAAAACAAACTTTCAGATACAAAACTTAACAACCCTTGTTCGAAAAATTTATTTGTCCAGAAGTCAAGCTCCAAGTTAGGCGCTGAAGATATTGCACAAAAGCACAACATTGATAAACGTTTCGATAAACAGAGTTCGCTTACCTTTAAACGCTCCACAGTTGAAGGAAACGGTATGTACGGTTGTGATGGTAAGAAGCACTCTAGTGGATTATGGTATTCTAAATCCACAAATGTAGAAGACAAATCAACGGTGGATAGTGATTCAAAGGATCAATTTATGGCTCCACGCTTTGGCTCACAAATTTCCAGTTATGAACAAATGGAGTTACGGTGTGAACCCGAGTTAAAGGTATGCAAGGCTAAGATACTTTTGGGAATATTAGTATGGTATGCACTTTACAGTACTATCGTTAACTTTTATGAGACTTAGAGTGAATATTTTGTGTAACCTATTTTCGCCAGCTGGGATTATCTTCGCTTAGCATTATTTTTTTATTAGTTTGCACAACTAATATTAAAATATGCCTAGATAGTTTCTAGAATAAATGGTCTCATAAAGTGTTGGTTCTTAGGATTTGTAGATAGATAAAAATTCTTTCCTTTTACAATTCTTATCATATCACTGGTCGAAATTTCATAAGTCAAATAGGCAGTAGTTATAAAATAGATGACGAACTTATTTAATAAGCAGAGAATATTAGGTGTTGAATTGTTAGGAACAAAAGTACTTGCTTAAAGTCATTTTTCGATTTACGCTCCAATTTATAGTTTTGACCACCTCAATTGTGGTAATGTTAGCCTGTCATAATTAACGTAAGATGTTAACCTAGATTTTCATTAAAGCAACATGATATAAAATTAACACAATGATCAGCAACAAAAGGATATTGGCAGTATCATCGATAATAAAGAAGACTAAACATTAAGGTGTTTCGAGAAGACAAACTCGTTAATCGTCAATAGATGAATGGATCATACTTCTCCAATATCTTCGATCCCTAATATTTCCCATTATCGCTGATACTTTTACTACCTCTATTATTATGGTATTTGAACTGACAATCCAATCTGTTGAACTGATGTACGTATGTATGAAGTTCTGTGTTGTATATGACTGTGATCGGTTGTTATAAATGGACACCAAATTTTCCATCCCATTGTTTAAAACGATCTATAGCCTCATACCATCTTCACCTAGTAATCTAAGTAAAACTTCATTGATTATTCTGCTGCAATATCTTTAGTACTTCCAAAGTATCTATGGTCAAATACCAGTATTCTGCAAACGCCATCCTTTTTCGACAGCTTCGTCTAGCAGCTGTTAGGGAACACGGAACATACTGCTTAGAAGTATATCACCTCTCTAATGTGTGGCCCTGACTGCCTCGACTAGCTGTTTTGTGGTCTAAGGGTAGGCTGGAAGAAGGCTCTTGGTGGTCTGACCAAAACATGGCACAAATCCATAAAGTCACTGATAAGATAACTGAACCATGTTGGTAGGTGTAGACTATCTCGTTGGGGTGCGCGTGATGATAGTAACCGATGGTCTGAGACGTTGAATGACATGGCTGAAAATCGTTTGTAATGGCCTAGATGCATCCATTCTTTGTGTTCTCTAAAATTTTAATCTTCTGAACTCCTCGTCACCTTTATCTTTCTCTTTTTAAACTCATTTCTTGAATAAGTTCTTCGATCGACTAATCTCCATTACCGCTAATACTTCTACTATCTCTACCATTATGGGATTTGAACTGGCGATTGCATCTGTGTGCTTATATATTTTGGCAACCAGAACTTACAAAGTTCTACGTTTTAACCGACCGACTATCGTGACTAATCATGGTGTGTGTAAAGGGTCGTCACAATGTTTACACCCTTCTTCATTCTCCCGGTTGCTTATACTCAGTCTGTGGATTTCACACATGAGACCTACTGATTGAGAGTCAGATTGTTGCTCTTTTACAAGGCTGACAGCTAATTTCTGTTAGGATGTTCATCCAATATCGTAAGAGAATTATTGGTTAATTCCAACTGGTCAATTTTATGGTCGTCCTAGATGTCAATGTCACGTGATCCAATGTTGCTTATTATTGGTTGTCCTGACTATCAATGTCACTTCAAATGTTACTTCCTATTGGTCGTCTTAACTGTCAATGCCACAGAATTCGATGCTGTTTCCTATTCGACCAAAATGTATAAATACGCATTATCTGTAACATTTTATGGCCACGATCAGGATCAGGGCTCGATCCCGGATCCCTAGTCCGGGATCCTGATTCTCTTCTGGATTCTGACCTCGTACCTTCTTGGATGCTTGTAGAATACAAGTTCTACTTCATATCAAGTCTTCTTATTTTATTTCATTATGGGGGGGGGGCTGGGATAGTCGGATTGAGTAGCATGTTGTGTCACGGGATCCTCGATCTTCGCTCTCGTCTTCCGACTAGGTAAACTCGTAATAGTTCAAGTATATCAAGTTGGCGTGTTTACGTGCAGGGGTAACAATTTCAAACCATTGTTGTAGCTAAGTTCTTAATGTTGAATTTTACTCAAATCTTTGTGATACTTCCTAAAGCTTATAATAAGTAGATGATTTGTTAATAATCATCGGCTTTACATCTTTCAGGTCATTGAAGTCCCAGAAGAACTTGCAGTTTCTCCTTCTCAGTTAAGTGATTTGGATAGTGATACATCAGAAATGGAGTATGTTACCAAGGTAGTTTCATTATTTGCTTTTTATTCGTACACCGTTTCTGTAAATTATTATGGCTTTAACATTTCATGGTGTTTAAAATTTAACAATGATTACATGCTACATAAAACGGGATCATATGATCGCTAGGAATTCTTGACCTTGTTCTTTTTCGTTTAACATAGTTTAAGACTATCTAAAAGACCTCAGACACTGCAGGTGGATTTACAACATCTAAATAAGCCCCTCCGTCTTCCACGTTCAACGAATCAAGCCTGTAGGTTGCCAGAAATAGGTTAGCAAGGTAACCGTAGTATGTCAGGAAAGTTGACAATCTCTACCTATTTCTACTGATATTGTATATTTAATCACCTCACAATATTGTTGGATGTGGTGTTAAAGAATTCGTGGATAAAATATTTTCAGGTTTATGAATTAATTCTTGCAATGGGTATTCAAAACGTTATGAACGGATTGGTGAAAAATCGATGCACACATTCTTATTGTTCACATTCTTTTTCATGCCTTTCTTAGACTAAACCGTGTACTGGTTATCACTACTGTTAATTTTTGAGTCGTTTACTGCTTGTAAGTGCAAATATGACATCATAGTTCCTGCTTATCTAACTATTTCTCTGTAACCAAGTGGTAAACTAAACAATGTTAAATTCTACACGTGAAGTAGTTTTTGAAAGGTTTTCGTCTTTTCATGGCAACTAATTGAATTAGTGATTTCATCCAGCATTGCTCATGTTACTTACGTCAAATCCCTAAGTTTGATTTCGCGGAGTGTATTAATAGAGCGGTGTCTGACTATTATCTGTTCACTTGACCGTCATCACATGTTGATCCTTGGTACTATTTGCAATTAGTTCATTTCTGACTTCCACTAGTTATGAGTTATTTTTCCAAGATAGTGAATAAAATAAATATTTTTGCACTACCATTCCTTAAATTTATGTTGCAGATCGTTATTCCTTCTGATGGATCATGTATTCAACCGGCAGTTGATACCGCTTGGGTTGGTAATAATATGTGGGCTGACGTCCGTTGTGTATGTGGCCATTCTCAACCTAAATCTGGACTTATACGATGTCCTAAATGCAGGTTTGTCTTTTCGATGTATTTTAAAATCAGCCTAACAAACGTGTTATTGAAAGATCTAAAACAATGGAGAGGTGACTCAGCAGTTAAACCACTTTCAGCTATTAGTTATATAAACCTGCAGTTGGGAAAACGAGTGACGTTGATAAAATATGTGTGATTGAGAACTGATGCTCAGGATTACTGTGATGTGATCAAGCTAGTGTAAAACATTAACTCTGAAAACACTAAATCATTTTGTCCGATTTTGTGTAGTTTTTTATGCTTCATATTTTTCATAACAGTATTTGTATAGGCGCCTTACATACTTTGGTTTCAAAGTTATCCAATGTTTTTTATAGAGCTTAACTTCATCTGTTGCGAGATTACTATCTCCAAATACTGACATGGCCATGTATATATAGCTACTGCCAGGGAGGTCCTCCTCACTGCCTTTTCGTGACACAGGTGTTCTTTACCAAACTTATAGGACGAATGATGAATATCCGGCGCTTAAACTGGTTTGGCTGTTACCAAGATTCCATCTGCGAGGGTTGGAAAACCCCGATCCGAAACCAATGTTACTCCTAGTTTCCAGAATCCTTAAGGAATGACGTATAAACCTAATGTTGGTCATCGTTTACCGTAGGACTGCATCTCCTGAGATTACTCTACTGCCTTGTGGATCAGATCCTTAGATCGAATGCTCGCAGAGTGACCCTTAAAGAAAAGCACTTGTCTCGTTTAAGACAGCCGCACAGTATCTCAACTCAGACAAATTCAATAACTAGTGTAGCGAATAAACATTGAGATATTCCCTTGTACCAGTAATAGTATGTTTAACTAAAAAACAGTGTTCTCTTGATTTATAATGCGAAGATAAAAGCTTGGAAGGAGTTGTTAAGTTATGGTCACATATACCCTACTCCTGTTACCCCTAGCTGATCATAGTCCGCTTAGAAGCATTCTCCAAACAAAAATATTTTGGCAGCCCCTCCCGATTCTCCCTTATTGCTTTCCATTCGTTTCATGTGTCTCGGAATCTTGGCACAATGTGTTCCTTAGTCTGCCTCTTTCTCTCTGACTTTGAGGGTTCCAGGTTAAGGCTTACCTTGTGCTGTTGTTTCGAGATTTTCGCAACGTGTGTCCAATCCACCTCTTGCGTCTTCTCCTAATTTATTCCTCACCTGCATTCTGGTTTGTCCTCTCACACAGTAGGTTGTTACTGTTACCCGAGATTTTGCGTAGACAGCTGTTGATAGACACCTGTATCTTTTAGTTTTCCAACTTTCTTCTCCCTACAATAGAACGGTTTGATGTTCGTATTGAAAATCCTGGCTTCGGTATTGGTTGGTAGTTGCTTACAGTTCTAGATGTCCTTTAATGATGGAAATGCTGTCTTTGCTTTGCCAGTCTGTGCCTCTGCATCTGTATCAGACCCACCTTGTTGATCGATGATGCTTCCGAGGTATGTAGAGATCTCTACACCTTCCAAAGCATCTCCATCAAGTGTAACTTGGTTGATGCATGTTGTGTTGCATATGAGGATCTTGTCTTTTCCCTTGTGCATATTGAGACCTACAGCTGTAGAGGCTGCTGCTACATTGGTCGTCTTCACCTGTATTTGTTGTTATGTATGGAATAGATAAACTAGATCATCTGTAAGGTCCGAATTGTCTATCTGCATTCAAACTGTTCACTGTATTCCGCACCTCTTCTGAGATGTTGATGTCTTCATACTGCAGTCGCCCATCAGGCGAAAGAGAAAGGGTGAGAGTAAGCAACCTTATCTGATACCGGTCTACACTTGGAACGAGTCTGTGAACTGGCCTCCATGCACGATTTTTCAGTGTACTCCATCGTAAGTTCCGAATGATGTTGACTATCTTCTCAGCCACGCCATAGTGTCGAACAAGCCTCCATAGTGTTGTCCTGTCCACATTGTCAAGTGATTTCCTGTAGTCAATGAAGTTGCTGTACAGTGGTGAATCTCACTCAGTTAATTATTCCACAATGATCCATAATGTTGCAATCTGGTCGGTGCGTGATCGATCCTTACGGAATCCAGCCTGTTGATCTTGAAGTTGTGCGTCTACGAAGTCCTTCACTCTGTTTGCAATATCCTGTTGAAGACTGCCTGGTATTGAGGGCAGATTGATTCATCTGTGCTTCTCACACTTGCTAAGGTCTCCTTTTGTATCTTAATGAGGTGTCCTTCATTCCAGACTGTTGGAACTTGTTCTTCCTCCCAAATCTTGTCGAAGAGAATGTGGCGTATTTTTGTGGTTGTAGTCATGTCTGGTTTCAGTGCATCTGCTGGAATGTTGTCTGATGGTGCTTCTTTACCGCTCTTGGTCTGTCTGATTGTCTTGATTTTTCCTTCAATCGCTGGAAGGCCTACATTGATTGGGAAGTCCTTGAATGCTGCTTCAACGTTGGGCGTGTTCATTGTGGTTGGTCTATGAAAGAGATCTTTCGACTGCTCTTCCCGCCTGTTTTGATGTTCGACAGTAATGTTGATTATTTTGCCTTCCCTGCTTTTCACTGGTCTTTCTTGTTTAAGATCATTTCCAGTCAACGTCTTTGTTGTTGCGTCCAAACGTCTCTTGTAGCCTTTTCCGCAGTCATTTCTAAATCTTCCACAAATAACGTTTTTCGGTTCTGATTCTTCCCTTCACTTCATAGTCTGCGTCTGCGTGTTCAGCATGTGCCTTGTCTTTCTCTGTTCCTGTTTGGCTGATGTTGATTGCAACCTTCCTCTTCCTCATTTTTTGATATTGTTTCAAGAAAAATCCGTTCCTTGTGGCCCAGAACCTCCTGACATTTTGAAGTGAATGCCCCCTCAATCTTTAACCAATTTTTCTCTATGGTAGTTGCCTTTACACACAGTAGATCATGAAAACCATGTAACCTATTGGTGAGTGCTATGCTCAACTCTTTGAGTTTCTCTAGTATCCCGAATAGATGTTGTAGACCTCACTGTCCAGTGCTTCCTTGGTTTCGATTTCATCTTGGCCATCACCAGATGATGAAATGAGGATATATCAGCTACTCTCTTGTTTCTCAATTCCCCCATGGTCCTTCTGAATTTTTTATTGATGGAGATATAGTCGATTCGATTCTGAGTTGTGTGATGTGGTGAAATCCATGTAGCTTTGTGTATGAGTTTAGTTTAGAATACAGTACCGCCGATTTTGTTGAAGGCATATGAATTTATGAATATCACAGTTATTCATTCCAGACTGTTGGAACTTGTTCTTCCTCTCTAATGTTACTGATGAGAACATTGAACGTCTTTGCAGTTACTGTTGTGTCTGCTTTCAGTGCCTCTGCTAGTGTGGTGTTTGATTCTTCTACTTTGCATCAGTATGGATGTTTGTTTGTGTGTAAGGCGTTTTCTTCCTCATGGATGGAGTACAACAGCATCTTCCTTGGAGATAATTTTTTTGTCCAACTTCCTTCCAATGTGTTTCACTGATTGTAACTGTCACTAGATCGTGTTTTTCCATTTCTGCCACAACTTTCCACATTATGCAAACATTCAATGTACCTATATTAATTGTTTCTCTGGTTGTTCAGGGTAGCTATAAATAAAATTATTTTTTCGTTTTTAAGCTTTTTGTATGTCTTGCTAATGACAACACATTTGTGTAACTTCCGTCTTAGTTGGTAATGTTTGGAATATTCAGTTCCATAATAAAGCTTACAAAATTTTAACATATAATCTTTATTACTAACGTAATATCAATTCAAACCACTTAAAACTTTTCCTAAGTCGGATTTAACAGTGTTTTATGCTCCTCAGTAAGAACTTCTGTGTCCTAACCCAGTATGTAAGCGTCTACGCGTGATACGTCGTGTATGTGGTAAAATAGAAACGTATTCATGAAAACCAAGATAGAATACAATTCTTGGGTTAGACGTTTGCGACAGAAACTGGCTTCTTACTAACTTCAAAAACTTAATCTGTTTATAATTAATATATGTTTGACCCATCTTAGTATATATAACAACATTTTATCAAGCAATAGTCTGTTTAAGCTCTGCTTCAGGGATGGGTTTTTTGATCTTTCACTTTAAATAATTCACTTTCTATTCATAAGAAAAAGCGGATGTGATAAACATTCATTAATTTCCAAGCCAATTTCTAGACATAGCTTTTCATTTACTTTCGGAGTTCCGTTTGTTTTATTCCGACATTTCTTATTGGATATGTTTTACTTTAGTACTTGTCAACATGTGCAGTGTATGGAGTCATATTACAATGTTACTATGCCACGATTGAGTGATGGGTATACCTGCAGTGTATGTGGAAATGAGACCATTGAATTTCAAGGTGCATCTAACCAGTTACCAGACGCGTCACTTAATAGAAACGCTAATGCAAACAAGGATTGTGTTGCTTCAAATGATGATACCACGAATTCCGTCGATGGTGCTAATAATTCGTCAATAAAATTGAATACAACAGCTGAAGGAAACATTGGAGCTCAGTATGTAGAAGTCGCTGCCGATAGAGCGAAAAGATTGGGTCTTTTATCGAATAATTGTAAACTGGATGCTGACACTTCTACGTTTTCTGGATCTTGGTCCAGTCATTCTGTTGTAAAAGAACATGATACCACAGGACGTTCTGGTTGGACATCTGTGAATTGGGAAAAATTGGTGAGGCTAACGACTGTTTATATAATAAGGAGAAAATTTAAAAAATTAGAATAGTTTAAATGACATCCTGTCAGTGAAAACTGACTAACAGTTCAAGGTTTAATTTTTTATGATTCTTAGTATTTGGGAAAAAACATTCAAATCCTTCACACTTTCCGCTTATGTTAGTTTATGGTAGGATTTGTCTGTTTTCGACTAGTGCATTACATTGACATACAAATGTGTAAAATTTTCGTCCAATTTACCGTTCATTAATATCAAATTGGTTAATAACAGCCATACAAAACTTGAAGCGGCTGACGGCAACGCATCCTAATGTTTAACTCCAGGTAATTCTAACGATGCTGTCAGTTAATGTAACCAAAATATTCAATACGTCCTGAGAGTTGAATGTAATTTTATCAAACATACATCGATTTTTTATTGAAAGACAGAATTCTGGTGGTAAATGCAAAGAAACAGTTCTGACTAATGCATTACAAGATATTAGTTTCGGTAATTATCCAAAGCCTAACTGCTGTTTGGAAAGAAAAAGTCAGTCAGTCAGTCAGTTAGTTACAACGTAGAACTTCGTACGTACGTACATCAGTTCATGTTACTATACCACATTAGCCCAGAGATGCAATTGTCGATTTGAATCCCATAGTAGTCGAGGCATTAGAAGTATTAGTAGTGATTGGAGAAATTAGGGTTGGAGGATAGAAGTATAATCCAGTGTAATAAACTTTAGGAAAAAGATAAAGGTGATGAAGAATTTGAAAAGTAAAAAAGACCGGACATGTAGTTTCTGACTGTGTATGTTATTGACCAAGTGTTTACTCTTCATTGGGTTTTGAAACAAATTTACCTCACTGGTACTCGACTGTAGTGTGATCATGTACTAACTACTAAATAATTTTCAAAGCTGTATTTTCTGGTTATTATTTTAGAATTTTAAGATTTTAGTCGTATATAAACTTCCTAAACGTTATATCAACAACTTCTGTGGTTTTCGTTCATTGGAACTTGCATGCGATATGTATATAATGCACCCTGTTATTGTTCTGTTGAGTGGTGGCCTAGCGGTTGTCAAGTCCTCCGAATTTCAACCAAATTTTTCAAGTCGCTCTCCACTTGCTTAGATTTTTACAGCTGATTATTATCACTAGTCCTCATATGTAATGTGTAACTTAGAGCCTCTAGTGTATGCGTCTGTTACCTGGAAAGTTACACTATCCCCTCATGTTATTATAACTTTCTGATTCTAAACGCATTACATAAGTTCGCGTCGCCTCGAAAATTACATATTTGATATACAAACGTTTTTGCGAAGTGTGAATTTTTCTTCGTTATAGTTTGCACATGTCCATGTTCATGTTCTCTATTTTCTTACGTAGAACGAAATTTCTCGCTCTGGTCGCAGGCATCATGGTGATACGGATGTAAATTTGAGAATGCCATCTCCTCCAAGAGCATCTAAGCGGAAGCAAGACCTAACCTCTACATCATGTACGTCACTTAATATACCTCCTGTTTTGTTTGGTCGGTACTATTATAGTTCAGTATGATTTTTACCCGTGACTCGGTCTGTTTTATACGTGCGTTTACGAAATGCTTGTATTCTTCTTCTAGTTAAAACTGAAAATATTTTATGACCAGTAGCTTTATTATCTATTTATGTTTCATATTTCTAAATATTTTTTTATTCCTCTCATAATATTTGACTGGTTTTTTTTAACTCATCTTTCTGAATCTTTCTTCGTTGTTTTTATAATCTCAAAGACAGTCTTTACATGCAATGTCTTGAACTACATGTCTTTTAAGTGTATTTTACTGACTGTTTCTTGAAACATGTTTTACAAGGATCCACTCAAATTTTCTCAAGGTTTTATTCATTGATTATCTCTTATTCATTTTTGCTTTACTAGATAATGACGCAGAAGTTGCCGCAACTGATTCATCTTCTGAGCGAAATTCCAACGCTACTGTTGTTCTACCGAATAGTGGAGATGAATCATCTTCTGTCGATGTAACACCTTCAAGCACACCATCGAATACTCCAATGAAAACAGGACCTTTACCACTCACTCCTATTACTCCAGCAAGTACGCCTGGTGGTACGCTTACACCTGGTTCTGGATACAGTAGTTCTTCAGGTGTAGAAGGCAGTCCACGTCGTCACAGACTGGGTCCTGACCGTTCGTCTAATAAAGTCAGGTAACTCTACATTTTTCTTATCGTATTCATTTGCGTCATTTGTTAAGTAAATTTCGATAATTTGTTGATTGAAAATGAGTTTTTATGATCAAAACACACAACGTGTTTTCTCCAACTACTGTTTTACTATCATTTCTCTACCTATTCAAAATCCTAACATCAACGTTTTTCGTTTAATATTCATATTTATTTAGTAAAAATACTAAATTGAAGGGATTGTCTTTAAAATTACACTTGTATTATGCTCCTACAAATTCATAGGTTTGTTGTCATACGTCATACGAAATCTTCTTAATGATTCTTCCTTCTGTAATATTTCGCTCCCATAAATTGAAGTATGATGAATTGTATTGAACATTAATTGCATTGTAAGGCTTTTTAAATAGCAGAGCTAACACGATAACATCTGCGGTCACCAGCACTAACACAACTCCTTTTTCAGGCTCCTCAAGAAATAAACTTCGACGGTGTGGGCTGACGGGAATTGACAACTTCCCTGATACCCGTTACACACGAAATCAATTTGTCACAATCGAATCCTCCCTTCAACTTTGAATAACTCTAGCCTCCACGACTAACACTTTTTTCATTTCCTTATCACTCCGCGCTGCTAATGTTGATGATTTAAGTACACGAAATGTTTTCCCTGTCCTCATATAGGAACCAAGTAGAGTCATTCATTTGACCTCACTTTGCCAACCAACTCGATTTACACTACGTGCATCTGGTATTGATATTGTAGTGCTCTTGTTCTATAGTTTTCATGTTTGTTCGTTCAACCATAATTTATTTGACTGTCCAATTCCTTTCTTTCTGTAGAAGAATTTTGTTCCCCGATGGTTCCAATTCGACGAAGCGTCGTTTAGATGCTCGAACTAATCCTCTCGGTGCAGCTTGGGCTAAAGACTATCAGGAAGCTGAAAGAAATGTTTATACAAAAGCACTACTCGAACGTGTACAGACTAGAATGTAAGTCAATACTTAAATAACAGTAGATAAACAGTACTTGTTATTTTCGTCAACTTCAGCTTTTTGTTAGTTTTTACTCATTGTTTGCTTTTTGATCGCATGCTATGCTTATTATCTTTAAGATGCGAACAAATCCTATAAACAACGCCACAATAACAAGGTAAGATGAAGTATTTCCTTACCACTCAGTCCAGCTAATTAGAGGAAGACCAAAGTAAGCAGCCGGAACGAATAGACGACAAGCATTCATAAAATAGCTTGTTAAGAGAGACAACAAGCCAGTTAGATATCTATGAGGTCTTTCCAGGTGGAACCTGAAATTTTGGATAGCTAAATAATATTACCTATGCCTTACAAAATCTTTCGTTCAGATTCGAAAAGGTTAGCTTATTTTTGGTTACTGAGTTCGGTTTGAGATTTCGATCGACTTCTTTGTCTGATGCTTACTATCATTGTTGGGGCTATACGACAAATTACACCTTTTGAGATACAAATCCTCATTTAGATTAAATTTGTGTTACAGTAACTGATTATAGAGTTTAAACACCACGTAATTTCAATACATTTTTATGATATTTTGAGTTAATGATGGTCACTCAGTTTAGATATTCTAATAACTTTTTTATTGATATATAATTGATAAACTTGCATTTTTGTACTTGGTTATTGTCAAAAATAGTTCCATCTTTAAGACTGTTTTGTTCCCTCAAGTTACTGGGTTAGGAAAAAAAGAGGATAACAATTGTGTTCCCGTAGTGAAGTCAGAGTAACTCATTTAACACACTAAACGGACGTATTGATGGATTAAATAACAGGATTTAAAAGATTTTTATATCCATATAAATTTGAATCACACTGCCACCATAGTTACTAAGTATATATATATAGCCTAATTTTATTTTTATTTTCATTGTAATCCTCCTTATTGAGCTAACTGAAACTTAGGTAATAAATCCTACATATTTCTATCTTATATGTATTTGTGATAACACTTTTTCAAATTTTTGAATAATTAATAAATGGAAACTGAATTTTGGGTTATGCATAGTTTGACTGTAATCATGCTTCTGCATAAGTTTTGATGACTAAATCATTTCACTACCCTTCAGGTTGAAATACATTTTTGAGCTCACACTACACAAAATTGTATTTGTATTTAAAATCTGTTCACAATAAACTTCGCCTAAAGGTCTTATCCTCTATTTTTACAATATTTGTCGCATTTATTGGTATTAAAATTAGAGAAAAAACACTTGATCTGTTTATATTATTATCAGTTTTATTTTTATTCAACTTTTACTTGTAGAACTGCTAGTGTTGAACGAAATCACAAAATCCCCCCAGCATGCCTAACTCGAAGTTCACTTTGTCGAGTGGTCCTTTTCGATCATAATGATAAGGTAATTTTCATAACAATATGATTATATTGCTGAGTAAATACGTATTTAAATATATATATATATATATATATATATATATATATAATAGAGGTTTCATGTTCACTTTGTAAACATTTGATTCTTATCTACTTACAATACTGATAAGGTTTGATGAGTCGTGGATGCTCACTGCTGAGAAGTCTCATACTAGTACAAAACGGCTATTCAACACTTCATGGTGTCTGTCGGTAATACTAAAACTACCATATAGATAAGAATATTTTATATATATCTCGAACTCAATATAACCAGTGATCCTCAAATAGTTTTCTTTTGTTTTCGTTTTCCATACTATGTAAGTAAAACATTTGCATAAAAATCATTGGTATGAGTCTCTTGGAATAAGCGTTTTCACTAATACCAGCTTCTAAAGTCAACATACTCCGTCGCGTATAGATTTTTCAAAGTATTTTTTTTCTCATAAAGCAAATTAGCATATAATACTCAAGATCATGTGTTCATTTTGAAAAATCAAATGCTCTAGTTTGTTTCCTTTTGCTCCTGTTATTTTACTTCTATTAAGTAGTATTTATGTTCTCAACGCTTTAGTATTGCTCATTGACTGATTGTTATTCTGTCCAAAGGGCTTAGAAGCGTCAATTAGAATAGCACCCAATGAAGTTGTAACGGAAGTTCGTGGTCATTTCTTATTGATGGAAGAATATGAACACTATGTTGATCCTGTTTCTGAGTAAGTTTATCATGGAAATTTCCTCGTAATTTTTATTCCTAAATATTTATTTACTTAATTGTCTATTAGTGTTATGCATATTTTTTTTATATTTCTTATCTCTGTTTTCTATTTATGATTATTGAACATTAATCTTACTCGAGTTATTTTCAGTAATAAGTTTGTGCTATACTTGATTCCTTTATTTAAATTGTCGACTGTTTTTTTGTTCATCTATTCATTTTTGGTAAAGAAGGATTTCAAGTATTTAAAAATACTTATAAGTTTCGTAATATCTTTTTACAGCTATAATCGTTACGTTATGTTTTATCGTGGGTTTGGTGATCGGACAGTTGTTATTGATTCTAGCCAATATGGAAATAGTGCACGATTTGTTCGACGTTCATGTATTCCGAATTGTAGAGTAAGTTTAAACCGAAATCTTTTAATCTTATTAGTTTTTTATAAAAAATCAGGTTGTAAATTTCGAAACAGGTTGTCTATTCGTTGAAATGATTAATCAAACGAGGCTTATTTTAACCGGTGAAAGTCCTTTTTTTATCTTGATGATAATATTAAGCTACACATTCTAATAGTTGAATATGATCGTATGCATTTAAGAGATAATGTTAATTTCCGGGCTTTCCTAAACGGTTTTGCATTGCTTTACACAAATTTTTTCTTAAATTTTGTGTTTTTATTATTTATTCCTTCACGTAATTACAAATCATGAACTATGTGTTGCCTGTTAACTTTTTCTAGCTCGAACATTACGTTGTACAAAACAAGCTTCAAGTCGTAATTCGTACATCAATGGAAGTGATGCCTGGGACTGAGTTAACCATACCTTTTGATTTGGACTATCGAGCATGTCGTTATCCTTTGGACTGTGCTTGTGCAAGATCTCGTTGTCCTGTTTTAAAATGGCGACGAAAATTGCTACGAAATAAAGTGGTGCCTAACTTAGATTATAGTAAATATATTGAATCGCAGCTTCGAGTGTAAGTTTTGTGTTTTTTAGATGCTGTTAAAATTTAACAGTGTTGATATTAGTCTACCGCTCAGTGTTCGAACAGGATACTGACAATCGCTTTGATAATAATACATTCATCGACTGCAGGTTTTCTGCGAAAAAAATCACGAAAGAAATTAGGTCGCTCATAAAAAAATGTTAAATGTAATTAAACTGTGATCATTTCTATCTCAATCTTTGACTGCCACTTCGATTGCTATTGATTGCCATAGAAAACCTTTATTGATGTTAAATTGTTAAGTGAATAACTAAGGGTAATTTACCACTGTTTTTATGATTTATTTTGACATATTCATGTTTCAGACTTTCCAAACCCTTATCTCAAGAAAGTCCGACAAATAGATCGTTCGACTCCTCCAGTTTAACAGCATCTCCTTTGGTAAAAACATCTTCCACTTCAAACAATGTTAATCAATCTATCAGTCTCTCACCTAATGTTAATTACAATTTGTATAGTATAAAATCACCTGGTACTTTTCGTAAAGAGGTTGAGCTACCAATCCATAACTGTGATTCTCTGATTACCGAAAAAACAAATCATAATGATTCAGATTTAAATAAAACCGTACATTTGGATAATTCCCATTCGTTGGAATGTGCATCATCTTCTACGATTATAAATGAAACTGAAAGTAGTGAACAGACTAACTCAGATTTGAATACTTCTGAGAGTAAAAATGTTGCCGAATCTGATTTTGTTACTGACGAAAATCAAATTCCTAAAACTTCTCCAACAGAGGATGTATCGACTGAAAGCAATTCAAAAATACCTACAACAAAGATAAAAGATTCTTCATTTCGAAAAAGCCAAAATGTTAATGAAGAGAAACTAGTACGTTTTCGTTATTACTACGAAAATTTTATTCTCTCAATATTAATTCATATTCTATTTCAATTCATCAGGATTTCTTTCTTAAGTTTTTCCTTTCACGCTTATTTCATTCATCGTGAAGTACCAGGTCTAATATCTTGCTTAGAATATTACTCTGTTGACTTCCTTGTCATAATTTTCCAAAGTTTTGATTCATTTTCATTTGTGCCATTCACCTTAGCCCTCTGTTTCGGATATCTTGTATTATCGGATCATATTAAATACCAGAGGTTCTCTTCATCTGTATGGTTATACTTCAAACGCATAAACTGTCACATATAAGTAGCCTGATAACCCAAATTTTAAAAGGTTGAGCGTTATTTTTAATATTGAAAACTGCAATATCAATCTATTACTGAAATGTTTGTTTTACGTGATATTCGGTTTTGTAACACTTACATTTGCTGCTATCGTTACGTATTAAAATGTTGGTTTTTAGCATACAGAAGAACAAATATTTTATTAGAATACTCATAAATACCTTGCAATTACGATTTTAATCTCCCTGTTTCATAGTACTGATTTGTAATATGCTCTACTTCATTCATAAATCATAAACATGATTATTAAATGGCAAATTCACTAATCACAGGCTATTTAACTGAAGGTAAATACTTAAACTTATCGTACTTCGTGGAAACATCGGTGATGATGAAAGAATGCAGAAACTAAACATCGACACTTCAATGTCAACTGAACTTGTTTTTTACTGTAGTGTGTATATAATTTATATTAAGCATTTTCGCCCATGGTAGGGAGATATTCAGCATTATGATTATTGAATTTGTTATTTCATCGGTTTACGTCTGATGAACACTTGGATAACGTTTTAGTTACTGTATATTCCAAAACATTAGACACTTCTTTCATATTTTCTGCATGTTATCAATCAAATTGTCGATTGCTAGACTTTCAATACATTTACTCTTCCTTAATTAGTATTTCTTTGTTTTTATTTGTCTTTTAATTATAGCCTTTCGAACCTATTATTACAACAAGAAGACAAGCTGCAGCTATGAAAAATATCCTGCGATAGTAATTAATTTCAGCTCTTGCTGTTGGCAAATTCACAAACTTTTCAATCCTGAGAAAATTTGCCCTGTTTTTTTTTAGAAACATATTAATATTATGGTAGAACTATCTAAATCGTGATGATACTGATGTCAAACTTATTTCAGTTCACTAGATAACTTTTTTTATTATTATTCTGATTTCTTTTCTGTGTATATTGCCACTGAACGATTTGTATGCTTTTTTTCTTCATTGTCCAAAATTTATTTTAGTGTAAACTAACCGAATTCGTATTTTCTGCTTGCGTAATTGAATTACTTACTTTCCTGTTGTCCGATATTGTAGTTTCACTTTTTTCTCTTCTTTGTAAATGCTTTATTCTCTTTTAAATTAATACTATTGCCATGTTTTGTAAATGATATGTTTATTTTCCTTTCCTTAGTTCTGTGTATACTGTATCACTATTATTACTTACCAGTAAAGTATTGAGACGTTCGCATAAAACATAGCATATCAAAAAGAAAACTTTTGCAACGTTTTGTAGAGCTCGAATTATTGCTATTGTATCATTTTCTTTTACTCAATGAAGATGTATAACGCTAAAAGTGCCTTTTCCTCCACATAGTTGAGTGTTTTTGCCTCCGTATCTTGATACTGAGTGCATTTGTGCATGGTAAAATAAAATGTGACTTAATTCAGTAGTATGAACTTCGCTTGTTAAATTGTGATGAGCGTAAAAAAGGAACTTACTCAAAGTAGTGGTTAACTATAATAATTTATGTCGGCTCAGAATCTTGTTTTAATCACTCGAATAACAAAAACTTGTCTGTATTTCTTCTCAGAGTACTAAATAAAATATAGCATTATTCTTGAAATATATTCTACTTAATCATAGGAATCTGTTAATTATGTTTTTTTCACAAACTGTTTGTGTAAAAAAGAGGTACGATCGACGAATAATCAATCATTACTTTATCTCAGTTTGCACTTACTAATCTTTTTGGTTTATATATATGATTTTTTGATCTAATTGCAATATTTTAAATAAATGTTCAGTAAGATCTTTAATTTTCAAGACCTCTGGAAAACAGGTTTTTGATTTTCTCGTGTAATTCATATTTAACGTTTTTCCATCTTGTCATCCTCAAACATATATGTATATAATTATGATCAGGTTTTAATCTTATCTACTAAATCTTTGTATGCACTAATATGGGAATCCGAATTGTGGGATAATATCTAGTTTTTGAGATATCTCTGCATTCCTCTAAGAAGCTAGAATACGTTCAAGGTCAGTCATACTGGTGATTTGTATACGAATCCACTGTCCATGTTTCATTTATTGGTACGTAATTAACTTTATAATGATGTTTGACAAAATTGAAAATAAGTCTTTCCTACAGTTTTAAGAACCGTAATAAGACATTTTATCAGTTTATCTAAAACTGCAAATGAACTTCAGCCGCAGTTTCGCACTTCGCATTCCTATCTTATTCGCATTCAAAATAATGTTATTACATACGTTCTATGTTCGAAAAGTTAAAAGCTGTTTTAACAAAAAGTGGGTAGTATTCCTTCCGTTATCAATCCAAAGCAGCATACCAGTATAAGCCAATGAACGAACGATCTCCTATTGGGGTGAGTGATGTGTGCAGGCCCAGAGTTCTCCATCGACAGAAGTAAGATAAGATGAAGTTCGATAGAATATACACACTAAATCATAGCAAATACCTATTATACAACCGAAAACATGGACCATCAAGATGCTTAATTCTAGAAATAATTCAGAAGTGTTACGTTGTTTCACTTGATGATCTACTGCAATTTCAGTAGTCTACTACCTGCAACATTTCGTGTTATTTTAGACTTGCCATATATGTTGTATCACCGTCAAACTCGTTTAAGATATATCTAGTGGTTTCATACGACGAAATGGTTCTTGGAAATGTGTATGGTTTTTAGATATGTTTGGGAAATAAAATCAAAATTACTATATTTCGAAATGCGAGAGGATATCTGCACAAGTGGATTCTACGTATGAGCAGTTGCACAAGTAAAAGTTTGAGAGCTGTATAGAATCTACTTCCGAATATAGTTATACTTCTGTGCTCTGTATGCACCCTATTACTTCCCTGAAAATAGCGGTCGTCCGTCTTTAGTAAAACCTGGACATGGTTAAGTAAATGCTTCTCTTTTTTGCTACAACCATTTTAGCAATGTTCGAAATTGACATTGCCTGTTTTAAATTCCCTCCAATTATATCAAACAAAACTTTTGGTCTCTGGATTGAGAAATTTAATCACTTCCAAAGATATAAAAATTGTCTCCATTCACTGGTTGATAATCTGAGTATGACTTCGGACAAACGGAGTCATTCCAATTCAGAACCACTGTGCGGTAGGTATAGTTGTCTCAATCAACTTCTCTCTTATTAGCTGCTTCGGCAGCATACACACATACACTCGCAAACGCAGGAAAAGGCATCCTAAGGCTCAGTCGACGCAGTCTGTCTTGTGGATATCGCACACTGATGGCTGTATCGTCTACTCTATGCCAGTTAAATTCAGTGGCTCTGCTGTTGAATTTGATTTCTGTAACAAATGGGTCCACTGTCGTTGCGACACTAAAGTGCCTTCAGACACCATAAGTAAAATTGTCCTCTCAGATCCGCATCAGGCACAATGTATCATGGTCAGTACGAGCAGCAGCCAGGAGAACACCGGGAACTCAAGAGCAGACCTACATGGTAGTTGCCGGGGTACCTGAATTCGCTGGCGGCGGCTTCGATGAAGCTCACGTGCCCGATCTCCAGCTACGGCGGTGGCTTTTACGTAGCCTGGGTCTTCAAACCACGATGGCTATGTGCCTTTCTAGGCTGCCTCGCACGTCACATCTCACGTCCGTTATGTCGCCATGTCTGATAGCTGTGAATTTCAGGAATCAGGAAGACCAGACGGAAGCACTTCAAGCTTGAAACAGTTTGAAGAATAACCACATTAGGTGTTGCGAAAGCCGACCTAGATCTGTGAGACATTAAGAACAGGGCCATACCAAGCGCACAAAATTGGGAGTTGACCTCGATCTCGTTGACTGAACTCATTGCACAGGCAAAAAACCTGCAGCGGCCAGTTCTTATAGAGCTAGTCAAATCGGTTTGAACAACTTGTTTGAAAATCCAACAATGGCCGTTGCTCTGCAGAGGCGTGCCAGGTGATGAGATCAACCATCAACTGCCGTCAAGCGACGTAAGAGAACTAAGGGGCAAGCGGTTATAAATCAGGAATATGTGCTCTCAGATGGATCTGAAGATCATAATCTTAACTGCGACATGGTTAACCCTTAACTTAGAAGAAGACGAAGTGAGTTTGTAAGGCGTAACACTTCCGTAACGATAGGGTACACCAAACAGGAGGCGGAGTGGCTATATATATATATATATTTATAGTCACCTGAAAGCCGAGCGTCTGTACGACACACAACTAGCGGAGGTAACAATCAGGTTGGCGTTGCCTCTGCAAAAATGCCACGAAATACTTGACAGGAGGGATTTATCGTCCTCCCTCAGTTAATAGGAGACAGAATGACAAACTGGCTGGGTCAATACTGAAACTGTTTCCTCTCCCTTTCTTACACTTCGGTCATCTCGTATAAACTACACAACCTTTTGATAAGCTAAATTATTCATCTATTTTAGAATTTTATCCTTATTATACTTGAAATTTCAAGTAACTGACCTCGGATCTGATAACTTGACAGCTGCTGGTATTCAGAAACCCTACTGCCCTGAAATAGACGTACTCATTTCAAACGAGGGGACATGCAAATTCACATTCCACTTCCAACTGACTGGAATTAGAAAGTCCAGTGACTGGATCATCACCCATTTGACACTATAAAACACCTGGAACCGTATCAAAAGAATAAGAGTTGAGAGCGAAGAAATCAATTGGTTTATAATAACCCCTGAAAAAGATATTGGATATTGGTTATATTGGAGGAAAATTGAATTTGTCAAGGTCAAATGTCGTTATTGGATTTTACCGTAGATAATTTTCTTCCAGAACCTTATTTTGTATTGAAATGCAGTATATAAGTAAAAGAAATCATTTCAGTACCTTTTAAATTTCAGCATCTCAGGTTACATGCATCATCCAAATCACTCCTGTAACTACTTGTTATCGTTTCTATTGCATATATTGGTTCATCATACCGAAGCTGTTCCCAGTTTCTATAAGGAAGTAGGTATGTTGTTATTTCAATATATGTAAAATACCCAAAGTTTGTACTCGTGCAGATGTGAGACACCCTTCAAGTTTAACACGAATTTCGCGTTGCACTGTCATAGAAGGAGATTTGTTCGTTGTTTTCACGCGAATACCACGTGATGCTAGTCTACCTTTTCTGAAGGAGATTATTGGGAGTCTGATTTTGTATGATGTTGATGGTCCAGATGATCTGTCCACCCTTCTGCCAAATCTTACTTTGATAAGAGGACAAAGTCTGGTGTTCGGTTATGCCATTATAATCAAAAGTACATCGCTCAAGGTACTAAAACTTTTGACTTTTTCTTTTTTACTGTAAAAAGTTAAGAGCCTTTAATTTTATCTTATACATCCTTATTTTATTGTGTTCTGTAACTTAAATGTCTTAATTATTGATGACTCAATGTAATTCTGCTCAACACCATCAATAGCTACGTTGCTTCTACATTTAGCTTATAAAACAAGATACCACTAAAATCATATATCTAAACTGCGAAACTCCTCCACTTTATTTTCACTCGTTCAATATTTCTTGTCTATTCCAAAATGTCCGTTTTTGACGTTGCTTAAATTTTAATAAAAAGGCTACACCACCATTCTGCTTCCTAGATAATTTAATACATTGAAAGTAAATTCAGTACAATTCTCAAACATTTTACCAGTCTAGTTGACAATGCGACAAAGCCACTCGTGAGTGTAGCCCATCGAATTTCCGAGCATAGTATTTTCCTTATTTTAGTCGAATGCACGTATTTAAGCTAATGCTATAACTGATTTGTGCAAACCGAAATCTTTCAATGTGTTCCTGTGTTATTGGTTCACGGTCTATCCAAATTGTGTAGAGTCAAGTACTTCTCTAAATTAGTATTTCAACAAACTTAATATTGCCTATAGGTCGCACTAAAACATAACTTAAGCTTGATTCTTGTTTTTACATTTCGATTTATTTTAAAGAGGATCGGTCTTTTGTCCCTCCGAGTGATCCAGCAAGGCGGAATACGTATAGACAGTAATTCTCAAATGTGCTATGTAAAGACTATCGACTGGCATATAATCCTCCAGAGTCAGAGTAGTGACGTTTCTATGGTTAAGACTGTTAAAAACGGATTATTGTGTCCAGATACCTGTTCATCTGGTTGCTCTATGGCCTCTCGAAATAATGGACAGCCTTCAGCAACAGAACTTTGGAACTCCTTATCAAGAGATATTTCTCCCAGTGACGGACATTGCTGGTCCATAAGTGAATGCCAATCGAGTAATTGACCACCATATTTTTTGAGTCTTGTATTTTACGGTTGCCAAATCTTTTGATCAGTTTAACACCTGAATCTTTATTATTGTTAATACACCTAGACTTAGTGTAGGGAGATATACTAGTTGATGGCAGTCGTTTGTGAAGAAATAGTGAAGAGAGATATACGAGTATTAGCAGTCATTTGTGTTCCATGTTAACACCAAAGTATTTGAGGTGTGTTTAAAAACATTTGACTAACAGCTGCTGATGAATTAGGAGTTCTGTTCATAAATATTTTGTAGCATTGTTGAATATCATTTAATAGTCATTTTCTAGCCATTTTTTTCCGTTGCATCAAGGTGTCTGATAGTCTAGCTTGAAATCATTGAGAGCATGTGGTATACGATGAATCTGATTGATCTTAAGTGTAATTTCGAATCGATACTAATTTCTTCCAATCCTTTTCACCTCCAAATACTGTTGGCACAATATTTGAGTTGAAACAGTAGGTATGTACATATGTTCGAGCTATCATATCGCATTAGCACACAGATGAAATAGTCAGTTGAAATGTCGCAGTGGTAGGGTTAGTAGAAGTATTAGCGGTTATCAAAAAGATTAGAAATCGAGAAAATTATTCAAGATTTATAATAAAGTTTGAATAAAGGTGATGAGGAATACAGGAGATTACAATTTCAGAGAACACAAAGAATGGTTGCACATGGGCTACTACAAACTATTTTCAGCCATGTCGTTCAGCGTCTCTAACCATCTGTTACTATCGTCTCGCTCACCCCAACCAGACAGTCTGCATCTACCAACATGGCTCAGTCCATTTTTCAGTGACTTTATGGATTTCTTCCATGTTTTTGTTTGGCCGCCCCTAACTCTCTTCCAACCCACCACTGTAACACAAAATATTGCTAGTGAATGCAGTCGGCTGTGGGGCATACGTAACACGTATTCCAACCACCTCAACTGATGAAGTTACAATACTTCATCAGCTGATCTGCCATTACCACCTAGTACTCCTTTCCTAATGGCAGCATCTCTTACTCGGTTGTCCAAGGGTACACGAGCAATGCTTCGAAGGCATCCATAATCGAATACCAATAACTTAAGAATATCCTCAACTGTTACTGGTCATGTTTTGCATCCATAAATTAGGACTGAGCGAACTGCTGCGCAGTACACTGGTCTTTTGTTTGCAGACGGATATCTCGCCTACGTCGGAAGTGACGCAGGTTGGCAAAAGTCAGTCGAGCCTTCTGTATCCGTTCTGAGATTTTATCAATCACCAAGCCATCAGCGATGGTAAGACTGCCGATATAAGTTAGGTGGTCGAACAGCATTGAAGCCACCAGCCATCATTACTACACCAGAGCGCCTAACTTTTCAAGGAGGTCTGAAAGATTTCTGTACAACTCATCTTTTACCTCGTCCGAGCTGTAGTCAGTTAAAGCGTAGTCAGAGACAACAAAAAGGCAACGGTAATTGTCCCTGTGCTTCCTAGTCCTTACTGTCCCGTTTAGTCGGACAGCGCACTAGTGACTATCTACTGGGATCCAGTGTAAGAGAGCTAGTTCTTCTTTAGAAATTAACGCTATGCTTACACCAGCGAGGTCACAGTAAACAGAAGTGTGGCTTCCAGATGTACGAAGAGAAAATCGAGTTGGTTCTTTATCTTGTCAAAGTGAGGTCAAATGAATGACTCTACTTGGGTCGTGTATGCGCGTTTCGGAGACGCAGCATACATCGATGGCACGAGATTCTAAAGTCCTAGCTAATGAGGCTTGTTGCCCTATTTGACACAATGTCCGCACATTAAATGCTCCAACATGTAATTTAGAACGAGGTTTCAGGAGACCAGGAATAACGTTTCGTGAACTCGAATCGTTTGCATCAGCGGTGCAGTGTGATAAAGGAATGTGAAAAGAGTTAGTCGTGGAGATAAGAGAGATACTAGGGGGTTGTAGGAATGATTTGATTATAAACGATTTGGTCTCGCGTGCTGTTACGGGTATGAGGCTTCCACACCGTGGATAGGTGCTTCTTGAGGAACCTGGAAAGGAAGGCAGAAAATTAGTGTTGATCTTAGAGACCAGAGAGCGTGACCGCAGAGCGCAAAGGACAACTGCTCGAGGCCGGTCACGCACGGCCTTTTTTTAGAAGTTTTTGATGTGTTAGCCCCGCTTTTGTTTTAAAGACCTTACCGCCGGATACGGGGAATCAGTAGGTCCAGATGAGGTGTAATATTTTTAGGGTCGACCTTCTCTAACCCCTTTCTTGCTTGTTAGAAGGCAGCATCGTTGCAGATACTGGTTGTCCGAGGGAAATACCTTACTGCCGTTACACCTCTCTACAGTCAGTAGTACGACTTCGACTTCAGACCTTGATTAGGTGCTTTTAGTCTCATCGTTCTGAAATCGACTTGCCTGGCATGGTAGAACCTACAGGAGCATCCATCCAATATAGCTCGGTTTGGTCATCACGATAAGCAAGCTCGACCACTACGTCAAGGTAGCAGCTACGTCGGGAACCTGGGGGCACTGAAACGCCGTTTCGTCCTTGTACGGGGCTCATCAGCAGCGCGCATCCACGACTCCTGCACCTCGCACATTTTGAACCCGGGGGTTCTGTCTTGCGCGCAAATGTCCAGCCTCTGGACTATTTTGCCAGCCAGTTGAATCATTAACGCCAGATAAAAATTACATGTATGTTTGTTTTATTACTTGGTGTGTAACAAAAGTACCATAAGTACGTTTATTTATCACGTTAACCTGTTGTCGTTTCATATTACTACCTTTTTTTCAGTATGTCCTCTAAGCTGCACACTTATGAATTTGACATGTACAATGAAACGTCCTTATAAATGTTGTCATCCAGAATGTCTTGCTGGATGTTACGGTGATGGCCCAAGCATGTGCGTTGCGTGTAAGAATGTTATGCATGGAAATCAATGCGTCTCACAATGTCCAGGTGGAACTTTTATGGTTGGTTTGATTTACTTTTGAGTCCCATAATGCTTTTTAGTCACAGCCAGTTACTCGTTGGTTGATTATTGATTTCACTTAGTTTCACTTGACTTTCTCAGAAACTGGATTCAATTGCTTAAATTTGCGAGATATTCAGAATGATGTATATGTTTAGTAATATAAGTTTAGATTAAATATAATAGTCCAAAGTGTCATCGGCAGCTGTAGTTGAGTTATTTATGTTTTATAGCAATTATTGAATTTTTGATCAATCTGTATATCAAAACAATACATTCCGACTTCTTGAACTAAAAGGTACACCGAACAAATATGTTTCTGAGCTACTCCCCAATTCGCATGCCGATATGATGGTCTGTTTTCCGCACATAGTTAAACTGCTGCACAAATAAGGCATGTCTCGATTTGGCCCTTGTATCATTCACGTTGATAGTGAGTTACCTATTCATTCTAAAATTTGGTCATAGTGTCACAAGTGAACAATAGTTGAGAAATTATCCCAAAATATTGGCAAACATTGAAGTTCCTCTTCACTCAGTTTGACTTATAATTATGATCTCATCAGTATAAGTAGTTTCATTTTCTTCCTTCTTTACTCTTATTTGCTTCTTTCATTGTTCTTATCTATAGTCTGCCAAAACTGTTCGTATTTTCGTTCTCTACTGCATTGATTTATTTCGATTTTCTTCTTCTTAAACTGATGTAAATTGTAGTAATTCGTTTAATAAGTCTCTCTATATTGTTTTGGGACTAAATGTATGAGATGCTACGAAAACATCACAGTCGAACACAAAGTTTCTAGACGCATTTAACTAAGAGATGCTAGGCTCTGAAGTGTCTTTACGCAACTGACCGTTGTATTATTAAAACAACACAGCGACGTGACTAATATATCCTTGATCGGTAGATTGAGTTTAGTCAGTATGTATTTGAAGTACCGTTTTGGAATCACATTGTATCTCTGTGTGAACTCATTGTCTGTTGCGTTGAATTGTTGTTATGTACATCTTTTTGTTGTTCTTTAAGCAGTTCCTTTACCCTTCCTACCATTTCCGGTATGGGATTGACGATTTTTAAGGTTTTCTATCTGTCGCACCACTTTTATGATTAAGAAAAGTTCTTAACATACCTCTAACTTTCCTACCTTTATGGATTAATTCAAACTTTCGATTTTAAGGATTTCATATGTTTCAGAGCGAGATAGATGATATGCTTACCACTACCTATTTTTTTAAATGGTTTTCTAATTTTCATAGTAAAATCTTACCATTTCTGAGAAATATTCAGTTCATTAGTCTTATATAAAAAGTCGTACTGAATGTGTTTGTATATTCAGAATTATTTCCTGTATTCTGAATTTATCGTTCATTACGTTTTAATAGATTTTAGTTTATTATTTTACTTGCAGTATCTTAATAGAAGATGTGTTACAGAATATGAATGCTTAGTTGGATTGTCCAATTTGATGTATGGTGGTGATTTATCATATATATCCGATTATCATGCAAATAATCTTTCGAATAATTCAACTGCATGGGATATCATGGCTAAATTAGACTCGAATTTCACTATTTTTAATGGATCTTGCCTTTTGAAGTGTCCTGTGGGTTATAAGAAGTCACCTAAAGACGGTCGTTGTTATCTGTGTGGAGATCAGTGTGATCTTAAACGTGAGGTTACTAAATTTGTTTATGATATTATTTATTGCCTTTATAATAAACGATTATTTTTACCCTAACTATCTACGATTATAGTTTTTTAAGAGTGTAAGGTTTTCTGTTGGTTAAAGAACTTGGTTTTAGTTGAAAAGTTGCACTGTTTTGATTTACCATAATATTATTATTTATATTAATAATAACCACATAGACGGTCACCTTATTTAAATGAAATGATTCTGTTCTTAGTGTATTTACAACAGTATAAAATACATGAACTCATCCACCTGTTTCTGTGGTACGAGTCACAGTCTGTGTTGCTACATGATACTTCTTGGTTGCCCAAACTGTCTTAGATAGATCGCAGTTCAAACCTGAAACCTGGTGATTTAAAGCTGAACTCCTTTACTCCCAATCTTCCACTCCACGAAATTGAAACCTATCTACCGAAACCGGGGGTTGAATCGATCATGTCGTAACTAGCTGGATGTTTTTCTTTAAATCTGTAGTCGTTTAGATCGTTTATTGTTTTGGACAAAGACATTCCTATGATAATCATTTGTTTCCTGAAATTCTGAAATATTTATTGATTGGTGAATACAAGAACGTACTGGTTGAAGGGATACCGAATTGACGTAAACGATTATGAATTACCTTCTTTTAGATATCAACAATATGAAACTACTTGCGTAGTAGCTGAACTATTAGTAATAAAATGAAACTATACTGCTGACTTATGGAGTAACTGCAGTTATTGTTTCACTCAACAGATAAATAATACAGAATCAAAAATGAAATTAAAACAGTCATACAGAAAAGAAAGTTGATTGTTAATTTCTTAGTATATTATAAACAGAAAATGCGTCATTTGTCAGTATTTTGAAATACGTAGTTGGTATCTGTAAAATACCTTACTGTCATCATTCTAGATATTTGAGAAGTATTCATTGAAGATACTTGTAAGTTACACTGTCTCCTGTCTCATATCATTTATTTTCTCTATGTATCATTCAGAATTTCGACTTTAAAATGTAGTGCTAACAATTTTTTTCTGTTGTCATGCTTATAATGATTTGTAGTTTTTCATCTATATTGTGTTTTAGCTGATTGCGGAATACTTTCATTTTTCATGTAGCTATCTATTTTATTTAACATAGTTCTCATCATAATTCATGTTGAAGTTATAATTTTTATTTTGGTCCAAATCTGTAACTATATAAATAGTCATCTAATTCTATCTGATCATCAATCAACAGCTGTATATTTCTGATGGTGTTCTGTCAAATCATATATGCCTTTTTGTTTAACTAACATCTATGTACATTTTCTACAGGAGTATTTTGTTTGTTGAATATTATTCGAACATTGAAGTTTAATTGTTCAGTCCATCCATCCATCCTTAAATTGATAGAAAATTGAATTCGATTGCTGTTAATATTTGGATTTCTTTTCATAGATTGTCGTGAATTTTTAATACACAACTTGAAAGCACTCGATGCCCTGACTGGATGCTATTCCGCTAAAGCTATTTACCTTAGTATTCAAGAAGGTCAACCTAGTAAGTGGTGTAAAAGTTGTTGCTTTGTGTGGTAAAAATAGAATCATAATTTTCATTATGGAATGGATAATATATTTAACTGTTGAGAACCTATAAGGAATGATATTTAGTAACATATTCAAGTCATGTAATTTAAATGCAGTGTTTATTTCCTTTAATGAAGACGCGAACGGGAATAGAAAAACCGTAATTTCAAAAAGTTTGAGGCACTTCTATCTTTTCTGAGCCTCAAATACTCCCTAAATCTGGCTTTACTCTTGTTCCGATTTTGTTTCCACTGTTTGAGCTATCCTTTGAAAATGCAAATGATTAGGCTGCTCATCTGCCTCATTGTTTCACTGTTTGTTAGAATCATGTGAATATGCTCAACCGAAGATCATCAGGACATCAAATCGCCAATCTAGAGTCATTATAGGCCATACGTGTTTGATGTTTCAATGAAAACTGGTAGGGGAAGGCTGCATTTATCCTTGAAGTCTTTACTGCCACTTAGTTAGAACAAATTGTTTTAGCTAATCAACCATTTTTGTGAATAGATCCTAAAATCCCATTAATTTTATTGGTTTTTCCGAAATCTCACCGAAAACAGTATTCGCACAGTTCACATGCTTATTGGTTAGTAAGTGTCAGCAAACATAAGTAAATTAGTTATCTCTACATGATTTGAGCTGTGAGTTGTCCATCCACACCATTCCTTTAGTTCGATTAGGGAACGGTAAGACTAAAAGCAGCGACTGAAGTCTGAACGTCAAGTTATACTGATGATTAATCGAGTGAAAGCGGTTAGTTATTTCCATCGGACAACCAGTATCTGCAGCGATGCTACATTCTCACAGGGAACGATGCGGTTAGAAAGGGTTGACCCTAAAACTGTTACACTCCATCTTACCCTAAGGATTTCCGTCTCTGGTGGTAAACCGATTAAAGAACGGGGCTAATACGATAACATCTTCCCGTTAAATAGCAGTGCGCGATCAAGCACTTATTCCTTGGGCTCTGTTGTCACCCTCTCAAATACCTAAAAGCAACACTATCACAACTTCCATTTCAGGCACCTCAAGAAATACTCTTCCATAGTGTGGGCAACCTGGAAGTGATTAATATTAGCCCTCATCCCGTAACAGTACGCGAGACCTATTTGCTCACATCCGAATCGTCCGCGTAACCTCACATACTTAATGGTTTTAAAATTTCATATATATATATATATATATATATATATATATATATATATATACACTTTTCTGTATTCACAGAAACTGTGACTCTCCTACTGAACAAGGCATTTGCAAATCTAAGAGTGATATATCATAGTCTACGCATAGTGCGCTCTTCTGTGCTTGAAAATTTGGATTTTTTGAGACATATTCGTTATATTGGTCGCATTGATGAAAATGTTTCATATCATCCGTAAGTTGTGACCTTATAATTCTGTGTTTGCTTTATTTCGAAACCAGTCAGTCAGTTACAACGTAGAACTTCGTACGTACGTCATCAGTCCAGGTTGCAATACCAGATTAGCATAGAGACGCAATTTTCAATCCGAATCCAATTGTAGTAGAGATAGTAGAAGTATTAGTCATAATGGGGAAGATTAGGGTTCGAAGATATTCAGAAAACATAAGCCAGTGAAATAAATTCAAAAAGAGAAAGAGATGATGAGGAGTTCAGAAGATTACAATTCGAGAAAACACAAAGAGTGGGCCACCCCAAACGGTTTTCAACAATGTCATTCAACATCTTTAACCATCGGCTACTATCGTCTCGTGTACCCCAACCACTAAGTCTACACCTACCAATATGGCTCAGTCCACTTATCAGTGACTCTATAGATTTGAGCCATGTTTTGGTTTGGATGCCCCTAACTTTCTTCCAACCTACCTCTACACCACAAAACATAGTTCGTTGTGGCAATCGGGAGTTGAGCATACGTACGCACATGATGAGAAGAGTGGCTAACTGATGCAAATTTAAGATCCAGTTCAGGTCATCATATTATGGATGCATCCGGTAAATCGGATTTTTGAAATGAAAGTGAAAATGTTTGAAGAATAGCGTGTTATATTTTCCAAGTCTTAGACTTCATAATCTATCGCGATCAAATCGCCATTAATTAACAGGTTTAATGTTACTTCTAAATGAAACTAGTATTCATACAGGCTAATCCTCACTTAGTCGTTTAAAACTTTATTTATTAACTCATAGGATTGTTTTTGAATTATTTGGAAATGACAATTTACGTGATCTCTGGTCTGTAACGAAAGATTCTAATAACATTGATGGTGGTCTACAAATTATATCTAATGGTTTAATCCGCATCACCCAGAATCGTCAATTGTGTCCTGAGAAAATTTTTCAACTGTTCGAGTCGAAACTCATCAAATTAGCAGGAAATAATGTTACACTAACACAAGCAGAACGTGATATGATAACAATTACAAATGGAGATTTAGCGTATTGTAAGTTTGAGGGTATGGTGTATTTTGACTAGCTATTACTTTTAACAATTTCTGATATCATTTTTCCTACTTATTTCAAGGATAGGTTTTGTAATGCATCTTTCTCCAACACCTAGATAGGCATTTGGTCAAATAAGTCGTAACAATATATCTAAACTGGAGTCATGGTCATTTATCATAAATTTAAACTCCGAAAAAAATAGATATTCCCAGGCGAAGGTATTTTATAGGGAACTCTTACAAAATATAAAATGTATTACGTTAAATTTATTGACAGTTAACTGGTGTCGATGAAAACATATTACTATGTTCATGCAAACACGCAGCATACCATTCATACTTTCAATCCCATTATTTATTATTGTTACTGCTTTGAAAACTATTTATTTAGTCTCACATCTTGTACACAATAGTATGCATAATTATGAACCGGTTCATCGAACTATTTGAACCTTGTGGAATATAAATCTACTTGTGTGTTGGTTTTTGTCAAAGGCAAGATTCTCTCCTCGGATTCCACCTATAGTGCGCTGTTGTAAATCTATCTTCCCTTAGTCAGAATTATTAACAAGAACATTAATTGCTGAGTTGTTGGTAGAGTTAAGCTCGTAAATCGCTGGCCTACAGCTGTTCCAATTGCGGTAAACTGTCCTCTTTTTATCTGCTAACCCCTGCAATAATCAAATATACTATTATTGCAATACGTAAATCGCTTATTTCTTTCGAAACTCCTTCTTCACTTAGTATCTCATGTACAATATTAAGATAGTAAGGATACCTTCTAGAAACGTTTGTCCTTAAGTTAGAACTAATTTAAAGTACTATTTTTTATTCCTCTGTTGTTTCGAGAAACGTGTTTTGGAATTTATGTTGCCAGTTTTAAGCCCGCATAAATGATCAGCGTTGGATGTGGGGTTAGCGACCCCACCCCGTAAAAAACTAGCTCGCTAAAAAACGTCAACCTGAAAAACCAATTCCAACCGTTTAAACTCTGCCCTGGGATTTAGGAGGTCTTCATTCAGAAGAGTTATGACGTCTCATGGTGAAGAGTCATGACACCGATGCCCATTTGGACAATCAGAGCAACCATTCTTTTAGGTAAATGAAATGTTTGTGAGTTTAGTATGTTCAAAAGAAAAGTTTAGTAATATAAAAATTTTAGTGGCATTAAAAGCTTACCTTTATATACAACCTTAGCTAACTTTAAAAAATTTTGTTCTCATAAACAGAATATATAAAATTTCATATCATACTTATATATTAATTTCATTTTTCTATCATCCTTTTACATTTAGGTAATTGGCGTGAATTCAACATCAAACTTAGCAATCTTAGTTCACATAGTGTTCATGTTACATGGCCCTATCCATCTACCATCCAGTTTATAAATAAATCCATGAATACTAACTTTTCGAATGATTTAAACTCTAGCTATGCTGATGAACTTGTTTTAATATATCTTTTCTATCAACCAGCGTGAGTTTTAATTACCAGGTATCGATTGTTTTGTTTTCTTAAAAAAGTTAAGTAGTCTATCCATTTGTATTAGTTCTAAGTGGTGTAACAACCAAGTCTATTTCATTAGTTTTCTTTGATCCTATGCTCTTGATATGATGGAATATTTTTACCGTATACTGTCCACTGAGTATTTTAAATGACATTGGTTATTTGAAATATCAAGTTTTGTTATTATTATTATTATTATTATTATTATTATTATTATTATTGTTATATGACTGTTCTATTCATAAAGAGATTGTTATGAGTTTATATTGAAAAATTTACTCTAACTTACATGGAACTATTCTAATCTACATAGTTTTCAATGAATTGTGTGTTGTTAATTCTTAACATAAAAAATTTTACTCACTAGATAAATTTTCTTTTCACTTCTAGCCCTGAAGATCTTCAAAATATTGTCAAAGGACGACGAATAGTCTCCGATAAGAATTCGTAAGTTGTTTGTTTTCATTTAAAAATTCTATTTAATCAGTATCAGTTATTTCAACATATACAGTATATCTGCTTTTGTATGATTCAAATTATTTTCACAACAGAAGATCATTAATCACTAAGTAGATTAAGTGATCTTTTACTGTGACATTGTTTTATCGCTATAAATAAATTTCTCGATAGCTGCGGTAAATTTGTATTTGTTTATAGTGTGTAGTATGATAAAACTGTACTCTAAGTTGATAAAGGTAAATTTAAGGCTGTGTATGTACATGAGTCATAGTTTTTCAATGTGTTCAATTATATACAGTTTGGTATTCTTTTGCAAAGTAAATGATTTCGTGTAGTAATTGTAGAATTTCTTTTTCTTTATTCTTGTCTCTGACACATACGTTCACTTCAAAACTGACTAAAACTGGGTACATTTCAGTTTGCATCCTAATCTTCTGGATTCTTCAACACCTCTAGTTTTGACTCTCCAAACTTTTCTCACTGAATCATACTTCTTGAATAATATCTTCTAATCCTAATCTCTGCGATTACTTCTAATACCTTTATTACCTCTACTACTATTGGATTTGATTTGACATTTGCGTCTCTGTGCTGATGTGGTATGGCAACATGAACTGATGTACTTACGTACCAAGTTCTACGTTGCATCTGACTGACTGACTTACCTTCATGATTTATATTCCTCTGGATTGTTTTACATTAAATCGATAATGAAATGAAATCTGGTTCGATATCATTTTTAGACCATATTTTTCTTACAAAATAATTCTCTATTTGCTTTCACCATAAAATTATCATTAGATCATAACTAATAATCATAGAACTTCCGGGATCTTACGTCATACTCTTATTGATATAGCTTGCACAATAGAAAATTTTCAAATTTTTTAAGCTTATTTTTGTAGTAGAGAAATGTGTAATCTCTGAAATATTCATCCCTACTTTCAGTGATTGAAATCTTGAAACTAGACTAATAATACTCAAAAGGGTAATGCCTTTTCTATTTCTTCTGTCACACTCTAGTTCATTAGCGTCATACCTCTACTTTTCTCTAATATATGAATTAACTTTTAAGTTAAGTAATGATCAAAATTATAGAATCCCCATTTTAAATGTTCTTCATCAGTGAAACGTCTATCGTGCTTTTTTGATTTGATGTAAATATTTTAGAAAGTTTACGAAAAATTCGATAATATTCACTGTTTCTAAACTATTTATTTAATAACTATGCTGAACCAAAAATATTTTATTAAAATCATGAATCGACCGGTGTTTGACCACCACTGGAAACTTGAAAGCTCTGGACGGTTGTTTCATCCTAGTACAAGACTCATCAGCAGTGCGCATGCACGACTCCTACACGCGAGAATCGAACCCAGAACCTTCGGTTTCGCGAATGAACGCTTAACCTCTAGATTACTAAGCCAGCACCCAAAGGTATTGTGATGTCTAACTTTAATCAATTCATGGTATTGCCTAAGCTCACTTATTGTCTTGGGTGGGTAACTGCCTCACACCTGAATGGGTTGAACTCCACTGATGCCGACTTCTCACTAGAATTCCGAGATTTTTTCACGAAGTTAGTCACAGGTGAGCACACTTTTATGATCACTATAAAGCTGTGGAAATGGTTGAGTTTCATTGAAATAATGAATCGATCAATGTTAGAGCACCATCTCCACAAACTTATAATGACAATAAAAATATGTTGTTTAACTGTTACACTATTTAGATATACTTTTACTCCTCATTTCGAGAGTTATGAGGTCTGAGGATGGTAGACTGACTAACATAAAAACTACTAATGACATTAATCATAAGCTTTTTTTTACAGATGGCGTATGTTGACAGCATCCTGTGATTCGAATCCTGGAGATAATATTCCGAAATTTCCATATTCGGAATTAGATTGTGGTTTAACTCTGTTTGGATTGGAATCTGCTACACGTTATGTTGTCTACGTGGAGATGAAATTTCCCCTAAAACAAACTGGGGCTGTTAGCAACTTGGTTTACTTCACAACATTATCCATCAGTAAGTTGGAGCACATATCAAATGCTCAAACATATTCGTATACGTTCGTGTACATACTTCTAACAGGTGTCTAACAGCGTAGTTTTAAAGTAAGCGCTTTGATTTGGAAGGTTAATTAGTAAGTCAGTTACTAAACAATCGTATACCATAGTTCATGAACTATATGTGTGAACCTTTTGTTATTCTCAGTTTCGACTCTGAAACTTCTAAACTTTTGATTCCCATGTTACTCTTCAGCTATCAAAATGAAGTTCCAGTATCTGTACTCTCAGTCTCTGGTGGACTAGTTTTCTTAATACTGGTATAGGAACAGGTCAAGTTCAGAAGGGATAAACTTATTTAGTGAAAATACAGATCGTTGATGCGAAATGTACACCTGGTCTTCAATCATCCATTTGCATCTGTTGTCTGTTCTGCAATCTAAGCTGGTTATAAACTGTCTTCTTCCACTCCTCTTTTGATTTCCAAATATTGTGATCACCTCATGCACTCTGATCTCCTGAAACTCCTCTTTCGTAACAACCTCTATGAAATGCTCTTCTGCATATTACTTATAATCGTCCAGCATACTGATATAAGACTTAACTCGTCATGTTTGTTCACCAAACATACTGTATATGACTGATCTCTCCAAAACAATCTATTTTTTGCTGACTTTATCGATCGATTATCATTCAGTCATTTGTTCTGTTTATTATCTATTTCTTATGGTTTCTGTTTTAAGCGTAAATACCCCAGACTAGAAACAACATACTTTCGTTCTGTAATCAAAAATTCTGAAAATGCTGTTATTAGTCATTCATTTTAAAGTTTATTAAATATTTTCATTTTCATCGATGAAAATTGTAAAATTACATAATGTGCTTTTTTTAAATAGGTTCATGATAATTAGAATTGAAAATTGATATCGTCAGAATGGTACATGCATTTGAATGTTGATCCTTCTATGCGACTTGCTTTATAGTAAAACCAATAAGTCAGAGATATTTATTGCAAGTGTAGTAATTGAGGTTACATGTTAAACTGATAAGATGGCATTTCAAAAGTTCATCACTTTTTCTAGTGGTTAAATCTATCGAAACGTCTAACTACATGATTGAGGTAACCGTGAAATTGAAGTTCAAAAACAACTATTTGTTTAAAGAATTTCTATTAAGGAACAATAATAAATTTGTTACAAACCTTAGCTCGTGAGGTATTTGAGGCGATCACTGCGTCTGTATATCTGGAAAGAAAGGAGCTTACTGTAACAGTAGTAATCACAATGTACACTAGTGTATATGACATTTAATAGGTGTGTAGTTTTGATAAAGTAATAACCATAAAGTTACATTTAATTTGTCTCAAATTGTAAGTATTTTTTTCTTGAATAGTCTCACAGCATAACACTATTATTCTTGTTGATTAAACTAAATTACAAATGGTTGTTTAAAGGTGTATGATTTAGAAACATTTGATTTAAAATAAGATTAGCAACCTAAGCTAACTACTGATCTCTGTCACTTGATACGGCTATTTGCTATGATCGGGTGACACTTCCTACGTGCTAGTGATTGCAGCAGAATGAGGCTGCTTTGTTGGCGCAAGGAAAAACGTAAGACTATGAGCAGACTGATTTATTAACCGATCACCAGTTTTGTTACATCCACAATAATAAAAGTCCGTAGTAGATTACACATTATTTTAAATGTTTAATCGAACAATAAATCTGAATAAATTCAACTCACAATTATTCACTAATGTAATTCATTTGTCTGCATGTAATTTACAAAATCGTAATATATATATATATATATATATATATATATATATTCTTCCGAACGGTGGCAGAGCACAACTTTTCTATTATTTCGAAGGTAACTTTTGTCAATAATGTCATTATTATCTTATGTATTGAAATGATTGTCTTTATTTGCTTGTAGATCCATCTCCTCCCCAGTATCCGTGGTTAGAACCTGTAAATAAAAGTTCACTTCGCTTAACATGGATGCCGCCGGCTAAACCAAGTGGGATTATTGATACGTATTTAATATGGATTCGTATTCTTGAGGATAATCCATCTGAGTATTTGACACGAGATTTCTGTATACACAGTGAGTATATATATATAGTGATCTATCGTCTATGGTATTATTCTGATATCGAATGTTTTACTATATGTTCTATTCAATTTGGTTGCATAAGTCAAACTTTACAATCGTTTTTTACTATAAATATTAACTTCGAATCGAAATTCTATTCACACTGAAAATCATCATATTCTCCTCATCTAATTGTTATTTTTAGAACCTGACTGGATCCGCTCGGGTTGGAATACAAATCTGCCATTCAAATACACAGATCACATTAATTCTGAAAGAGATTCTTGTGATTCTTGTTCGTCTTGTCCCAATTTGCACGAAATCGAACAACTTTCAAGGTAGGTGTTTCATGTGCTTTTCCTTTCTGATTTTTTAAGAATAAAAGAAGTGTTTGATTTTTAGATTTTCTAATTTATTTAGTTTATTTTCCCAAAGCTATTTAAAAGTGTAATAGAATATTGTTCAATTATGAGAGTTTTCTTGTTTTTTAACCGTTGATAAAGTGATTATGACTCTATCGTTGTAAAGTCTACTAATTTAACACTGAAGTAAATGTTTCTTGCCATCAAGAATATTATATTATCATACATTCATTGTATAGTCTTCTTGATTTGTTATATGTCGTTGCTTTGTAAATCCCTATTCAGTATTGTTTCTGCTTATTGCATTGGCTAGTATTCTCTCAATACAATACCGCACAGCAGTTCGCTCCGTCCTACTTTATGTTTGTTAAACATTGCCAGTAAGAGTAGAAGATATTCGTAGATTACTGGTTTTCGATCACAGGTGTCTCGGAGGCATTGCTCGCCTATCTTGGAACTATCGAATAAATAATGCTATTGTTAGAAAACAGGTACTAGGTAAGGATGGCAGATCAATAGATGAAGTATTGAAGATTCATAAGTTGAGTTGGTTGGGACATGTGTTGCGAATGCCTCAACGAGCGATGTTTTGTGGTGGGAGTCCGCTAGATTATAGTAATCAATGGTTAGAGACCTTGAATGACATGGCCCAAAACCGTCCGCAGTGGTGCACTTGCATCCATTCTTTGTGTTATATCAAATCCTAATCTTCTGAATTCCTTATGACCGTGTTTGTCTTTTTTAAATTGATTCCTCCGGGATATACATCTCGGATTATATATTCGATCACTGCTAATACTCCTACTACGTCTACTACTATGAGATTTGAGTTGACAGTTGCGTCTCTATGCTAATGTGTCATGGCAACCTGAACTGTTGTACGTACGTACAAAGTTCTATGTTGTAACTGACTGACTGACAAAATACCGTCCTCTTTCATGTATTGATATTCGCTCGTTACATCGTAGAATTTACTTATTTATTAGAGATGCCTAATAATGTTTTGTCTAATGCAGTACATTACTAGAATCATATCTTAGTAGCAAGATTGTTAATTCCAGCCTTTGAGCCGTTGACTTATTAGATAGGTTTTTTGGAATAATGGTAGAAGCTTTTCTTTCGAAACCGATAATATTCATTTTGTTGTGCTCGTCACTTGATATGTTTGAAGCTATTACGAGTTCACCATAGTCGATAATCCAGAACGAGATAATGACCCAGTTACACGGTAGGCTACTCTGATCCGTTACTTTTCTGTCAAAATCTTATTGTTGACTAAAATATGAAAAAAAAGAACTGATTTCTTTGAAAATGCTACTAGCGAATAAGAGTTGTTAGAACTTTCAACTAGAGTGGTAAGTTTTTGACAAATTTGTCAGTGTGTTGTGAACTGTGTTAAGTTAACAGTTGAGTGTTCACATCTTCGTAACTTTCCAAAATATTAATATTATGGATATTGTTGTTCTATACTTCAATTAACCTAATTATAATTAATTGTTCATCGTTAATTAACATATCTCTATGTATTGATGTCTTATTTGTTTCAATCTTTTCAGTATGCAGAAAGTTACATCGATAAACGAAAAATATTGGCCTTCGTCTGTCAGCAGATGGATGACAGATGACTTTGGAAATCTTTTGCCGGCAAACGTTGGTAATGCATATATTTATATATCAATATATATATATTTTTCTTTTGTAAATGTAGTTTATTTAGGAATTTTTAATTTAGTCTTCACACGCGTTGCTAAAGGAGATGCGCATTTTTGATGATATCACCGTGTTATAGATTTTTTCTATGAATAATGAGACAAACTTGAAGATTATTAAAATCTGCAAATAAACTGCTCATTGATAGGTGAATGTAATGATATGATGTATTTGATTAATTAGTATTCATGAAACCGTACATATATCAACTTAGCGATCGAATTATTTTGAATAAGAAACAAGACCACTGGCCAAGTGAATAGATATTTAAACAAATAACATAACATGCTTGCATACAGAATACGAGATCAAATGTCTTGGATGATGGAAGAAAACTAGCTTGTTTATCATTCATTGTTTAATCGATTAAAACTTGACTATTAGTCCAAATCTTTGGGTATCATATCACACCAGGTTTCATATCAAAAAGTATTTCAAATCTGATTTCAAGAATTTATTTATTTATTCAGTGTTTAATCAATGTATTGTTACCCACTCAAGTATACAATTAGAGTGCCATTTATTGAGTTTCATGATTAATTATCAGTTTATCTATAGCTTTTCATTCCTAAAGACTTGTACAAGGAAGTATTCTACTGAAGTAAAAAAAGTTTTCACCTACTACTGACTACCGAGTTAGATGAAACAAGTTATACGTACGTACTATGCTTAGTGATATAAGAATGAGTTGTCACCAGCGTTTGCGGAACCACCTGTTATTTACAGCTTAGTGCATGTGATCAGTGATTGTAGACACTGAGTGGCATGATGTAAAATCTGTAACAAGTGGCGTAGATATATTCGTACTTAATCTTATTCGAAATCTTCAGTCTCACTGTTGCTTCAAACATACTTTTTTCTCCCTTCTTGAATCATATTCTCAATGTCTAATATTATCGACTATCAACAATACATTAGTTGTTTTAACTTTTATATTATTTTGTCTTGCTAATTTTATTTCGTTTACTTCATGATTTGTGATAGCTTCGGTTTACGAGTATTCGTCTCACAATCTACGTGATATATGACTGAATGACTTCCATAATTGCTTAATTTTACTCAAATTCCCTGAAATAAACTCATTTCAGTTGTTTAACTGAAGGATCTGCTGTAGAATATTTGGTAATGTATAGTGTAGGGATAAACAACGTTTCGTGGTTGTATCACATACAAATCTTGGATGGGCTTACTTACTTACTTACTCCTGTTACCCCCAACGGAGCATAGGTCGCCGACCAGTGTTCTCCAACCTACACAAACTACATACTAACTAGCTAACGAAACAAAATGTGCAGTAATTTCTCATATCCCTTTTAACGTAACTATCAATGATTTGGATATTCAGGCAGAATCGCTTATATTTCCATGGTAATTTTTTTCCTATAGACTAGCGTACATCGTCACTCAGTTTCTAGTTAATCCAAGTACTGTTTTAAAACTCAATTTTCATTCTATTGCTATGTATACATCATCATTTAGCGTTCATGTATCTGCCTTTCAAATAATACAAAACATATGACACTCGTTCATGTTCATTCTCTTTAATCATTTTACTTTCTTGTTAACCTTTCTTCGTTATTTTAACTTTTAGTGGATGGGACTTTTCCACTCAAATCTGGTACAATAGGTTTGATTGTGCATCAGAATATTTCGACAAATTTCAAACATGTTTCATATTTTCAAACAAATTCTCAAAAAACGTGTATTCAGCACATTAATGAGCATGTAACATTCTTGACAGGATTATCACCATTTACAAGAGTACTTGTTGAAATACAAGCTTGTCTAGTAAGTTAGAAATTGATCATTGTTTTAATTTATTTTGTTTTCTTCCCATTTATTCTCGTTAAACAAAAGCTTTTTATTGTGGTGGAGTTTCGTTCTCTGAGTTGAATGTTTTGATTGTGAAGCTTTGATTGTTCTTCTGAACAACATCATCAACACAAACTTCAAATAAAAGTGAAATATTCGCATTTCTCCACGTTTGACCCATAGATTTTTCTGCCAACCTCGATCTTGATTGGTAGTTATCGACCTTAAATCTGTTTTTGTTTGCATCTTTATTTTGATAATATACTTCTTTGGTCTGTTTCTTGATCGGATGTTTGCTTATGATTTCTCTGATTGGTTGATAAGTTGGGTCAATGTCGATGTGTTTATTGATTGCTAATTGATCTGAGTGCCAAGCTTCTAGAAATTCTCTAGTGTTCTTTGTGCTTCCCCTATCCAATTGAACGAATGTCCATAGTTGTCCTTATATATTGATATAAGCGAAGAAATGTCGTGTCGTTTGACTGCTAATTGATGTTCACGCAAACGAAACTGAATAAGGCATCCACCCTGTCCTATGCACTGTTTTTCACAATCTGAGTAATTTATTTTGTAGATAATATCATCTACATCCTGCTCAGAGAACGAAACTCCACCACAATCATCCACCTTAGCTACGAATTTTCTCCACCATCTTTATAGCCTTTGATACGATCTACATTTCCTCCAGTATATATATATATATATATATATATATATATATATATATGTATATATATATATATACATATATATATATAATATCTTAATCAACTGGTATGAATTCGAGGTGAGATTTAAGTTGAAAACCATATCATTTTACTTGGTCTTCGCAAAGTTGTTTTATCCGTTAGAATTTTTAATTAGCGGTGGAAATTTAACGAAGTGAACAACAACTCACGATTTCGGATACACCTAGCTTATGAATCTAAAAAAAGAATGAACCATGGGTCCTGAATTCCACTGATAACAGTATTACATATATTCTGCATTTTAATTTCTTACCACATTTTCCAATTGTGGCATTCAATTATAGATTTTTAAATAGTATGTTTCGATCAGTTTATCGTTATTTTTTTTTGTATTTGATACTTTAGGAATACAATTCAATTGCTCATGAAAAATCATCAACAACGAAATGTAACTATCCACCACCTTGGTTTAATTTAAAATCTGGAACTACTATTTCTCTCGATCAACTTCAACATCAATGGTCTGCTTGTGAGTATAAACTCTGTAGTCCAAGATCTACTGTGACAAATCGCGTAAATCCTCATGGTACGTTTTATAGGTTAATATTGCTGAGTATACTTCTTATGAATTTTTTCCCTTTTTATGATAACTGATTTACTTACAGCTGTGTAGTGTAAGAGCATCTAAGTTTAATAGTACGTGATCTCTGTGCTTCCTTGAATGATCCTTTAATCTAACAAAGACGGACGTATACAAATAATCGTATGTTTGTGAGAATTATGCATGAATAAAAACTCATAATCAATTATCTGATTAAGTGCAAATTAATCTAGACAATTAAAACAATGCATTTAACAGTCAAATGAATGCTTGTTTTTATATCGATAAATCATGCAAAGCTCATACATGCTTGTCATGCAGACTGATACAACTGGTACAACTGTAGACGTGCATAGATGTTTGTTTTCACTAGGTAACTAAGACTGGACTGTTAAAGAACACATATTTTACTTTTCTGTAGTGGAAAAATGCCAGTAAATCAGATTGTGAAAATCAGTCAACTAAATTTGCAATAATACTAATAATCGTTTTTCTGTTTTGTTTTACCTCTATTTCCAGTGGAATCTGATAACATTCCTGTATCTTCAATTTATGCATCTTCTACCGGTTCAGGCAGTATACTTATTACATGGTCCAGTCCTAATCAACCAAATGGTTTAATTACACACTATATATTACGTTATAGACCAAGAAATCATGGTCATCATAATCATAAAGATAACTATTCATTTTCAAACATGGTAAATGTAATCAGTCATCGATTTTTTTTTCTGTAATGATTACTAGTTTTATCCATTAAAATAGTGAGCTTTTGTTTTTCTTGATAAAATTATTTATAGATTATGGTGGTAGCTTTCAGTTGTCAACAAATAATGTCTATGAAGTCATCAATGAATATAGTCAGAGTAATCAAAAACATACTGTATTTTATGTTTTTAAAAGTAAAACAAAGTGATTAAACTTCAAATGATAGGAATAAAATACGTATTATAAAAGGATTATGTAGATAGCATAATTGAATACACTTTCAAATCTAATGTTGATGTAATGAAAGACAATAACAAAGTAAATTGCAATAGATTCATCACTTGCTTTTAATATTGAATTATAATTTTGATACACAAATAATTTACATTGTCCGCAAAATATAACTACTTCTTTTTAACTCATTGATAGCATTTGCACCTCACAACCTTAGTACAAAAATCTGAGGGTTAATCATTCTGCCCTGCTAATTTTTTCTCTTTGTTTACCATGCTCCATTTCTTGTAATATTCAGTCGAAGAATTTAAGTGTAACATATTTCTCCGCAGAAGATTCTTTAACCTATGTGTTATAATTTCAAACTAAACTACATAATTTTTAACTCATAAAATAATCATACGATTCGTAAATAGATATATGATTCACAGAACATTTATTACATTGATATGTACACTCTTATTTCTAGCACACCAACATTTAAATCTCCTAATTCTTTCTATACTCGCAATTTAATTTCAGTCTGTACCTTGGTTGACGAAGTGTATATCATTAAATCATTGGGCTACAGTTAAATTTACGGATGATAATAAGAGGATGATATCACGAAGTGAACATGATTCTAATAACAATAGTACTTTTGTTGATGGTGGAATCTTAATCAAGGATCTATCTCCAGGTATTTATGAATTTCAAATCTTAGCGATTTCACTTGCTGGGAATGGAGAATGGAGTCCAACTAGAATTTTCACTATTCCATTCTATTCAGATCATAATGGCCTAATAAATCGTATGTTTAATAAATTTTTATTACTTTATAATTTATATCATCTTTTTATTTCAAATCCGTTTCTAGTGATTATTAATGAGACAATCGATTTTTGACTAATTGTTTCTACGAATTATTCTGTACCCGAACAATGTATTTAATTTGTTCTCGAAGCATTCTAAAACAACACACGGTTCAGTTAGATGATATTATTGTTTGTATGAATTAAATATTGATTTTTACATAAAAATAGATATCGCCTATTCTCGGACACCAGTTCACTTGAGACGTTCTCTGAAATCGGAACACGGTTGAACAGGAAGTAGATTATATTCCAATAACAAGATTAGAAGGAAGACAGCAGGTAGAAAGGCAAAAGACGCTAGTATTTTTATAGTTTTATCTCATGAGAAGATTCTAGGATGTTCCCTGGGTATCGACTAGTGCTGATTGGATAAGAAAAAGCCAATCAGCGTGCAGCAACGCAATCATGCTTTTTAATTCAATCTATGTCCCACTAACACCTATCATTTATCTAGTATAAAAAGGATGAATTTTATTATTTTACCTGTATGTTTTGGAGTCTTCCCGTCGTTGATATTTAAGGTGCGTCGATCACAATTAAGACAGAAGATGCATCCTAGATTCCATTGCTAGCCGTTATCCATCTTTATTTAAAATACTTGTAACTTATTGATAGCAATATCACGACAATCCACTCAGTTATACATGTACCAAAGGAGACTGATCAAGATTCTGTTCTCTAACATCAACAACTGAAAAATCCAAATTAAATAATTGAAATCCTGATTGTTTGTTTACTGCAGCTTGATAACATATTTAAAAAACTTTTGGAGTGTAATAATTTTGTCGACTATATAGAAATAGGTTTTATCAATCACAAATATTTTTGTGGAATTAGTTTATTTTTGATTAAGAATATGGAGTGGTTAGTTAAAACATTATTTTGATGATCATTTTTAAAGACAAACATAAACTTTGCATAGACAAATGTTCATAAAATATCCAAAGGTTCTAATGACTAGTAGGCCTGATACTCTATATTTAACAGATCATCTGTGTAGGGTGTCGAATACCTTGGTCATTGTTGTAGCCACTTGTGTTTTTAACTTTTTAGTTAAATGTTTCAGCCTTACATCTTTTGTCAGGATAAATTCATGAATTTAAACTGTTTGATTGAATCATACACGTTAAACATAATTTCCAGCCAATGATTTAGTTGTTAACGTGGTTACTAGATTGGATTTTTTGAATGTTAATTGGTATTCACCAAGATATTTTTAAAATTTACGAGTTGACGATTGTTTTATATTCTTAAAAATTAAATTTCAGACAAAAAATTCGCAAACATTTGCGCAATCACTGCTAGTGCATTTCTGTTACTTTGTTTCATTTTGGGAATTATTCGGTATAAAATACGTCGTCAGTAAGTTCTATTCCATGCAATACATGCTATACAAAGTCTCATCGTAATCTCTCGTAATTATTCTATTTTCTGTAATGTTTTTTTTATTAAAGTTTATTATATCAATGAATAAAATACCGATTGAACTTGTTATCGAACGTAAAATTAATTCGTTTTTTGTTGTATTATTTTCTTTTGTGTATTCATCTGTGAAATAATTATGGTTTGTGTACACTCATTGAAAGAAAAAGTATACGGTTTTATAAATATTGTTCAGTCAAATAGACTGTCATCAGATGACTGGCATAAATAAATACTTCAGTGATTAACATCATTTAGTAAACGTTGTCTGTTGTTATCCATTGAGAATTATTCTTCCTCATCTCTTGACATTCATACACATCAGTCAGATTTTTCGCACCTACTATTGAATTAACATCCAAAACAGTATGAATAATTTCAAAAAACACATAATTAGTAGATTTCATTAACATCGGTTAATTGATGGAAGTCAATCGACAGGCGATACTGGATCTAGGTTTTGTACTTCTCAACACTAGTCAACCAGGGAACTAATATTTATTGTGGAATTTTGAACTCTTATCCATCTAGTGTCATAATCTTAGACATTACCACAGTTTTCATACATAAACTCCATGTACTACTTACTGGACAACAAGAGTGTTTAAAATAGAACTAACTTTAAAACTTTTTAAGATCATGATTATTTAGATCTTTTATAAGTATTGATTGTCTACAGTTTATCTATTGTCTGTACTCAATGCAAATAATTAATTCATATTCATTTTGTAATGATTTTCTTTTTCTAATATAGTTATTTAAAAGCTACTGCTTGGACATCAAATAATCCGGATTATTGTACAATCTATGAAATTGACGATTGGGAAATTAATCAAGATGACGTGGATGTTTTACGTTGGAAATATCCTATTGGTCATGGTAGTTTTGGTACTGTTTATAAAGGTGTTGTAAAACAATTGAAAACACCAGCAAAATTATTTTACAATAATCCAGTAAACATACCGGTTGCTATCAAGGTAAATGATATTTGTAAATAGTTTTTGTTTCCTTTTTCTTCACTTTATCATATAAATTATTTGCATTACGGGGTTGTGAAGATTGTTAAGTTAAATATTTTTAAAACCATGAATCGATCAATGTTAGACCACCATTAGAGACCTGGAAGCACTGGACGGCCGTGTCGTCCTGGTATGGGACTCCTCAGCAGTGCGCATCAACGACTCCTGCACCCCGCAGGAGTCGAACCCAGGACCTTCAGTAATGTGCGCAAACGCCTAACCATCGGATCACTGAGCCGGTATCTAACGGTGTTTATATCTAACTTGATGTGTAACTGAACAATCTTCACAACCCCGTAATGCAAATTACCTGTGCTCACTAGTGACTAGCTTCGTGAGGAATCTTCTCCGAGTTCTAGTGGGAAGACGTGACCAGTGAAGTTCAACCTGTTCGGGTGTAGACAGTAACTACCTAAGACTGTGTATGAGCTTACGCAACTCCGTGAATTGATCAAGTTTCTAATGGTGGTCTAACATTGATCGATTCATGGTTTCAAAAGTGTGTAATATAAATTATTGTCTTAGGGCATATTTCTCTTAATCTAATGTAATAAACAGTTGATATTTTAACTTTTCGGCATATTATCATTATCATGAAATATTTGTCATTCTCGATTATAAGATTTTGATTCAAATTAGCATATCTTCTCGCTGCATTGTTTCACTTATAAAAGCAGTTGATATTTTTTACAAAATAATCATAAGTAAAGTTTTGAATGGGTATCATCAAAAAATTAGAATATATATACACTTGTTTATTCCAAATTATCAAAACTTAAGCTATAATAATTAAAATTTTTATCTATTATGGATTTTTGATTTGATTACGATTGGATAATAATTTGTACGTAAAAATAGATTGCTATATAGTACTGTATTACGATATGTGAAAAGAATGTGTTGTTATTACTTATTTTCACTAGTTGTCTTAGTCTACAAAACGGTGAATTTAAACATAACTATTGATACAAAGGGGGCGCCTATATATTTATGAGCTGCATAAATCATTGATTTTGAGAGTGAGCTGAAAGGCTGGCTGATTGCCCAAACTGAAACAGGAGTTTCTTTAGTAGACCACTCTCTTAGCATATTATTCAAAGGTTTAATCCTCAAGGCAATGGAGCAACGTTATAAGATTCAGTCCCATGTTAGTCGGTAACCAACAATAGATTCATAAGCTATTTGTTCCTTCAGTATTCTGGAACCCATGTAAATCATTGGTTTGGAATCTCTGTCACAACTAGCTCGGTTTCGCACCGGATATTCTCTATTTATCCTATGAATTCGGTAAAGAATACTTGCGCCTCGAGATGTTAGTGAGTTGGACTTTTGTGAGAGTAGCTATGCACGCATGACCATATGGGATAATTTCGAAACGGAATGTGTACTCTCCTCACTCACGGCCGTACAAAGGAATTCGAAGGCAGTTTTCGTTTTTAAGTTTCCTGAAATATTCATGTAATAATCCAGACAGGCTTTTTCATGGAATAACTTTTCTGTTACAAACTGAATGAATATGGTTGATAGCCCGCGCTACAAAATAGCGTGGTTAAACAAATTCAAAATCTCTACTTCATATATTTGTTTCAGCTGTGTACACCTTTTCTTTTATCAATGAAATCTGATAATTCGATTTACTTATATTAAATTTACTGTCTCTTTTATATTTTTCTCAGACAATCAGCATGCATAGTACTTTATTCGATCATCGTGATTTCATTAATGAAGCATGCTTTATGAAACAATTTCAAAGTTATCATTTAGTACGTCTACTCGGTCTAGTAACTAAAACAAAACATAAACATAAATCGGTAGTATCTACTGATTGGTGCATAAAATTATTACATCAGTATCATTTTAGCAAACTATATCACTTTGTTAGTGGAATTTTACAGACAATGTCAACTTCATCACTGTCGTCGTCGTCGTCGTCGTCACCAAAAGCCAAACAATCTCCCCTACTTTCTTCATCAATATCACCTTCACTAGGTGAACAATTGTTAGATAATGTAGAGCCTGATTGCCATACATTCGGTATGTGATGTATTTTCACATCTTGTTTACCTTTCGTCTACATTCTGATTGGTTTATGTTCATGCTTTATTTTCATAAAAATGTACCTTCGTCCTCCGTATTAATTAAAAAAAAATTTTATGGAAAATATTTCAAACAATTGTACTGTCGATAAATATTTGTTTAACTTACCTTTACTATTATCTCCAGTACAGTTTCACTGGATATGAAAAGAAAGTTCCATTTATTGTGGAACACTAGTTAAATGTAGTGTATTTAAGTTGAATTAAATCATTTAATATTGTAAGTTTTTATTTTCATGTTCATGGATTATTTGTGAGTGTTTCTAAAATGATATAGTTTTCTCAAATAGTTGATTACATTTATTTTAGATTCCACGTATGGTTGAACTTCTTCTTTTCACAAATTTTCTGTGTTTACTTTACTACTACAATTCAAATTATTATTATTATTATTATTATTATCATTATTATTATTATTAACTAAATGCTTTACTTTCCTTGGTAATTATCTCTTTTTCGCTGTACTAGAAGAAACTTCAATAAATTGAACAGACTCACTTCAGTGTCTGTTCGTATTTTCTTTACGACTACCTATTAACATTTCTAACTCTCTTATTCATGTCTACCTTAACTTCAACTACTAAAAGTAAAGTATGTTTGCTAGTAATGTGTTAGGTTCGTCACCAAGTATACTTGAAATTACTATAGGTTCAGCCAGGTCGATAAACTAGAACTAGACAATGAACCAGCGTCCAGGTAGACTACCTTGATCCTTTGACGCGAAACGGCTAAAGAGATGTCTTGATATAGCGTAGAAAGTATATTCTACAAACACCCAGCAAGCACAGTGCAATCAAGCAGACAAATCTCGTTTATTTATACATCATAGAAACGTCCTTGGGACAGTCACAAAAATAGCACACTAAAATACGCAGCAGCCAAGGATTTTCCTGGTGGGAAATGAAGTCTCAAGGTCAACTGATCAGCCTGTGCTCGCAAACACGAAATCCAAAATTAAGGCATTTATCAAGCGAGCTCTGGTGATCTAACGTCCCCAACATAATGCCTTTTCTGCAAACCCCATTAAAACAGATTTTCAATTACACCTTATGATTGACTATTTATGACGTTTTTAAAATAAAATTCAATTATGATAACATATTGTCTTCTAATTTAATTTTATTTTATTTCATAGGTTTATCAAAACAAAAATCTACGCCTATTGACGATACCGTTTTATTTAACAACATTCAATCCGTTGGTTTAATGAATAAAGTAGCACCAGAAAGTCCATTAGTTATCATGCAATTAATGGCTAAAGGTGATTTAGCTAGTTATCTCCGTTATTTAGGTGATAAAGGACAAGGTTCTGTTAATTCATCACAAGCATATTTATGGGCAACACAAATAGCTGATGGCATGGCTTACTTATCTGCTAAACACTATGTTCATAGGTAATAAAGATTTATTTTTATTTAAATAATGAGGAATTTCATGCATTATATGGGTTATTATAAGTTTGTAAAAAAATTATCACTGGTTATTTTTATCTTTTCTAACAAAGTTTTCTTACTTCCTGATGGTATTTCATCATTGGTACAGTAAAATTAGTTGTATTTACTAAATCATTGCTCGATGTATAAAACTATTATAAATGATTATTTATAAAAGAATATCTTAAATTATATTTGTCGCACATAACCTGCTGTAATCAAGTCCTTACCAACGATGGCATTAAAAAAAACTAGCTTATTACATAAATACCTTGAATGATGCTATAGTCAGCAGGCGACCCTAGACCGAACTTAAATGATGCCTATCAGCAAGGCGCAACTATTCTGATAAAATAATAATAAAATAATTTTAAATTTTTAGCTGATATCTCAATGAGTAGAAATTTGTATTTCTGACGTTTCGTATCTGAATGCAAGTCATTTCTTTATTTACTCTTAAGAAGTAACTTACATTAAGTCACAAAATGACTGAAATAAAAATTTCGATTGATTGAGATATCATCAAAATATTATAATAATGTTATTATCACTAACTATCCACTCAATGTTCAATTTATATTACAAACTATCAAGTCCAACGTTGGTATCGATGCCTACGTTCTAATAAAAGGTGAGTATTGGTTCGAATAACCTAGTGCTAACTCCTTAAGGTATAGCATTGGGTGTTGCAAGTTCGAACTTCTCTCTAAGCTTCAACTTCATCGACACTGTAGGTACACAATACTGATAAACATTATGGTCTCATGCTTCGTATCAACGCAGCCAGATGAAATGAAGCTAAGAAGTGCATAATAGAAAATTATATGTAAAATAATGGAAATCTGGACACGATGTGTATGTGTGTTCCGGCAACGAAATTTCTCACCTACTGATATAACTCAGACAAGTAGTTATCGACTTTATGAATTGACATTATATTTACCAAAATAAAACCATAAAATAGGAGGTAGGGTAGTTCTCTCCTGAGACTTTTCACAAATCTTAAACGACAATCAAGTAAGTGACGAAATTCACAACTAAGCTCAGTTGTTTGCCTGTCTCATAGTATGATGCAATGTATTGAGGTTAATTTACTACTTCATATAGTAATACAACTAAATAAAAAAAATTTCCTTATTTTCATTATTTAGGGATTTAGCTGCTCGTAATTGCCTTGTTGATTCCCATCTAACAGTGAAAATTGGTGATTTCGGACTTTGTAGAGACGTTTACGGACATAAATATTATCACAAAACAAGTCATGCAAAACTGCCAATTCGTTGGATGGCTCCAGAATCCCTTCAAACTGCTTATTTTACTACACAATCAGATGTTTGGTTAGTTCTTAGCTATTTAAGGAATCTGTTTAAGAATTTTCATATGGTATAGTTACATTTTTGTCACTTGAAAAAATATAAATACAGGTTATCGAAGCCGATTAGAAGTTATGCCTTTTGTAATATTCTACAACTCATTTATCTTCGTAGTTTTACTTTATAAAAATGAATTATTAAATGCCGAATCAAGTAAATTGATGTCCTGCTGGGTATATTTCATTTTGTTATGTAAATATTAATGATTAAAACAATTCGTAAACTATAAGTTTACTGTTCAGTCTACAATCATTCCATAATAATAATAAACATAATCAAATTCCAAAATTGTCAACCACACATTTAAGAAAATTGAGTAACATTAATGATTAGTCAGTTATTTGTACAGAAGGTTTTTAAAATCGTAGTTTTTTTATCCAGTTTATTTTTATTCAGTCAGTCAGTCAGATGCAACGTAGAACTATGTACATAAGTACATCAGTTCATGTTGCCATACCACATCAGCACAGAGAAGTAATCGTCAATTCAAACCCAATAGTAGAAGAGGTGGTAAGGGAATTAGAAGTAATCGGAGAGGTTAGGATTAGAAGATACTATTCAAGAAGTATGATTCAGTGAGAAAAGTTTAGAGAGTCGAAACTAGAGGTGTTGAAGAATCCAGAAGATTAGGATTTAAGAGAACACAGAGAATAAATGCACTGGCGCCATTGCGAACGATTTTGAGCCATGTCATTCAAGGTCTCTAACCATCGATTATTATCATCTCGCGGACCCCAACCAGGTAGTCGACAATTACCGACATGGCTCAGTCCACTAGTTAATGACTTCATGGATTTCTGCCATGTTTTGGCCTGGCCGCCCCTAGCTTTCTTCCAGCCTACTTCTACACTACAAAACAAAGTTCGTCGAGGCAGTCGGTGGTTCGGCATACGCAAGACATGTCCCAACCACCTCAACTGATGAAGTTTCACCACTTCATCGATTGATCTGCCATCCTTACCTAGTACTCGTTTCCTAACGACAGCATTGCTCACTCGGGTGTCCCACGATATACGAGCAATGCTTCGAAGACACCTATGATCGAAAACCAGTAACCTACGAATATCTTCTATTCGTAGGTTACTGGCAGATTTATAACATCGAGTTAATTGTATTATAAAATATAGAGATAGCCTGTTCATTTATTGGACAGATTGACTTTTATTGTGAATCAATCATTTTTAAACCACTACTGGAAAACTGAAAGCACTGGACAGCCGTATTGTCCTAAAAACAATGTGCCTGGGGATTAAACCTAAGACTTTCGATCCTACATGCGAACGTTTTAGCTTGTGATCACTAAACCGGCATTCAGCAGTGGTAATGTCTAACTTCCATCAATCGACAATATTGCGCCACCTCATATATTGTCTTCAGTGAGCAACTGCCTCAACCCTGACACAGTTGAACTCAATTCATCTTGACTCCTGTCCAACGAACTGAAGACAACCTTTATGCCAAGAAACAATGATTTTTTTCCTGCGATTAGCGCAGAGGTTCTCTAACATTTGGCAGAGGGAAACGATGTAATCTATACATTCTCGGCCAAAACGCAAACCAGCCTGCTCCGCATGAGTCCATTTTTTTCCAGGTCTTGAACGATCTGCGAAGTATGATGGGAGCCAATAATTTGGACAAAATAAGTATTATACTTATCCCTCGATAGTTGTTACATTCATTAGATGAACCTTTTCTAAAGATGGGGAAAAATGTCGTCTCATTTCACGATGTTGTAATACTCTCTAATTGCCAAGCAGTCGTAAACGACTCACCTTTAAAACCGGCCGGAGTAAGTCATCTAGTATTGGTCATTTGTAAGTTGTAAGGAACGAAGGAAAACCTTGTTCTTATAAACTGGACGTTTCGCGGAGCCTCAAGCGACTTCACTTACAATCTTAATGGTGAGTGCTCATTTATTCTTTTCGTTTAGTTAATAGTTATCCTTGAACATAGATCGGTTTGATATTTAGTAACAGAATCTAAAACCAGTTTACTGACATTAATTCTTTTAGGGCAGTGAATTGTTGTTAACTGAAATTTAAGATAAGACTGGTGCAAACAAGGGAATGATTAGACGAGAGCTACTCTATGAGTTGAAGAGTAAGTAATACCCAAAATATGTATAATAAAATAATAAACAAGTGACTCTTTGTAAAATATGAATTAATGTTTTCAAATAATTGTAAGTACGATTTGTAGTAATGAGAGTTGGAGCTAACATAAAATTTTCCAGATATAGTTATCACTTAGTTTGTATGTGAGCCATGATACTGCCCGGGTGCCGAAACCGAAGCAACTGGGTTTTTTTTAGATGCCATTCTCATAGACTTTGACTAAGGTCACCGGTCACCAGTGTATAAGAAAATTAACATATTTATATTTTCCGCTAAATCGACCTTACTTATCTCCTATTTCCTTTTTTCATATTTCCAAATGGTTTAGGTCTTACGGTATTGTTTTATGGGAGATTGTTACTATGGCGTGTCTCCCTTATCGTGGTATGTCTCATGAAGAAGTGATTAGGTTCATTCTCAGTGGGAAAACACTTCTATCCAATGGTACACCTACTAACTGCCCAGAACTTTTGTAGGTCTTTTACTTATTTTTTGTCCAGTTATTGAGTATTTATGGTAAACTATAGGCGTATAATTTCTAACTTCTCAGTATCTTGTCTATTAAATATGATTCAATATTTTTTTCATGTGTTACTTAACATGTATTTCCTCATAACTTGAAACATTTTCTATCTACTTGTGAGGTTGTTGATACCTGTACCTTTAATCTGTGGTTATTTGAAACAATATTGGAATATAAATATAGAAACCGTATATGCATAATCTCAGTTACTGAAATGTGCATATTTTTAATGTTTTATCCTGCAAACTAATTGGAATTTATTCAGTCAGAATCCAATCGAAATCAACTTTAACAAAAGATGCATAAGGTTTAAATGACAAAACCACACTAAAAGTTTATCCAGTTACGTTCATTTCATTTAAGGTGAGAAGAACAAGATTTTGCAAAATCAAATGAATTCATCATATCTCAATGTTTCTGATCAGCTGTAGACAGCCTAGAGTTACATTAATATTAATACTACAAGAAAGTTTCACCATTCAATAATCACCGTAGTTCGAAGTAACATAAAAAATAATATGTATAGTAAAGTAATGAGGAAATATGATGTGGAAATCGCTCACCAAGTCAGAAATGTAAATACATGTGCGTATGTTTTTCCGCACGATATTGTTATTAGAAAACAGTGGGTATATGATATGTTTGCCTACGTCCTACGTCCTATTCGTTGTTTTTGCTTTTTATAAATCCGGAAGTACGTGTGAGTAAAATAAACCAGTCGAAGTATGCATAGAATTGGATCATTTAAAACAGTGAATTGTAATGTTAAAATTAAATCATACTAATGATAATTACAGTTGAATCAGAAACATAAAAACGGAGTGCGCGTTAACTGTTGTTGTTGTTGTTGTTGTTTATCTCCAGGTGGTACATATGAAGGTGCTTATATTTTTTTGTGAATCAGCATTTATCACTGTGTAGTTGACTATAATCCGTCCCTCCTGTTAATGTTGTCATAATAAGTAGCATAATAATAACAGTGGCACAAGTAATAAGTAGCATTATTTGGTACTGTGTTGTTTTTAATTCTTATTTTATTTTTGTCCTAAACTTTTCTTCTTCCATCAAATAATGTGTATTTACTCATTTCTTATTTACTTCTATTTAGTCGGGCATTAATGCTTCATTGTTGGAACTTCAATCCCTTGAAACGACCAACATTCCTAGGACTGTGTGCTTTACTTTCACCTTGTTTTGGAGATGCGAAATTCCGATTGGCTAGCTTTTTTTATCATGGTGAACAAAGTCTTGTAAACAAAGATGACCGTTCAAAGATTTTGGAAGCTCCTGCTATTTCATTAGGTAGATTGAACATATCACATAATCAAGATCCTGCACATACACTTGCATCTGCTTTAAGTTCCTTATTCTGTGATACTGATGAAGATTCTTTTTATGATCAAAGTGATCAAAATATTGTTCCTCCGGACAGTTGTTCTGCACCATTAACGCAATTAAGTCTCAGCAGTAGAGCATCGACAGTTAAACACAGCCCTATCGGTAGTGGTCGCTTGAATGAAACTAACTGCAGTAGTTCTGAAAATGAATCTTTGAAACAAAATGATACCAACATTGCTCTGTCGGAGGTTCAATACCTTTTAAGATTATGTGGACCGGACGAAAGTCTTACTATCCCGGCTTTCGTAGATTCCGAATCGTTTCCTCTGATATCCAGTCCTACAGTGAAGTCTGTCAATAATCCATGTACAAACTTTGAAATGAGTGGAACTAGGAATGTTATCGCATAACCCAAAAGTACTTGTTAAATACTGTCATTTCTCTTGACAACTTTGTATAATCTCATGTTTCTGCATCTCTTTGCAAATAGTTTCCACTTGCCTTTTGTTAATAAATAACTTTACTCTAAACCTACTTTAGCTTTCCATGCGTTTTCATTGCGCTGTTTCTTATTCAGGGTATCCTACAAGGTATTAAGCATAAGCTTAAAAGTTATTTTCAAGTTTTTCAATCAGATTGCGGTTGGTGTGAAAATACTATTCAGTTCGACTTTCATAACACATTTCATTTAGTGAGTTACCGTATTTCAATGCCGAAATTAGAGAGTTTGATGTGCTAAACAGTTTCGAAGTAAAATAGTTGATCGTTATTCTTTGACCTTTTGTAAAATTAGGTATTATATTTTACCAGCAGTATTCGAACTTTTCTCAGAAATTTCTCATAGTAACTTAGTTTTGTATATACTTATTTTAAAAGGCATGACTGTATCTAACAACAATGCTCTGTAAATATTGATAAGGTTGAAATTTTAGGATGAAAACAACAAGTGATACAGTAGAAAATGTATTTAGTCATTTTCATACATGAGTACCGGAGTCAGAGTAGCTTTAGTGGAAAACTTGTCAAGAAAACAGTTTAATGCGTGCAGATCCAGCTTAGTCATATACAGTTTAAAATGTAACAGGTATGTACACTGGTCCAAGATTTAATACCCGACCAGCACTAATGGATGGATTTGTTGAGGTAGGTCTCAGAGTATTACAGGTAATGCATATGGTTCATAAATTAACTTGAGGTAATTAAAAGACACGTGACTGGATAAAAAAGACTTATTTTTCGTCATGAAGAATGTTTTGGTGATACTATGTTCATGAGATTCCAATCCTATAAGTGCCTTTGCGCTTGTTTGGATAGAATCAGTGCAACTCATTGTGAGGCATATTCTTCTTGGTCGAAGTATAACAGCAGCTCTCCTAAAACTAGTCTTACTTGTCCAAGCTGCGTCCAATGTGTTTCACTGATTCCGAGCATCTTCAGGTTGTATCTTTTCATTTATGCAGAAATTTGTAATGGTCTTCCGGTTTCCCACATAGTTCGAACATTTCATGTACCTAAAAGAATGGTTGCTTTGATTGTCAGAAGGGACATCGACTTCGTAACTTTCGAAGTAACTCGGGTTTCATCATAACTCTTCCTAAATGAAAAATTTCTAACTCTCAAGGCGGAACTGAAGTGGTTTCAATAATTCTTTCTGGTCACCGTTTTCCAGCACAGTATTGCTAACTGATTGTCCAACCCATTTCTTGTTGTCGACTAGGATGTGGGAATTAGGTATCTGATATATCTAGCATGGGGTCAGAAAAAGACATGAGGATCCGCATAGTGTGTTCGGAGGGAGTAGCATTGGGTCTCGACTTATCAAGTAAGGCATTGTCATCTATTTGTGCTGTTTTGAGACGATCAATGCCAACCATAACGATTATCACGGTAGGTCTTTTCGTGTTATGAAATCACGTGAAAAGATCCCTCTAATGGCTGTTGCAGAGGTTTACATACTGAATCTTCGCGATGGGAGACATATGAACAGGTAGATAACTCACGAGTTGGAGTGACCTGTCAGTGACGTTTTCCAGTTGACATCGGAGACACTTCGCATGTACGCAGAAAGTCGTTGAACGTTGTCTAATATACATAGGAGAACTGCTCCGTGGTGTGAAAAGTTCCCCGACCAGAAGCAGTGGCATGCGTCATAAACCAGAAAGACTAGTGAAAAGCAAGTTAGGCAGAGAAATCATCGCCAGTGAAGAACAGCAAAACAAGTGGGTAGAGCACGTGGGAGAACTCTTGAATCTACTAGCTCCACTGAACCCAACAAACATCGAAACAGCATCTATGGAGAACCGACTCAATGTAGGCCCACTTTCAACTGAAGAGAACAGTATGGTTATCAGACAAATCAAGATCTGCAAGGCAGCGCGATCGGACAACATTACAATAAAGGCAGTAAAGCAGAGGTGGCAGCATCTGAAATAATACTCCACATTATCTTTGGTAAGATTTGCGAGGAGGAACAAGTACTGACAGGAAGGAAAGAAGGATACCTCATCAAAATACCAAAGAAAAGCGATCTCAGCAAGTGTGAGAACTACAGAGGCGTCACTCTTACAAGAGGAAACGACCAGTGCGATGGGAGCCTCAGCAGCAGGTCTGAATACGCAAACAAGATTCTCCGATACAACAGAACATGCGGAAATCAATTCATAATTGATGAGATGCCTTAGAGGACGCAAAAACATTTAAATATGTAGGCGGCGTCATCGATGAGCAAGGTGGATCTGATTCAAATGTGATGGTACGGACTGAGAAAGCAAGGGCTCCATTCCTTCAATTCAACATCTAGAATTCAAAGAAACTGTCATCTAACACAAAACTCAGAATTTCCAATACAAATATCAAAACATTTCTACTGTATGGGGAAGAAACTTGGAAAACTAATAAATCCATCATCCAGTAGATACAAGTATTCATTAACAGTTACTGACACAAAATAATTCGTGTCCTTTGGCTGGACGCCATCAGCAACAACCTACTTTGGGAAAGAACAAGCCAGATTCCAAAGGAGGAAGAATCGGTGGAAGTGGATAGGACATACATTGAGTAAAGCACCCAACTGCGTCACAAGACAAGCCCTCACTCGAAATCGTCGATTTCAAAGGAAAATCGGAAGACTAAGAAACACATCACTCCGAGAAACGGAGACATACTTGAGAAGAATGAGCGAAGACTGGATAGAACTGGAAAGGGATGCCCATGACCGACTAGGCTGGAGAATACTGGTCAGTGGCTAGTGCTCTATTAAGAATAGAAAGGCGTAGGTAAGAAGATACGTAAGTGAGTGAGGAATTTCAAGCTTGGTACAGTATGAAGAGCGATCTCTCTAGTTATGTAAGGTATAAGCTGAAGACTTAAACACTCCTTTCCAGAATCGTAGCAAACAGGGTATAACTGCCATATGGTGGTAAAAAAGACGATTTGTCACAGTTGTTTTGTTTTCTGGTTTACTAATCATTGTTGCAGTAAGAAACGAAAAACACCAAACTTAGATCATTTGTTAACAAGCAATCACATCTTTGTCAAAGATGTCCTTGTCACCGCACCAATGTGATGTAGTGAACATAGAGAATTCATGTCAGACGAAATACTCATTGCTGATGGGTATTTGGCCAAAAAAAGTATGGGACATCATTCGCAATGCATTTCTACAGGATATACCTCAGGTAAACCGCAAAGTTGGAGAGAGAGAAGAACATTGGTGAAGTGATGCACTGAACGCATGTTACAAGAGCATGGGAGTCGGGTACTAAAGTCAAATTAACCAGCTAGTTAAAACAGGTATCCTCAAACTCAGTGCGCTATTCAACTCATTTGCCAGTCGGTGTAAATTTCCAACTTACCCCTACCCAAATTAGCAAACATTTTAGCCCTTTAATCCTGAGTGTGCAAAAACACTCAGTTCCTCAGCATATGACCTGTTCAGATGTGCATCGGAGACATTCTACTTTCCAACTGAATGGGAAACACTCTGCTTTCCGAAATCTTCAGAAGAGGAGATAGGAAGTATCCAGCTTGTCACAAACTAGCTGAATTGTTGCCAGTACTGCTGAAAGGACAATTGAATCAGCGATTTCGGGAGTACATTAATAAGAGCAATATCCCTCATGGGTTAGGGAAATGAAGGTCCGGCTATAATTATTTATGAAATTTTCCTCTTATTAGCATTAGAATTTTTCCCCCACCATTCTCCATGTTGCAACAAACTGGCCTCTAGTCTGGTAATGTTATAGTTGCTGACATTCAGAAACCCTACTACTCTGAGACAAACGCACTCACTCAAATCACTGGACGTACAAAAATTGAAAGTAACTGCCAACCGACTAGAATTGTTGCTTTCGAATTTCTGGACTAATACCCACAAATAATTGTAAGCGTGTCGAAATAACAAGAAGAGAGCTTAAAGAAGTCAATTATTGTAAACAATTTGCGACTGAGATGTTGGATATTTTACAAACAATTTCCACTTATCAAGGTGCTTTATTTATGTCACATTTTAGTTTCTATAATATAGATATAGCTTAACAAAAATAATTCTGAATCGACGCAAACAAGTTAAGAGAAGTGATATAATGAAGTGTTTGTAATTGGTTCGTTTTATTGCTTCAAACGTTAGTAGCGTTCCTCCACCTTGAGCTTACCTACCTTGAACATACCATTTAAGCATGTCGTTTGAGTAAGTATTCTGTAAATGATTTTTTGACGTTGAATTACACCAACCCCCCAAGTGAATATCTGTATGCTTATATATGTATAGTAACACTCCACTAGGCCCTGATCAAACGCTATTAGAAAATCAGATGTTATCGGATAATGGTGTACAACATTACGCAAACCAAACCATGCCAAAGTGAGCATCTTACCGAAGTATCATCAGCACGCTCCTCGATGCATTTCTCGGAAAATTGCACATCAAAGAGCGGACCCTCTGGTTCGTCCACACTTTTTCCCATTAAGATTCGTTGCAGCTTGAAATCTCCAAGTCGAAGTGACCACAGCCTCGTCAGTGGACAGCTTTAAGAGACTTGCTAAACACGTACTCACATACAGATGATCATCTCATTCGTGTACCAGCTGTGCTTCATTCATGTCTTGAAACCCGCTAGTTAAAATTGCCATCTCAGATCACTAACTGAATCTATCTCGCTTATCTGTTTCCTTTCTCGCGCACAATCTTCACTGATAACTAATAAACTAAGTTATCCATTTATTTAGTGAGTAATGAAATCTTATTTGCGCTAGACATTTCTCTTTATTATTCGCTACATTGCAATTAACTGATCTCCTGCCTGGTAACGTGATAGCTGCTGGTACTCATTCAAATCACAGGACATACAAACTAACAAACAACCGTCTGGACACTGAAAAATATCTGGAACCGTACCGAAATAACAAGAACCCAGCCTAAAAAATCAACTAGTTTATAATGACTCGTGAAAAAGATACTGAATATATCAGATATTGCATGTAAACGAACGGAGAAGCGATTTTCCTAGAGACTATGTGGTCCGATTTTAACGAGATGAAAAAGCGTTGAAACGGTTTGGAAAGTTAGCTGACACTCCCCTGTCGTATCACTACCTCCCTTTATCGAATATATTTACTTGGTCAAAACCTAAACTGAATATATAGGTTGCAAGTAATGTTATACGGACATAAAAGTCTTTTGTTCACTAAGAAATGCAACGAATGAATGTCTACGACTTATGTATGTCACTGAAAATGAGTTTTTACTGAGTCGTAAACTTTGTTTTTCAATTCTCGTGCACACCAACACGTGTTAGGGTGGATAACGGGTATAAGCTATAGCATCTATGCAGTACGGCATACATATTAGGCTTTGGACTGCTTTTGTCCTGCATATTCATAGACCCATGTTCGTTATATCGGAGTTTCCAAGTATTTCAACTGACCATATTGATAAAATTTCTTTGGATTGATAACTGTACTTCTGCTGAATAGTCAACTATGTGTTTAATCGTAAGGGCAACAAAATGCTCTAAATAGTTGGTACTCAAGACCCAAAATCATAGTATGGAGATTTCCATTTATTGAATAGGTCTACAGTCCCACACATTAGATTTATAAAATGTATGTTGGCTTCAGTTTATTGTTTGAACCTTCCTAAAATAAAGTTAATAAAAATGCAACTTTTTAGCTACGAATCTGCTCTGTCTCCACGAGCATCTGACGGAGTCGACAAAGAGTTACAAACATTCATCCAAACAATACAACAGAGAGCAGAGTTTCAGAATCATGTCAATCGTTTGGCTTCTGTGTGCTGGGATAAATGTGTTACTGGATATCCGTCCTCAAAAATGGATGCTAAAAAGGGGAATTGTGTTGAGAACTGTACGGAACGTTTTCTTGATGTTTCCATGCTTCTTCGTAGCAGGTTTCAATCTATGTTGACGAATTTGCAGCAGTAGCTTACTTTGAAAAGTGAAGGATTGAGGTACTTTGCTAGCGCCCATATATGGACTCTTGTACATAATGTAGTAAATATCTTCGTTCTGTTTGTACAGACACTTCGTTTGTGTGCTTGGGTGATATTTATGAAGGCCTTGTTTGTTCATATACACAATTGTAGAACTCATTTTCGGAGTTTTGATTCTTTGTATATGCGAAAGTTTATAACATATAAATATTTTTATTTTGGTACTTTAGGTGGTAAATCCTATAGAGTAATAACATTCAAGACTGAGGAACTAAAAGATGGATCACGTGAAGTCCATTGCTGTTAACCTAGCAGGTTCTAACCAAGTCTGTTAAACAACTTAAGATAAAATCTGTTGGGCCTTATTTTTAACGCTATACTGACTGATGCAATACGATAGGGATACCTTAGCTAATCATGTCAACACCGCAAATAATGATTTATTTACTCCCATTGCCCTAGAACTCTACAGTTAGCATTTTTGACCATTGTTTTGAATGGATCGGTGACCAGACTAGCGAACTGCGAATATCCTCTGGTTTTCTAGGTCGCGTTTAACTTTCATAAGGTTACTTACTGCAAGACACATTTATTCATGGTATTTTTACTCGTTGATATAGAGATATTTCTCCATATACTGCCAGTGGTTTGCCTACATAATCAGAGGAGTAAACGCCTAGATATGAACAAATATGAAAGCTTAGAGATAATATTGGGTGACTGAGTATATGGAACGGTGGTTTGACAGTTAGAGCGTTTGACAATAGTGGTTAAGGTAACTAGTTAATATCACTAACACACACTTATATTATGGGTCATACTCAATTGACTGGTGAATGGGTAGTTATGCTATAGTGATTATCTGTGTCAGCTGGTATGCTTACTGTCGCCGTTTAACGCAATATATTGACGATCATAGAAACCCAACAAAACTATAACAATAGATACTGTTATACATATATAACAATCACATGTCCTGTTGATATACAAGTTGTATACACTGATAGTATAAAAGCAAGAATTATTTCTTATAGCAGAAGTGGGGCTGCACAGATTTATTTTCTCATCCTCGAAGAATGTTTCAAATTTCCGATCATCAGTTTGTCATGTCCTTTCAGTAAGCAGAGCTATAGAAAACAGAGAGATTAGCACAAATTAATCATTTATTAAAGAACTTTTAGGACGAACGTTGGTTAATATATGATAGGACAACATAATACATTGATAATCAGGATTCTTAAGCAAGGTTATGGAGACTGTTCAATAGTTACATCTCTCAGAGAGACATTTCGAAATCCAAATAATTCCTGAGAAGCATGCGGTTTAAATCACTAGTAATAGTTACCTAAATAGGGCATAGATTATTGTGTGAGAATCCAATTAGTGGTACTTAGTCTCTTCATCTAAACAATTAATGATTCAGCACAATTCCTCTCATGTTGGTAAAACGTATGACAACTTCTGTAGCATCGTTTTCTAGGGTCTCAGTAGGCATCAGTCATTAAAATGGTGAGTAATCAGCAAACAGTAGATCTAAAGGTAGTTCACATCGTGTATTGACTTTAGCCCAACAATAGCTGAAAAGCTGTCTCATTCAGTGTTGGAGGCTCCACAACGCTATACACGATTTCACTACGGTTTGGACTCAGCATCTTCAAGGGTAGTAGACCGTTGAGTCGAGATTTAATAGTAAACATCTTCGACTGCAGTCACTTCTTTGAGATCACCCATATGGTAAACTATACTTAAGTTAAAGAAAACTCTTCACACCTATCCTGATGAAGAAATTTTTATTCAAAGTTATGCTTTCTACGATTCGGTTAGTTAGCTTTCATTGAACTATTAAGTGATTGAAATTGTTATATATAACGGACTTACACTGATGTACGTTAGCTGAAGGTTGTGTAGTCATGTCTATCCACCTGAAATTAAAATAGTGGAAAGGTTAAACAGTCACTTAATTTTGTGCAAATTAGAACCAGTTTAAATAACCATATCACAATAGGATTTGTTAAGATAAAACCTAGAATAGTAGGAATAGTAAACACTATCAGTAGCAACAGGAAAAGGTCAAATGCATAGTGTTTCAGAACTCATGTTCTGAAGGAAGAGAAATTCTGAACCTAACTGCTACTAACAACAATCACGTGGACACTGATCAGACGGTCTACAGCTATTAAATTGTTGATTTATTTTTATATCAGCGAGTTTCCGAAGTTCTAGAGAGGAACCGTGAGCAGCAAAGCTGAACCATGTCAAGTTTGAAGAAAACACCTATCGAGAATAACGGAAGCTTGTCACGCAATATCGCGTATTGATTGAAGTAAGTCATGTATACCACTGGATGCTGAGTGTTCGCGCACGAGGCCGAAAGTCCTGGGTTCGATTCCCTGTTGGGAGGTCATCGATAGCAATTGTCAAGGAGTCTTAAACTAGGACGAAACAGCCATCCAGTGGTTTCAGATTTTCGCTCAGTCAAATTTATTTGACTCGAAGTAAATAGGCGATATTAGAATAATCGGAGTTAGGGAAACATTGTCAAAATTGAATCGGAATACGAAGTTCTGTTTCGATGTCAGTTCGAAGTTATCATACAGCAACTTCGAACAACCATCAGCTCTCACTGACCATATCTAGACTATAAAATGCTTTGTAAACGAACCCAACGAAGATCCCTTAATGTATTCTTTGACGAGTCGTGTTAAAAAGTTGGAGACTTGCAATTTCGAAAATCATCCCTACTTTGAGTATTGTTTTGTAAAACGAAGAAGGATCCTGAAGGATAATTCTGACATGCGTACTTCGAAAATAACTCCCACAATAGGAATGGGCACTGATTTCATGTTTGAGCTAGAAGACAAATTCAAGTATCTAAGTATCCCTTATCTCATTTATGAGTTCTACTGATTTTGAATGACAGTTGGAAAGATAATCCGATCTATATATCTGTTTCGCGAAATGACATTATCTTAGCAGATCGATTTACTTTGTACACTTCTGTCCTGATTGCTTTAAAGATACCTTCATTAGAAATGTATGTTAGGAGTATATATTTATACGTTTTTACATAAATTCACTGTATCAATATCGCTGTACAATGTAAATTTCTCACACCTTATGAATTGTAATCTGAAAACACCAGTAAAACAAAGCGAGTGCGCATATACTTACATATTGCTGGCACCTAGTGACCCTAATTGATTGATACCATTTTTATGGACAAGACGGATGCCATTACAACTAATGTGTTGTGTCGATTCAACCTACAAAAACGATTTTTATTAATTTCTCATCTACTTGCGCACTGAAGCTAGTGAAATGTTGAAGTAAGGAATGACCGTTTCTTTCTCGAATGAGGAATTTATCGGCCAGTCATAAAAGATGAGCGTTGGCGCCACACAACGACACTAAAAAAAGTTAAATATAATAACTCCTGGATTTTGACCCAGTTGAGTCTTGTTTTCACTGACAAACTACTGAAGTCTCAAACTACGTTAAAATAACTATCATGTGTTACTTAGTTATCAAATAGATTTATATCTGATGTGTAAGAAAATGCGCATTGACTTTTACTGTGATGGACAAAATTCGAGAAGTTCTATCAGCCACCCTCAACAATTTTGTTTACGTAGAAATTTCTGAAATGTAATAAACTTTTATCATTGCTTCCAGATCTTAGAAAACTGTTATTCCCCATAGTAGAGAATAAAATTTATTCAAAGATAGCCTGTTGCATGGATCGTTTGTCCTAAAAATAGACTGAAAGCACTTAAAAGTTGAAAAGTCCTGGAATATATCATCGTTTTATGATGATACTTCTAATGTTGAGCAACAGAATATTATCTCAAACAATGTAACCGACATTATTTTTAGGATAAAATGTTTCTGATCAAGGAACACTGGGAAAGTGATGAAATGCAAATGTTTACTAATAAAACACGTGTGATCATTGTGACTTACGTTTGCTCTCCTTTACGCTTACGCTTCCTTTGTTTACGAAGAACAAAGACAATAGATAACACCAGGAGAATAAGTCCAAAAATCGATACTACAAAAATGCAGAATAGAACATAATATGCACAAATTATAAATATGGTTTGTAAGCTAAATAATCTTAAAGCACAGAAATTTAACTCAATTGACTGGATTAAACGCTAGTACATTATATATGCCTATAGAAACTAACTGGACTAGTGAGAATAAAATAGGTGATGATACTGGATACTGATTAGTTTGCTTTATTAGGTATTTTGCTGGTATTCTTTAGTACAGTGTTTCACAAATGAGACAACAATCTTTGAAATGAAGATTTTGTATTATCTAATTTAATATTACTTATTTACCGGACCCATGAATCCCTGAGAATTGGAGTTTCATTTAGAGATTTATAATCTCACATTGAATTCTTTTTGGAAGCTATTATACTAGTTGTAATTTTATTGCATTAAGTGTCGTGCTGATTGCGAAACACGCAATTTCTTTTGCAGTTAACTGTAAATCACTTTCGGTATAATTTTCAACATAGTTTGAATACGGGCTAATTTGGGTTTAACAGATCATGATATAGCTGCACATATTTATGTGATGCAGAACTAAGATCTTATGCAAGAATACTTCTATATGACTAAATGACAATGTATTATCTTCTTTTACATCACATACAAGTTTTTATCATAAATCGAAATCTAATTTGCATCATCAAATGAAGTCTTTGTTTTTCAACAAATAAAAGTGTAAAGCAAATGAACAAAATTATTGGATGTTGAACGACCACATCGGATTGTTTATTTTAATTTCAGCTAGTTACTTACTAGCGATAATAATTCCAAATAATGGAATAGGGATGCCGTTGATTCTTCCAGTGCCTATGTTGAATCGAAACAAAATACAAAAAATTAGTTTAATCATATTTTTTCGTGTAGCTTAATCTTTAGTCCCCTAATATAATCTAGAAGGCAGAAGTTAAGTGAAAGATTATGTTTCAGCTTTGAATGGAACTCCCGTTCTTTTAGATTTGAATCAATTCAATATATTGAATTTCTACACATTTCGACGACTTCTATTAATTAATACACTATAGTTTTTCGTCCATCCCAATTTTATTAGCTATGGTATTATTAATTCTCTAAGATTTCGCGTTCAAATAGTGATTGGTCAGTTTGATATTTCATTCCGGGGTCTTGACTAAAACAAAGACTTCTATCTCCCGTTGCGCAGGGGATTATTGTATGAAACCCGTTTGGTATTGGAGGAATTTTCAAATCGTTCATTATTCGAAATCATCCTAAGCTATTTAGAACGTAAGAAGATGACAACCCATGCAATGGTAGGGTAAGATTTTATGTAGAAAGAAAGTGTAAAGACAAGGAACACTTACAATATTTCTCAGCGCCGGTCGAATTTTATGTTATATTCAGTCTACAAATTTATTAAAAGTTAAGATTGCTTAGTTTTTCTTCGAATACCTTGGTATAATGTGTGGTAGAATAGGAAGTAAGTCACATTGAACAGATTACATTTCAACCAAAATTAATCGATTTCCCTAAAAGAACACTGGACAGTCTCATCAAAATCAACATTTAGATATTTATAGAATAACTTTATTAGAAAACAATGTTTAATTCACAAACCATCAACTGAGCTGCATTTAGAAAACTTTACTAGTAAAAAGAAAACGAGGGAAATGTTTGATATATTACACTTACATAAATAACCATTTTCATCTGATCCATCATGACAATTTGCAATAGTGTCACATGTAAGAGAATCGGGAATACAATTTGTAGCTGCATCCCAACAACGAAACGTATCTGATGGACAGTTGTATGACGGTCCTAAAACTGTTAATTTGTTTTATATTTAAATACATATGTAAAAGATGCAGTGAAAACATTATGAAAATGTGGGACTGGCAGTTGTAGATAGGTTAAGTACGGATAAAGTAAAACTGAAACCTGTCCATCAATAGCTTAACAAGTAGTAATTTATTCTGAGAGACTCTCATTTACTGTAAAAAGGTAGATACAAAAATGCATTTAACCGTCGCTAATTTCTTACCAATCGGTTAAGCTAAATTTTGTTTTTAAAATAATAAATAAATGCTCTAAGTTTAAGTTTATACACCGAATTAACCAGTCCTTATTGGTTGAATAAGAGTGTTCGACTTCATTGGTTTTTGTAGATAACCAGATGATTTTAGTAATATTAATTTTTAACTATGTTTAAGTTAGCAATATGTTTCGTTTTTGACCAAAATATTTGCATTACGGGGTTGTGAAGATTGTTGGGTTAATCATCGAAATAATGAATCGATCAATGTTAGACCACCATTAAAAACGTGAAAGCACTGGACGGCCGTTTCGTCCAGCTATGGGACTCATCAGCAGTGCGCATCCACAACTCTTGCAACTTGCAGGATCCGAACCCAGGACCTTCGGTCTTGCGCGCGAACGCCTAACCTCCGGACCATCGAGCCGGGGCGAAACGACTGTCCTCTGCTTCCAGGTTTCTAATGGTGGTCTAACATTGATCGATTCATGATTTCAGTGCGTAACTTAACAATTTTCACAACCCCGTGCTGCAGTTACCTGTGCTCATTAGTGACTAGCTCCACCGAGTTCTAATGGGAAGTCGTGACCAGTGAAGTTCAACCTGTTCGGGTGTAGACTGTAACTACCGATGACATTGTATGAGGTTGCGCAAGACCGTGAATCGATCGAAGTTATTATTAAGACACTGAATTTCAAACTTGAATTGTTACGGATCTGTCATACTCCATGCATGCATTAGTAAACCAAGAGTTATAATAGTAGTTATTAAGTTAGTTTTATTCTGATCTACATATACAACTTTAGGTTTATTCATCGAAAATCCATTTCGTGTCTATTGCATATTCTAGTTAATATCTATAAACTTGAGATAAACAGACCATGATAAATCAAATTCTTTACAGATTTTTTTTACTTTCTGATAAAACAATGTATTTCTTCTGAAGTTCACAAAACGAGACATTTCTCATTAACATGACAGAAATGATCTTAAAGTTCATATTATGCTTCGCATGAAAAAGTTGATGTTTATGTCATGAGAAAATTTAAACTATTCATCAACGTCAGATGATCTAGGCTTTTTTAAAAATAACAATGAGACGAAATTATTCATAATAGCAAGCTATGAAATAACGTTTTATAACAGTTATCTTTTAAAATTGCTAAAAATTAAGTAATATTATTTATTTAGAATGTTTGTGTTGCGAATCAATAATAAAACAATGATACACAATTAACTCACAACAATTTCACATAATCTTCATGAATATTTTTCAAATTACTGTCTTATAGTAATTTCATTGAGTGCTTTTTGGATGATATCTATCTTTTTATTATTATTATTGCTTAAAATTTTACCGTTTATAAATTAGAGTTCATTGTGTAAAATTTTATTTCATTATCAAATATGAATAACAAAAGTACAATTAACATGATAGAAAATCATCGATTCATTTTATTTCGTGGTTTTGTATCAGCTAGTTATAACTTAATCATAACAATATTGTTCACTTAAAAAAAAAACCACTGTTCATTATTTCATAATATCAGAAAACTTCTTATTAATAAAGACTAATAATAGATCAATAAGGACTATGAAAAGTAATATTTATATGCTAAATAATGTGAATATTTACAGGTTGAATGTAGTTACATTCTAGAACAATTAACTAACAACGTGGAAACAGAATTATTTAGAAATAAGATATTAATATCATAATTATGTAACTCTTAAAACAAAATGGACTGAGTACAAATCAAGTAAGATTTGAGGATTATTTATTGGTCTTAGAACGTAAAATTAAATAACAGACATATATATAAACGAAGTCACCTCGGAAAGGCAAGAATGATAGTTGGTTCTTTTTGAGTAAACAGATTTGATTTACATATTCTTATGTCAATCGCTTCAGCAAACTGTCGTAAATTTAACTTCCTTTTTTTATTATTAATTATCTTGAGGAATTTTCAGATATCAACACTATGATCTTTATCAAGTAGATAACGTGCACTGCCGAAAATGTGTTGTCCCCTTAGGAAAATCTTCTGTTCATCCGAATTATGTTTTGGCGTGTACATGTACACTGATAGCTACAATCGGAAATAATATAGAGCGGGAAGTTGCCTACATATGACTCTTAATCAGCGATTCGTGTGATATAGAAAAATCAGCTTGGCAATTGGATGAGTTCTCTTTATTGTGGCTTTTAATTTGAAATCATTCTTTCATGCTGTTTCATCATCCTTGCAGCCAAGTCTTAGGAAGGCAAATTCTCAATTGTGGCGTACTCTATTTTATTTGCTTTAGTCCTCCTATACTTAGTTATGAAATTTTGAGGGTAATCATTATCACGTAAACCACATTCAACTACTGCTAGTTATTCATCAATTTTATCTTCTGAATATAATCTTGTGAAACGATTGGAAAACGTTTTAACCAAATTTATTTGGTAGCTTATTGAACAGACACTACCCAAATTGGTAATGCGGAATGAAAGAATTCTCATCATTCGATCAGATAAAGTTTCAGGCGTAATTATAATGGACGATAATAAGCATGTGGTTTTTAATGATAAATACGATTATGTTCAGGTTGTAAGCAGCTGATAAGAAACCTCAAAGAAATGTTATTTTACCACATCAGTTGTTCTCGCTTTATTCAAATATATTCTTTTGCTTGTAAATCTATCAATCGGTTAAAAAAGTCAAAAAGTCCAGGTGAGCAAGTAGATAGAATCATAAACCTAATAGTATTATGAAGTTTTATTTAACATTATTTACTTATAAAATGAAAGTTTGAGAAAATTCGAAATTTTATAGAGTCTACTGACAGTGCCATGAATGAAGTAGCCAAGTTAGCAGAATTGTTGTTAGTCGTTTGGAGAGGAAGGAACGATTATATAATTTCTACTTATATATATGATAATTCCAAGCGTGTTAAGTGAAAACACGCAAAGTTGATTATTTTTTAAAAGTCAGACTTCTATTCCGAAAAATCCCATAATATTTACATGCTAGCCGAGTATCGTTATAATTTTATTTGGTAAAAATTAAATGTTGAATGGTTAACATTAAAATCGGAGACAAGATCCATTTATATTAGGAGTTAGCTGGTCAATAAACATGTATCTCAATATTCACGGTTCCGAGTACCGAACCCTCTATCTAAAACCACAAGACATTAACACTTAGGATGGATCTCAGTGCTAGCCCATATTCAAACTTTAACTGAGATGTGAATGTGGATGATATGAAGATATTTGTTCAAGAAGTACAAGTGCTAACAGATACTGAATAGTATGGTCTTAAATATCAATATCTGGAAAACCAAGTCCTTAGAAGTGATAGTCTCTTAAAAGGGTCCACTGTTTACTAGTTACTTGATGAAGAGACTAGAAGGTTGTGCGGTGTATAATACTATGTCGGGGCTACAAGGCTTGTCCCAGCTTTTGGACGAACTAATTTATCCATTCTTCTCGAGTTACTGTTTACACGTCTTTTGATCTTGTCGATTTTTGCCTACAACCTTAATTGTTTTAACTTGAATGAATTCGTGGAATAATTACTTCGATTATCAAACATCTAGCTTATTTTTGTCTGACCACAAATGCTCAGTCATGCCTCCTCGCAATGAGTTGGCCCACTCGCCTTCTCCGCTTCACTTTGCTTCACTTCGCATTCTAATGTCCGTTCGCGTATGCAAATGTCTGAAATAAATGTAACCAAAATAAACTATATTGGGCTTTTAATTACGGCTATTGCACAAACGAGATTCGCCTAAGAATGATATACGGAAATTGAAGGAAAAATTTATTTCATAGAATCTTTAATTTTTTGTTCTTGTGAGAGTTAGATCTTGGGCCACTAAACTTGATTTCATGATTCAAAATGAACGAAAAGTACGTCGTTCAGTTCTCTTCAATAAAAGCACGTGGTTAACGAAATGATTGTAAATAGGATTACAAAGCGCGTGTACTTTTGTACTGATAAACCTGATAAATGAGAACTAGTGTTCAATCCATCATATAATAATTCATCACTTCAGCAACTACATGGTAGCATATTCATTTCTGCATTCACAGCTAATGATTCTACAAAAAAGGTTTATTTTTAAAACTCGAAACATTATAACTGTTGTAACTACTTCACAAATAAGATTAAGAGAAACATAATTAATTGTTCATTGGAGAAAGTTACGTGGACGAATTTACCTCCAGTCATCGCCTTGACAAAAAGTTTATTCATAATTTTCACTCCGCGAATTCACTTTTCATCTTAGAATCACATTCTTTATACTTGATTGTTTTTAGGAGCATTGATATTACAATTGTTTCGACTGTTTTAATATTCAACTTAATACTCCTATTTTGTTAAACTGATGTGGCATGGCGAATCGAGCATAATACACACATGTTTTATGTTTAACATTACCTATTACTGACAGATTGTAGGAAATCAACAACAGAATATGAACCATGTGAGTTGTTTAACAGTGCATTAGAATAGAGTTTTTACTTATTTATACTTGGAACATAAAAAATGAAATAGTAATATAAATTATTTCAGAATTACTTGAAGTTATTTTTTTAATTACTTATCAATTCAAAAACTCAAATACGTAAACAGATTATGAAATGGTATAAATTACCGTATGATGATATTACAAATTGATAGGAAACATCTGATGGAGCAGAATTAGCTGGGTCAAATAAAATTTGTATTTTCATATTTGGTGATGATGTACGCACCGTTTTATCTAGCAAAGATGCATAGTTTGTACAGTTGGCTTGAAACTAAACACAAATACAGAAACAGAAGAGAACGTTAATGACCAATTCGTTACCAAACACAGATATATATATATATATATATATATATATATATATATATATATATATATATATACATGAACATCTTGATAATATTTTTGAATTTCAGCTAACAAGGAGATGTTGAAGGCTTATCTTGTCCGCTTTGGGATTCATCGGTTAAGAGTTTCTGTGTCTGTCTGGACATCCACACTAAAAATTGAGTCCAGTACCAACCACTTTCAAACCTTACTTACTTACTTACGCCTGTTACCCCCAATGGAGCATAGGCCGCCCACCAGTTTTCTCCAACCAACTCTGTCATGGGCTTCCCTCTCCAGTTCTGTCCAATGTTTGTTTATTCCTCTCATATCTTTCTCTATTTCTCGGCGTAGTGTGTTCCTTGGCCTTCCTCTTTTCCTTTTGCCTTGAGGGTTCCATGTGAGGGCTTGTCTTGTGACGCAGTTAGGTGCTTTTTGTAGTGTGTGTCCTATCCACTTCCACCGCTTCTTCCTGATTTCCTCTTCCACTGGAATCTGACTTGTTCTCTCCCACAGTTCGTTGTTGCTGATGGTGTCTGGCCAACGAATACGAAGTATTTTGCGTAGACAACTGTTAATAAACACTTGTATCTTCTGGATGATGGCTTTGGTAGTTCTCCATGTTCCCGCTCCATACAGTAGAACTGTCTTGACATTTGTATTGAAAATCCTGATTTTGGTTTTGTTTGAAAGTTGTTTGGAGTTCCAGATATCTTTCAACTGTAGAAATGCAGCCCTCGCTTTGCCAATCCGCGCCCTCACATCTGCATCCGATCCACCTTTCTCGTCGATGATGCTGCCCACATATGTAAAGTTGTTAACGTCCACGAAAGCATCTCCATCAAGCGTGATTTGGTTGGTGCATGTTGTGTTGCATCGGAGAATTTTGCTTTTTCCTTTATGTATAACAGCAGTTCCCCTGAAGCTAGTCTCAGTTGTCCTACTTGTGTCCAATGCGTTTCACTGATGCCGAGCACCTCGAGGTTGTATCTTTTCATTTCTGCCGCAACTTGAAATAGTCTTCCAGTCTCCCACAATGTACGAACGTTCCATGTACCTAAAAAATGGTTGCTCTGGTTGTCAGAAGAGGCATCGGCCCCGTGACTTCCGAGGGAACTCGGCTTTCATCACGAGACGTCATAATTCTTCTTCCAACTCCCAGGGCAGAGTTAAAATGGTTTGAATTATTTTTTCTGGTTAGCGTTTTTTTGGCAAGTGAGATTTCAACGGAATGGGGTCGCCAACCACATGTCCAACCCTCCTCCTTTATCCGGGCTTGGGACCGGCAGTAGCCCCTAAGGTTCTACTGGCGGAGTTCTTTCAAACCTTACAAACTATCTAATAAAACAAGATCAATTATTTCTCTGTATGCGTGCTTTTTTAAGTTCATTTAATTATATGGCTCTTTATTGTTGCATTACTGTTATGATTTCGATTTATAGAGCGAAATTTTCATAAATCTTTGAAATTCAATACCAGATCCTCCATGTATTTGGATCTTTTTGTCAGTACAACACAAGAATCTTCAGTTAGATCAACCAAAACTAAGCTATTAGTATTTAGTATTCTTACAGAGTAGTGACGAAGTGTGATTTTACAGATTTTAAATTGAAAGTATGGTCTAATGATAAATTGACTAATGAAGTAAATCAAACAAGTCTTCAATCGCACGTAATTGTTTCTTTTCGTAAGCTCTCAATAAGACAGGATACAGACTGACGCCTTGCAGTAGGTTCAACGTAGATTTTATGAAGGTAAAATGTAGAACCAAAGAAAAAGACATCATATTATTTCTATTTAGTCTGACAATATGTAAACCAAATAAATAACCATGAATTAAATTCAAGTATTCCATAAAATTTGCAATAATCATCAGTGTTTATTTCCTATCATGAACGAAATGATCAGTCTTAGGGTCAAAGCCCCTCCTACTAAAGACGGCAAATAAATCGTTGGAAAAATTTTAGCTGGTAAAGATTTATTATTTACCACTTTTTTGAGCAAACAGATACATAATATATTAAGGCATGTTTTGAAATGAAGTACTTTGAGAAATAAACAACAGACGATAATATGAGGACAGTAAAATTAGTTTTGTTAACGGAACACACATCTGCACTTAACTTACAATTGACTTTGTATCGTCAGGAACTCTCATCGGTATAATCATATTTACATCACTGTTATCAATAATTTCGTCTCGAACAGATGTGAATTCTTTGATCTGAATGGTAGGACAAGTTCCAAACTGACTGGGTAAGTTTAGTTTCGTAGGATAAATGCTCAAATACTGGTTTTGGTCTGATGGTTGAAAATAACATAGGGTTCTGCCGATTGCATTTGTATGTGAAACAACTGCACCAAAAATTATGAATGGTTTTTCGGGCAATCCAAAACAATCTTGTGTGTCGACTGTTTGGGAGAAAGATAAAAAATCGAAATCACATAAATCGTGTTTTTGGTAGTCACTACTTGTAAGATCTATAGCAGACAATGCACGGTTCAAGGGCTGTTCATCTGATTATGTCCGTTTTTTAGAGAAATTAGTTTCATATAGTAAACAAACAGCAATGATGGGAATTTTACTTATGTCACTTCATAAAGCTCTGATATAAAACGACAACTTTGTTCAGTTATATAATATTTAAGAAGATATGGTTTAGAAAATACTAAATGATAGAGTCTAGTATTCCTTTGAAGCTTATACAAAATTAACTAATAATAAAATTTTCAAAACCTTTAATTATCAGTGATGGTATATTAAAGTGAGCTTACTGATGTATTCAGGGAGTAATGATGGTTTGATTTAAACAGGCATCCTAGACTAAGAAAACACATTTTGGCTATAAATTAATAGATTCATAAACTTGATACTACCAAAATAATTTATATGGTCTATAAGGATTTCTTATTATATCTTAAGTCAGTCAGTCAGTACTATATATATATATATATATATATATATATATATATATATATATATATATATATATATATATATAAAGTGTCTCGAGAGATGAGGAGCCAAAGTAATAAACATATCACTGATGCCTGAACTGACTTAATAAAAGTCTTTGAATCCACCACCAAAACTCGTTTTTAGTAGCACGTGAAAACATACAACTCCTTTACAATGAATACCATATATATTGCGAAAACTTGATGATATATGGATAATGTTTATGCGTTCCATTTAATGATTATTTGAAGACCGATAAATACGCTTTAATCTACAACTTTATGAAGCTGGGGAATAAAGTATGCGCGTATCATTTTGTCATCCATTTTAATTAAAATTTGTTTAATGCTTTATCCGAAGTAGTAAGTAGACGTCACACAAAACTTACTTTTAAGTGTCTTTGGTTTCACAAAATGAATCCACAGCAGAGAAACATGTAAATAAGTTAAGAAAAAGTTGTTCATATTGACAAGTCACGTATATGTACAAATAATAGGATGAGATATCAACAATTAACATCGACTACCTCTATGCAGAAACTGTATAAACTAAAAACAAATAGAAATACAGCAGGTTAGTAAATAGCAATCAGTGGGTGATGTTAGCTAAAAAAGTTGGGACAGATGAGGGGGTAAATAATGATTTAAAACCAAAAAACAGCGGTTTAACTAATTTTTAATACTCATAAACAGACTTTCGCTTTTGTGAAACTTATTCAACTATGAGAATTATGGATTAGCAAATAATATACTTTTAAATCGTCACAAACATTTCCTTCTTATTTACTGTGCTCCAGTTCTCTGACCGCACAAATAGTAATAGATAGAGGATTTTAAACGATGCTTCAATTGTTTGAACTAATGTGGTTTTTTGATAAAGTATGTTTGTCTCATAGATATATTTTCAAAATACTACAAATCACGCACGCTAATATAAATCACCCGAGCACATACACTAGATCATACGAAAGTATTTTCGATTGTCGTCACAAATCTATTTACAAAATCCTAACTCATTCTTACTAGCCACATATTGGTGTGTAGTCTGAAAGCGTTGGTATGTTACGATCCATACAACATACCTAAAGGAGCAGCAGAAAGTTTTCACAGTAAATCAATAAAGATTGTCTAAGTCTCCGTTTCCCAACATTTCTTTCACAAATTGCATATATTAATCGACTGCTTTCAGCCTTATTCTTTCGATACAGCTTTAATTATTTGGCAATTGCCAGTGACTAGTTGTCTAAAAATTCGAATGCAAAAATTCTAGTCGGCTGAAATTTACTTATGAATTTATGTCCCGTGATTTGAGTGAGTGCGTTTGTCTCAGGGTATTAAGGTTTCTGAATGGCAGCAGCTATAACATAACTAGACTGGCGACCAGTTAGGTACAATATGGAGAATAGAAGAGAAAAAATTCTAATGCTAATAGGAGGAAAATTTCAGAACTATGTAAATAATTTAATAAGTTATTTAATTGGTAGCTTAGACGGTGTGAGAGGAGAGAAGAGTAAGCAAAGAAGGGTTAGGGATATTAGGTGGCATAGAATAGGTTAGCTATCATGACAACTATCAAGTTTCAAGGAACGCATCAGGCACAGCTGGTCCAGGGTGGGGATGAAAATCCGTGTTTACCAAGTCTCTTCCCGAAGTTGTCCACTAGGGGCCTGCGGTCACTTTAAACAAAAAATATACCAGGCTGAACAGCTCTAATGAGAAAAAAGCGCACGAAACTAGATACTCGCTCTTAGAAAAGCAGTTTTTCGAAGGTTACCTCGAGGAACTTGGTGGTGATATTCTGGCAAGATACCACTGTTGCGGTGATTATGCATACTCAGAATGTTGTATGTCGTTATCTGATATTATTTGATCCTTCTTAAACTCGGCGGGAATAGTTCCTTATGCTGACGTTCGTCTTCGCGAGATTCATTTTTCAACCATACCCCACATTGTGTAGCTCGTTTCTGCACTCAATACATGAGTCTTATGTCCTTTTTAAGAAGAGATGGTACGATAACGTTGCGAACTTCATGCGTATGTTTGAAACACAGATAAGAACAGTTTTAGAGTAACTGCACAAATTACGGCTAAATATAATTCCCTAAAGATATCAGTTTTAAACACAATAATAATCGCATTTCTTATCATGAATATTAAAATTCATGTAGAATAGTACTAATAAAGATAAGAAGGTAAATGAAAGAATAAACAACGGAAAACAGGAGATAGAAAGCTAAACAACCATCGCAGGAAATGATGTCTGTGTGAAACTCAAATCAATAAGCGCTCTGTTGACTAGGTCAGTATATGCGGAACACTTTATTTCCAATATCCACCTTACGGCAGCTTGAAGAGGACAGAAATATGGCTGGCTTATGTTCGTCTTGGCTACCGTGGTATTTAAGCTGTTTCACAGTTCTTTCGAACGTGTAGAAAATCGAGATATTATTTACGTGTTAAGGTCAATCTGATTCTTGAACTGAGTTATTATTTCAAAGCATCAGAGGCTGGTTGGAAGTCTGCTCCATAGATTTGAGCAGCAAACGACAATCAAATTTTTCCATGGGTCTATCGTGTCATTTTCTGTGATAATCGTTATCATAAGATAACCTAGAACTCGTGTTGGATAAGACTAACCTGGTTTTCCATACGCAAGAATGATAAAAGGTGTTTTGGACGATTTTTCTTATTATGCTTGGTAGTACGAACGTTTCATTAATGTGTAGTGGTATACTTTTACGAAAAAAACACAACTGCTGAAATATAAACACTTATTATTGTACTTATTTCTGGCAATAATTTTTGTATTGTACACCTCTTGTTTATCTGTACTAAAGACTATCTCTTGGGTTCTAAGCGTGTCTTGGCCTTTTGAGCCTTCTCTCCTAGCTCATTGTTAGCCACTCGTATAATCTAGACTCGTGATTATTTCGATATCATGAGGCTAGTAATAAACATATCTCTTCCTCCAGAATCGTCTTTTATCTGATTACTAGAGTAACGGGATTAACCATTTGTGATCCCGCGAAGTGGTATATTTATTCGGTACTACGTCAAATGGCCCACAGTTACCAATAACGTTGAGTTGTTCTCTCACGAATTATGAGGCGAAATTTTCAATACACATGGATCAGTTTCATAGTCCATAATGCGTCAATGTATAGCGTAAATGAAAAAGCGCCATGTCTACATTGTTTCAATTGAAATGTGATTCTCATTCGAAACGTGAAACAGGAGTTTCCATAAGTTTTTTGATTAGTCTGCCTCGTCTTTAATAGTTTTTCAGGTCTGAGTTCTGAAGGTATGCCGTTGAGTGGAGGCTTAAGACGCATTGATCCATTATAAGAAATTCATAACTGATATGATATGCGACCGGGGTCGTAGTAGATTATAAGTAATAAATGAAGTGTTGCTGGCAGTCTTTAATTTTTCAGGTTGTTTGATAGATTTGATTAATATTGATGTTGTCGTTGATTGCTGATTGACCTATGTACTAAGCTTCTGGAAATTCTCTTGTGTTTCTTGAATACCTTCTCTATGATTTATGCTTTAAAATGTGATAGTAACTGTAACTAAATTGGTTTTTGTAAATGAAGACCGCGTTCTCATCTCCAATATCCAATATATTTTTCACGAGCTAGTGTAAGCCAATTTGATTTCTTCGCGCTTGATTCTTGTTCTTTCGCTACGGTTACAGGTGTTCAGTAATGTCCAATGGATGGAGGTCTAGCCACTCCACTGTCTAATTCTAGTCAGTTGGCAGTTGCTTGTGAGTTTGTATGTCTCGGGATTTGAATGAAACGTTTGTTTCAGGGCAGTACGGTTTCTGGATACTAGCAGCCGTCACATTACCAAACCGGAGATCAGTTAGTTGCAATGTAGAGAGTAATAAGGGTAATAAGGATAAAATTCTAATGATAATGTAAGTAAAATTTCAGAACTGAGTAATATATAGATGAATTTAGTTTATTAATTGGTAGTGAAGATTGTGAAAGAGGACCGAAGTGTGAGCAAGGGAGAGGAAACAAAGATAATAGGCGAGATAGGTTAAGTAAGTGACCTAAAGAGATGGCAATGAAAGCAACTAGCAGGTCTCAAGATATGCATCATGAACAGCTTGTCCAAGAGGGAGATGACAGTCCGTATGTGAGTACGTGATTATCAAGTCTCTTCTTAAAGCAGTTCACTGAGGGGGTTGTGGTCACCTCGACTGGGAGAGCATTCCAAGTTGCGACGACTCGCAATGAGAAAAAGTGTGCACGAGCCTGAGTACTCGCTCTTTGATGTGTAATCTTTCGAGGATTACCTCGAGGTGAGTGATGGTGATGCATCGGTAAGATGCTCACATTGAGATGGTTTGACGTGTTTAACATGGTGTACGCCATAATCAGTCCTCTTACGTTGCTATAGAGGCACGTGGTGGTTTGTCTCAGCACCTGGTGCACTTCTGCAGCAGCATCCGTTGTCGGATCTTCAGACACGTTATTCAAACCGAATCGGCCAGTTCTGTGGGAACTTGCATCTGCAGGTTTGTTGCTTGCGCGGCTGGTTCAATCAAGTCTTGTGCCAGGGGTAGTTGACCGAGGTTAACTATCAGTTTCGTGCGTTCATTTCGGCCTCCCTGCTGTTGTCTCACATATCTAGGTCGGCTTTCGCAACACCTGATGTGGCTAGGCAGATCGTTCCTCGAACTGTACCAAGCTTGTAATGTTTCAGTCAGGTCTTCCCGGTTCCTAACTGTCACAGCCATCAGGCGTGGTGACTTGATGGACGTAAGGTGTGACCTTAAAATTCTCTTATTTCCGTCAATTTATTATACTGCTGTGGCACTTTAATCGAGTTTTATAATATGCTTGATAAGTTAAGATATCGTCAAACTATATTGCGCCTTTGTGGTTAACAGGAATTAGTTGAAAATATTTTTAGCTAATAACTTATCGAATTTAGAATCTCCATGAGGTGGCCGGTATAGGCATACCAAAAGTGACCCGAGTGGAGCAATCCAAAGGTAATCATTCTCAAGTTTTTATGCTTGAATGTTTAAACGGACGCTGAAAAATATGCTACCTCAATTCTACGGTATCTATCGTACATAAATCCAGCTTCTTACTTCGACTTCTCTTCTATCCACCTGACACTGAACAATTCTTTCTTCTTTTTGCTGTACTCCTTTATCTGTGGGTTGTTGTATTAGTGAGTTGATTTTTTCCAAGAAATTTCTTTAAAACCAAAGATCAAGTCACGTCTATCACTCAAGTTTTTAAGTTTGAACTGATTTCACTTCATGCCAGTAAATACTTTTACCAGCAGATCTGAACGATTATGTTGAGAAAGGACTCCATATTGGCTGCTTGAGCAGCAGCGTTAAAAAAACTGTAATTGAAATACCACCGAAGCATCCGATTACTTTCACTTACTTTCAGAGGATCTACATCATTTCTACCGATTAAGTTCCTTTGAATCTCCTCTATTCATGAGATTATTTGCCTATTTTTATCTCCCTACTGACTTTTCTCGTGTTCAGTTAGTGTTCTAATACAAAAATTAAAGGTCTGAGTAATCATACTTTTGTTTTACGTTAAATAGTCTCATTTTCGAATGATTTCTCTTATGATGCTCACTCATTTCTCATTTATCCTATTCTTCGGCACCTCATCCTACGTCTCAAATAATGGCCTTGATATTCCTAGGAACTTGGCTGCTTTACTTGGGAGTCTGTCCAGTTATTGTCTGGCCAATGTCATGAAGAAGGTCAATATACACTTACTTCATCATTCTTATTATATAAGGCCCTGGGTTTAACTTTCATTTATTTTCGACCTTGCGGCACAACCGACGTAAATCATGTTAACTATTAGTTCGTACATTCCAGAGTCCGGAACATTATTTACATATTTTTGTGAATAGTATCATCCGTGCATGATAATAATCAGAGTATCTTGTAAAATATTTACCTAACTGATCATTCTACCATAGCAAATATGTGGGCCGTTCTAACAAACAGATCTTGCCTGTAAACCAGCATGTCACATTTAACGCATTGTTATTTGTAATGTGCTTACTGCAATTCTGAGTTATTGAGGCTGGTCTTGGATTGATATCTTGGTAGGTTTATAAATACAGTCTTTCTAAATGAATAAAGTCTGGGTTAAGAGAGAGAAGCACCAATCCGTTATCTTTGTAGTTATGTTATGCTGCAAAAATAGTCCATCACTGATTCAGGATTCTGTCAGCAGTTATCTGAAGTTTCCAGACATTGAGATCCTAAAAAACACCAAAATGAAATAGGCTTCGTTGCAATTTCGGTGAGGTAAATAAGTCTTGAGCGAGTTAGTCTAGGGTTTTCATTGCCTAACTTTTTGTAGATACACAATGTGATTGACAGGTCAAAATTTTAAAGTCACTGTTCAAAACAGATTTTCAGTTCTCTTTGTCTTGTACACTTAACACCATAACATTTCTCACAGTCACAAAATTCTGAATATGTATAGTCATTTTTCTCAGTTTTATTCACTATTATTAGTTTAAGGTTCTTAGATATACTGATTAATTATCAGAGCAACGAGTCACAAATGTTCTAAGTTTGGCATTTTCCACTGTCAAATTCATAATTACTTTAGGAGGAGGTCCGGGTTGATTTAGTTTTCTATCAGTGTATGTATGGCTATGCAGTGGGAATGGGCATTAAAAAAACAGTATGGGGGGCGAAACGTTCGGTAATGGGGGCCGATCGCTAAACTTCTAGATAAATAGATATACTTGTAATTCTGTTAGTGAAATCGCTTAAGTGGTCAGAGTAAACGAGGTTTACCTCGTTGTTGGTATCATGGGAATGTCGTTGAAAAACTTAAGTTATTGAACCTATATGCCTAACTTTATAATTTACTCCATCCATACTTTGAAGAAATAACCATTAGTGAGAAAATATAGTCGAGTGAACCGATTCATTTAAGAGTATTAATTATTCGCTGTGGTTATGAAATAAGAGAATGATAGATTTGTTTCTGTAAGCTTTGCTATTTAGAGAAGTATTTGGATCAACAAATGTTGTGAGTTGAAGTGGGAGAGATTAGTCTTGGGTTTTGTGATGACTAGTGAAAGTGATTTTCCTTCAAACATTTCATCATATAATGATCCTAACACCTACGTAATAAGCTATTAATTTGGGACTGAGTAACTAGGATGAAATTAGTATTAGTAAGAGGCAGAAACTTTCCAATGTGAGCGTTATAAACCGTTGGGAACATGTATATAACTTTGGGAAAATTAGGTGCATATTACGTTAGAAATGACCTGTGAGATCCAACCTTCTGAGGGAAATCGCCTGATGAATAAGACTCCAAAGTTTGCTCGATAGCAGCATTGAAACAGTTAATACATTTTGTTTAGACATTTCACTCAAACATGCATCTTGAAAAATGCATAGTGAGATAGGAATATACCAAGCGGAAAGAAAAATGTTCATTTTTGACTTTATATGTAGTCTACAGGTGGCGATCTTTACGAGTATTTTTGATTTTTCATTGCAGATAGTGGGATTCAATGTTGCGGAAGAGAGTTAGTCCTTGAGAAAAGAGAGATGAGAGGGAGTTTAGGAAAGATTTGCTTTTTAACGTTTATTTCTCGCGTGCTGTCACGGGTATGAGGGAAATTGTCACTTCCCGGGTGCCTACACCGTGGCAGAATGTTTTTTGAGGAACGTAGAAAGTAGGTTAGATCGGTGTTGGTCTTAACGAGCCAGATGGACAGCTGCTTGAGGTCTGTCAAGAACAGCCATTTCATGGGAAGTCATCGGAGTATGAGCTCCGCTCATGTCTAAAGGGCCTCATCGCCGGAGACGGAAATCCGTGAGATAAGGTGAGGTGTGAAAATTTTTAGGGTCGACCTTTTCTAAATCTTCCTTCCTTGTGAGAAGGTAGCATCGCTGCGAATGCTGGTTGTCCGAGGGGAACACCTTACTGCTGTTACACCCCTCTTCATTCAGCAGTACGACCTAGCCCTCAGACCTTGAATAGCTTCTCTTTGTTTTACCGTTTTTCAATCGACCTGCCTCGCATGGTACAACCTTCAGGAACATATGTTCCAGACGATATGGCTAGGTAAGGTCATCATGATAGGTAAGCAGCTACGGCCTGGATACGAAGAAGTATTTACTAACCACCTTTAATAAGTGTCAGAAGATTATTTTACATAGAAACTTTTTGATACTTTAACCGAACCACAATAAACAATCATTTTGCTGGTAGAAAACGAGCCCATCAAAATGAATGGAGTCATAAGACATTTTAACTTTTTCTTATACTTTAGACTTTATAAAACATCCAGTTTCAAATAGAACTATCCTAAAGCTTCATATAAGGTTAGAATTTTAAAGTTTACATTTACTACTTATTGAAATAATCGACCTTCAGGCTCAGAAAAATTGACCAATCAGAATAACATAGTGTTGCGGACGAAGACAAATTGTACGCAACTTCTGCATTCTCTCCAGACTATGGGACAGTTTAAGATCGTACGCTGCATTCGATTATTTTCATTTTTCAGGGTGACATTGTGACGTTTGTTGATGGGGGTTCTCAGTCATTTGGCGAAATATTGCGGGTGAGAAATGATGATTGTGACGTAAAAGTATTAATTGATAAAGAGGTATTTTATCGTATGATGCACTGAAGTATACCTAAAGGAGAAAGTTATACAGGTTCCTCGTTCCAGAATGCGGAAAGACGTTAAGGTAATTGCGGAGGATATGGATAACATGGTCAACCTACCGTAGGTCTATTTATTTTTTTATAGTGATTTTTAGAAACATGTCTGCGATTTCTATGCTAGAAACCCTGAAACTGCGATATTCGCGTTCAAAAATTTATGTAACCTTTCATTTTTTTAGCTTCATTTTTAGACGTATATTGGAAATATAGTTGTTTCTGTAAATCCATATAAAGATTTATTAATCGACGGACCGGAAGTAATGGCGAAGTATTTTAACCGGATGCTCACAAGTGTTCCAGCGTAAGATAAGACTTATCATCCGAGCTTTTAGGCATTTATATGGACTTGCAGAAACGTTATATCAGACTGCCCTAAGGAACGATTGTGATCAAATTGTTGTCATAAGGTTTGTTACTACTTCATTTCTACTGTTAATCACCACACAAAATCCATATTCAATGTAGTTTTAATATACATATATCTCTTCGAATGATAAATACCACTATGGGCTACACGGCAACACTTTAAATGGCTACTTGGTTTCTAATGTCATATTTTAAAACTGAATAAAATTAGCTTAAAATCACATCTACATATTTCAGCAGTCAGCTCTGTGTGCACTTTTAGTCTGAATTTAGGGTGAATAAGGAGCTGGCTAGTTTATCCTAGTTTTGGTGATGGGGTTCTTTAAGCCTATCCTACTCTCTTTTCACCGGTAGTGTCTCAACAACGTGTTAAAAGTAAGAATGGCAAGTCACTGGTTATCAACTCTTGAACATTTTTGACATGTTCTTGTAAATTTTCTGTTTTGGAGGACTGAAAAAACAAATGAATGTGATTTGCAAGCTATTACTAAATAATTTGAAGACCATAATAATGTCATCAGCCTTTCACTTTAACAAGAGTAGTAAATTTGGCTTGGTCGATATTTCGTCACACGATAACTCTTAGTAATAACAATGGGTTCGGATTTTTAAATCTTACCTGACAGCTCGCTGTCGCTTCCTTCTGAATAGTTTGGTTGCTTGTAGTGAACGCTACAATTTTGTTCAAACGGACACTACGCACAATATCAGGATTGTCTTGACGCCTACGTGTCTGAGTACTATATAGAACTCTTTGTTATTATTGACTTTATTAGATGAAACGGTAAGGCATAATAAGACAAAATAAATTTGCTACAGAGAAATCTTGTGTAAGTACTAAAAACACGTCTTTGAAGGTGTTTGGGAGGCATTCTTATTTTTCTAACTGCTACAAAAGTCCAAGAGTTCCTAGGCCTTAAATTATCACGATTTAGAATAAAAGTGTTCGGACAACGAGTGAGTATTTTAGTGTCATTGATATATCTAATTTTTGTCGGTACGGTTTTATGAAATTCTGTATGTAATTCTTCTTAATAGTGGTGAATCTGGCTCAGGAAAAACGGAGGCGTTTAAAAGAATCACGCAATATCTTGCATGTACAAGTGAACAAGGGAAAAACGGTCTGAGCTCAGTGGCTAGACGGGTTTTGGAAAGTACTCCGGTTCTCGAAAGTTTTGGAAACGCAACAACTCTGAGAAATGATAATTCTTCACGATTTGGCAAGCTGGTGGAAATTTTCTTTGCAAAGTATGCTTAAAGTTAGTGTTTGTTGTTATCATCATTTTCATTGTTGCTTATCATATCCATTCAAACTATAATCGGTTGATTTGAAGCAAATTACACAGAGTTTTTAAACCATCATAAATGTAATGAAAATTGTTGGGTGTTATATTTTTGACGGCATAAATTTTTGACAATCTGAAACTTTATCAAGTACGTATTGAAGCCTATTCTAATTTTGTGAGGATCAGCAGTTCCTTATAAACGATTTTACTTCTAAGTTGCCAAAGTTGTAGGTCGGATTTACTATTTCACTATCCATAAATGCTCAGGTGTGGATATATGAACACGTTTGGAACTTTTGTGTGTCAATTAGATCTGGTTTCCAATTGAGTTGTGGTTAATATTTGCATTACCTCTTAGAAATTCTCTACTATAGGTCTATTAATCTTTTAAACAAACAATTGTTTGCTGAATGAAAGACTTATGTCTCTATATTAGCTGAATAAGCGATGTAAAATTACATACTTTAGTACAACTTTGTTCATTTATTGTTGAAATGCTCATTATTTCTGCAAATTTTTAAGCTGTTTGAAAAAATATATCCTCACAAATAAAATGAAACAACTGAAGCAATTCACAAATATGTTTGTAAGCTAGTCAGATACAACATAGAGTTTGATACGTACGTATATTGGTTCAAGTTTTCATAACACATCAGCACAGAGAGGTCGAATTTTTTAATTCAAATCCCATATTAATAGAGGTTGTAGCAGTATTAGCGGTAACGAAAAAGATCATTTAACGAAGATATGATTCGGAGTATAAAACAATGAAATAAATTAAAAAACAAGAGAGGTCATTAGGAATCCAGAAGAGTAAAATTTGACGGAAGAAAAAGAATTGGTGCTCCTCTGCCGTTGCAAACAATTTTGAGAAATGTCATTCAGAGTATCTTAGCACCGGTTATTGTCTTGCGGACCCCAACCAGGTAGTCTACATCTTATAGTATGGTCAAGTTTAGTTGTCAATGGCTTTATGGATTTTTGTCAGGTTGTTTTTGTCCCGACCTTGTTTTCTTGCAGCCTACTCCTACACTATAGCATACATAACAGATTTCCCAACCATCGCACGTCCCAATCACTTCATCAGTCGATTCGCTATCCTTGATTAGTACCCTTTCTCAAACCCCAGGGTTACTTTCCCGGTGGTCCAAGGATATTTTAACAATGCTTCAAAGACTCCTATGATTAAAAACTAGTAACGTAGGAATAAACTCTATCCTCAGTGGCCATATTTCATACCTGTGAAGTTTTACGAAGCATGAAAAGATCACCAAATTGGATGCGTTAACGTGTCATAGTCATTAGTAATTAAGAAGTACAAGATTATTAATTTCGCATGTACCTTTGTTAATGGAAGGCATCTATTGATGAGATATTGAAAAATGAAAGGAAAATATTCCAAAGAGGAAAAAACAGCATCAAAAATGATTATAACTAAAATCGAGGTGGAAGTCAAAGGGGATTGAGGAGAGTAAATAAAGTATCTGAGAGTCTTGACTACTCATTTCGGTCTGAGCCGTTTACCATCTAATCTTAGGAGTTCAGTATAAAGAAGTAATTTTATGTTATAATTTCATAACCAATCCTTTCCGGCATCTGCACTTCGTTTATTAGATCGTGATCTTCAACATCTACTGAACTGTGACTATCAATATAGTACCTTTAGTTTTTATAGAATGAATAACGCCTATTTATTATCTGGTAAATCATGTTCAGTTGAAAGTCCGAAGTTTTGTTATGAGATAACTGAACCGATCAACTTTTAGCCAAAATATTGTTTTATGTCGGTTACACAGTTTGTCCCCAAAATACCTTAGTAAATCGAGCTTCTTTATTTTGACACGGTGAAATCAAATTAATGATTTTACTAGGACCCTGTATGCGCGTTTCCGAAACGCAGAACTCATCGATGGCACGAGATTCTAAAGTCCTAGCTAATGAGACCTGTTGCCCTATTTGACACAATGTCCGTACATTAAATGCTCCAAAATTTAATTTAGAACGAGGTTTCAGAAGACCAGGAATGACGTTTCGTGAACTCGAATCGTTTGTATTAGCGGTGCAGTGTTATGTAGGAATGTGAGTAGAGTTAGTCGTGTGGATAAGAGAGATGTTAAGGGGTGTAAGAAGGATTTGATTATGACCGATTTGGTCTCGTGTGCTGTTACTGGTATACGGGCGATTGTCACTGCGGCTTCCCACACCATGGAAGGGTGTTTCTTGAGGAACCTGAAAAGGAAGGTAGATTAGTGTTGATCTTGATGACCTGGCAGCGTGAAGGCAGAGCCCAACGGACAACTGCTTGAGGCCGGTCACGCACGGCCTTTTTATGAGAGGTTTTTTGAGTATTAGCTCCGCTCTTGAAAGCCCTTATTGGGCTTGGAAAATCCGTGAGGTAAGGTGAGGTGTGAAAATTTTTAGGGTCGACCTTTTCTAATTATTTCTTCCTTGTGAGAAGGCAGCATCGCTGCGAATGCTGGTTGTCCGAGGGAAACACCTTACTGCTGTCACACCCCTCTTCATTCAGCAGTACGACTTCGCCCTCAGACCTTGAGTAGCTGCTTTTATTCTCATCGTTCTCCAGTCGACCTGCCTGGCAAGGTAGAACATTCAGGAGCATAAGTTCCAGCCAATACAGTTCGATTGGTGCATCAAGATAGGCAAGCTCGACCACCACGTTAAGGTAGCAGCAGCAACAGCGTAGTTGTAGTTATCATGTCATCATGGGCCAAGTGTTTACTGACAAAAAAAACCATCTAGAACTCTCCCTGAAAGATATATTTATAAGATTCGTTAAAAATTATTCGAGTCTCACTTTAAGGCCGGAAAGTATAAGGTCGAGTTTAAATATCTCTAAGCTTGCTTCGATTGTTGCGCAAAACGTATCAACAAATCAGCACCTAGCTGTGCACATTTATTATTGTATCATCTGATAGTCTCAGTTTTTTCCTTTGCTTTGTCAGCAAACACAAACGCTAGAAGATGTAGAATCTTTCAAAGTATTATAGTTTTTTGCTTGTAAGGTTTACAAGTTTTAATAATCTTTACCAAAGTGTAATGGAAAACCGGCTAGAGCGGTTATAAAGGCTATCGCATCTTAATTTTTACTTTGTTTTTTATATTGTATTCAACACTCATTCCATGTTTTCAAGATTATCTTAAAGCAAACCAACCGGACTTGTGCACATGTTCACCTTTATGTTTATCATTTTGTTGCCAAATTCATTTTGACTAAATTAGTCTTTTCTAATGAACCTTTTTGAAATGTATCTGTGATGAACAGTTTATAGATACCCATAAGCTAATTGAACTTTTCAAACTGTTTTAGATGGCCTGATGGTGGTGATTGTAGAGAAGGAATTATATACTTAGTTTTATTTTTCTACAAATCACTTAACTGTTATTTATACGGATCGTCATTATAAGCTGAATCAAAACAGCTGAAAAGCAGAAAAATACCTGGTAGTTTGTTAGATTCTTAGCAGTACTTCTCTATGTCCATGATATGATGTGGTACAACTATTCAGGTTTTTTAAGAAACAGTTTACGGATGATATAACCCCTTCTCTAGTTTTTGTCATATGTACTTTACTACTGTACTTGACACTTATTTCCTTCGCTGTTTTGTGTCTGATTAAACATCACAATTCTGTAGAACACTAAATCAGTGTGCCCAGATAGGTGATAAATTTTATAACTGTTCAATTTATCGAAGTCTAGATAGCACCATTCTATCATAAGTATATTTGTACTTATTAATTTGGTTTCAGTTAAATTTTTTAAGCCTCTTACTTTAATTATGATAATTAAATATGTTATTTCAAACGATTATATATATATACATATATATATATATAGGCCTAATCCTATATGAATGGTCTTAATCTCTGATTGTCCCAGTTTATAAAAAAGGACAGAAGTACTCTAGTGATAATCACAAAGGTATCAGTTTATCCAATATAGTGTATAAATTGTTAGCCTCGATAATACTTAGACGCCTAACTAGAGCTCATGAAGAGCAGACTCAAGAAAACCAGGCTAGTTTCGGACCCGAATGTGGCTGCATAAACCACTTATTCACACTACGACAGTTTCTACTTGGTGAAGACGCTGATAAAATGCAGAGTCTTCTGACCACCCTTCGAAGCAATACAAGCATGTTGAGGAGGTGATTCTCCTCGTCGAAATTCAAAATGTCGATTCAGTAGTTTACAGCAGTTTGCTACTTCCTACTATATGAGTGTGAAATATGGCCAGTAAGAATAGTGGATGTTCGTTGGTTACTGGTTTTCAATCATAGATGTCTCCAAAGCATTGCTCGTATAGCTTGGGATAACTGCGTAAGCAGTGCTGTAGTTAGGAAACCAGTAATAGTTGAATGATGGCAAATCAACTGATGAGGTACTGAATCTGCATCACTTGAGGTGGTTTGGACAAAAGTTAGAAATGTCCAACCACCAACTGCCTAGATGAGTGATGTTTTGTGGTGTAGGAGTAGGTTAGAAGAAAGCTAGGGGTGGCCAAACCAGAACATTGCACAAACCCATGAAGTCACTAACAAGTGAACTGACTCATGTTGGCAGATGTAGGCTACCAGATTAGGGTCCGCGAGACGAAACTGATCGATTGTTCAGACCTTGAACGACATGGCTCAAAATCGTTTGCCATGGCCCAGGTGCATCCATTCATGTGTTTTCTCAAATCCAAAACTTCCTAATTCCTCATCACTTTATCTTTTTCTTTTAAGTTTATTTCACTAGATTCTACTTCCTGATTAATATTTTCGAATCCTAATCTCTCTGATTTCTCTTAATTCTTTACTACCTCTACAACTATGGGATTTAAATTGACGAATGCGTGTCTGTTCTGTGGTATGGCAACTTGAACTTATCTACCCATGTACGAAGTTCTACGTTGTAAGTGACTAACTGATTTGTATACTTAGTCTGTACCTAATTAGTTGATGTCTCTGAATCTATTACATTGCGCGCGCTCATTGGAATAATGCCATAGATTTTATGTATTTTTTAAACATTTTGGGTCTTTGTTTATGTTTTGTATAGGTCAGTAATTATTGGAGCGAAAATCACCAACTTCTTACTTGAGAAATCTAGAATAGTGCGACAAGTGAGAAATAATATTTTGCGCTTATTTTATCTCTCCTTATTTTTGTGCAATTATAATATTTAGACAATTATGTTTTTCTGATGGAATCAATTGGGCTGCTGAAGTCACCGGTTTGTGTTAAGAGATTGAAATATTCAGTTACTGACGAAACGGATCTATTAACATCAAAACCACTGATTGTAGAAGATGAAATCATCTGCCATATGACTGAGTACTTGATTATATAATAATAAATAAGCTAATGTTTATGTACAAGATAGTATAAAAAGGAGTTATGTATCAAGAATGAACATACATTTTGAAAAAAATCGTTAACTGTCATTGCAGTTCAAATAGTATGGGTGTTTAGGAATTGATCGGGTTTTGCATACTTTACCAATCATTAATCAGTAGACGTCAACTAGATTGATGGATGTCCATTCATGTGATCTAAAGTGCTCGCCTATCCTTAAATTACCAACAAATCAGGTTATTATGAGAGAAGACAATTCGTAGTTCAGCTTCAGAGATACCAAAATTTAGTATTTTAAGATTTCTACTCTAATCTCACCAAATTTAAAGTTTATAAACAAAATCTCCTGTATATTTCATGAGATACTTATTTTACCTTATGTTGCAGTCGAATATTATTTTGACAGTTGATGGTTTTCCTTAATCACACATAAATTTAAAATGAAGTAAATACAAATTAAAAATTGAGTTATATACTCCTTATGTTCATAAAAATTACATAACTTTTTTTTTATCCAAATACACTAAATACATATACACATTTTATCATCAACTATATTTATTCATTGTTTACAGTCTGAAAAAGAACGTAACTATCATGTATTCTATGAACTACTAAGTTCACTAGATAATGAGAGTAAGGCAAAGCATCATCTTAAAAATGTTGAAGATTATCAATATTTGATGAAAGTAAGTTAATAATTTGTTCATTTGCAGTTTACTTATTATCGTCACGGTTGCCACGTTTTTTTTAACAACAATAATAACATGAAATGAATTATGAACTCCATCACATGTAAATCTGTGATTTTTTTCTGAAGATCTTCTGATAATCACACTGAAAAAAAGTGGTATCTTATTGTTCATCAGAACGTTATCTAGAAAAACAGCGAGAATGAAGTCAGTATAACAATAAATAGAATTTGAAAACATTATTCTTTTAGTAATAGATGTAATTTATAATTGTTTTAAATTATTAAGACTTAAATACATGGTAACATTGATTCAGACTCACTACCTTTCATAAAGTTATCTAGGTCACTTCTTATTTTCAAATAGTTTACTATAAACAACTCAGAGCTAACGTAGCACATGTTGCTGCAACAGATAGATACAGTGGGGTGGCATTAAAAGGAGTGATGGTTAGAAGGACTGAACATTTGGAACTGCTTAAACTTCTGACATAGATGAAGTGGTCATTGAGCACAGATGCTCCATTCTCTATGATTGATGTGGACTAATCGTAAGATAACATATTGATTTCCAGTTGAGAGAAGCGCATCTCAAACATGTCTGAATTGTTATTGAAATCGTTAAGAAGACTTTGTTTTTGTAACTGTCTTCAACATACAGGACTATTTTTGATGCTTGTTCCCAATAGTTAAGTCAACATCCTAATTTTGGTTATTCTGGAGTTCTTGTCTCTGTCTTAGAACGTAAACACCAGTCGTTATGTCAGATTATTGTAATGTTTTAAATGTATCATGAAATATTGGTTTACTTTACTGATGGAATCCAGAAAAGTGTTTTTTCTATGAGTTAACACTTGATAAAGCTGTAAATTCCATACACTAACAACTCTAGACAGAGTTTCCTGGAAGTAAGTAGGACTAAAGCAGTCGGTTTATTGTGATGACTTATTTATCGTCTTTAAGAGAAGAAATTATCTTTTCATATGGGTATTTTAAATATCAAAAATTAGAGAGTTTCGTCCCAGTTCACCCCTGGTTAAACATTTCCAGTTAGCATAGCAATGTCTAATCTGTTTTCAGAGGTAGATACATTTTCAATTTGAAAATCAATTCTAAAAATGATTGTCTGACCATCATAATTTAAAATTAGTTTTCTCACTTGTTCCGTAGTATTTAAGAATATCAAACGATAAGAAGTTCTTGTTTGTGGAATAACAGGTGTCGCACTAATATTTTTATAACTCAAAATGAAATTAACTTTTTGTCATAAATAATCCGTTGGAAACAAACTGATACCATTTTCAATGGGTTTTTATCAGATATTTCTCAATGTCATAATATATATTTTAAAACGTACTCTATAACACCATGTTTTAAAAAATCATTTAAAACATAAATTTTAATACTGATTAAGGTAAAGAAAGTTTTACTTTTGTCAATGAAAAGAGTAGTACATTTAAATGTTTACTTGATTATGTTGTTGTGGGAATAAAGTATTTTCAGATTTCAATTATCTATTCCATATAATAACATATTTGTCCATGTTGACAATACATGGTTGTTTGAGAATAATCTTTTAATGACTGATTCACGTTCTTTAATCCCTAATTGAGAAAATATTAATTCAAATTGGAAGATTGTTATTCCTATCTGTATTTTTTTTTTAATTCTACAGGATTCAAGACGTACATTTAGTACACATTCTGATCGAGATGGTTTATCAATGTTACTTGAAAGTTGGCAAACATTAGGACTTTCACAAGATGAAATGGATTTATGTCTTCGTGTAGTATCTGCTGTATTACATCTTGGGAATATCACTTTTAAAAGTGATCACGATAAGGTTAGTTTTACATAGTTTTCATTATTGACTGTAGAAAATGTACTTGCGAATTTTTGAAATATGCTTTAGTCATTTTATCATATATATTAAATGTCATATTTTTGAGTAATAATCTCAAAAAAAAAGATAATAAAATCTTTTTTAGAAAAATGCCTAGATCTTTTATTTTACTCATGTTTACTCTAAGTCAGTAAATAAAATGAATTTAAAGACTAGATAAGATTTATTTAGTCTATGTTGAGTTTAAAGTAAGAAAAAACAAGAGTTACTTGATAAAACTACAAACATTCATTGAGTGAAAGTAGATTATATATTTGTATTAAACTTGTCAAATTGCAAGTCAATGAGAATGAAGATCGTTATAGATTTATGTTTGAGTAATTAACAGCCTGCGAATTATGTACTGGATTAGGTGGAGTTTTTGCAAACAAAACTTTTAAATAATATTGATAAGATTAATTTGAATTCCAATTACTGTTAGAATAATACCATAGGTGACTACAGTAAATAGTTAAAATAAATTATGTAACCAATCTTACTGAAAACTGTACAATATGTTAATCTATACTTTTTACATCAACTGTTTTAATGTTTAGAAATTTCAGTCATAAGAAAGATTTTATGTTTGACATGATAGATTGTAATTCAACTAGCTGGTATCAATTGGATATAGCGTTACACTAGGCTAGACCAAACTCCAAATAACTAAATAAAACAAAACACAGTGGTAAAAAACGTTAAGGTTTATGTAAAAATGACGATTTCTCCAAAACCTAATTGATTCATTTACTAGCATTGGTCAGTTTGAAAATGAAATTCGTGTAGTTAATTATACAATTAATGAAAATTATGGTATTATAATTTAATCTCTGTCGGTGTATTCTATTGTCTATCAGTAATGAGCAATTGACAGTAGATACTACAAAATTGATAAATAAATGCCTAAATTCAACTTTAAAACAGATTAACAAATAGTTCTTTTCATGCCCAAGCAGTGAAACAAACAATTACATCAAATAGTTCATTTCAAACGATAGATTATTAATCATTACAAATAAAAAAAGAAAAGTTATCAATAATATCTATGTTCATAATTATTATTATTCAATCAAAAAATAAAAGAATTATCTTTATTTATATTAAATTAATTTGTTATTCATAATTTGATGAATCCAATGCAATTTTTAATGACTATTAATTGATTATTTTTCAATAGGATAATACATTTATTACAAATCCATTTGTTGCTGAAATTGCAGCTTCAGAGCTTGGTGTAGATGTGACTGAATTAACTAAAGTGATAACAATGAAATTAACAGTAAGCAATGTTTCATTATTTAAATTATATACATTCTAATTGTTATATTATATGAAGATTGTAGCGTGTCTGTAGATTTGTCTACGTTACTATTCATTGTCTGATTATTGTATTGTACTGTAAAATAAGTCATTAGAATGTCTGTCAATTGTATGCTTGTAAAACAAGATCTCTTTGCATTTATTTTACTTTATTCTTCAGGTTGGGTTAGAGGAATGATGACTAGAACATATTTTGGACGGATTGATAAAATTAATTTTCGATCCTGTCTTTTGTAAACGCATTCCTTTTAGCTATCAATATATAATCCGGTTTGTAATGAAAATCAGCGATAAATGTTATTATATTTCTACATTTGAAATCATCAATCAATCATTATTAGACCACAATTAGAAACCTGAAAGCACTGAAAGACGGCCGTTTCATCCTGGTATGGGACTCATCAGCAGTGCGCATCCACGACTCCTGCACCTCGCAGGATTCGAACCTGGGACCTTCGGTATTGTGCGCGAACGCCTAACCGTTGGACCACTGGGCCGGCATCAAATGGTGTTAATGTCTAACTCTGATTGATCTAGGGATTTTGCGCGACCTCATCCATTTGTCTTTGGTAGTTACTGCCTACGTAAGCTACTTGAAATTAAAAACAAAGAATTAGTTCAGTAACATTGAATGAATAAATATATTAGCGCAATCCATTCACAATGCATATATATCCATAAAGAATAATTAAAAACTACTTAAGGTTTTTTTAACAGTAGGCAAATTAAAATTCCCTTTCTAATCATGATATAAGTTAAGCACCATGTTTAAAACTAGTATTATTTTGTCAAATTAAATTCATTTATTGTTAAAGTGAACATTTTAAAAGCTTTAGTGAATTTTCTACAATAAATATTTGTAGTTTTGTTAATTAACAAGTAATACTTTTATTGTATTGTATTGTATAAATTTCCATTCAGGAAACATCAATTGACAAACTATGGAGTCCGGTTAATGTTGCTGGTGCAATTGTAAATCGTGATTCTATTGCGAAAAGTTTGTATGCAGAATTTTTCGATAGATTAGTAGAGAAAATTAATCTAAAAAATGCACCACCAGATTATATAGATTCAAATACAAAATCATCACTACGTGCAATTGCTTTACTGGATATTTATGGTTTTGAAGTAATTATTATTGATATTTCATACTTGTTTTAGTAAATATTATCATTATTATATTATTTTTACTTATTTATTCAATGGATTTTTTGTTGATATGCGTTATCCTTAGGTGTAGTATTGCTTATTGTAATACTTATTTCATTTGGATAGTTTCTGTTGAATGTATCAATCATTTGTGGAAATTAAATATCCGGACAACATGTGGTTGAATTTTTGGTTTTCTCTAATCAACTTAGTAAAACTATTTTTCCTAAAACAATTATTTTAGGCTTATCTCACTCATTTTAATATTTTAAAAGTAAAGATTAAAGTCAAGCGAAGCTATTTGTTTAATTAATGCTAATTAACTAACTTATTATTATTATTATCAATAAATACGAAAAATTTATCCGTATCCTTAAGATGAATATAGAATAAGAGAATAATGGTCAAATGAGTAGAAAATGCCAAGGTAGAAAGAAATATTCAGGATTGTTGTCTACAGCTATGATAAGAATAGATTAATTATCTTTGGTTTCCTTTAGTGCCTTCAACTTAGACAAATGTTGGAGCTGTATAAAAAAATATTTCCTTTGACCTTCTTAGTTTACCTTAAATCATATAAATGCTTCTCATTTGTTTCTAAATAATAATTTCTTCATGAAATAAAAACCAATAGTGAAGTCTTGAATATGAACTTTAAAAGGGAAATAGATTTGCGATGTTTCCTTTCTCGCTAATAATGTTAGTTCTTGATGTAAAGCACACGGAACAATCTGTTGCATACTAATATTATATTGCTAGACGTTATTAACACACACAACAACAAACACAAGAGAAGCAGACCAGTTTAGCAGCAGTCTCTGCAGCAGCAGGTATAAACATACATAAAGGAAAAAGCGAAATTCTCCGATGCAACACAACATGCACCAACCAAATCACTCTTGATGGAGATGCCTTGGAGGACGTTAACACGTTTACATATCTGGGCAGCATCATCGACGAGAAAGGTGGATCCGATGCAGATGTGAGGGCGCGGATTGGCAAAGCAAAGGCTGCATTTTTACTATTGAAAAATTTCTGGAACTCTAAACAAATATCAATCAACACCAAAATCAGGATTTTCAATACATATGTCAAGACAGTTCTGCTGTATGGAGCAGAAACTTGGAGAACTACGAAAGCCATCATCCAGAAGATACAAGTATTTATGAACAGTCTTCTTTGCAAAATACTTCGAATTCGTTGGCCAGACACCATCAGCAACAGAGAACAAACCCGATTCCAGTGGAGGAGGAAATCAGGAAGAAGCGGGGGAAGTGGATAGGACACACAGTGCGTCACAAAGACAAGCCCTCACATGGAATCCTCAAGGTCAAAAGAAGAGAGGAAGGCCAAGGAACACATTACGCCGAGAAATAGAGAAAGACATGAGAAGAATGAACAAAAACTGGAAAGAACTAGAAAAGGAAGCCGAGGACAGAGTTGGTTGGAGAAAACTGGTCAGCGGCCTATGCGCCATCTGGGGTAACAGGCGTAAGTAAGTAAGTAAGATGTTATTAACCAATAATTATTCTGAAACGTAGCAATGTCAGAACTATATTATTTTATATGCAAAATCGGAAGTAACATTTGACTTTTTTGTATTTTGAGGGTGTAATTGTGTAAATTATGAAGTTACTGACTAGTTTCTAGATTGACTAATTTCTGAAGGTTCCTCTGTTACCTCGTGGTTTAGACTGATCTTAACTGTTGGTAAACAGTCATTTAGGGCTAATTTTAAAAAATCAATATCTAGTTCAGCAAACTTGTCATTACCAACTACCGTTTCACCAGTATTGTTGAAAAAACTTTCGTCATTCAAAAATGCTTGGATTAACATATATCCAAGTTTTATGTTGTTTTAATCATCACTTTACATCAGTTGAGTAAAGTTTCCTAATAATATTTATTCATGAGCTACATTTAAAGTTCAAAATGTGTTTATGAACATTTTGATCAACAATAAGTTGTTTTTCAAAAATAATCGAAATAACCCTAAGAAACTCATCATAAAGATAAGAAAAACTATACTATCATCTATATATTATGAATAGTTATCTTTTGGTTTTCATTTTGATTCAAATTTATTAACTATTAACTGTGGATGATTTATAAATAAAAGCTTTAGAAACCTAAAAGCTCTTGACGGTCGTTTCGTCTTGGTATGGAACTTATCAGCAGTACGCATCCACGTCTCCTGCATCAGGATGAAAAAGCCGTCCAGAGCTTTTAGGTTTCTAATGATGGTTTAACAATGATTGATTGTGTGTGTGTAAAAAAAACACTGATTTCCATAACTCTAATTGAAAAAAAACAAAATCTTAACTGATTTATATTTACATATTAAAAGATATTGTTGAAAGAATTTTAAAAATTTAATCCTTTCAAAATATCATTCTTCTTGATTTTTCGACTTTTAATTGAAAAAATAACATGATTTCAATGAATTAAACATTTTTTTTACTAAAGTTGACTAGATAGCTGAAACATTTGTCAGGTGGATATATAGATGGAACATTAAAGAAATAATATACCGCTAAATGTAATTTAGCAACCTGTTGTCTTGTTGTTAGAAATTAAAAAAAATTAGCAGGTAGTTTGCTACCGGTTCATGTTTCTAATGTTACGTTGCACTTGTGATTTGTGGACGAGATTTTAATCTTAGAATTCAGTCGTTATTTAAACTAGGTACCACAAATTTTGAAAATTGCAATTTCCGGATACAATCTTTGATATTTGAGTAAACACTAAAACTAAACATTCTTGAAACAATGATATTGTTTCGTTTACCTTGTTAAAGTTTCTAAATAATAATGAAAGATGAGAAGATCATCTCATAAAGAAATGAATGAATAACCAAGTAAAATGATGTTGTTGTTATTATTAGTAGTAATTATAAGGACGATAATACTAACGCTTGATAGTTTGTTATTTCTCATTTTACCTAAATCTATATAGAATGAATTAATCTGAATTAAAAAAAGTATTCTTACTTAAATACAATTTTATTGTAGAATCTTCCAACTAATTCACTTGAACAATTTTGTATCAATTATACAAATGAAAATTTACAACAATTTTTCAATCATTACATATTTGAATTGGAACAAGAAGAATATCGAGCAGAAAATATCAGTTGGCAATATGTTCAATTCCCGGATAATCAACCAATTATTGATTTGATAGCTGGTAAACCAAATGGTATAATGCATTTATGCAATGATGAAGCCAGTTTAGCTACAGTAAGTTGACTTATGTTAGTTTGAAAAGCACAAATGCTGGTTTTTTCAATTTTCTTTTTCCATAACAATTGAATAAATGAAAAATGTAACTGTTTTAAGAAGTACGGTAATATTACAGTACTCTTTAAATTACTTAATATCAAAATTTAACAAAAGTTTAACAAAGTTTAACGATTTGGATTACAAAATTTATTGAAATGAGATGTACTGCCGAATGATGCGGCTTTTGGAAATCAAAATGATAAAAATGATTTGAATAGTAAATATCTATTTATTTCAAAAAGTCTTTTCATGGAATGTAGAATCGCTAATTCATATATGGTTTGCAAAAGACGGATTAGGGACATGGTTGAACCTGAGACGCAAAGTTTATTGTTTTATTCTTCAAACATACTCTCCAGCATCTGATTGTCAATATTTATCGGAATCTTATCTATCATATTTTTGAATTATATAAACAACTCTGAACTATGTGATAGTTTTGTCCAATAGTGATGAACTTGCTTCTGCTCCTTATTTATCCAGAACACATTATATGACTGATGGTATAGTATTCAAAGATTAGATCACTGAAAAATTTATTTAGTGTGAGTAGTGTTTCTAAATTAAAAATTAAGTTAATAAGATAAAGGACACTAAAGTATAGTTATTTTGCAGTTTGAGTAATCCAATTGTCCCACTTTTGATTATAGTGTAAGACAATGTGGAATTGCATGGAAATGAATTCAAGTGAAACATTGTTTCAAATTAAAGAGTTTGTAAAATTTATATCATTATTCATCTATTTGACGATAACATTTTCTGGAGTTGTATAATCGTACTTGTAGATAATTTTTTAACTTACCAGTCTATTTTGAAATAGAAGAGTTTTACAAAATTTTCAAATGTCGTCAAACCTATTCAAATAGAAGACAATAAACATGAAGTCATGTTGCAAGGTTATCAAAAAGTTTCAAGTATGGTTCATAATACTTTGTGAATAGAAGAGTGCTATTTCAGTGTAATTAAGATTTTCAAGTATTGAATAAAAATAGCTTATATCATGTAGCAAATCAATTAAAAATGATCATGAGCCTACGTTATATAATAGTTTTAGTAGGAATAAGAGGCTAAAATCTATTGAATATAATTGAGATGCTCTATTGTTAGAAAAACGTTGTGAAGATTGTTGAGTTCCAAAGAAGTCTTGGGCCGATCAATGTTAGACCACCATTAGAAACATGAAACCATTGGATAGCCGTTTCGTCTTAGTATGATACTAATCAACTGTGTACGCCTACAACTCCGAAGATCTGCACAGTTAATGAGTCTCATATTAGGACGAAACGCCTGTCCAGTGCTTTCAAGTTTCTAATGGTGGTTTAACACTGATCGGAATATCATTTCGATGAAAACTATATACCTGATAATTGGCGCCTACAATTTCTAAAAATTAAAAGTATAATAGCCAAGACCATGGGCAAACAAAGGATTTAACATAACTGGGGTATACAGAGGTCGACTTTAAAATGGTGAATTGGTATAGCCTCATCTGTGCAGTAATTCCTCATACAAATGTTTTTAGCGGATTCTTTTTGTATTTGTTCAAGGATATAGGCATGCAGAATAGTGCTTAGATATTTATCTACCAAGTAAACGTTTTGTAAGGTCAATACAGCCTATTCCACAATGGTTCTTATCAATGAACAGATGAATTTCTTTCGTTATTGATTCATCAAACTGATTTATGTTATACTTGAGGCTTATTTTTTTCTTTTACTTTTGTTAAAGGGGACAGATAAATCATTTCTACGTCAGTGTCAGCATCACCATAATAAACATCCAAATTTTAAAACAAATAAAATACAAGGAAATACTTCATTTACTATCGTACATTTTGCTGGTGAAATTGTTTATGATGTAAGTAGGCATAAAATATTTATTGTGACCAACTCTTTCATTAATCATTGGATTATTAATATATTCTCGTTATTCGTTTATATGCAGACCATGTTTGCTTCAAGCTTCATGTTAAGATCAATATATTTATTAGAAGCTACTTAAAATAAATAATCAAGTTGAGTTAAACCAGCTTACAATAGAATGTTATTCTGAAAAACATCAAATGTCTTTTATTACTTTGACTGAAACGTAACTATTAGTACAGTAGGCACTTAGGCTTCTCTGTAATGTATGTATTTTTACCGTTCTAACTGTCCGACAAGGATTCATTTTTGTTAAATTGCACACACATTTTCTTAATATTGTGATTATTTTGAAAGATTTTATTTGGATTACAGCAGTTAAAGAACGACTTGACCAGTCTATTATATTTCAAAGTAACAAATACAATCAAACTTATTCATTCAGTTATTTCGAAGTGTATAATTATTCATGTAATACTACATTAGAGATTGTAGATTATTTGAAAGTCCTAATCGAAAACTTCAAAACTATTAAGTATAGTTTATAGTTTAGAAATCATTTTCAATTTATTTTGGCTTATTTAAATTTAACTGAAGAATCACTGAACACAGATTTTTAATATTTTTAAACAAAAATTGGAGAAAAAAATTTTAAATTACCAAACTCTCTCAAAGATGATCCTACAATTCAAGTTATCTTTGAAATCTACATTGTTTCGAATAAGTGTTTTACTTTACTACTTAATATTATGTTGAATAAACATTATTCTCATACTAACCTGTCACTAACATTGTTTAATCATTACAAAAGCATCAGAAGAATTATCATAATCAGTCAATAATGATAATGTTAACTGTACAAATCTATTGTAGGTGAACGGATTTGTTGATAAAAATCGTGAAAAAATTCGCGGTGAACTACTTGATTTATTAACTAAAAGTAAAAATTCTGCAGTAGCAACAATGTTTCGTAATGTTCAAGCACAACGTACTGGTTTTAGTAGTACTGGTCCAAAGTTGAAAACCTCTTTAGTTTTAACAACAATGAATAATTCATTACAACAATTAATGGAGAAAATGCGAATGTAAGTGTTAGTTTTTCAAATTTTTTTTTATAATGACAAAGTTATTTTTTATTATTTCAAAGAATTCTGCTTTACTGCTTCTAATATTTATATATATACCATCTAAGTTTGTTTCAGTGGAAAAATGAATCTTGAATTCAATGACTGATAAAATATGATTTATTTAGTAGGCAACATTGCAAGAAACTGAAAAGTAGCCTTGTCATTATCGACATGTAATGACGTTCCAAATGATGTTAGTAAAATGAATGACTTATTTTTAATTCATTTACGCAATCTATAAATACTATTATCATGTTGATTTTCTCCTATTATGACAATGTCTAATATTGTTTTGAAAATATTTTTTTTTTAAATTTCAAGCTTTATGAGTTTTAACAGCTTAGAATAGTGTGACTGTTTCATTGATTCAATTATTCTACAACAAGAAACGAAAAGATTGTTTTTCTGAACTACATGTATTTACTTTGACTGCTTGGCTGGTTTATAAAATACGCTTAGTTTACGATGGCGATGAAAAGTATTTACTGTATAAATACGGGAGATGTCTTCTGATGATTCTAAAATGATTTAGTTTGAAAGATTAAAATTTCAGAATTATCACCGAACAAATAGAGAGATACAGAACAAACAATTTGTTTCTTTTGGCTAATACAATACGGTATCTTTTGTCGCTACAACTATGGTTGAAAATAATTGTTTTCTTGCTTAACGGAATAATAATAATAATATACGTACGAGGTATATGAAAGCTAGTCAAAGACAGTTTTGCAGTTAGTTATCATTTGTTTGTTCATAAATTCCTTGTCAATTCATCTTTTCTCTCTAATCTAACAATTAAATATTTAGGAATAAACCAAGTTTTGTACGTTGTATCAAACCAAATATGAGAAAAGAGCCAATGGTATTTGATGATGCAGTTGTTATGGATCAATTACGTTATGGTGGTTTATTAGAAACTGTTCGAATTCGTAAATCTGGTTTCCCTGTTCGTCTCAGTTATGAATATTTTATCGAGCGGTATGTATGTTTAAATCATGACTGTTGCAGTAATATGACGTAAACATAACTTGCTATTTAGCGTTTTATAGTTTCCCAGGGTTTTATTCTTCTACAGTCTAGGGTCGCATTATAAATATGTGCTTTATTTTTTTTAACTCTGGTCCATGTTTTGTTTGATATTTGTAGAAATAATAATCATATTCAGTAGAGCTTTCAAATTCACTTTATATGAACCAGTAAAACTTTACATTCTCTTTTCTATCATGGAATAATAGTTAATTGAATGTTCCTTTTAAGATTTATATTGAGGAAGTATTTTTCTTGGTTTGTTTCAGCTAATGATGTAGAGAATTTCTTGTCTATCTACTAAAGCGGATAATATATTATTCAAAAGTTCACTTTTTGTTGCCCTATGACGTGAAACATGGCTTTTAAGACAAAATTATCTTTTATAAGTCACAAGCATTTGACTATACTTTAAATTATGGATGGCCTAAGGAGGAGAACCTTCGGGGCTACTGCCGGTCCCAAGCCCGGATAAAGGAGGAGGGTTGGACATGGTGTTGGCGACCCCATTCCGTCAAAAAGTAACTTGCCAAAAAAACGCTAACCAGAAAAACAAAACTGGTGATCGGCCTGTGCTCCATTGGGGGTAACAGGCGTAAGTAAGTAAGAAGGATCTACCAAATGAGAATTAATCAAGCTAGGCATAAGATTTCGACAAACATATCTGTAACATGTGTAGCTTGTAACCTTATACTGTTTACTAGTACTAGGGACTCTAAATCACAGAAATCAACATATTAACAGGACGCATTTCTTATATCTTAATAAATTAATAATTCTTTGATATTAGTTCGAGTAACATTTTTTGATTCATAAGCAATGGTAAACATCTGTATACACATTCGTCTCTTTGTTCAGTAAAATCTAATATTATCAGTAAATGTCATTATTTATCAACCATAATCGATAATTTTAATCACTAATCAATAAATATATTATTTCTTTGTACAGTAATTTATTAATCTATATTTTCCTCTTATTTTCTTTTAATGAAATTTTTCTGAAATAAATCAGTTATTCATTTTTACTTAATTATGAAAAACGAAAACAATTGAAGAATATTGTTGATACTCGTGAATCAACGGCTTGGATATTAATGAATATCAGTATTCCTTTTGGTGATCGAACTCCTATACAAAAATGTGTTGATTATGAATTTGGTAAAACTAAACTATTTCTACGCAATCAATTAGCTATGAATTTGGAATCTCTTCGTACAATTAAAGAGTTATGTGCTGCTAGAACTATACAACGAGCATGGAGACGACGTGATAATGGATTGATTGAAAGAGCACGTCGTAATGCAGCTAGAATTATTCAAGCATGGTATAGAGGATATACAACAAGGTAAGATAATCTAACAGATAATAGAAGTGGTTCTGTATTTTAAATGTTAAACAAACCCGGGATTCTATCATTCTCAATGCTATACATTCCGTAATATACAAGTTAGATGAGAGCAAATCCAAAATTATTTCACTTTATCAGTTAAGTTTACCTATAAACAGTAGTCAACGATTTTTTTTGTTAGATATAGTACTGCATTGAGTAATTGAGACTGTTATGAGTTATCCGTTTAACGTACATATATACATGGTTGAAATTTCCTTGTTCTCCATTCGTAAATGAGGTGATTTGATTTACGTATTTTTGTGGTATCAGTTGCAACAAGCAACTTAACAACATATACCAAATAAGTTTAGTTCTCTTGCACTAATTGCATATTACAGTTTACTTATTCTACTGGTCAAGTTGAGAGAAAGTACGCATTAACATATATAAGTCTTCTTTCAGTGTTATAAAACAGAATGTATTTCATTGACTAAATGTTTTATGATGTTCTGTAACCAAATAATGACAAGTTGTTAGACTATACATTAATACAATATGCCGAAGTTAACAATAATGTAAACTACTGTATTACTTGAAAAGGGACATTTGAATTTTAAGGATCGGTGTTGAAATTTATTTTAACTATCCTAGTTAATATTATTTGAACAGTTAGATGAAATGATAAAAACGAACAGAATGAATAGCTGGAAGTCTATTTTCATATACACTTCAAATATTTTGTCTGTATGATGATGACCTTATTTGATTGGTCGAAATATCTCGTAAGTTGTTCGTTTGTTTCCCCACTATTAGTAAACTATACAGTTAATTAAATTAGATTTGAATGATTTTATTAATATAGAGTTTTAGAGAAATTATCCGATTCGATGTTGTTGCAATGTGCAGAAGTGATTAATCCTTGGACATTTTGCATATCATTTTCCGGAGTTGATTGTCAATTGGCTGATGATTGGTTAACTGCTACTCAGGATTTATGTAATATGCCGAATTTGAAATACATATTTCAACATCTTATTTAACATCAACCAGAATTCAAGAATCACTTTAGTTAAAAAAAAATCATAAGATCACGCACCTCAGTCACTCCATTATTTAACTGAAATGCGTTTATTCATTATAAAGGATACTACTTTTCATAATAAACTAACGTCGTATTGTTATTAATTAGAAACTAACTAGATAAACTTTTCAGAAGTGTTGGGGGTCTGGTGATCTTATACTATATTGAAGAAGCTATTAAGTACTCTGTCGTTGGCGTTAATCCTTAACCGTTGTCGATCTCTAATGATCATGTGTGTTTGACTCTTGTGACCAATTACATTCATGCAAATAATCTCACTGATCAAATCTAATTATGAAAGTTGTGAATTTTTTAACTTTCTGCTTTGTACAGTAATGTATGTATTAATTTGAAATTCTTAAATTAGGAAAGTGATTTGGAACTGAAAATTGGTTAAAACGCAGTAAAGTCTTTAAGTTTTGTATTAAACCAACACTTATTAAGGAGAAATAAATTATTCGTAAATAATATATCAAATGTTACTTAGTTTCTTTCAAGTGAACAAGTCACTGATTACCCTTTTAAACTCTCATTTTCCTAAACTTCAATCCTCTGTAAGAAGTAATAGCTAAGAAAAATGAAGAAAAAGAACATATTATTCATAGTGAATATATTAATGCTGATTTTTATTGTGTTTTAATTGACTTTTGCTAAAACGATCGATTTCAATCAATTCTAATCCAATTTTTAGACCTAAAAAAATTCTTTATTAGTTTTGAAAACAATCTACATTTTCTGAATAATCAATAAAGCGAAATACAATGGAAACTCATGTTGATGTAGTTATAAAATTACAGTCCATATGTATGCACTCATACACAGATATATATATATATATATATATATATATATATATATATAGATGTCAATTGATCAATAGTCATGAATGTTATAATTTTGATATTTGTAATAATATTTGTGCAATTGAGATGCTGGTTAACGTTTTATTTCTATAAAAATTTAGGAATGTATTGTCTTGTTTTAGTTTATCTAATATAAGATGAGTAAATGAGAAAGAAAATTTTTATGTAACATAATCATTAAAAAATGTTTCCAAGATGAAATTGACAGAGCTGACAACACACAGACACATATAGGTTGTAAATTGTAAGAGTTTGTATGTTAGAAAAATATATTTCATACATTTATTTTTAATCACACAAAACATTTTAGTTTTAAATGATGTATCTATTTTCAGAATAACTTTAAGATATTAAAAAAAATTATGTGTCTTTGAAGTAAAGTTATTATTCAACTAGGGGTTTGTCCAAAAACATTCAGTCTATTCATTTGTCAATATTATAGATTAACGAGACTTTTAATGACTCATTGTATAAGTTCTTCGTTTTAAATGAAAATAAGAAATTCTTAAGTGGTAGTCCCAGTTATCGATTTTAATTTATAAACTTGACATTTCCTTTGATGTTGCCTAACCATCCCTTGAAGAGACATCAACAATAACGAAGAAAAAGATGAAACTGATTTTCATAGTGTAATTTTGTAGATCTCAGTATCAAATCTAGTTACAAGTCTTGCTGTTGAACAATCTATCTCATACCACTCAAAGATATAGTTCCTATGATACTATGGTTTCTCTTCATCGATCTTTGTGTTGTTCAAAATGCTTTGATTTATGGATAATATTTGCAGATTATACATTTTCTTTACTTATCGTAAAAACGGATTATTTTCTCACTGAATAATCTTAGTTTCTTATGCAATAGCTCAATGAATATCTTTCATAATTTATATTCTAACATTTTAATGCGTATTTTTCGTAGCTGTTTCTTTACAAAACAGGTGTTCTTCATTTTTACCGTTCTTAAGAATAACTTTCATTAATACTTCGTTTTGTTTTTTCAACATGGTATATTCTAGCCAGTCTTCAAAGTCATAATGAATGATGTAAACTGTTGACCTAGATTGCTTTTGTTTTGTGCTTTTAATACATGCTAAACTTAAGAAATAAATTCTTTAATAAGTTCAGCAGTCAAAGGTAAATGTGATAAGTTACCGTCGCTAATCTTCCTATATATGTCAAGTTAGAAGTATATCGGTGTATTGCCAGGCAGTATTGGTAATACATTCGTTATAATAATTTGTATTCAAAGGATAATGTTCACTGTAATAGGTGTGAAGTAGTTAACTTATTATTCAGAATTGTGCAGCTTGATCGATATATGGAGAGTTTTAAACCTATCTCCATATTAAAATTTAAACCGGAATTTTTCGATCAGTCGATCTAGTGAAATATCTTCTTACTCTGAAATCATTTATCATCTGACACCTCTTTGAGTTTTCTGTTGATTGTAAAATTTCGATTTGTTATCCATGATTTATTCTTTATTTTATTTCCTTCACTTCCATATTTAAGGCGTAATCATGCTGATATTGTTCAATATTTAGTAAAGAGAAGAAAGGTAAATATACTTATTTTATATTTGTTTTATTTGTGACGTTTTGTCATTTAGTTTATTAATTAATCCGTTGGTCACTTTTCCCTGTTTTTACCGTGGAAATTAATTAATTAATTAACATTGTAAAATTGAAGGAAAATTATCTTTTGAGCATCTCTGAGGGTTGGCATCAGTTGTGTGACTTTCCTAATTTGTAATGATTTTGTCGTTATACCATAAATATTTTCTTTGGGTTCCAAATAAAGACTTTTAGAACGTTCGATAAGATGGTAGACATAAGTGACTTGACTAATCAACTGGACAGTAGGTGACGATACTTTGACGATGATAACCGTAGATGTTCACGAAACGGGAAAACAGAAATCTTAAGAAAGCTGTCATATTTTAGGATTAAGCAGCATAATAATTAAAAATCAAAATTTCGTTATTTCACATGACAACGTCATAAACAAAAATGCATATGAACAACAGGAGGGCGCCACATTTCAAAGTCCTGAATGAGTCAAGATGTTTTAGTGACTGCGTGGAACTTACAGTACAGTTGACCACTTTTGTGTCCAGTTATCTGACTACTTTTTGAGCGGAAGGTTAAAAATGCAATAAAATAAATCTTCCCTCCAATATCCGTATATCATACCTAGGAGAATCCGGTTCATGCGACAGTAGTAGTAAAAGTATCAAAATACGGTTTTTTGGATGAATTTATTCCATACACTCATTTTAGCAGACAAACATGAGAATGCAAAGCTTAAAAGCAAAGCGAAGTGGAGTGAAGAAGGTTGGTGATTCAACTTAATACGATGAAGCATGACTAATTATTTATAGTCAGACAAAATATGCTGGCCATGTAATATGCAAAGTAAACATGCACACACATTCAAATAAAAACAACCAAGGATGAGCAAATGATTAGCAAGGTCAAAAGACGACTGAAAATAACTTTAGGATGGTCGACTAGTTAGTTCATCTAAAAGCTGGGGCAAGTCTTGTGGGCTTGACATAGTGTACACATACTACAATGTGAAACATTTCAACGATAGCTGTCGTTTCAGATTCAAAGGTGTCATCATAGTACTGATTTAGTCGATGTCAACAAGTGACCAGATTACTGATGATTTCTTCACATTTAAATTGTTCCTCTTGATGAATAAAATACTACCGAGAGGTCATACTTATTTTAAATATGTGATACAAAACTTTTTCAGTTAAACATCTTGATGGTTAGCCGAATAATTATCGATACTTATTTAGCATACGTTCCTGGTTTAAACAGATATTGAATGACTGTTTCGGAGTTTCTATAACAGGAAATAAACCGTAATATAAATCATAACTACCAACACTTCTTTTTATTTGTACTACATCATACATGTTGAATTTAACAGGATAAATGCGTTGAGAGTTTAAAAAAAGTAATAAATACTGAACTAAATGAACCAAACAGTGGTTTAAAGGCGTTGCAATAATAATATTTGTTTTGTTGAAAATTCATATGACTTATGATACAGTTAATAAATCTGTCTAATAATTTTAGTGTGGAAGGACAAATAAACTGAAAGGAATAAACGGATATTAGGCATATCGAATCTCATGAAATATTTATTTACTATTTTCCATCCATAACTCTCTGGACTAAAATTAATCTGGTATAATACCTATCAGTAAAATCAAATTATTTCGTTAGAGATGATCAAAAATTTTATTGCCTGTTTTAAGTTCAGGCAAAGAGTCAAATATATCAATGACTTTGAAAAATGACTCTAATTTTTTTTTAATTTGACTGCTATTTGTAATCATTTAAAGATGTGTACAATGAAACGTTTTTTTTTAAAAAATGTGTATTTTATCATAGGAGCAACCAACTGGTGCACTGAAAGAAGTAAGTTGACCACTTACTTACTTTTCACTTATACTATTTCTAACGATAATAGTTATTTAGTACAAGTACTGCCGAAATTTTAAGGCTATTTCTTTACTCCTTGATTTGTTATACTGATAATAGTAACTGAAGAGATTCGCTTTTTGAGCCATTTTGGACAACAACAAATTCTTATGGCCTCAATAATGTTTAATTAATTTTCAGAATCACCTTTAATCATGCATAGTAATATGAAATGATAATTTAAATGCATTGGTTTCAACTATGAAGATCGTTGATACAGTATTTTAACGATATAAAGATCACTATCGTGGGAGGTATATATATTGAATAGTTATACCATGATAGGTATCAAGCCTTCGATCTAACCGTAGAAAAATATATATAGAGAGACGAAGAGAGTTTAATAGAGATCAGATTACTTTGTAGATGGTATTAGTCATGAGAGCCATTTAAAAACAGGCAATACTAAACATCTTTGAATAGAGAAATAAGAAGACATATTTTGTGAGATAGTACCATTTCGTGCTTTCTCGTCAGTCACATACAAGCAACGTGTAAATACAGTTTTGAAGATAAGGTCAAAATTTCTTATTTAGCATGACATTCACTCACTAGAACCATGGTAAACAAAGGTCAACAAACAGTTGTTTTTGAACACATAAAGTTGGACTTTTCCGACCAATCAAGATAGCTTCGAGTAGTTTCAGTGTGTGTGGGTTTTGATTACATGTCACAACTCTAAAGGCTGATTTTGGGTCAATTTGATGACCACTCATCATTAGATGTTTTGCAATGGACGAGGCTGGGTTTCTTGATCGATTTTGAGATGATGGGCTAGGTTGATGAAACATGGATTTGATTAGCCATTTTGGAATATGTTCCCCTATCCTGTCTTCCAATCGGCGATCTGTCCTCCCTAAGTAACTTTCTCCGCAGTTACATGTGAATTGGTAAATACAGTGGGATTTGGACTGAATCGGTCTTGGAGACTTGATTGGGGTAACTGAGATCGATTGGGTTGTTGTGATAAGCCTCAGATTAGCTGCATTGAAGGTCTTTTTTATTGCAACTGCAGTCTGTTTGGTTGTAATTTTCATGCAATAATCTAAACATCTGTTTAGTTTCAATATGGAACTCTTCAGGAGTGCATATTCTCAATCCTGATAAACGTCTAACTCATTACTAACTTAATCAAATTCATTTCTGTCTTTCGAATTATATTTGTTGCATTTCACTATCTATTGCATTCGGGATCAAATGTTCTTCTCTCCTCATCATCTAGTTCACTAATTTTCTTGTTATGATTTATATCGAAATTAAACTATTACATATTCGTAATAGGTTTGAATAACTGCTATTTTGAATTTGCAATCAGTTCAACAACAAATGTTAATTGTTTGAATTTTTACACTACACTTCAACTAATGTATTTGTTTAGGATTATTCAAAAACTGAAAAACCTGTTAAGGCCTTAAGTGAATCAGAAATAGAATGCTTAGAAGTTCCTAGTGATTTGGCTTATATCTTACAACATCGTAAAATATGTAAGTTATTTGTTTCGTTACTTTCCCACTTTATTTTAATTTTTTATCTGTATATAAAGTGTTTTAGACGACCTTGGTGATTATTCTACTTGTTAAAATAATACTTTCAGAGAAATATTCGACTCGATAATTATTTCAAATGAAATTTATTTCTAATTGCTAGTTTTACTAAATAAACAGTCGATCCGATTTTTGAAGCGCTTTCAGTAACGCTGGGCTAAATGTACTAGGAAATTTGTACACGATAGTGTAAGCGTTAGAACACTTCACTGCATAGTTTAGAAACGAGACGCGGGACTCTTGACTTTTTAGGTTATTCTAAGAAGCTTATTTTTCTAGCTGATAGGATATGTGGTCAAGCGTTTACTGAGCCTTTATGAACTTTTCCAGGAAATACTTCAAAAGTTTTGAGGATATTGTAGTTTTTGTTTTCCGTAAATGAAAATGTTATCAAATATAACACTACTAAATTGGATAAAATATATCATTAGTTGTAGACGAATGAATTTACGAATATCGTATGTAAAAAATAGAAAAAGGTGTAGTAATAAGATATACTAAAATAGTGTATGCGATGAATACAGTTTTATGTCCATCCTAATAAAATCTATTTCTAGTTATGAGTTCGACTGACTGTTAGAGTCAAACTTTATAGCAGTTTTATCAGTTATTAAAATCTACTTACAGACCGTATTACGTCTTGATATTGGGACCTACTCTATAGATTACCGTAAAGCTGCTTTAACGATTTGTTAAGTAGTACGAAACAATTGAGTTGACAACATTGAACGCATATTATCTTTAATTTGCCACCATGTGTAACAAGTTGTATATCTGGTGATAAAAATCATTTTTAATGTAAAATACCAATTATGGTCAATCACTATCATCCTGCAGGGACCAGTTAATTAGTAGATTTACAAAGTCTTGTTCAAAAGTTCTACCCTTTGTTTTGATTCATATCCAAAGGACTAAGCTAGTGAACGAAGTTCTACAAAGGTTATTAGCAACCACATATTTCTTTCACAAAAAAATGCTAGCATATCTAATAAACTGTAGTCATTCAAATAAATAAATAAGTCTTAACTTCATGATATTGAATATGAACAGTTTTAATTAAGCAGCTTCACAACGAAACTATTTTTAAAAAAGATTCGTTTTATTTTCAATCCGATAGAGGATATGAATGGATTCAATGCCATATTATAAACTGCTCAGTTTATTTATTGCTTCTTGTAGTCAACCGTGAATTAATAAAAACTGTTTAGCATAGAAGCGTTTTGTTAGAAAAAGAAAGTGATTTTTATATTACCTCTCTCTTAATATACATGTTTAAATAATAAAACAATTGACTGCATGGCTAAGACGAGTAAATAGACCATTCCTTACGGAACAGTAAGCTTAGAAATCCTAGCTGAAAATAATTCTTAGTAGACACTAAGCTACTAATCACATAAATAAAGCTATCATTTGGAATACATCTTTTTTATTGCAAAAGTTATGACTTGGAGTTGCTTTCACAATCAATTAAGGATTAGGATTAAATCTACTGAAAAAAATGTGGTTTCATATTTCAAATTTTTGTAAAATATTATTAGTTTGCAATATATAAATCAAAAAGTATGTAGGAAAAATATTTTTCAGTTTCTTATTAAACAACAATCAAATGGTTGGGTATTTATAAAGTTTTTTACTTAGAATTCGAGAAACAGGTTCTACAGTTAAAATATATTTAAATAGTTTTTCTTCACCATAGATTATATTATATTTAATATTTATATTTAATATTTTATGCTTACCTGTAAAATTAGAGTCATCGTAATAAATCATCAATACTTACTTACTTACTAACTTACTTTCACCTGTTACCCCCAGTGGAGCATAGGCCGCCGACCAGTAAATAAATCATCAATACTGTCAATTATTTTCTTTATAGAAACTAAGAGAAAATTAAAGAATATTTACTAGCTTTAATGGCAATAAAATGTATCAGAAGCATCCTTGGTTTGTTTTTAACTTATCACATGAACTCGATTAAATTTGACTCTTAAGTAAAAAAGATTATTTGTTCTACAAAAGTGGCTCTGTTAGTCATAAATATTTAAGAACAGTGCACATATGTGAATCAACCTACGCTAACATAGTGTATTAACACCTTGAAAGGAAATTAATAAGATAATATGACAGTCAAGATAATAAAAATAGTTGATTTTCAGTGTTAGCAAGAATGACCAAACATAGTTTACAGTTCCACAATAAATAATAAATTGGATTGGAAAGTATGGAGCATTATTAACTTAGTAGATGAACTGATCTTTTCCATTCTGGCTTATTTCGACTCATTCCAATTAGAGTTTTCAACCAATGTTTACAACATTTGCACAGATCCCAAACATGGAGCCTATATACTTCTACGTGGTTTGGAGACATAATTTATAACCAATATAAACTCATATCCTCTTGATTTGGCAATAAAAATTTACAAGTTAATCAAACTGGCTAAAAACAGTACAAAACTGAGATTCACTAATGCGATTATATCGAATGGATCTATTGTCAACAAAACAAAGATTACTATCATTCACTATGTGATCAGAAAACTAAACTTATCTTAACAAGAAATCATAGCCTAGAATTGTCTAGTTATTTGGAACTCACTTATTTTACAGTTTTATCTATTAATTAACAATAATATTATTCAGAGATTTATATTTATTTATATTTTTATTCACATAAAAACTATGAAAATCTAGCTCAAGAATGTTGGCTTCGTAATCATAAAGTAATAAAACCTGCAGGCAGTATACGTCGTTACGCACCAACTTATGTTTCAACTAGTTGGCAAAAATATGGTAGACCATTATGGCATGCAGCACCTATTTCACACTTGCTACAAGTGTCTACTTCAGCGGTAAGTTATGAATTGTAATTTTTCAGTCTCAAGCATCACAAACTTTTCTAGCCATCTGATGTACATGAATATATAATTCATTATTATGAGAAAACAGTATATTCTTTCAGTTGACCTATTCATTTAACACATGAAAACTGTAGACAAAACATGTTTATGCTAATTAAATCTAATCAGTTCTGTTTTATATTTAACATGAACTTACCTTCAACTTGTGAATTTTGAATTCAATTTCAGATATCTGTTATGCCTACATATTATGATGAATTTAAAATATTAACCGACAAAACAATGCCTACATCATCTAAACTATTTAGAAATTCTAAACGTACTAATGCTTATGGCATACAAGTGATCGTATAGTGCCATGTTATAGTTGATAGATTAGGCGAAGAAATAAATGTATCATTTTAAAACTAACAATTTTGTTAGTTGAATGTAGCTAAATAAAATGACAGGAAATTCGATTAAACTTCACAGTGAATTAACTGAATATGAAAAGACCATAAAATTTTTAGGTCTTCCTTTTTCAGCCTTATTCATTACATGACAATACTTTAACTGTCTTACAAATTACTTTAAAGCAATAACAAATAGTTACTAATAGAGATGTTTGGCCTTATATTCATCTTAAGGGGCAAGCCTCCGAACAGGGCTTGCCAACTAACTTTATCCTGAAATCTCCTCTTTAGTTGTGAAATTGGTATTAGCCCTCAGTTCCCATTGGGAAAAGTCATTTCGTATGACTTTTCTTCCTTAGGGGTTTGCTCAGGGATGCAGTTTAATGATTTCCATAAAGTGTGAAGTTGCCATTACCACCGTTCTGGAGGATGTTTTGTTGATTCTGGATCTATGACTTTCTCGTACTCTAAGTGATTTCTATGCTTTGTTGTGCAGCGTCGGTAGAGCTCCCTATGTGTGAGGAACATTTCCTTTACATTAACAATGCAACAACACTTTTCCTGAAACTTTTCTGCTGAGATTGTGTGCAATCACACTGAAACTTGATACCCTTTGCTACAAAAATCCAACGCCCGAGATAAATTTACTGAAACATGTGACATGACCGACTACAAGATAATCTGCTCAGATTACACATGATAAAATCGCATCAATAGCATCGCTGAATCTGAAAAAGAATAAATTATAAACCTCTAGTATAATACATTCAATCTTTCTTTGCATGATTTTTTTCAAGCTTGCATAAGTAAATCCGACATTCAAACACTTATTGTTACGAAAATGTTATCAGCTTAATTACAGGGTGATTGACGCTCTCATTGTTTCTGTCTTTCTTTTCAAATTAATTGTTTCTAAATAGTCACAACTTGGTTATCGTGTGGCACCACGTGAACGACCGATATTCTTGACCCGACCAACTGAGAAATTGTCTGCAGCTTGTGTAGCTGCTTCAAAACTTGTAAGTTGTAAAGGCTTAATGCATTATTAACGTAATTCCTTTCTTTTCAATCTATCAAATTCACTATTAATATTTTTTTGTGCAAATTGCTTTATTAAGAAAATGGGAAATTCGATTAACTGTCTAGGGGCTCAGTATTTTTCATGAAGCTATTTTATCTTACTTACCATCGCTTGATTGATGTTGACTTCATTGATAATTCTAAAACTTGTATATGATGACAACGTCTCCGGAATGATTTGTTTCCCCATGTAATTAAATTATAATTAAATTCTTAGACTGTCAATTTTCATTACTATTTGTTGCTTCCACTCTCCTAGATAACTGCGCATTCCTTGCTAAAATGTTATTGACCGAAATAATGTTTGTATAGTACAATATAGTATAGTATAGTAAAGTGCAGTGCGAACCGAATGCCTTGATGGTGTAGTTGTGTATTCTTACGGTTTATTTACATATATTTTCTCAGTATTTCATCGTTGTACACTATTTCAGTGTCTTACAAGTTTTTGCTTTGTAGTATTTCGCTTTCGATTATGCTAGTTCTACTAAGCTAGTGGTTTGTTCTATGGTTTTTGCTATAATAAGTTGTATCTTGCTGTTTAAGTTTTCATATGTAACATCGGTGATGATGGACATTTTGAGCCTATAGTGGAAAAACTTTTGCTTTCCTTGTTGCCCTTCTGACGAAAAGAGTAAGTGAACCACTAAGAAGAAGCTTGAACAAGAAAAGTACTTAAATCACTACAGACTATTTAGTTGTGGTTCTCTATAGTATTAAGAAATTCGATGAAGACTTTATCAATGAATAGTGACCATATGTTCTTCACGTACGGTTGAGAAAGAGACTGTTTGCTTAATACTCTAAAGGACAGTGAGTATGACCCGGGGAATTTTATAAGAGACCACCAAGTTGCGATAATGAAAGAAGGGAATTGCAGGTGTTAAACGATAGTTTCTGTATATCCGTTTTCCATTCAGAAGTTTTGCATTCAAAGAAATGTTTACATTTAGGTTGTGTCGGACGGTTAATTGATTCTTCAATTCAGGCAAACCGAAGATTAAGTTTTTTGCGCGTCCAATGTCATTTCCAAGATGGAGAGATAAATCTCCTAAACTAACAACATGTTTTTGTGTCCATTAATTCATGTAAATCAGTTTTATTGGGATAAGTTCAAGCGATGTCGTTTTTTGTATTTGCAAATATCTTTCAGTATGACTAAGCAAAAGCACATTTAAAACAGCCAACCACTCAATATTTGCCCTTTTAAATAAAATTTTGTCATAACTCTAGCAGAGATCATTTGCAATAATTTATTAGATTAGTAGTTTTCAGTTAGAATTTGTCGAAATTAGAGTTTTTCTTATGAGAGTAGCAATTGTAACCTAGGTAAACAGAAAACCGGAAGTATTTACATAGAAGATACATGTTTTACGTTAGGCAGCCATATACCTTAGTGACTGTTCAGCTTATCTATGTATTGATTTAATTAATGTACATTTTACTATTTCATTATAAAATCTACATCAATCCATACGTTAAATAGTCAACTTTACATATAATCCAATATCTGATCATATCGTTACTTACACTCTCAATTTTACCCATATTTATTTTGATGAATAATTTCACAATTTCAAATGACCTGTAAATTTGTTCATTTCATTAGAACACATTAATTGTTTCAATACTCACAATGTTATTTTATTTTTAAAAATATTCAAAATTCATATGCTGTATTCTTGAAATTTAGTATTTTATCTCACTTATAACATCAATTTGTATTTATAACTGCACAATCTGATAATCATTTATTGATATAAGTGTTCCTTGTTTAGATCATATCATATCTTCATCTTCATAAACTTGGGAATTTTTAAATAGTTTGTAGATACAATTCATTTCGTTGTTTTTTTGGTTGTTTCAATCTCCTCATTGATGTTTAGCACTGCAAGCGATCAGTCTCTTCAGTATATGTACATTCTTTGTGGATTGCTTCAAAATTGTCTTAAGGTGGTTACAAGCATTATTAGCAGAGATGAATTCCACGGCTAATCACTTTCAATCTTTGCTAGTTACATATATATTCTGAAACTTGATATAGATCAATATAAATAGGTTGAAGATAGTAATAGTTTTCTTTCTGATAGTTAATGTATATCACTTGCAAAAAATGTGAGTTATCAGTTTTAAAATTTGTAACAGCCCTTTTTAATACATTGAACATAATGATGTTACAGGAGTAATTATCAAAATAGAAATTTAGCTAAATATGACATGTCACTGACAGTTTTAATCATGGAAAAAGTATATTTAAACAATAAAGCACATTTTGTTGTTTATTATCATGATCTGAAATATAACCTCAGGGTTGTTCATACTACAACACACAGGTAACACATTTTACAAACCAATAAAAAGTATTTTGCAGTGAATTGGTTACATTTGTTCACACTGAGCTAAACTAAATATCCTAATTAACAAATTCTGCCTTTATCATCTTTCAAATAATTTCCAGAATTTTTTTTTGTTTAACCATGTTCATACATATATATATGTCTATTTTTTGAATTTTATTTTTCAGATCCTAAGGCTACTATTTTTACCTGCAATTTCATTGTATGAACAATTTCTAGTTGGAAGTTTTTTATATCAACTGGTTAGTGAATAAAATTGCATGTATATGTGTATATATGTTAAATTTTATTATTCCTTTCTTGTTCACTTGTATTCATTCATTCATTCATTCATCATTACACATTCAACCATTGATTACAGCATACAATTCATCATTAATGCTACTAGACATTTTGTTGTGAAAACATTTTTTGCATAATTCAATGAATCATACAGTTCAATTGAATTAATTTATCAATCTTCATGTGAAATCAATATGAAAATCATAAATTTACTCAACTGTTTTCAAGCCTAACTATAATTTGAATACATCTTTAGTAATAGTAATGTAACTTCAGCCTTTCGTTGGTTTGAGTCTAGCCCGAAGGTACCTTGTGTACTAGGGTGGGTGTGTGAGGAGTCGCGTATGAGATTATCTGGAAGAAGAAAGAATAAGAGAAAAAGATGAGCCAACGACTCAGTAAGCACATAGAATGATGCACTTACATGCAATATACGAATAAATAGACAGCAATCAGATATAAAGCCAGTGTGAGATTAAGACAAACTGATAAACGAAACTAGGAGTTGATAGAGTTAAGTTTCGAATGCGTTACAGTATTTTATGTTTGAATGTAAAAGTGTAACTCAGGATGTTCATTTTGTGTTTAATTTAAAATTGGTCAAATCAATTGTGTTTTTGATTATTTAGACGATTTAGAACTTTCAAGCAGTCAGATCAATTAACTCTTCGAAGTCATTTTAGTCATTTGGTTCCAGTATATATATATATATATATATATATATATATATATATATATATATATATATATATATATTCTAATATTTTTTCAATAGTTATCGCAAATTAGTTTTTGTCTTAATTTTTTGCAATATCCTTATCATACACTCGTTATATCGTCATTGTCACCGAATATAAAAACTCCATGATGAAGATTTTAATTGTAATAAACTTTGATCAGAGCAGTTTCTCATTTTCAATGGCGGAAATCACATCGTAATACTCGATGCAATGAGAATTTTTATGATTCTATTTGTTCTGTTATTTTGAATCAGTCTGTTGTTTTATTTACTTACTCATTTATTCATTCATTATCTATTCTAACTATTTTTATGAACTTTTCTCCATTCGAATTCCACTTATTATTACACTTGCTTACTACCATTTACATTTATTTCGTACTGATAAACTAATACTTTTATTCAAGAAAAATTACTTCGTGTAAAAATCAATTTATTCAAATCAGAGCATATTTAAAGTGAAGAAATTTTTCAATTAAGACTATATAATGTAAAAATAAATAAATATTCATCTTACCACTGAATTATATTAGATAGAAAAAGAAAATCTCAAACATAAATTGTTAGTTTTTTCAACTTCAAATCACTAGATGATAATACGGTATAAAAAGAATTGTATGTGTGTTATTATTACAGAATACATAAATTTTGATAATTCAATAACAATAAAAATAAAATCAATCATCCAAAGATAATCCAACTAAACATTCAATACCTATGTGAGATGATTGTTGTATGTATATATATTAAGTCTTAACAGTGTAATGATATGTTCATTTTGTTAAAATCTTGCCCACAAATAACAATCCATTGACCATTGTGATGATGATCATGTTCCGATAAGATAAAATGGATGGTAGTTTCACTTTTATCTTGTTTAATTTAAATTCACTGTTACTGTTTACAATAATTATTGTATATTACTCAAAATACTATCAAGTTGACTTAAAAAACAATATTTCTATGTCTAATTGGTTTTGGCTGTAACATTAATTCAGTTTTAAAGTTTATGCAAATTTGACCATTCCTATCGAATCAGATGGAGTGTAACAAATTGTCTCTGATTTGTAATAACATTTTACACTATTTGCTACATAACATGTATACATAATATGTATTCTGATAGTTTGAATATATTAAATCTTCTAGTATAATATCAAATTAAGTGAAATAGAATTCAGATGAAAATATAAGATTATATATATATATATATATATATATATATATATATATATACTTACTTTACTTACTTACGCCTGTTACTCCCAATGAAGTAAAGGTCGCCCACCAGTTTTCTCCAACCAACTCTGTCCTGGGCTTCCCTTTCCAGTTCTGTCCAATTTTTGTTCATTCTTCTCATATCTTTCTCTATTTCTCGGTGTAATGTGTTCCTTGGCCTTCCTCTTTTCTTTTGACCTTGAGGGTTCCATGTGAGGGCTTGTCTTGTGACGCAGTTAGGTGCTTTTCGCAGTGTGTGTCCTATCCACTTCCACCGCTTCTTCCTGATTTCCTCCTCCACTGCAATCTGGTTTATTCTCTCCCACAGTAAGTTGTTGTTAATAGTGTCTGGCCAACAGATCTGAAGTATTTTGCATAGACAACTGTTATTTAAATTCTTGTATCTTCTTGATGAGGGCTTTCATAGTTCTCCAAGTTTCCGCTTCATACAGTAGAACTGTCTTGACATTTGTATTGAAAATCCTGATTTTGGTGTTGATTGATATTTGTTTGAAGTTCCAGATATTTTTCAAATGTAGAAATTCAGCCCTTGCTTTGCCGATCCGTGCCATCACATCTGCGTCGGATCCATCTTGGTCGTCGATGAACAGTAGCATCCCAATAGTTCAACTAAATCAAATAATTAAAAATAAATCAGATGTAAATCATGAACAACTTTCAACTTTAACAACTGACATAGAAGATGGTTAAATAACTTTGAAATTTCGTTTTTCTATGATACGTTTGTAAATCTTTGAAGCTAAACAAATAACTCTACGTGTTTCGTATATGACTCTACGCCATATAAAAAACTAGTGATGAATTGCTTTGATTAAGTTGATACATAGTTTTATTTGATATGTTCCATCTTGAATATCTTTATTTCAAAGTAAAATCTCGTTTAATTGGAGAAAAGTTCATAGTTTACTTGTTCTTAAATCTATTGTGTGATCGGATTTTTTGTAACGCTGATTTAAGAAAATTTCTTTCTCATTAATCGTCTCAATTTATCTATAATTCATGTGTCATCTAATCTGGTTACACCTTAAAATTGATGTCAAAGAATCTATTTATCATACTGGATGTAATTAGTTGGCAAAGTGATTTCGGAAGTGAATAACATTTATAGAAAAAAAACTAGTATTTACTTTATAAGTTTTCTTTAAAAAATATTATTTCTTCGTGAATAATAGTTTTTATTTCATAACTGAAGGAGCAATAGTGTCTACTTCTGTATTCATGATAATACCGATTTAGGAAATACACGAAAAAATCTTTAAAATAACAACACAAATATGAATAGTGCATTGAAAAATTATGTGGTTTGTGTTCATCAATTGAAGCATTTTGGACAGATTATTTGTCTAACTCACAAGAAAATGTTCTCCTTCTGTATAATTTTAATAAGGTGTTTATGTTATGTAACTGAAGATTACAAATTACAAACTACTAGTTATTACTAGTAGTCTTAACGGTTTAAAACTGTAGTTCCATTCAGTTAAAGATACTGTGGCTAAAAATGATTAATCGTTATATATTGAGACTAATTATTCGAAATTCAATATCCAATCTAACACAGACAAATTCAGTGTCGTTTGATTCTTCATTTTGTTTGACAACACTGCATGATCCGATGAGTCAGTTCATATTAATGAAGTTTTTTTCAGGAAAACATACATTTGACTAATTTCTAATTATTTTAAAAGCATTCTAATCAATATTTCCATATTTTTGGTTAAAATTTTTTTAATATTGTGTTGTGTAATTTAATCATGAAAAAGAAATGTACTGCAGTTCGCCTAATTCGTTTCGTTTTTATAATATACAGGCTCTTTGTCAGAAATCTCTTCATAAGGAATATCTAATTCAATTATTAAGTATGACAATAAATTGGCCTCAATCAACCGAAGATTTCTCGAATTCAGACCCAGAAGATGAACCAAGGGAGTTTGATCCAGATTCGAAACGAGCTACATATATTCCATCAAAACCTAATAGTCTAATGATTGTTAAATCACAAAATGAACAATCTAGTATGCAACGTCGAGCTTATAGACGTCTTTGGATGCATATTGCAGGAATGCTTACATGCGGTCAATTGTCACAAACACTTACACCTACTATAGTCCGGTAAGAAGTAGATGCTAACATTCTATTTAACTGCACAGACCCGTACGAGTAAATTTTTTAATATCAATTACAAATATTTGTACTTGTTGTTACGACATCTATTCAATAAGAATACAAAGTTACGAGGAATTTTAACATTAATTTTTCCGTACTGATTCGTGAATTAGTGTTTTGCACTATGAGTTCTATGCATCATTGATTCTATGAAGTTACCGATAAAGAACTAGAGGTTTTTATTTCAATTTCTAATGACACAAGATTAAAGATATTTGATTGAATTGAAAATTATATGAATACACATAAGACATGGATAATTATTATTATATGAAAATAATATAATACATAAAAATTTGTAACCTAAGTCATTTTAATGCATCATTAACTAACTAATCAACACTTACCTAATGAAACCTTACATGTAGGTAGTCCTAATAGTTGTGACTATACATCTATTATAAGTTTATCCGAAACCAGAGTAACTCTAGCTATACAGTATCTCATTTTGGTGATAGAATGTCCATTTTCAAATACTGTACTATAAACATTCTACATATTTAAAGACAATTTCATGCAATTTAATATGAAGGTCTTATAATCTAAATAAATTGAGATTAAAGCCTTATTCATTAAATTTAATGATATATATATATATATATATATATATATATATAGTTATGTATGTTTAAGGTTTTCTATTTGTTTGACATTTGTAGTTTTATTAGAGAAAATGCACCTGCCAGATCAGCTGAATTGTGCGAAGATCGTATTGTACTAGAACCCTCTGTTCGTCGTCTATATCCACCTTCTCTGTTAGAATGGCGGATAAACTATACTGGAACTCATATGGGCATTAAACTTACGTTCCCAGATGGTAAGATAAAATCGATTTTAAGGTATCACATTGAGAACTATAGATGAAAAGATTCATTATTTTGATTTGATAAATTTTTTTAAATATTGGCTATTATCTGAATTTTTTCTGATATACTCGTCAATTGATATGCTTGATCCATTACGAGTTCACCTTACGCGGTAAACGGAGCGAATACAAATGATGCAGTGATGCAGCTGACTATATCAAGAAGTCTTGATAGGACGTAGAAAGTGTATTCTACAAACACACGAATCGAGCTTATTTATACATGATATAATAGCATACTAAAGTAATTCATCTGGCAATAACAGTCAAGGATTTTCCGATTGGGAGATGTAAGCTGATGGTCAACTTAGCAGCTTATGCGCGAAAACATAAAAAATCCATAATTAGGACCTTTTTTCACGTGAGTTCTGGGGATCTAACGTCCCCAACAATTTCCTTATTGGCTTATTCGGAATAATGACTTGATTGATGATTTTTACTGACTTGCAAATTATTCACCGGTAAATAACCACTGTAGTCGAACCTTAGCCAAACATCCTTCACATTCAACAACCACTTAATACATATTCATTTTGGTCATCAATTTATTTCTGTTCATCTTATTAGCTGGAAGAATGATGGTTCTATCGTAATTGAAGTTAATTTATCAAGAGAAATTGGGTTGATTCAGTTAAACTTCCATTTAGTCCATTAATATTCATGTATGATTCATAATCGACAGATACTTCATACTTTTTTCTTCGAAAAACAAACTAATTATTGATTGATTGTATTATCTATACACTTCCACTAATTTAAGTTTTATAAATCTCAAAGATTATTTATTCAGCATTCATTTACATACTTGATGGTTGATTGTATCAAGTATTCGATACATAGAAATGTAGTGATTGTAAAACTTTATAAAGATCAAATCACTGAAAGTATATAGACAATCTAGTAGGTTAGCATTGTTTAGTGAATTTATTACTTTGAATACAGTTTGAGAGATTTTTTATCAATCACATTGTTAGGATTAAGTTTTCTATCTTAAGTATACATTTTCAATTAATTAGTCAAGCTGTGTGCCTAGAAAGACACTAAACTTCTAATTATGGTGTTATGAATACTGAGAGCCTGATGTGTAGTTTTATACTTGATTATGAATTTATAATCATATCACTGAAATAATTAGTCAGTTTTTATCTTTAAATTACCTTAGTACCAATATTTCATTTTATTTCATTTCAGGTATATTTTCATTTTTTCATGTTGGCAGTTTCACACGTGCTGAAACATTAGCGGGTATGGCTTTAGCATTAAGGTAAGCATTAATTTTTGAAATGTTTCTATTATATTTGTAAATTGATCGCGTAAAAAAAAGTCAGTGATAGCATATATATCATTGATTACATTCAGAAGAAATTAATAATCTTTTGTATTTCAATGTAATCGTTTTGAATAACGTTTCTTAGTATTTTTCTATTAGATTAATTTGTAGTTGAAATGTAATATTCTTTTCCTCAAAAATGTCCCATTAGCGAAATTAATTTATCAATTTCAGGTTTAGAATATTTGCTTTTCAGCCACACTGTCTACATGAAGACTAATGAATCTGTATGGCTTTATAAAACGAAAGAGTTGGAGAAGGGTTTGAACTCTCGACTCTTTGATTTAAAGCCGGATTCTTTAACTATTAAGCCAATTCTTCTTGTTTAATTTTATGCCAGGAGGTGAATAGAATTAGGGTCTTTTGTTTCAATGATTATACTAAATTTTTTTATGAAAAAAGTTTGTTTACAACTGGTTTTGTCCTAATAACTTAATATTCAAAATAAGACATCCTTTCATGAAAAATGGTCATTTATAAGAAATTATTTCTATGATTTTATATTTGCATATGTAAGCACACTGATTATAAAATAGTTTTATAATAACTTCTTCGATTTACAAACTCTTCAAAGAGTTTTATTATGATAGATCTTTCTTTATGATGGACAAATATTGAAATTGAGTGGGGTTTTTGTTTACAGCTTCATTGATACCATTACCTTTCTACTAAATTTTATAGCAAATAGAACTATTACTTCAACTAACCAGAATAATTTATCTGATAAATTGCCGTTAGAAATCTTGACGTACGTGCCATTAAGTGCTTAATACAATAAATATTCGGTTAAAATCATCAAATATTACTCTGAATTAAATAACATTCTAAAACCTATGTATGTTTTAATTTACCTTTTAGAACATATTCAACGCATATTCTTCATGGTTGGACAATATCTGTACATAATTCATCAAAAATATTAGATGTACCAGGATATTTTTATGTATTGGATATATTTAGTCAACAAGAACTTCCGGAAGAATGGTCACACTTGAATAATATACTTCTTCATCAAGTAATACCATGTTATGATCTCAAGCCAAAAACAATAAAACATAATAATAATAATAATAATAATAATATTAATAATTCTCATTATGTCAGGTAAATGTATATATATATTATAATAAAGATAAAAATTTACTGTAACTTGTATGCCAAATTGGCAAATAATTCATAAGTGATTTAGTAGCTTACTTAAAGTTGTCAGTTTGTTATTGTTGATCAATACACCTAGTCAAGTAAATCACGTCTCCTTGATCTTAGTTGTGTTGATGCTCTGTAAAATGCTAAAATGCTAGTTGCGCTTCTATTGTAGAGTTATTATAATTATTCATCCTAGGAAAATTAGTGTTTCATTATAGTAAAGGAGTAACATCAGTGTTATGAAAATGTAGTAGTTCAAGTTGATTGATAAAATGATGTTATTGAAAAAATATTGCAGTTTTTTTAATTGGAGAATGCCTATTATAGAATTCCAGTTTTTTGTGAACAATATCATTGGGTTTATTTTATGTATGGAAAAACATTAATAACTTCATATTTATCTTGTTTTATTTTTCATAAGGAATGAAGTGACAGGAATTATTGACAATGCACTACCTCCTATGGTGAATAAACATAAAAGTTATAGTCATCAAAAATTGGCCAATTCAATACATGGGATAGAAAACACGGTAATGAACACCGTATCAGTCAGATCATATATATATACATAATCTGCATTTTATTCTTATAACAGAATCTCAATCGTAGTATATAAAGCAGTTTAAAATCTTTAGTTAGTTTTCGTGAATGATTTACAATAATAACTAACTATTAATGATTACATTTGAGTATTTCCAAATTCCTTGAAATCTCAGTTCGGTTACTATTTACGTAGGGATTTAGGGCAATACGTATGTTATTTTTATACATATTTGAAATCATCAATCAATCATTGTTAGACCACCATTAGAAACCTGTAAGCACTGGACAGCCGTTTCGTCCTGGTATGGGACTCACCAGCAGGAGTCGTGGATTCGCACTGCTGATGAGTCCCATACCAGGACGAAACGGCCGTCCAGTGCTTCCAGGTTTTTAATGGTGATCTAACAATGATTGATTGATGATTTCAAATGTGTAAAAAAACACAAACCTTCAAAACTCTGCCCCAAAATAACGTCTGTTATTATTGAGCATAAAAATTCCATTTCGATAAACTCTGTAACAATTGAAAACAGAAAAATAATAACCTTTTAGTTTGCATCTCCTTTACTACAACTAATATATATATTCGTTGATTCAATTATACGTACTGATTATGATAAAATGCATCTACTTGTAAAATACGCACTGTTTGAATTTACTAAGTAGTATAGCTATGTTTAGGGTCATGTACATAAAGAATATAATGCTGAAAAAAGCACTCATAATTGGTCGATATTTTACAGTCTTATTAGATAAATATCACAGGTCATGTTATATTTTACATATATAGCTAAACATTTTAATGATCATTATGAAGTGAAATGTGAGAAAGTCTCTAATTTATTTATTTTATGTCAAACTGAAAATTGAGACTTTCTTGTTAGAATAACAATAAGTATTTTAAAGTAAGTATCATCAATAGTAAACTTTGATTCCAATTAAAATAAAAAAGTAAAATATTATCGTCTCAGAGACTAGTTTCAGTCATGCAACTGCACGTAGTTTTAACTCTTTTTGCTTAACAATAATCCACAATATAATCTACGGTATAATTATGATCAATAATTATTCTTTTAGATGAATTCATACAGTCGATATTCAAAAACGGCAAATATAAATTCTTTAAATCACCATCGTCGTCCTAATTCTCAAGCTGACTGGTTTAGAGCAGTACGGTTAATGGCTTCAAAACGATTCAGCGAAAGTAACAGATCACTTACTTCAATAAGAAGGAAAAATATTACAAATCCCAAAATATGTAATAAGTTACATTCAAATAATGTTGGTTTCCCACGATCCAAATCTCCAGGTGATATTCTTCAAGATAGTCGACTTACAAGAGCATCCCCAACTGGTTTTGAAAGTTATACTGGTCGAAGAAGTACAAGTGCACTGCCACATGATTTGCGTTATTACATTTACGATCTTGCACCTGGGACTGTACAACTTAGAAAAGAAGTATATTTTTAAACATATATTTATACTTTTCGTCATGTATTTACATAGTTTTTGTAGAAGGACTATGCTATTTATTGCAAACAGTATAAGCGACTATACATAACTAATTGATTCTATGAAACCATGCAAAGATTATCTTTACATAGTTTTATTAAAATTAATTCGTTCCAGTCATATACGTTTTAAGTAAAAAAATACATATAGTTAATCTTTCACAAATATACTACTCACATAGTTATATAACGTTAAAAATAATATTGTTTTGGAGTAACAACTGTATGAATATATGTTTGTTTAAGAATTTTACTTCGCTTATGTGTATACTGGGAACCGTAGATCTCTCAATATCTGCATTATTTTCCTATGAATTCAGAAGTATAAAAAATAACACTCAACGCCAAATTATGTTGCAGAGTAAATGCAGTAAGTTATACATCGAAACATTTCTACCGGTCGATCAAAATTCAATTGCGTTACGAATGCACATCAACATGTCTTTTGATAGGCTTGAACTATTACTGATTCCCTTAGTCGGTGAACGAGAGCGAGGATCGACAATCCGGCTTCACGACAGGCTACTTTAATTCGAGTGTCCAAAACCACTACCACCAACAATAGGAACACCATTTGAAGTGACACTGATAGTTAGGACGACCAACGGGAATTAACCAATAGGAATTGACCAGCAGAATTTGACTTACAAATAATTCTCTTAGGGTATTGGATGGATATCATAACAAGTTGATCAGTAGGAATCATGTAACTGTTAGTTTCCAAGGTCATAGATTTTATTTTCCAAAAGATCTAAAATGTATGGCTCAAAAGAAGTTCTGCAGCTCTCTGGTTTTATTTAATTATTTTACGATTGATAATATTTAATAATGATCCACTAAGCCATCATGTATACGTTCACGTGACGAGAATTCTCTTGATCAGTTAATTTAAACCAAATTTTGTTTGTTCGTTCAACATTGAAGAATTTTCAATAATTTAATGATAATTTCATAAAATTTATTTTTCCTATTACATCATTTGAACTCAAACCATTACTACTGCACAGTTTATTACTCCCCGTGAACGTATAAGAACACATTTGATATTGAATTTAATTTTTCATCAAATCATTGCTGATATTCGTGATGAAAAAAATTTACGTCTAAATATGGATGATCGTAATGAATTGTTATCAGTAATCGGTGAGTGGTTGTGAATTTGTTTTGTTTTTATTTTACACAAGATTTATAGATATCACTTGGAGTATTCCTAGAAACTATGATAAATTTCTTGTCTTCCCCAATTTCTACTAATATTATTTTACGTCATATCCGGCCACGGAAGAGATAGGGGTGTCACGAATTTCTTCTGAACACATAAATTAGGGTTGAATGTACGTATTCCTATGGCTTCTGCAATGTGTAGGAGACGGGATCGAACTCCGTTGGGAAATGATGGAGGTATACGATAGATCACCCGAAAAGATCTAGATTTATCTACAATGTGACCTCTGTCTACCAGGTGTGCTAAGATAGAACTGCGTATTGTTTTTGACTGACCCTTCATAAACCATGCTGGGAGATGTTCACTCATTCGTTGTGTAAGTTGCCTGGAAGTACGCCCGATATAGCTATCTCCACAGGAGCAGCTGAATTTGTAAATGCACATAGAGGAGGCCAACTCAGGTAACTTATCCTTCGTTTGGGTAGACATCGCTGGTCGACTGGCGAAAGTCAATGCAAGTTTGGCAGTGTTGAGTGTTCTACTACTTACTCTTATTAATCTGTCCTGCAGAGTATCGCAGGCCACATCTCCGTTGAATTGTAACTTCATAAATAAAGGCTTCTTTTGGGCGGTCGAAACCACCGACTTCGTTTTTACGGCAGACATATACTTCTTTATGAATGCGCTGGGATAACCGATCTGGGTTAGTGAGTCGTTGATGAATTCCAGCTCCTGACTTAAGGTATCCACTGAACAAATCATATTAGCTCTGTTAGTGAGGCATCTAACCAAATTTCTTTTGTAGCGGATAGGTGTAAAACTACAAAAGTGAGTGTATTGGCAAGCACCGGGATTTTTCTATATACGCTTCTACTTAGTGAGCCATCATTACGTCTACTTAGTGTGATGTCAAAGGAAACTCAGTTTCTTATCGTATTGTTCTTCACCTGTGAACGTGATTGCCGGGTGTACACTGTTGAATTGTTCTAAGAGTTTTTCTTTTCTGATGTCCTGATCTACAATGATGAATGTGTCATCGACGTAACGGCAATATAGATCAAGTTTCTGAATAGTCTCATTTAGTGGTGAAGAAGAACCATTTCAAATAGTTATCTTTTTTTTCTGAAAGTTATTGTTTTTATTATTTAATAAATTATTTTGATTTTCTTTTCTTTATAAATCAGGTAAATATAGAAATTTTGATTCCATTGAATCGATCCAGGAAATTCCAATGGAAATAAAAAAGAAAACTGTATCAACATCGTTGAATTTACCTATTTATTTTGGACGATTTTATCCAGTTCAAGTAATTTTTTGTTGTACATATACATACATGCATATATTAATAATGATAATGATAATAATAATTATTATTAATTAATTAATTAATTATTCTAAATTGTCAATAACAAGAATTAAATTTTGTTAACTTCTTATTTGCATTACGGGGTTGTGAAGATTGTTAAGTTACACATTTTTGAAACCATGAATCGATCAATGTTAGACCACCATTAGAAACCTGCAAGAACTGGACGGCCGTTTCGTCCTGATATGGGACTCCTCAGCAGTGCGCATCCACGACTCCTGCACCCCGCAGGATTCTAACCTTGGACCTTCCAGGTGTCTAATGGTGGTCTAACATTGATCAATTCGTGGTTTCAAAAATGTGTAACTTCTTATTTGATGATATAGTTTACTATCAAATAAGTTAGTTATATTTCATGCCTATTTTGATAATATCACTGAAATTATTAGGATGTTTGTTTTTTTTTTATTGATGTTATTTCTATGATGTTTCATGTATTTATATGTGTGCATACATTACAAAATCTCATGTTTATTTAAAATAACAAACTGATGATCGTTTTTATAGCATGAATGTATTAATTTTTTTAAGAATAAATATTAAACATGAAATATTATGCTGTGTATATATGTAATAAATTCATACGATATTAGCCAGAACCAGATCATAATAAATATTTACATATATATATATATATATATATATATATATATATATATATATATATATATATATATTTACATGTTACATTTAGCAATAGATAAATATTTCTTCTTATATTTAAACGATCATCATTGAGATGTACTTTTGAGTTAAAGACAATCATTAGACTATTCTTCTTACATGAAATGTTTTGTTCTCCAAATACTTTCATTCTGTTTCGAACAAAACTTGTTTATTATTAAGCAAGTGTATAAATCTCTCTTGTTTCCTCTCATACTATTCTGTATACAAAATAGTTAGTTTGAATAGAATCAATAACTATTTTATATCGAGTTCTTTGGTTTTGAGAATTTTTTTTTAAATGAAAATAATTCATGTTCATTTTTAATTTCCGTAATTGATATTTACTGGAACGAGTATATTAACTTTTGAAATATTAAGTTTTTTATTGAACACAAAAAAACCGCACTGTTTTTTTACTAAAATACAAATTATTTTCAAAATATATACACCATTTGTATATATTTCTGGTTAATTTAAAATGCAGAATGAGACAACAATTCTCACTATTCATGATATCACCTAATCAGATTGATTTTAATTGATACCAAATATTTGTGTACACTTATGTTTTTGATTGTTTATGATCATTTTAAAACTTTGATGTTTTATTTCCTGTTACATAACTTCCATTGAAAAACCTTTTTAATGATTTTTTATGCCGGGATCCTGTTTCGAATAATCTTAGATAAATTTTATAGTTTTGCAGTGGAATGGAAAGTGTTTAACTCGGATGGATGAATTTGGTGCACGATCTTGCAGTGAACAAAATGGTTTGTTCGTAAAGCTTTCATGATCAGCATCACCACCGACTTTACTTAACTCATGGAGCATTACACTATCAAAACAATGTATGTTTTAATGTGTGGAGTAAGTATGGTAGATATGAGAATAATACTGAACAGAGATCTCGGTATAAGAATAATGAACGAAATGTAAAGTATCTCAAAAGTTTGTTGGTATACTCTCTATGAACAGTCTGAATTGAAAATCTCCCCTCTTGTTGGTTTGAATAAGTATGAACTTGTACAGAATCCAATATATTTTGAATAGAAAATTACACTTGAATTGAAGTAGTGTTATTCATAAGTTGCTGTTATGATAAATAATATAAAATTACAGGATTACTTCACAAATGTTAAATATATACGTCATTTTTTATAACAAGGCATTCACCAGTTGAAAAATATGTTTCCTTTTATGTTCATTTTAGTCACCAGATGTGAAGGCTTCTCCAGATCTCAGTCAGTGGTTAGTAGTGAGTCATCATGGTATCAGATTGGCTTTACAACCGATAGACTGTACTGAGATCAACATAGAAATCGTCTCAAAGCTTGGTGACATAAACAATGTGACTTCATCTCGCACATCTAACAGACCACGATGGCGTTGTGGAGATTCATCATCAATTGAAGACTTTCAAAGTACTAATCATGGAAAACCTTTAGATTATCTTAAACCTCCTTTAAGTCGATCAGTCAGTACAGTAACCTACAATCTTCTAACTATAAATCATGCCCACGGAATAAGTCGGTTCTACACAGAAATGGTAAGTTTTTAATAATGAGACAGTGCGTTTTTTTTTTACATTTTCACTTTCTCGCTTATACAATATTTGAAACTAAAAATGCAGGATTTGATGAGTAACTAAGTTATCTGAACTACTAACATCTAAAAAGTTTAGTTTAGCTCAAACTATTGATGATGTAATAGATAAAAATGGAATAATTAATAATGTATTTGTTAGTTCAATGACACAATCAAATGATAAATTTAAGTCTAGTATTCATTATGGAATAATTGTCCCGACCGTAGCTGCTACCTTGACGTGGTGGTCGGGCTTGCCTATCGTGGTGACCCAACCGAGCTATACTGGCTGGAACATATGTTCCTGCAGGTCCTACCATGCCAGGCAGGTCGATTGGAGAACGATGAGACTAAAAGCAGCTACCCAAGGTCTGAGGGCGAAGTCGTACTGCTGGCTGCAGAGGGCTGTGATAGCAGTAAGGTGTTTCCCTCGGACAACCAGCATCTGCAGCGATGCTACCTTCTCACAAGGAAGGAAGGGTTAGAAAAGGTCGGCCCTAAAAATGTCACACCTCCCCTAACTCACGGATTTCCGTCTCCTTGGGTAAGGGTGCCCACTAAGGGCCTTTAAGAACGGAGCTAATCCTCTAAATACCTTTGATAAAAAGGCCGTGCGTGACCGGCCTCAAGCAGTTGTCCCTTGGGCTCTGCGGTCACGCACCAACACTAATCCATCTTCCTTTTCAGGTCCCTCAAGAAACAACCTTCTAATTCCCTTACTACCTCTACTACTATTGGATTTGAATTGACAATTATATCTCTGTGCTGATGTGGTATGGCAACATGAACTGATGTTCTTACGTACCAAGTTCTACGTTGCATCTGACTGACTGACTGACTGATGGAATAATTGTTTTTCTATTAAAATGATTGAATATAATTAGTTCTGCATATTTAAGATGCATTCCAATCAATAGTTCCTAATGTGAACGTATATCTTTCAGTATCACAATATCATTGAACTGTAGGGTCACTAAAATGTCATTGAGCTGTTTACACGGACTGATCATTTAAGTACGGATTTCATGTTATTCAAATTGTATTCATTTTGAAAAAAAGATTTTTTCTACAAGTCTATTTAAGTATAGTTAATAATTATGAGTTGATGTGAAGTTTAACATCAACCATTTTATTGTGCTTTTTCTTCAGTTAGAAAATATTTTAATTGTCATTGTGTTCACTGTCGTTACATCATGAAAATGAAATCTTTTTTTTTATTTATACCATGATGTATTTTACTTTCTTTCTTTATTGTTTAGGCAGAAAAGATTTGTGAACTCATTGAATTATTCTTAAGAGAATATAAAGAAGAGGTAGTTTATCTATTGTATTGTTTTTACTTTTCAATTTATAACCATTTAACTATCTAGTACATTATTATTATTATTATTGTTATTATTGTTATGGTTAATCATAGTACTATTAGTATTATTTAAAAAACATTGGTTTTGTGTACATAAAAATCAAAGATTTTTATTGTGAAAATTAGAACAACACATATAAGCGAACAGTATTGTTTTCAATTAGATCGTCATCAGGCTTTACTGTAATATACATGAATATTTATATGAATATGTTAAACTAATCAAGGCAATTTGAGTGATAATTACAGTGAAATGAAAAATATGATAACTAAAGTTTTATCAATAGTAGGTCAAACGTGGATGAATAGACTTCAACTAATCAATAAAAACATCAAAACCATTACGTAATAAGCAAATGTGTAAAAATAAAAATAAAATTAAAAAAAATAATGTCAATCGTTAGTTATGTCATATCCGGCCACGGAAGAGATAGGGTTGTCACGAATTTCTTCTGAACACATAAATTGGGGTTGAATGTACGTATTCCTATGGCTTCTGCAATGTTTAGGAGACGGGATCGAACTCCGTTGGGAAATGATGGAGGTATACGATAGATCATTTCACTGTGATTATCACTCAAATTGCCTTGATTGGTTTACATTTTCATATAAATATTCATGTATATTAGAGTAAAGCCTGATGACTATCTAATCAAAAACAATATTGTTCGCCTAAATGTGTTGTACATTAAAATTGTCAAAAACGTCAAAAGCGATAAAGCAGTTTCAACCAAGTTGTCTTACTGTGAATATCATTACTGTAGGATTCATGAATAAGTCATTTCATGCATGTTGACATCATTTGTTAAACATTCATTCTATTATTTTATATCATATATCATTTTATTAATAAAATAATTTTCTATGAGAATCTTTATACACTGAATAATTCATTTTTTCATTCAGATTATTCGTCCTGAAATTTTGTTCATTTCAGCATCTGATTTCAGTGGATATTCACATTCTAATTGTTTATACTCTGTTATCAATTTATTATGATTACTGTGTGTGTGTTTTTCACAATAAAAAGATATTTGAATGGGACACTCATTTTTATGAATATACATGATCATTTAAAATGATAGTTTCTTTGAATCTTATAATAATATTTCATCATGCCTCAGAATCGACCAACATACTTAGATTTTCTGTTATTTTTTACATTAAACACAAAGAAAAACTAGTTTTCCGCTTTTCAAATATTCTTTTAATGTAATATTAATAAACAATATATACAGCTTGTTACGCAATTTCAGCTATGAAGTTTATATAACCTATCTATTCGATGAAACTTCCTAAACTTTGATTTCCCATAAACTGTAAGCAGTTATACCTTGTCGTCTTTCAACCTTCAGCGAATCAAAAAAATAAATCACTGGAAAGATTGATTAGGAGCGATCATAATAGGTTACTAAACGCCAATCATATGTTAGTCCATTTTTTCGTACTAATGTCAAAATTATACTATTCCTGATAATACAGATAATACAGAAGAATATAATTTAATAAAAATCACATCGAATCATTGAATGACAGGTGACCTTGTTTGAGATGACAATCTTGAATACCTCAGATATAGAATTTCAGAAGAATTAAAAAAGGAATCCAAACTTTATAGGAAGTAAATAATGAAAAGAGAGTTTTCAAGTAAAATTTTGGTATTTAAACACCCTGAACAATATTTTAAATTTGAACCGCTTCAGCGAGTTTATACTGTAGATGATATTTACTAAATTTTAGACTGATTACAATCCTATGAAATATTTATAGCGATTCGCTCCTCATAAGTTGAAAATTCATTGTCTTTAAATTACAAATATCATTTTCTCCCTTATTACTTCCTGAACTATTAAGGCGGAAAATTTGTAGGAAATTACGTTATAGGAATCATCTATATCTGCATTTTTTTTTAATCAAAAAGACCAATATGCCTATCTAATGTGTATTTGGCTTCCTAGAAATATGAGGTAACATATCGAAAAATGTTCGTTTTCAGAGACAAAAGTGAATTAGCTGCATAAGTTACGGTATTCATTTATCTATAAAACTGCTCTCACTGTAACAGAATTCTGACATGAAAAGCAGATTTCACAATTTTTAGGACCTTATACTTTTTTGTTGTGAAGAAAGAAAAAATTTTGTCGCCCGAAAGTAAAACAATATTTCTTATTGTATGCCTTTCAGGCATCTTTCTCTTAATGCACATCATTGATATTAAGCTCAAATTTCTCTTCATTTACATAATTTCTTAAATGACCTATTGAACATGATTTAAACTATTGAAAAATACACAATAAATATTGATTGTTATGAAACTCCCAACACGGAGTTTATTATCAACGGCCTTAATATTGCAATCCTTGATATTGACAACTGTCAGTCAAGCTACAAATCAAAGATTTCATTTTTCGGTTATTACTTCTAAATATTGGCAATCATTACCTTCAAATTCTAAAAGTAAATCTATTATCTATCATCCGTGCACAATATTTGTCCGTTTTTTTCAATTGTGAATCCTGAAATTCTTATTTTTTTACTTAGTCATGCCTGCCATCTCCAGTGGAGCATAAACCGCATTTTCTAACCCACCCTCTCCTGAACATTCTTTTCCAGTTTTGTCAGACTGTTGTCTACTTTTATTCTTCCAATTTTAAAATTTGTCCTACACAAAATCTGTTGACGCTGAATTTACTAACCTTTGTCATCTACATTTTAAATTCGTCTCCTTTCTGATAGTTTATCTGTTTTCTGCACGATTCTGCAATGATATGTCTCTTTATGAGTGCATTGTTTTTACGCAGTGCACAATAAAATAACATTTTGATTTTGTTCAAATCTTAAACATTTCGAGCAGCTGATTACTTATAATTCAATTTAGTCCACCCTGATACATTTATAGAATCTTTTTCAAAGTCTGATATATTTCTGTGAATTTATTAAAAAAGGTTTGCGTTTGTGATAATAGATTCATTGACTGTATATCCTTATATAACGTTAATATATTCTCCTGGTGAAAGTCAACTTATTTGAAATTTACATATGAACTAAACAATTAAAGACATTTATCTCCTATGTAACTGAAATCATGCTCTTTTATGATGGTCACCTTTCTTGTTTCTCTCTCTTTTTACATCATACAGTTCACCAAATGATTTATTATAAACTATTAAAATCATCATTTATCATAATTTATTTTACGTTAGTTGTTATGTAAAATGCTGGTATTTTGTTTGTTTCAACTGATAGATGAAACGTCTTCGAGAGGCAAAACACTCAGCTTTCAGAAGTCATTGTAAGTTTAAATTTCTTATGCTTGATTTTATATTACTATGACGTTTTGTTTAACATTGAAAAGAGTTTTTGATTTGCGGGGAAATATATTGAATAACAAAAAGAAATTTTTGTTTGTTCAGTGAAGTTTGACTCCATGAAACCAATGTGTTGTTACTGTATTGGAGTATTTTTATTGATGGCTACTTTAATGTGTGAATTGCATATTATAAAACCTTTGTATGCAGATGTATTTAGCTTCTGTCAATAAAATTGCAAATTACAGCTTTAAATATCTCTTAAATTTATACTGCTTATGATATTTTATGAAACTATTAAAACACTTTTTGAGTAGTCGAGGAATAATGTTTTATGTACAGTATTTTTTACAGTCGACGCTGCATTGAAAATAATATATCCAATTTGATTATCAAAAATATTAACACTATTACAGGATTAAAATTAACAAACAACTATCGTATATCAGAAATGTATCTTTCATCAAAGTTGCTGTTAGCTCTGCTATTTTTTTTTCATCTTCCAAACAGACAATCAGAAAATTTGAACAAAGAAGAATGAAATTTATCTTGAATAAGCTTTTTTATTGAATGCAGCTGATCTAATTCATAACATTTGCTGGTTGTTTTGCTGTACTTTTTATTTAGACTTTTTCAAGTGATTCATTTTACTATTTTGTGATTATCAATGTCTAAGTGCCAGTCATGTACTAATAATTTTTTTTTAAAAATTAATTGTTCAAAAGTGAAATAAAGTATCCATTCAAAAAGTAGTCACAAAGCTTTTTATTGCTTTTTTTTCTACACTGCATAAAAATATAATGCAAACATTCCGGATAATTTCAAATAAGTATACCGTTGCCAGTCTCTTGATTGCATACAAACAATGATTTTCAAAAATTTCATTCAAAAGACTAAAGTTTAGTGTTTTTGTTGACTGAAAATATTGTGATCTCAGTTGATAGCATTCATAAAATTACTTCTGAAATATTTAAATGAATATCAAAAAATATATTCAAAATAAAAAGATCTTTACAACGCCTGGTATTTCTGATTTCGATAGCGTTCGGTGTTCTTAAAAGAGAATAAAATCATAGTCTCAAGGATAGAACAGTACAAATATTCAGTTCGTTTTTGATTTTCAATAGTTTTCTTATTGATAAGGATTTGTGAAAGAAACTATTTTCAATATGATAACAATTTGTTAGGCACTGGATTTTATTCTAGAAGGGATGAATACCAGGAAAATTATAAGCTAGTTCATATAAATAATCCTATTTTTCCTTAATAATATACACTTTTGAATCATATTTGTACAATATGTTCTAGTGAATCTATCTTCTTATCTCTGAAAAGATCAATTAAAGTGAAAATTAAACATTTTTCTGTGAGGATTCACGCTTGAATGAGACAATTTCTACTCAAACATTAATCCTGAAGCAATGTTGCTCTATGTACTATCAGTGTATAAATGAAATTCTGAGGGAAACTAAGAAATCATTAAAATCTGTTTACTTAATTGTCCAATTTCTTATGCAAGAAATGTTGATTGAAAACTTTATAAGTTAAGATATTCAGTGTATTCACATGACATTTTTCATTTGTTTGTTATCAGCTTTTATATAAATCTTAGTGGGCAAATTGCTTTCAAACCTTTAGATGCTATACATGTGACCGATTTCCTCTGTCAAATAAATATTGATATCTTATTTTTCTTCATCGTTGTTTATTGCACATTATTAAATCTTCACACTAATTCGTATACGTGAAATATATATATATATATATATATATATACATGTTTTACTTGAATTAATCATGAATTGTTCTTTTTATAGTCAATCCATCAAGTCCTGACATTGCAAGTACTCCAGAAGTTACATATCGACTTGTGTGCAGTCCTGCTTTACTTTCAGACGATTTATCCGCCCCATCAATAAATTCAGAACAGGAAGTTATACCAAGAAATACTACAAATATTAACACTAAACCTCCAGTTATTCCAAGAAGACGTAATCGTAATCTTAATAAATGTGACAATTATTCAAATAACAGCTCACTAGTTGATAGTTCTGATTCATTGTCATCTGATTCGGAATTACAATCAACGAATCCAATCAATCGATCAACAACGCCAACTATAGTCAAACGTACACGATCATCAAGTGAACATAATATAGCTGATGGTGTAAATAATTTAAGATCTGGTGATAATACACCTATTGGTTGGAATCCACCATATAGACGGAATTTATTTGGTGATTCATTAGGACAACAGTTTAATGAGCATCCTCTTCTACCATTTGCACGTCAAAACTTTTTAAATACGTAAGTCGATGTTGAAAGTCTTATTTTATCATATTTTAAAATGATAATTAACCAATATCTTTTTGTTTGTTTTTTCAAATATTCTAAATGATTTGATCTGCAGTTTCATAAATCACATTTTTTCATCTTGTTATATTTCAAGTATTTGTATCCTGTCAAATCTTCTACAATGTTTAATCAGTTAAAATGATGAAGCTGTCAGCTTTATATTTTAAAACGTAGGCTGTCTTTTCTGATTTGGCTTGTTGAGGATAAAGAGACATCAAATTATTGGGAACCAGATTTTAACTACCTGTCTGAAAAAGAAAAATTAATAATAGTACACTTTTTTATTGTTCTTTTATCATAAGTAAACGTTATTGACTGAAAATGTTTGTTTAATAAACAATATGATTATGTGTATGAGAAGCAAACTCGATTACAATTTAAAATGATTAAGTACGTATAGACCCAAATTACAATGTCTTGTAACTGCACTGACTGTCTATACCCAGATTATTCCATTAATTTCCATTGAGATGGTGGAGAAAATTCGTAGCTGAGCTGGATGGTTTGGTTGTGGAGCTTTCATTGTTCATCTACACAAACTTCAGAAAGAAGTGAACTATTCGAATTTCTCCGCGTTTGACCCGTACCTTATTCTGCTTACCTCGATCTTGATTGGTTGCTGTTGACCTTAAACTTGTCGTTGTTTGAACCTTTGTTTTGATTGTATCCCCCTTTTGATCTGTTTCTTGATCTTATGACGCCTATAATTTTTCTGATTGGTTGATAAATTAGATCAATGTCGATGTGTGTGGTGAGTGCTGATTCACTTGAGTGCCAAGCTTCTAAAAATTTTCTAGTACTCTTTGTCCTCCACCTATCCAGTATTTCCACCTTGTTCTAATCGAATGTATGTCTTAAATTGTCGGTATTTATTGATATAAGCGAAGAAGTAGTCGTGCTGTGTGCTCCGAATGAGCTGGAGAACATCTACAATCGGATCAACATCTTCGATGTCATAAAATTCACCATGGAACAGGAATCGAATAGCAGTCTATCATTTCTGCATTTACTAATCACCAGAACTAACACAAGCAAACTGGGAAATCAAGTATTTCAGAAGCCAATACACACAGACGTGTGGCACACAAACCAACAAAATCATTTCAATCAATCCTATGTAGACCAAAAAGACAAAATGGCAAAGGAAGAAAAACCAAATGTCATCTACAAAATAAATTGCTCAGACTGTGAAAAACATTTTATAGGACAAAGTGGACGGCCTCTTCAGCTTCGTTTAAGTGAACACCAATTAGCAGTCACACACCACAACAATTCTTCGCTTATATCAATACACACCGACAATTATGGACATACATTCGATTGGAACAATGTGGAAACACTGTATAGGAAGAGGACGAAGAACATTTGAGATGGTGGAGAAGATTTGTAGCTCAGGTGAATGAAGAACACTGGAAAATTTTTAGAAGCTAGGCACTCAAATGAATCAGCAATCAACACACACATCGACATTGACCCAATTTATCAACCAATCAGAAAAATTATAGGCGTCATATGATCAAGAAACAGATCAAAAGGGGGATACAATCAAAACAAAGATACAAACTTCAAACAATTAGTCCCTTTTATAAATTTTGATAGAACAGTGTGAAGACGTAATTGATGTGAAAAATGTGGTGTATTAGCGATATACATTTCGGACAGTCCGGTCACACATATTTACTTGTCAAGGCATTTTATATGAACAATAATAAAAGGTCAATTAAATAAAAGTTCAAATAGACATAAGGTGATAATTGTAAATAAATGAGAGAGAAAATTAACGTAATCTGGAAAGAATAAGAAAGGGTGGGAAAACTGTCACATTACTCTAAGCTTAAAGATTACCAGGGTAAATTCAAAGTTATGACAAATTGTTTCTGCACACATAATGGGGGTTTTAATTTTCGAATAACCGAAGCCTCTATAAACCTCAAAATTCGTCCTTCAACGTTTCTATACGATGTTTTGAAGGCTGTCTTGATGTCAATCTTATGCCCTGTCTCAATTGTGTTTTTGCGATCCATGAACATGGTTTTCTTTTTCCCACGCTAACCGGCTAATCTAACGTTAACTGATTTTGAAGCCACTTAGGCACATGTTCCATAACCCTTCATTGGAAAGTCCGATTACTCCTCCTAATGCATGTGTGTCCACACAAACACGTAAACTGATAATGCAATGGGATGTGATGAAATCATTCGAGCAACGTTTAGGTCTATGTGAAATCATAGGCTTAATCTTTTCAAAGGTGCAAACAACGGCAGGTTTAAGGTCAATAGCAAGCAATCAAGATCGAGGTTAACAGAACAAACTACGGGTTTATTTTTTATTATCCTTCGTAGATCAGTTAGTTTGCATATAGTTTTTTTTATTTATATTTTCTCCTCCTTATTTACATTGGACTTACATTAGATATCTAAACTGTTTATGTGATTGGTTTATCACTAAATGGTATGCTAACTGAGTTTTGCCTTAACAACACAGTATTAATTCGATAGATTTCAAACTTGCGTGTTTTAGAAAGCAATGTTATTCACTACTCACAGAATATTTAGATTGCAGGTAAATAAACAATCCTTTCAACATAAGGTATCAAGCTTCAAAGTCTTTGATAAAGATGATGTTTGTAGAAATGAACTTCTTCGAAAACTGACACAAACACATTATAGTTTGGTATGATACAAGTCTAAATAAAATGGAAATCAATGGAATAATTGTTGCGAATAAATATCATATAAAAAAAAATTTTGTGAAAATTTTTTGATTAAGAAAACTTCAGGTCTACATTGATAACAGTGTGTTCCATATATCTCAGAAAATGTTAATAAAATCCGTAGAATAAAAAACATAAGTCACAGCACGTGGTATTTCAAAGGGAATTAAATACTGACTATAGATTGGGAAAATCAACTGTTACGAAAGTAAAACAGTCTATCTAGTGCATATGTTGTTATATGTTTAAGGTATGCATTTTCATTTTATTAAAATCTTGAAACTAGACTTTTACTTCAGAACGAATGGTTTCAAAGGTTTGTTGGTTAAAAAATTATCTATGCCTGATTTTCACTATTATCGTATTTAAAATAATTTACAATTAATAAGTCGATCGCATTGTTTTTCGCTTCACTCATTAAAGGTTAGTTATTTATTCAAAAGTCATAGCTATTTCTTTTGCCTTCGTGATTTTGGAAAAGTTTTTGATTAACATGCAAATAATTGAATCAAGTTTGAGTTTTAATCAGAACAATCTTGATAAGTGAGATGAAAATGTTATGATGGGCCTAATCCGAGATATGCATATGATATGCAATAACTCTTCCCCCTAAACTAACTTCTTGACTGTAAAATCAAAAGTGGACGAGAAATCTATTCGGCTACTAAATAATATTCACAAATACTCCTTTATATATACGTTACTTCCTTTTAGAAGATAGATCCGTTTCTTGATCATTGATGAGTCTGTCCTTTATGACACTTCTGACTGTCCGACTACTTCCGATTGGCTCTCTATAATAGTAAACGTTCAGAACTAACTGATCGGCATAAATTTTCGTCTTATATTTCGCTATCGGACTAAGTCATCAAACATTTTTGACAATCATTTCTGGGTCTTTTTTGATTTTAAATGGTCCAAAAACACTTTTTTTTAAACACCAATTTGCCTAAATAGTTTAACTAGAGGAAACGGGTTGATGATCTTTCTAGATCAAGTGTTAGTGAAATTGAATGAGTAAATATTTACTCTAAGTTGTTAGAGTTTCAGATGATTTTTAATGTTTTAATAGCTTCTTTCCATTTTTCACAACGAAGGGTAAGGTTTCTCAGTTGGTATGAAATTATAAAGTTACATTTTTACAACTTACATTGTCACTTCTTTCTCTATATTAAAGAAATAACTTAATTCAACAACTTAGTTGGCAATCTGAACCTCCTGAGTCTGGATCACTGTTAAAACATCCAAATAGTGTGGATACAGAAGTTTCGACAAATTTATTCACACGTATGTACGATAGCAATATTAATCTGCTTTATTAACACTTAACGGTTCGCATCTAATTTTATTAGCCAGATCAGTTTGCTTTTGGTAGAATTTTATCTAGTAGTAAGCTTTGTATATGCACACTAATTTGAAACTGTATTAACCACGACATATTATGATCGTTTCAATAACTGAACATTGAAAGCTATGTATTTTATAACATGAATTATTTCGATAATCATTTTAACATTGTAATTTCACTCATACAATTAACTTTGACTATACCAATTGCAATCATTGTAAATTTTTTCATTTCTTTTTATTCAAATGTATGTTGAATTAATGCACTAGTTTATAATTTTAATCACAAACCCAAAACATTTTGAACAATAATTGAGATCACTGCAAATAGGGTGTATATATTTTCTTGTACTAACAGGTAAAAATGCATCAAATCTGTCAATTTTTTGTCCCAGAATTTCTCAAACTCGTTAAATGTGACAGCATTTTCACACTAACAAATTAATAAATATACAATCTTTAAATTGATTCAGTTGATATTCAGGTACAAATGTTTTGACTTCTAACATAAAATAAGTTTTATGTACTACTGTGGTGTGAGCTACTTATAAGTAGTATATGACGTGAGTGTCAACGTAATGTCTGGCAGCAGAATATGGGAGAAGATCAAGAAAGGAAGAGTTAGAAAACAATGGAATTTGTATGAAACGCATGAACAGTGACAATGCATTGATGTTTTGCAACAGGAACAGTCCAGTTCGATATGATGAACTGATATTTTGCAAATGAACGATTTACGATATGGTTTTCCAATTTTACTGAGTAACTCTGTAATTTTCGTTAAATACAACTCGGTTGCCCCACCTGTGTTCTCGTTCACTACACTACCAATAATAATCTAAAAACTTCGAATAAAGTTGATATCCCTCAAACTTGTCGGTTTGTCATTTCATTAATTGAATATAACGCATTGTTATCAGTCGATTTATAAATTATATCTATAATCAAAACTGTCAATAAGCTAAGGGTTAGAGTGACTTACATTTTTATTGATTTATGGTTGAATTCATTACTGTCAATCGAATGAATGCCTGTTTCTTTCATAAATTAAAAATTTTTTCATTCTTTCACATAGATTGTCATTATTTTATGTAAATCGTGCAATTGTTACAATGAATAGATTGAACACAACTGCACTTGATCACTACCTCTAACTGTTTAAAAATCATATATTGTATACGAAGGATGCAAAGTGTATTCACTGATTATTTACATATTGTTCTTGATCCAGTTAACTTCATTGGTCACTGAGAATATAATGTACATTTTCAGTTGTCCTAAATGATTGCTGACTTATATTTGACAGTTGAATAATGTGATATTTCTACCATATATGAAACTTTTCATTAGATTTATCTTTATATTATTGATTTTAAGTGTATCATTAAAAAAAAAAAAAGAGAAAACCATTTTGTAGTCATCATTCAATTGTATTCTGCATTTTTTTTTTTGCATAACTGCACATGTATTTCAGTTTAAGTTGATTTTGTCATGCAAAAATAAACACTGTTTTTGCTTAGCCTAACCAATCAAGCTTTTGAATATTGTTTAGTATAATTTGTGAACAATATTATCTAATTAACATTATTTTTGATTATACTTTGTTAACATGTAACAATAGGTAATGAATTATTCATAGAATTTTTTTGAATGAAAATATTAACAATGGTTTAATATTGCTTCTAGAGCTTTATATGTATATATATATTTATTGAAATTTAATTCACTGTAAATTACAAATAATATGTACATGAATGTATGGTTTCTTTGACTGCAATAATATAATATACAATTCAAATCTATCACATTAAATTTAGTCCTATGTACCTTTTTTTCGGGCAGAGTTTGGGAGGTTCTGTGTTATTACACATTTGAAATCATCAATTAATCATTGTTAGACCAACATTAGAAACCTGGAAGCACTGGACGGCCGTTTCGTCCTGGTATGAGATTCATCAGCAGTGCACATCCACGACTCCTGCACCTCGCAGGATTCGAACCCGGGACCTTCGGTATTGTGCACGAACGCCTAACCATCGGACCACTCGGTCGGCAGCCAACGGTGTTAATGTCTAACTCTGATTGATCTAGGGATTTTGCGCGACCTCACCCATTTTTCTTTGGTAGTTACTGCCTACACCCGACAGGGTTGAACTCCATTAGTCACGTCTTCTCAACTAGAACTCCGAGAATTTCCCCACGAAGCTAGTCACTAGTGAGCACTGTTACTATATTTTCGGGCAGAGTTTTGGAGGTTTTGTGTTTTTACACATTTGAAATCATCAATCATGTACCTTCATCTCATCAATCAATTGTTCGTTTTATCCAATCCGTTGATTCTTATTATTATTTTGTTCAAGGTATCACTGACATACTTCAAGAATAACTAGTTACTATTGATATAAATCAGTAAGATTTACAAGAATGGTGCTGATATTAATGACATGTTGAAACGTTTCAACTTTTAAATATGGCTTATAAGAGTTCGTTATATGAGACTAGTTACTTTTGACTACACGGATAATAAACAATAGTAAAGTTTTCATGAATATAAATAAATCAATATTGAAACAGATAGTTAAGGGAAATGGTTGGTATTGTATACGAATACTTGTAAATTTCATCCATTGTTTCAGAAAGTAAAATATTAAATAAAAAGCGTGCATAACTTTAGATTATTCATGTTGATGAAAGCTTATATTAGCCAAGAACAAGTTTTCATGATTACCTGGATTTTGTTTCCCCCATACACTTGTCGTTTTACTCAGTGCTTCCTTTTATTCCATATTTTTATTATCCATATTAGTTTTTCTTTGAAAATAATCTTGAATAAATCTATTTGACTAAAGAGATCCAGTAAATGAAAGTATATTTTAAAAAAATATTATTAACATTGGAAACCTAGTAAAGGCAGTATGTATATAACGTGACTAGTTTTTTACCATTAGAAATCATGTGAAGTCAAATAATATTTCAAAAAACAAATTGTTTTGTCTAGATTTACTTGGCTTTTGTTTTTAAAGCAAATTAACTAATTAGTGTAGAAAAATTTCACTATTACTGATAACTGACTGACTAATCATTTGTTTTAAATGGATTTTTCTTTTTTTTGTTTTGTTTTATTCAATAGTTATTCAATATTTTGCCAAAGAAGTACCATCAAAACATCCACAGAGTGCAATTGTTAAAATATTAATTGAAGTAAGTATAAAATAACAAGTTGTACTACTCAGATTTTAATTTCTACTTACATTGAATTTATTCAGTTGAAACATTAATATAAAAAATTTATTCTACTCGTTTTTGGTTTCAATCATTACAGATGCTGAATGAACGACCATGGCTTTCTGATGAATTTTACTGTCAACTTGCTAAGCAAACATATTCAGATAATAATAATAATAACAGTAATCAGTAAGTTATTGCATTATTCTACTATTCAGTTTAGATGTCATTTTAACTATATTCAATTGTAATGTCTTGAACAATTCGTTTCTGACAATCTACTTATATCAAGAATTGATTTCAACTAAAGAATCAATGAGAAATAGTGAATAATGAACAGCTGTTTTCTCGCACTACGAGACTATCTGATAAGATGCACCTACTAACTCGCCTGGAATTCAGCTATAAAACTGTCAATTCTTCTAGTTAATACACATCTGTTCGTTACGACAACTAATTCAAAATGTGGATGATATTATTTTTCATTTCGTATGAACAAACTAATTTTTGAAACTATTTTGAATAATACTTCATTCTGTAAAGATAAGTATGCAGTACAACTATTGGCTTCAAAAAGACTATTTTTATAAGTTGTTTGAGATTTTCCCTCGATTCATCAGCATTCAGTAAATATTCAGAATCCAAAGTTTTCGAGAGGTTTTTTCGTTTATTTATTGTCTGAGAAGCATATTTAAGAATATGATATTCAATCATTTGAAGTAATACATTCCTGTTTTATATAAACAACTCAGCGTGGCACATGTTAATGTATTAAATTAACAGTATGAGTACAGTAAAAGTTAGAGTTTAAAACTAACTCTCCAAGGGAAAACTACACATTTTGATCTACAACACTCTCTGGCTATATAAACGAGAAAATGTTCGAAGATACTAAACACTGTATATTTATTGAACATAGTAAAACGGATGGATAGCCTCATACCATAAATTTACTTATACAACTGATTAGCAATTGAAGTATAAAATCAATCAATAAGGATTTCTTTGTCACTCTTTTATTTTATAAAATTAAACGTATATTGTAGTTATCTTAATTATTTATGATCATTTTTTCTTTTTGATTTCATGTGTTCCTTATAGCGATAATCATGATCTTGTATGGTTATTATGGAAATTAACAACAATTTTTGTACCAACATCCGATACACTTAGGCCATATTTAGTTAAATATATTGGATTTCGACAAGATATTCAAAATCAAAAATTACAAGGTAAAGCAATATACGCTGAATTTTCAAGTCATTCATTTGTTGTTCAGAAATTTTACATTTGAAAAAAATTATATGCTTTGCTGTTATTTTGCAACGAAGGCGAATTACGTAAAACAAAATCAATCAGAAACTGGTTAATGAATTAGTGAAATTCGTTCATTTGCATAGATGGATGGTAGCTAGCAGTAGAAGCCTGGATCCATGTTTCGTCTCATTTACGACTTGTCAATAAGATGTATCTGAATGCCAGAGTTGATGTTCCTTAGTGGACTCTAATCTAGTGCTGTTCACTCCAAACATACAAATAACCAATATACATGATTTAGACTTAATTCTATCACATAAGCCAGTGGCTATCCGGACTCAGTAGCTAAGTGGATGAGGTGATGGCGTTTGAAGCGAGTAGTGCTGGGTTAGAGTCCTAAAGTAAACATCAGTGATCATTCAGCTGACGATTCCCAAATAGCACAAAACCCACGTCCTGGGTTTAACTACTAACTACCACCCATCTATGCTAGTAATACTTATGACTTCACGACAATATCGAAGCAATCTGCATAGGCGCACATATTTCAAATGAGAATGATCGATTGTAGTTCTAAATATCAATGGTAAAATTCCACTAACCGATTCAAATGAATGAAATATGTTTCTTCAGTCATTTTAAAACTCCTGTCCACAGTAATATAAAGAAAGATAAATAATTTTCATTACTAGATTTGTACAATATACCGCATAGTATATGTGTAGTACACTTCATATTATAGGTTATGGAAATGAACGTTTATTTATAAATTGTTGCAACACAGATTAGAAAAATCATGTTATCGTTTCGATTACGATTGTTAAGAAAGAATAAATTATACTGACTGATTCAACTGATCCTTTTTCTTAAGTTTTCTTAAGTTTAAGAAAAATGTAAGACAAAAATTCACTCGCGATTAAGAAAATATAGTATTTAACAAAACCACAACTTTTTTACACTGCTAACCAAATTAACATTAAATTTGAAAAATATATATGAATCAGTTTACTCTGATCGATGCACTAACAATCATGATATTTTAGAGTAGATCAAAACTGTTCCACAACGATCAGCGGCCTAAAATATGAACTTTTGAATTAGCTAATCTCTATTAGCATACAGAGATATTTATACATATTGTACATTTACTTGAAATATTGTCAGATGTACTTATTTTCCTAATCTTTTTTTTTAGCTTGCTTAGATACAATTATTCAGAATATGGAAATTGTTTCCCGTTTTGGTCCAAGAAAACTCCTACCACCTGATAATGTTTTAGAATCCTTTATAGTAAGTCAAATGTATCTCTACAGATTACTCAGTTAGTTACAAATCTATAAAAATTTTGTGTACATTTAATTGATTTTTTGATAGTTTTATTTAGTTAACCTTATAAGTTCATTAAAATTTTTAGCTATTAAGATTTGCCAAATAAAAATAGTATGAGAAGTTTTTAAAGTGTTATACTCATGAAAGGATATAATGAAGAGTTTTTCGATTACACTATCTTTTATATTCACTTTTCTGCATAGTAGTCTCTTAATAACCTACCCTAACTTAAAATTGTTTCTTAACCTAGTTCCTCTTGAACGACAGTCTATTTCATCTACTCCTATCTCATATATTTTGTTAAAAGGTAATGAAGTCTCTGTCCAGTGAGTGAATTATGGAAAATTAAAATGATACAATATCTATCTAATAGATATCGTTTTTTACATCACATTTGGTAATTTCTAAGATTAAGATTAAGTGACCCTACATCGCATTGTATTATATTCAGTAGTTATAAGAAGCTCTGTACACAGGTTTCATGCTAGTTGGTAGAATAACAGTTACTAAGATTCCTTTGTCTAAGTATTATTGTATGATCACTTTTAACTTACCAAACTGAATAAAATGTAACGCAAGTGTATTTAACTAATCAAGTTTAAATTATTGTTCTTTTCATAATTTAGGACGGTCATATGATTCATAGACAAGTAATTCATTTTACTAATAATAAAAGTACCAGTATACCACTTGGACAATTATGTCTTATTCAAGATGTCATTCATAATGTAATCAACAAACTCAGTGCAAGTTTTCTTACTTCACCGACTGATTTTGCATTATTTCTATGCAATAAAAATGGATCAATTAACAGTGAGTTAATTTCATTTAATGAATTTGTACAATTTAACATGTTAATTTTGTTGCAATCACTAATTACTGTCAGTCTGCTTTATAGAGTATAACTTGATCAAAGCTAAAGCAGCTAAGAATGTGAAGCCATCAGTCCTGTTAAAAATTCATAAATTGATTTTCTATTGATGAAAATAGTTTATTTACTCGATAAGCATGAATCAAACAAAAAAATCCAACAAATAACTTATCCGATCATATATATAAAGGATATTTAAACAATTATAACCTAATTGTTAAGACTATTAAGAACAAGTGTACATGTGAAAGCTCGACAAAACTCCGTCAATCAATGTAACATTTACTGAAAAAAACTCAAAGAATAACAACGGAGTATCTTTTACAAAATTGAACTGTTTTAATAATAAGAAACACTGATGTGAAAAAAGTGGCCACCATCTTCACCTTCGATTACATAAACACTAATAAGTTATTATACAAATGCATACAGAAAATTTTAAATACAAGTTTGTCTGGTAAAGTGTTAAATTATTTAATTTTGATAATACAAAGATTATCAGAAAGGTTTTTAAATCTTCGCCCTGAGGTCACTCAATAAACATAGTGATACAAATAATTATTAGCTACAATGCCAGAAATCATCACCTCAGATGAAGGGTGGATATGCAGGGAAATATATACAATCAATGACAACCCAGTTACTAGCAAACTGCAGTCACAGTCCATATTGACAAAAGTTGTTAGTTGCTCACCTCTTTCTGAAGCTTGTGTTCATAGTGTTGTCTGTAAGGGTCGCAAAAGCTCCACTAGTAAACGAGTCACCTTAAAGAATACAACACTATTAAGACTGTGCTGCGTTTTTTCTTCTAACTGAAGATTCATGAACAATTACAATCTTTGATACTCAAATGTTTATAGTTTTATGTGATTTTTATTAACAGATCGTTGACTTATTGAGTATAAATCTCTAAAATTGTTTTCTCTAATGATCACATTTTATGTGATGATTAATTTAATAGCTTGTAATGATGATCCACTGATTCCTTTACCATTGGATGCATACATATTCGATGCCCCAATATATCATGATAATTTGATAATTCATTTTCGAAGAATATGTTGGACTGTTCCATTGGAATTGCAAAAACTTCCTCGTGCCTATTTAGATTTTTTATTTGATCAAGTAAGTAAAGGAAAAAGATGATTTCCGTTTATTTCTGAAGGTGATGATATTTGTTAATAAGACAGTCTCTTATGATATTAATTTTCGTTTCACGATAATTTAGTTCTAAATCATAAGTCCTGTAGTTTTTTCCGGTTCATTATTAATCATTATATAAACGTATATATATTTAACTTAGAAAATAATGTAAAATTTAGTGATTGGCTTTCTTAATTTCCTCAAGAAAATTATACGTAGGTATGTGAAAAGATAAAAGAGTGTTCAGGGAACCACATAGAGTCGATCGTCACCTAGTTCAGGATCTATACGGCTGCTTCCCTTGATGAAATTCAAGGATGCCGTAAGAAAACCGGAGCTACTCCTCATTTATAGTACCCGCTACAACATATCAGTTACCAGGCCGACACCCAGCTTTATAACGGAAACGATGTCGAAGTCCTCAAATCATTATGTCAAGAAGGAATGAGCATCAATGCTTCGTAGCTCTAACGTCTCCCAAACAAGACATGAGGTCATCTACAGACGATTCAGTAACCTCATATTCATACCACAATTAAATGTCGTCTCGACATCTATACTTCAAGATCTGGAGCACGTTTTATGGTCATCGCTCTGCGATAACGCTGAACCTGGTGAGTCTAGACGAACACAGTCCAGGTACCAACGGGAACACGTAGGCTGTGCACAACCACGTTTCACATACAGTCAGTCAGTCAGTTGCAACGTAGAACTTCGTACGTATGTACATAAGTTCATGTTGCCATACCACATTAGCACAGAGACGCAAATGTCAAATCAAATCCCATAGTGATAAAGATAGTAGAGGTATTAATTGTAATGAAGAAGACTAGGGTTTGAAGATATTATTCAAGAAGTATAATTCAGCAAAATAAGGTTAGAAAGACAAAGGTAAAGTTGCTGACGAATCCAGAAGATTAGGATTTGAGTGAGCTCAACGAATGGATGCACTTGCGCCATTGCAAACGATTTTGAGCCATATCGTTCAAGGTCTCTAACAATTGGTGACTATCGTCTCGCGGACCCCAACCAGGTAGTCTACATCTACCAACATGACTCAGTCCACGTGTCAGTGACTTTATGGATTTCTGCCATATTTTGGTCTGGCCGCCCCTAGCTTTCTTCCAGTATACACCTACACCACAAAACATAGCTCGTCGAGGCAGTCGGTGGTTGGGCATTCGTAACACATGTCCCAACCACCTCAACTGATGAAGTTTCTTTACTTCATTTATTGATCTGCCATCCTTACCTAGTACTTGTTTCCTAACGACAGCATTGCTTACTCGATTGTCCCACGATATACGAGCAATGCTTCTTAAACATCTATGATCGAGTACTAGTAACCTACGAACATCTACTCTTAACGGCCATGTTTCACATCTATATAGTAGAACGGAGCGAACTGCTGCGCAGTACACCCGTCCTTTGATTAGCGAACGGATATCTCGCCTACGCCATAAGTGACGCAGGTTGGCAAAAGCCAATCGAGCTTTCTGTATCAGCGCTGATGGGAATCCCCAGATAAGTGAAGTGTTCAACACGCTCGACTACTTCAATTCCTATCGCTAGTTCAGGTGCCGAAGCAACCCAGTCTTGAAGCAACATTTTGCATTTCGAGGGGGAAAACCGCATCCCGAACATGCTCGCATTGTTGCTTATGGTAGTCAGAAGTCTCTGCATTTTGTCAGCGTCTTCACTGAACAGAACTATGTCATCGGCATATTCTAGATCAGTAAGCGACTTTCCTGGTAGAAGGTCAACCCCTGAAAAATCTGACCAGCTTAATGTTAACTCTAAGAGGATGTCTACAACAAAGTTAAACAAGAATGGAGAAAGTGGACATCCCTGACGGACACCACTTGATGTAGAGAATTCAGATGACAGTTCGCCATATGCTCTCACTCGACCAGTGATGTTCGAGTAGAGTGCTTGTATAAGGTTAATGTACTTCTTTGGTACACCTTTCAATGACAAACACTGCCACAGAACCTCATGATCCACAGAGTCAAATGCCGCCTTAAGGTTCAGGAAAACAACTATTGTAGGACGCCTAAATGTGTGTCTGTGTTCCAGGACCTGTCGTAGTGTGAAGATGTGGTCTATACAACCACGTCCAGGTCGAAAACCAGCCTGGTTTTCTCTAGTCCGCTCTTCACGAGCTCTAGTTAGACGTCTAAGTATAATCGAGGCTAACAATTTAGAAACTATATTAGTTAAACTGATTCCCCTGTGATTGTCACAAGAAGACTTTTGTCCTTTCTTATAGATTGGGACAATTAGCGACTGAGACCAGTCAGATGGGATTACGTCCAGTTCCCAGATTCTACCTAGGATCTCGGTCAGTCTAACTGTTAAAACTGGACCACCATCCTTAAACATCTCAGGGGCAAGCCTATCAGAACCTGCTGCTCTACTTCGCTTCAGATTTCCTATAGCTTTCTCAACTTCATGTAGACTGAGAGGACGTAAATCGATTGACCATTCAGGATGACTGGGGATCGTGTGCAACCGAAGTGTGGCTGAAGGCCAGTTGAACTGATCCCTAAAGTGATCTGCCCATCGGTCCAGTCTCCTGGATTGAGAATGGATAATAAGACCATCCATTGCCGAAATAGTTTCATTCACATTCGGGTTCCTAATACCAGTTTCTTTGATAAGGCGGAAAAGTTGTCTAGTGTTGCCTATCGCCGCTGCCTTTTCCATCGCTTTTGCTTTCGCCACCCACCACTGTTCACGGTCAGTACGTAGGCTTTCTATAAGTCTACGCCTAAGCTGACTACGCTCTTCATCATGTTCAGAGTCAGGTTGGATGCGTTTTCGCGCATCCATCAGTTGGGTGGATGCGACTGAAATCCACGGCTTAATCCTAGCCTTATGGTTTACCTTGCTAGTAGATGTCACTGCTGTTTCCATAGCCTTCTTGATATGATTCCAACCTGACTCCGGATGGGAATCACTTCCATGGTCGCCTAACTGTCTTTCTAGTTCCTCTTGAAATATTTTCTTAGCTTCCTCACAGTGTCTTTGCTACGTCCAGTAAGCCTCAAACAAACACGAGCTCGCACTAGGGAATGATCTGAATCTAAACATGTGCCCCAGAACGAGCGGCAGTCCTCTATCGAACCCCTCCATCAGTGGCTGATGGCGATATGATCTAGTTGCGTCCAACGTTGAGACGACTTCGGGGGTCGCCAGGTCAAAAGATGTTTTTCCTTATGCTTAAAATTAGTGTTTGCTAGAAATAGTTGGTTTTCTGAGCACGTTTCACATACAGTGTAACTTTGTTAGATAAACCGGAGTCAGACTCAAATGGGTTCGGTCTGAATTACCCGCATACACGGCCTCGCGATTGTGAACACTTACCATTATTCTGAACTTGCTCCTCCTTACTTAAAAAGCACGGTATTCATTCAGATCGGAGATGTGACAACGCCATGTTACTAGCGAGATCACGAAGAGGTAGTCATCACCACAAAACCCATCAGGATCCATTTATGCTACGTATTCGTCAATTAGATGACGAGACATTAAGGTATCTGAAGAGACTCATAGTTACTTTCGCTTCGCAGCTCCCAGAGCTAAGATCAACTGTAGTTAGAATTCCAGTTATCTGAAATGTAATTTATTGACTTATCTCCATTACTCATGAAGAAGCATAGGTTCTTGACGAGAATACTCAAAGCAACTCTGTCCTCTGCCTTCCTTCCCAGTTCTACTAAGTCGTTATTCGATCGTTTTATGTCTGCCTCCAATTCTCAGCATTATCTGTTCTTTGACCTTCATTATTTTTCTTCGGCCTTGAGGATTCCAAGCTAAGGCTAGCCTTGCGATGCCTTCGAGTGATTCCCGCAATGTTTGTCCTATCCAACTTCGGCGCTGTTTCCTAATTTCTTTCTCAGCTGGAATCAGCTTTGTTCTCTCCCACAGTATGTTGTTACGGATGGTGTCTGGCCAACGGATTCACAGTAACTTGCGTAGACAACTGCTAATCAACACCTGTATCTTACGGAAAATGGTTTTGATGGTTCTGCAAGCTTCAGCTCCATATAATGGACCTGTCTTGACGTTCGTACTTTGAATCCTGAGGCCGACTACTGCAATATGTCGAAAGGGTGAGAGTAAGTAACCGTACTGACACCAGTTGTCACTTGGGATGAATCTTTGAGCTGTCTTCTGAGCACGACTTTAGAGTGCAGTCCGTTGCAAGAACTCCATATGATGTTGACCATCTCCTCAGGCACACCGTGGTTTTGGAGGAGCCTCCATAATGTTACTCTGTCCTTGCTTTCAAATGCTTTTTGTAGTCAATGAAGTTGGTGTATAGTGACGATTGACTGCAGACTCTCATAGAATTGATCTTTACCGTTCTCATTCTTATCGTTGATGTGCGCATGGCACTGGATGACATTCATTACAATCCCCTCACTGTTGTTTAGAAGGATGCTATGATGATCTTGGATCCATGAGATTCTCATTGTATAAGTGCTTTTTGTGCTTCTGTAGAAGGCATCAATCCAACTCTTTGTGCATATGAGGCATTTTCTTCTTCGTAACCGGAGAGCAACAGCATCTATCCTGAAGCAAGTCTTTGTTGTCCAACCTGTACCCAATATGTTTCACTGATTCCAAATACCACTAGGTTGTATATTTCCATTTCCTCAGCAACTTATAGATCAAATTCAAAGAAAAATATGAACACAGAGGATTTTAGAGAGTATCTGTGATCGATTGTCAACTTATTCCTGGTTCATGATATCAACGTGATATTGTACAGTACAAACTAGTACGGTAGTGGAAACTTTGTTATGTAAAAATTCAATGTTTTTTGTTCAGTGTTTATACTTTCGCGTATCAATATGCGAGCTTTCCATACTCGATCCAACAAATGTGAACTAGTAATAAAACTAAGAATATAATTAGGCAATTATTTTGGTGAACCGACACAAATGATATTTACTTGTGCGTATTTTTACTTTAAATATATTTAAACCAAATCTTGAAGCAACTTCAATGAGGATGCCTCCCTTAGACAACATGTGTGTGTACATACACGCGGAGTGGTTGAATTCGTACTTGACTTTGAGCAAAAAAGTTTGTGTGAGAACTAGCAATTACACACGGTCATCCGAACAAAAGTAAACTACTATGTATTTGGAACCTGCAATTTACATTGTGAAATCCAAGTTGGCTAACAATAGGCTGTGTAATATATATTCATTGAATTCCATTTAATTTCAAAGTGTGTTTTGCTATCTCATTTTGCGAAATAACGATGTTCATTTTTTTAGCTTCTTATCTTTTAATTTCTATTATTTTTTATCAGGTCGTTGAAGAGTACCTTTCAGGACACTGGTTACCAGATAAGCTTACTTATGATCCAAACGAACTATATGTAAGGCTGATAAAATGCATAATAAATTAAAGATTATTTTGTGGTATTGTGATTTTTATAAGTCGTCTTTTTTATATTGTAGAATAAATGCCTTCATCTTTCTTGTATGTTGCACCAGAGTCATGAATCTTCTGTTTCTATTAGCAGGTGAGTGAGGTTAAACGATTTCATCTATTCTTTCCATATGTCATTAAATAAATAATATTTCGCATCCTTTCCAAAGCAGATCATTAACCTGAATAGAACAAAATGATCATCAGAATTCATCCCAAATGTACATTTATTCCAACTTATAAGAAAACCTCCACTGATATTTATATATGTTTAAATGTACTAAACGTGTTTTTCTGTGACTAAACGTGATTATGTACTAACATTTATGGTATTTCAAATATTTAACAAATAATAGTTTGAGAAATTAATCTTAATTTCTGTCTAGCTGAAAACAACACAATATTCGTGAGATTTCATCACTAAATCAAAGACTGGATTTAAACAAACACTTCATGTGACCAATAACATCGATGTTATGGTTTAAGCGTCAGTATTCTATGGAGTACTAGAAGTAGTAGGCTTTGATTCCTGTAAATACAGTAATTACACACCTATGATATACGTTCTTCCACTTTTGCCGGTATTTAAGATCAAAGATTTAATTTACCTGAATTCTACAAATTCACTCTCTCATTTAAAAAAACAACCATACGAGTGAGTGCTTTTTCGCACAGATTTTACATAAATATTTTAAGCTGAATTTAAACCGTTCTACTGCTATAAACCCATATCTTCTTCTAGTACAATAGCTGCTTCACTCAAACCAAAGAATCTGCAAATTTCAATAGAAAAGTGGTCAGCAGAATTAAATGCATTACTCAAGTCGACACAAACCAAAGATTCTGAAGATAGTCAGAAAATCTTTTTGTGTAAGTAACCTCTTTTTTAATTTGACTAAGTATTTTTATTGGATAATGGTGAGAATGGAATTTAAAATTATTGTCTTTATAAGAATTAACTTCTCACAAAACCACACAAATTAATGTCTTATAAGTGAAATCTTGAGATTTTAGCAATACAACGTTTACATTCGTTAACAGATACAAAGTGTTCTGTATAGTTGACTATTTGTTCAGAAATTCCACAATCAAAACTGTAATTTCGCATAGTTGCATAACCTACAGGTATAGTAAACGAATATGTTCATAGATATCACTACTTGTTCAACATCACAATTATGAACTTTCTACTGCCTATTATTGATAGATGCTTAGCTTAACATACTCTTTCTGCTCATTTTTATAATTCATTATTTATTTTTTGTTAGCTTCAATCAGAAGTTGGCCACTTTTTGGATCATCATGTTTTCTTGGTCTAATTGAAAATGGTCCATCTGGAATCCCAACTAATTGTGAAGTATTAATTGCTCTATCTCATTCAGGTATTCATTTATTAGATTCTTCAACTCATCAATGTTATCAAATGTTTGCTTATGAAGATATCGCAAGTACAAGAGTAAGATGATTTTAAGTTTTAGTTATCATTTATTTATGTTGTGCTGTTTTAACAGTTCTTTGATAACTTTTTTCTAATCTAATCAATGATTTTTCGATTTGTAACCATTGGAAACCAAAGAAAATTGGGGAACTATGATTTGAAACTTCAGATTTCTTCAATACTTATCCACAACCACACGCACAAGAACGAACCCCATAAAAATAAAAATAGTTTCAATCAATACGAGAAATTCTGTTATGGTGTAGGATTCTCAGCACCTATTGTGCAATATTGCGATAAATATCCCTTTCATCTACATTCAAATTATAATCATTAGAAATATACTTTGTGTATGCTTTCAAATAATCGTTATCTGCCGAACTTATCCAGTTGCTAATATCAGTTCAACTACTATAACTAATTTTCCATCCATCATGTATGTGGTACTTGAACTCCGATATAGTACTTTTTTATTGCTTCAAAGGATGAATAAAACAGAAAATATACAACAGGATTTCAGTTTTCAGTATGTAGTATCACACTGATTTGTAACCCTTATATAGAGCGTGAGGAACATGCAATTAATGTTTGTTCATAGCTAATCAGTTCGAGCAAATCTGAAACAGGCATGCTAAAATAATTGAACAGTTGTATAAAATGTTGTCTCAGTGTTTAGGCAAACTGTAAAGTTTTGATGTCTTTCAGTTAGTAACAGATCGTTTGATCACTGAATTCGGATCCGATTGTTTGAGTTTTTCAAAATCTCGCTCAAATGCAATAAAGTTTCACCCCCAGTCATTGGCATCAATGAATTGCTACACTAGTCTTGAGTTGTTTAACTCTGTAGATGATAGTATTTATTAACTCAAACGTAACCTTTCATCAGCTATCAAATCACATGACTCAACTGTTATTGAAATACTTTTACAGTCTAATTAACAAAATGCCAAACGATGTGACTAATCAAAATGAACAATTTGTTGTTTTATACACGTTGCATTTTGAAACGACAGACAGAGAAATGAGAAACTATGCTGGATTAAATCTCTTTAATATTTGAGTAAGCTTAATGACTATGACTAGATAATGAATTAGGAAATATTTAGTATTCATGTTTGCAAAATTCAAGAGGTGAAAAAACTCTATGAATCCTAATTACTAGATTGATTTCCAGTCAACAATTCAGATTACGATAATAACCAAGTGAGGTGAATATTCTTCCCAAAAGTAAAATGTTTTTTTAATTAAGCATAAAGACGGTCACGTAAAATGTAAGATAAGCGGATTTTTCATTTTCTTTAAACCTTTTATTATTTCTGAAACTTTTGCATCTACACATTCATCCATCTTTGCACGTCAGAATATGATAATTTTTTAGTAAGACGGGTACATAGTGTCTTGTTCATTTCATTCAAAAATCTTTCAAAATTCAAATGATCTGTGACTATGATTCTTATATAATCTTTGTCTTTCTGACTTCTCTTTGAACCAGCATACTGTATCATAGTTAACACTGTTTGACTATTATTTAAATAAGAAACTTCCAACCCATCTATTGCATCTATGTGGCCGTTTTCTCCGTCAATCATGAATAAATCTGTTTATCTGATTACAAGATTTACTACTCATGTTTTGACCTACGAGGTACAAGTCTAAATACTCAACATTAAGCAACACTTTTTGCATAATGGTTAGCAACATTGTTTGAGTGCCGAAACCATGGTGGATGAAATTGAGTTCAAATCTACAACCTGGTTTATAAAAGCCAAGTGCTTTAATCACCAGGTTACCACTTCATGGATCTGATTTGTATTGAAATGCATGCTAATATACTTGTAGTCAAATCATTTTGTCAACTCTGGATTACTATATCTTACGATAATTTTGTTCAAATTGCTTATATTTGGTCTATAACGTAATCAAATGATTACTTTCTGCCGGTTAATAAAAGTAGAAATAGTTGTCCTCAAGGGAACATCTTTATTGTACCATTTTATGTGTTCTCTACTAACCTGGGATACTCCGTGTTCAGATTCCTCAGTTTTTGAAGTCTTGTTTATTTTAAAGCCTCAAACAGTAAATCTGTAGTGATAATTGTTAGTAACCGAGATGTAATTGTATTTAATTTGCATTTAATTCTATTCAATATAATCATTTACATTGCTCTTTTAAAGTAAATCCGTGAACTGCAAGGTTGAACCGTGCCGAGTTTGACGCCATTACCAAACAAAAATAATAGATGGTGGTTGCTTAATGTCGTAGATTGACTGAATTTAGACCCTAACACCGTTGGATATCAAACAGTAGTCAACAGTTTGAGGGTTTTCGCGTGAAATATTAAGTCCCCGGTCTGACCAACGAAGATGATAAGATCGGATAGTATCAGTAATTTATTTGAAGAAGACACAGTTCACTAGCAGAAAGTGGACGTCTTATCTTCAATCCTCCATTTTCGAAACAAACGGGCTGTTGACTGTCTTCGTCCACATGTCTTCTAGCCTTCAAAACTCTGGTCACCCCATACACCCTGATCTGACACTTCTTTCCAGCTGTAACTGAAGGGCGACACTCTGCTAGATACTACTTACAAGCCGTGTTGTAAGTAGTATAAACTACACCGGGTTCGATTCCTGTTTGTAGGATGGCTGATTTGCACTGCTGGTGCATTCAATACTAAAACAAAACAGCTGTCTTGTGCTTCCAGGTTTCCAACAGTGGTCAAACATTGATCGGTTTATGATAACTATGGAATTTTATGTGATTAGAAATACTAAAAATGTTTACCCTTGAAGATTGGGTTTTGGATCGCACATTGTATATTCAAATTTAACCTCATAGATATTAATTTTATCGGACACCCTTTCCAAATGACATAGACAAACTTGATAGTGAAGTGTGAATCGTCATCATGGATAAGTCTGATATGATTTAGTAGGATGTTTTATTTTATTTGACTGTATATTATGTATATATATATATATATATATATATATATATATATATAATCAAACTTTTCATAATTTTTTTCTTAGGTTACTTATAAAGATAGTAGTGATTTTAACTGCATTGGTTCTGTACGTCTTACAGCTAGTAATGGTGAACAGTTAATCTTGTCTTTAATTCAAGTACGTCAGATTGGTTTATATTCTGTTTATTGATCACTTTTATTATTTAACCTAATATAACCGCCAATATGAATCCGTAGGTTTGATTTCAATGGCTTATACTTGTCGCTGTCAACTGTTCTATTAGTATCTTCAACAATTAACGGGTGACAAGCGATAATTATGTTTGTGGGTGTTCTTCAAAATAATGTACTAACATCCTTTTAGAGATCTGTCATCTTCTGTAGACTCAACTCTTCAGTATTCAGTGATGTAACCAGCTATTCAGTTAATAATCGAATTAGTCTCGTTGAAAAGACTATGAAACTTGACATGATCATGTTTAGTTGAATGATATGAAATTTCTATATAGAATCTGAATGGTACAACTAAGGATGGTCAAATATAATCTTCTACAATGTCAAATTTTTTCCAATTATTTTTATTTACTGATTTCATCTTACTTGATTTAGTAAGATAACATCTCCCAATCAATAAATCGTTATGTAAATATTTCCATTTTTAAATTCCTACCTTTTTTATTTCAGGCTAGAATGTTTGTGTTCATTTTAAGTAGATATCAGTATATACTGTCAGCAAATCTGTTAGCTTCTGCTTGAGCAGCTATACTAGAAGCCAAACATTCCATCCATATATCGTGCAATCACAAAATATGATTGAAGTAAAAAAACTTTTCAGTATCCCAATAAAGATTCATGTTTTATAGTTACTCTGAATAGAAAAGCAAAAGTCTATGTGACCTTTTTTGATATGATTATCTTCATTATGAAAAAAAAAAATGCGTTCATTTATTGCATAATTCAAACTTCATATTCATGTAATTTTGTAAACATTCATATACAACTTCAATTATTTTTATTATAATCAACAATTCAATAATTTTTTTTCTCAAACCTCTTGAGATTCAATTTTATCACTCAACATATAATATGAAGATTATAATAATTGGATAGTATTATGTTTTCTTTACAATGTTCAACTCGTAATTAGTGTCAGAACATGCATGCACATGAGGTGTGCAACTCTTGATAACTGATAGTGGTTGTTTATTATTTTCTCAAATCTTAACAAACAGTAAATTCTACAACTCCAGTTGAATGATACAGGTGGTTGTATAGTTGCTCATCGTCGTCCTTAAATATTTGATCATCAGCATTGAAATTGATGCTATTGAATTTCTTAATATTCTTAATCATTCATGACACAAGATAACTGCCATTCACTTTTCAAACTCGTATTTTTATTATGCTATAAATATGAATGTAGTTAATTAATCTACCAAGCATACCTGTTCATAATTGGCTGATCGATCGGTTTCATGATGATTTTGTGATCATTTACTAACTAAACGGTAATAGGGATTTGAGTGTGACCAGGTTCCAACAAGTAAATGTGAGCTTTATGTTACTTGATTGTCATTTTAAGGAGCGTTTTGGTTGTTGATCTAAAGATAAGTGCTACTAAGTGCGTATAAATAATAATTAACTACCGATGTCACAAATGTCTGAAAAAAAGATTTTCGTTGCAGGACGCTTTTTTCTATTATCAAGCAACATATAACCTATGGAAATAAAATCATTACTAATCGTAGCGGTCTCTAAAATCTGAAGACTGATTAGCTGTAACTTATGTGAAATGGCTAAAGTATTAATAAGTCTTTAAAGCTGTTAGTCGAAAACGTGAATCTTAATTCATGGAGCTTAGTATTTTGAATTTTCCCACAGTCTCTGTGTCAGAAACTTTCCATTGTTGATTTAAATTGATCAAATTATACATGATTAGCTGTGGTTTTTTTAATTATTAATCTTGTTCAAAAAATAGCCTAAAAGTCTGATTCCTTTTGCCTAATAAGATACGATACCGAGAATTACTTTATCTGTTAGGCTTCTCAGTTCAATCCACAACCCTTTACTGTGTAAATCCACTCGGTGATATCAATAGTGCAAGCAAGATGTTCATCCACAGAATTAAACAGCAAAAACTGTTGTCTCAATACACTACATGCCATAATTGTTGTAGATTTTAGCCATATATTTTACTCTTGATCATACCTAGTGTTTCTAATATTTACTCGTCAATTTTTTAGGTAAGAGAAGCATGGTATTATTATTATATGTGGACAATTAAGTATGTTTTTTAGATAAAGTGCATACGGGTTGTTTGCTTCTTCAATTAATTGCATTCATGGAAATTTTTGATGAAATATTGTAGTAAGGTAAAATGAGTTCTAGTGTGTAACCTGATCTTTAAATGGTGGAGAAAATTTGTAGCTCAGGTGGATTATTGTGGTGGTGTTTCGTTCTTTAAGCTAGATGTTTTAGTTGTGGAGCTTTCATTGTTCTTCTGAACAACATCATCAGCACAAACTTCAGATAGAAATAAAGTATTAGAATTTCTCTACGTTTGATCCGTATCTTGTTCTGTTAACCTCGATCTTGATTGGTTGCTGTTAACCTTAAACCTGTCGTTGTTTGCACCTTTGTTTTGATTGTATCCCCCTTTTGATCTGTTTCTTGATCGTATGTCACCCATGATTTTTCTGATTGGTTGATAAATTAGATCAATGTCGATGTGTTTGTTGATTGCTGATTCACTTGAGTGCTAAGCTTCTGAAAATTCTCTAGCGTTCTTCGTCCTCCTCCTATCCAGTATTTCCACATTGTCCCAATCGAATGTATGTCCATAACTGTCGGTGTGTATTGATATAAGCGAAGAATTTTGAGATGGTGGAGAAAATTTGTAGCTCAGGTGGATGATTGTGGTGGTGTTTCGTTCTCTGAGCTCAGAGAACGAAACACCACCACAAGCGAAGAATTGTTGCGACGTGTGACTGCTGATTGGTGTTCACTTAAACGAAGCTGAAGAGGCCGTTCACTTTGTCCTGTGTAGTGTTTTTCACAGTCTGAGCGATTTATTTTGTAGATGATATTTGGTTTTTCTTCCTTTGCCATTTTGTCTTTTGGTCTACATACGATTGATTGAAATGATTTTGTTGGTTTGTAGATGTTGTAGGGGAATTATATATGAGTTGAGTGTTCCGAACTCAGTTACAGACACGAGTTTGAGCCACAAATTTTCTTTTCACGTTAGTAATATTTCTCTGATAGATAGGCCTTCTGTTCAGATGCAATTTCTAACATTTACACCAATCAACGACATCACTGGGTTTCCAGAACTGTGTAAATAAAAAAATTTTCTGATTGATTGCTGGTGAAGGTTGTGTGAGAGGATAGAAGGGTAAGCATCTTTGCCAACACAATAGCTGATATAGTTTTAGTTCGTCAGCTGAGGAAATGGCAAATATAACAACTATCAAGTTTCCAGACATGCATCAAGCACGGATAGTTGAAGAGAGGGTCGTTAATCCGTATTTGGGAACTTGTTTATTAAGTTTCTTCTCGAAGCTATCCACCGAGAGAATTGTGGTCGCTTCGAATGAAAGAACATTCCATGTTGAGCAAACTCTTCGTGAGAAAACTTGTGTCCACTCCTTTATGTGTAATTCTTCGAGGGTGACGTGGAAGAAAGTGGTGCTGATGTTCTGACGAGAAGCTCGTGCTGGGACTATTGTACATACTTAGAATTTTGTATGCCATTATCTGATCATCCCTGACTCTCCTTACAACTCAGCAAGGATAATCCTGGGTGTTGGGGCCTATCTTTGTAATGCTTGTTCTCTAACTCTATCACCTATTTAGTTACTCGTCTCTACACCCGATCCGGGTGATTCATATCTTTTTTAAAGAGAGAGGGTATGAACCTGAAGGTGCGGTTGTGCGTATGTTTCAAACAGTGTTAAGAATAATGCTGTGATGACTGCACCAAGTTGTCTTCGCACAGAGTGAAGAATTGCGTTTGGCTTGGCTGCTTCAATTAGGTTGTATGCACTGTTATACAAGCTCTCTGTGGTTATTAAACTCAGATCGCACTCTGAGGAGACATTTGGGACTGGACTCTCAACGAAGACGTAAGCTGTTTGAGTCACGTAGAGCAGAATGTTCACGAAGTGACATTTTGACTGTTTGAGTTTTAATGCGTTATGGACAGCCCATCCCTCGGTGTTCTTAAGTCCTTTTGAAGCCCAGTTGAGTCCTCTTTGCTTGTTATGGACCTTCAGATCTTTGAATCGTCTGCGTAGATCAATGAAGCCGAATAAATTTTATCTAACAGGTCATTAATGAATATCACGAATAGGGGCGGACCTAAGATAGTCACCTGTGAAACTCTTTATGTTGAGGCTCACCATTTCGCATTTTCCATGTGACGAAGCCTTCTATTCGTGATTTCGGGTGGTGTAAAAATGCTTTTATTTTATTCCAACGCGTAAGTTGACCATAGTCTTGTAGACTACGCACACTCACCTTATGAAAACAAAGAATAGTAGGAATGAGGTGGTAAACAGGAGATTTAAATTTGTTATTTTGAAGTGTATTTTCCGTGTTACACGAGAGCCTTAAAAAGAAGAGTTGTTACTCAACTGTTAGGGCATTAAATAGTTGATTACATTGTAGTTCAAAGCCTTTAAGTTGTCACTCCACGTTTCTCGTATTCTCGGATCCAAGAGGATATCCAATGTAGACGTTCATGAATGTCTAAAATTACGTACATGTTAGCTTGGCGACCGGAAATTATTTTGTACAGATAAACAAAAGGTGTACAATATGGCAATTATTATCAGAAGTCAGTACAATAATAAATGTTTATATTTCAGAAATTTCGCTTTCTTCGTACAATTTCAACACTACATTAGCCCTACCCGCTAGAAAGAGTTTACACTTTCGATACGTAAGGGTTTCGTGCGGAGGCGGGAATGATCGGCTAACGGGCCAACGTAGGACGGCAAGGTTGACGGACAGGAAGCGACGAATGAAGCTCGACTTGTTATTGGAATTCTTGTACGTTGAACTGTACCAATGGTAATGTGCCAAATTTAGTGCTCCGGTTTGCATGCCTCACCAGAGTGGATAGTATCTATTGTCTAAATATTGCGTTAGTAGCGGCATGGACCAGAAAAATTTGCAGACGTATGACGGAACCAGATTAAGCGAGCGAGCCAGCAATGACCAGAACGACCAAGTTCGAAACCGAAACATCGACTGAGTGCATTGACAAGAGAGTAGGTTATCAGTTCAGCTTTCATCAAGATTGACTGAAGTCGACGGTGCCAACAGTGTGATGGTCGTGGACATAGGCTGCAATCTCATCCTAAGTCAGGCGCGGCTTAGTCTGCTGATCTGGACGTCAGACCGAAGTCTCACACGTAGATGATGCTGATGACGCGTTCTGTTGGCGGGGACGTGAAAATGAGGTCTCTGATTTATCTAGCCTTGGGTCCGAAGTTGATGTAGTGATCCTGCTAGTAGGTTTGATAGGTTTAGCATTAGGTCTCGAATTATCAGGTAGAGCACTGTCATCGACGTGTGCTGGCTTCAGACGATCAGTGCTGACGATCTTGAGGCGGCCATGTTGATCAACCTTGAACGTCTTTTTTGAGAGGTCGCTTGACGGGGTCCTTCGTAAGGCTGTTGCAAAGGTCCGCGTACCAAATCTTTTCGTATGAAAATGTGTGAGCACGTAGATAACTTTCAACGTGGAGCGACCAGTCGATGCCGTATTCGATTCGCCACTGAAGGCAGTATTTACATGTATTCAGACAACCGTTGGATGCAGTCTGATTTACCGAGGCAGACGCAATGTTGTGTCGCATGCAAGTTCGTCGTCGGAACACTGAATATCTGCCCTTAAGCTCGTTCTGTTATCTAAGAGGACGAGCATTAAGATTTCGTGTGCTCGAAGGGCACTTTAAGTTGGCGATGAAAAATTTCGGCTAAATCATTCGAAGCTGGCCGGTAGGCACTAGTGCGTACGCGCTCCTTACCAAGCAGCCGGGTTAGTGAGGAAAATAATTCGGACTCGAATTGCTGTCCACAGTCAGTTGTGACAGTCGAGGGACAACCGTACAGCGCTATCTATCGATCTACGAAGAGGTGAGCAACTGGTTCCGCCGCAATAGAAGCGATGGGAATAGTTTCAGGCCACCTTGTAAATCAATCGGTGCTCGTGAGTATGTGATCAAACCCATGCGATGGTGGCAATGGTCCTATAATGACAATATGAACATGAACAAAGTGAGCATCAGGCGTAGCAAATGTGCCGATAGGGGCACTTTTGATCGTTGACATTGTAAGTATTGCTTTACCCACATTCGGATATCTTTATTCATGGACATCCAGACTTATCGAGCAGCGATGAAACGTAATGTGGCTGCGATACCTGGATGAGACAATCCATGAAGGGCATTGAAGACGAGACGACGATAAGCAGAGGGTACGATAGGAAGACCAGTAGAGGTATCACATAGTACAGTGCTTGAGCTAGTAGCTAGGGGCACTTCCTGACACTGAAAAGAAGTAGTTTGTTGTACTACTGAACAAGAGAGATCATTTACTTGGGCGGCGGCCATAGCAGGAAGACCGGGCGCCGGTGAAGTAACTGCATTCTCTTGAATACTTGACAAAGTATCGCCAACGTAGTTCGACTCGCCTTTAATGTGACGAAGGTCTGTCGTGAACTAAGAGATATAGTCCAAATGTCTGTACACTGGTGAGTAGCGGTTAGCCTTGGTATGACGAGGATATGTTAGAGGCTTATGGTTGGTGAAAAGGATAAAGTTACGACCTTCTAATGAGTGCCGAAGATGTTTGATGGCACAATAGGCTGCTAGCAGTTCGCGACTAAAAGCGCTATATCTCATCTTCGTGGGAGTAAGGCGTCGTGAGAAAAAGTCGAGAGGTTGCCAACTTCCAGGGATCTTCTTCTGCATAATGGCTCCTATAGTGAAATCTTATGCATCAACCGCTAAGCTAAACATGGCTGACAGATCAGGATAGGCGAGGAGCGTGGCTTGGTCTCAAGCTTTTTTTATCTCAGAAAATGCAGTACGCGTGGCATCGTTCAATTCTAGTTTACGTGGATTGCCGCAAAGTAAATCGGTTAGTGGTCGTAACTGCTCTGCCGTGTGAAGAATGAAACGTTGGTAGAAGTTAATCAAAACCGAAAAAAGCCTGCAGCTTCTTGAGAGAGGACGGTATAGTGTACCGAATGATTGTGAGTACTTAGTATTCACAAGGTAGAATACCCTCATGCTTAATGATGTGAACCAAGAGTTTTATTCCTACTTTGCCCAGTTCACACTTGTCTGGGTTAACTACTATGATATTATCCGAAAGGCGTTGTAATAAGTGCGTAGGATGTTGATAATGTTCATCTACTTTTGATGATGCGATTAGTATATCATCAATATAGACGTGAACTAAATCAAAGTCTCGTACTATGCTATCGATAAACCTTTGGAAAGTTTGAGCAGCATTCCGTAATCCAAATGGCATTCGTATGAACTCAAACAGACCGAAAGGAGTCGTGATAGCAGTTTTCTCAATATCCTCAAGAGCGACTGGGATCTAATGATATGCTAGTACCAGATCAATCATAGAGTAGATAGTCGTGCACTTAAGAGATGCCGTGATGTCGTGTAAGTGGAGGATGGGATAGCTATCGAAACGTATTACTACGTTTAATGCTCGGCAGTCGCCATGTGGTCGCCAACTTATCCCATCCTTTTTGCCAACCATGTGGAGTGGTGAGGCCCAGGGACTGTGAGAAGGGCGAATAATAGCTGTAGCTAGTAAACTGTCAAACTCACGTTTACCGAAAGCTAATTTGTCCGGTGCCAGTCGAGGATGTCCTGCCGTGACTGGTGGTCCGAGATTGACGATATGGAGTACCACATGATGAGTCGCCCATAAACTCTCCTCGAGTGGCTTAGTTAGCTTGGGAAATTTTTCGATTAATGCGTGGAAAATGTCATCACGCTGATGAAATACCCCTGAAATTCGATACGCAGTATGGTCCTCAGGTAAAAACCACAGGGCATAGGAGAACATCTGCCGGTGGTTCGTGATGCATCGGGTCCCAAATTGAGATACCAGTGCCGCAAACCAGACCTGTGGATCGTGGAGAATAAATGCGACAGCTCAGAAATTAGGAACCTGTATCTATCTACCGATCTATCTATCTATCTATCTATATATATATATACATATATACATACATATATATAATATATATCAAACAACAGTTAAAATAGTAAGAAAATGTGATAGAAAAATGACAGAATCACTGAATGTGTCGTGTGTTCGTAGTTGTCACTCACCAATGTTGTAGTACCTAATAAAAACATACCACTTCACGGGATAACAAATGTTAATCCTGTTACTCTAAGAATCAGGTAAAAAGGTGATTCCAGAGGCAGAAGTATATTTATTGTTGGCCTCGTGATATCTAAATAATCTCGAGACTAGCGTACATGAGCGACCTGTCAAAGGACTACAATTAGTGCGGTCGGTTGGCTCGACTACCATTCATTGGAAATCATCAAACACTTGAAACTGTACGGAAAGAAAAAGAAGCGATTGCGAAGCGATCAATTAGTTTTTAATATCTCTTGAAAAGACTATCGAATATTGAATATTTATTGAATTATCTGAAGAACTTTGTACGTTGGAAATTGTTTATACTTTATATTGTTTGAAGGACTAATCGACTTGCCAACGTGTTAAACTTGTGAAATGAGAGATACTAGTCATCAGTACTCACCTCCTCTACTTATTCAGTCATCAAAAATAAATAGTATCACCCATATATTTATCAACCATTTTCTAGGTTGGTTATTGTCACGCAAAATAATACAGACGGACTATCCGAAGAAACTGAAGGAGATAGACTGTAAAGTGAACGACCTTGTTAATAAATTCCCTGAAGTAACCCGTCAGATTTTCGAAAGCCCATGTAAAACTGTATATTTGTATCTTGTAAACCTTGCTTAGCCTTGTTCCTAGGATGTCGTGAAGTCCTTGAAGCTCTCACTAAGACAGACAACAAAACTGATTTCTTCGGACGTTCTAGCCCTCTAGTTCGCGTATGCTATGTTTCTTTAAATTATGAGAGATAGACATGGACAGAAATTGTCGGCTCGTTTCAGAAAAATAATCTATATTTGGGTAAGCCTATTTTACCGCATAACTTCTTCAGCTGAAGTAGGAGATTCGATTAACGAGTTAGCAGCTGTGCAGGTCCCAAGGTGTAAAATCTTCATTTCTGACCGACACAAAAGCTTATTGGTACTTTCACTCTACCATTGATTATCTTTGAGGACTTACGCCAAAAATTGAAGGAACAAAGCCTAAATCTCAGCAGGAAAGAAGAGCTGTTAGAGAAAGTTTATAAAGAATTCCATGTTGATGTATGTCTATTTCAATCTTGAATAATATCTGTATAGGTTAAGGAGGAAAATATAAAGTTGCGTCTCCTGGAGGAGGCTGGCAATGTCCCTATGTTTTTGACTGAATTTGTTCACTCGCTTACTTCCCTCAAAACCTCTCTCCAGCTGTATACTAGCTTTAAAAAATTTGTCCTGGGAGGGTAGGTGTTGTATTCTCTCGTTCACTTTTCTTCTCTGTTATACATTACCTTATTGTTTTTTTTCAAATACCGACCAATATGCGAAACTTGCTATTTTTAGAATTGTGTAAAGGGCACTTCTCCATGTATTCGATCCAGAAACAACTGACGCTAGTTATTTCATTTTCATAGAGATATATGCGATGGACGTAGGAACGTTTTTGTCGTCTCAATTATTCAGAGTAGCTGTCGATTGACGTTAAAGATTGTGATTTTCAAGAATCAGAGATATCGATTTGTAGATTTGCATAGTTTCGGCATTTCGCACCGTCTTACTATAGGGATGTGAAACAAGGCTGTTGAGAGTAGAGGACTTTCGTAGGTTACTAGTATTCGACCATCGGAGTCTCCTAAGCATTGCTCGTGTAACCTGGGACAACTCATAAGAAATGCTGTTGTTAGGAAACGAGTTCTATTTCGTGATGGCAAATCCGTAGATGAAGTAAATAAACTTCATCAGTTGAGATGTTTGGGACATGTGTTACGTATGCCCTACCACCGACTGCCGCGACGAGCTATGTTTTGTGGTGTAGGAGTAGGTTGGAAGGAGGCTATTGGTGGCTAAACCAAAACATGGCATAAAGTCACTGACAAGTGGACTGAGTCATGTTGGTAGATGTAGGCCACCTGGTTTGGGTCCGCGAGACGAGTCACCAATTGTTAGAGACCTTGAATGACACGGCTCAAAATCGTTTGCAGTGGTTCAGGTGTATCCACTCTTTGTGTTCTCAAATTCTCACCTGAATTCCTTGTAATCTTTATCTCCTTATAAATTTATCTCACTGAATTATACTTCTCAAATCATATCTTCACTCCCTAATCTTCTCCATTACTCCTAATACTTCTACTATCGCCATCACTCTTGGATTTGAACTGACAGTTGCGTCTCTTTGCTGATGTTGTATGGTAGCCTGAACTGATGTACTTATGCACGAAGTTCTGCATTGTATCCCTGTCTGTCTATTTGCATTGTTTGTATTCAGAAAGGCTTAAAAACTGTTTACGGCCAGATCCATGCTTAAAGCTGTTGGTAGTTAATTTCAATCTATTACAAGTGTATTACAGGACAATAAAACTAGATAAAGCATGATTATTATAGACCAATATTGTTGAAACTATTATTGTTCCAGTAGAGTTAAAGGCTTTCTAACTGCTCAGAAACTAATATGTTTGTGTTATCATGTCGCTTCATAAACAAAACAACTGACGTAAATCCGCTTAACATAAACAGTATCACCCTCTCGGAACGTTATTAAGCTTGTACTATTAAAGGTTCTGTAATAAAACCGGGGCATTTATCTTGATGAAGGTATTTTTTTCTAATCGCTCTTGGTCTTCACATGTTTATTGATATCAAAAAGCTTTTTTTGTTTGACCCACTATACAAAGAGTCTACATACTTTTGGCACTACTGGGGGAAGTTTCTACATATTACCTGTTATGCTCTGCAGTTCCCTATTATTCTTCCTCAAGCATTTAACAAGTTATCATTTAGTAGAAGATTATTTTAATAGAGCTTCGTTCAGTCTTACTAAAGGCGGCAGATAGTGGTGCTAAAGTTATATTCGCAGTGTCTTTTTCAGTCCCCATGAAATGCTCAAACTACCTGATTGTGTTTAAATACATTTTATTTCGTCATACTGTACTGAATTATAATGACAAATTTTTTAATTAGTTTTCAGGATGATTATAACAAACCTGAAAATTTTTCTGATTGCTGTCCAACCCTGAAATTGTTAATTGATTCAGGCCATGTTATGGTGTTTACATGGAAAAACGGGTACGAGCCTGAGCGCATTGAAGAAAGTGACGACTTCGTGCCCCTTCTTTTACAACAAGAACAAAAGAGAGTACACCGGTTATCCGCAGATACTGGTCAGAATGGATTTACAGAAGCAAATGTTGCTTCTGAAATGAACAAAGTTAGTTTATTCCACATCGTTGCTCACCATTAATTCTCCCGGTTACCAAGAATATCATGATTCAATCTCTTTTTATCTGTAGTCTGCTCCAGTTGGATGCTTAAAAAAGTTTAGAAACTTGTCAATCTTTTTAAGATGTCTCGGAAACGTTCATCTAGTACGTGCCCCACCTACCTCAGTAAATGAAAATCCACAATCTCAACCGATTTTTCGTATCTTCCTAGTACCATTATATAGCCTAAAAATAACTCACTTGACTCTCCTATGATACACGAGCAATCATGTGATAGCACCTGTAACTGAAACCTGTAGCTTACTCTTATCTCCTTCGTAAACTATGTTTCACAACCATAGAGTAATACGGTTAGGACTGCAGAGCAGTATATTCACGTTTTGCTTGATAAATTGACCTCTTGCTTACATCAAAAGTTAACATGCGCTGTCCGACTAAACGGGACGGTACGGACTCGGAAGGATAGGGACACCCGCCGTTGCCTCTTCGTCGTATCTGTCAACGCTCCCACTGACTGCAGTTCAGACGACATAAAAGATAAGTTTTATAGAAACCGCTCCAAACTTTTCCAAAATGTTAAGCGCCCTGATATAGTAACAATGGCTGATGACTTTAACGCTCAAGTAGGTAGACTTAGCGAAAAGGAGATACACCTGGATGGATCTTATGGTGTCGCGGCTAACAAAACAGATAATGGCAACCGTCTGCTGCAGCTGTGATCAGATAACCGCCTATTCCTAGCAAACACTAACTTTAAGCATAAAGTAAAACACCTTTTGACCTGGTGACTCACAAAGCCGACCCAACTAGATCACATCGTAATCAGCCGCCGATGGAAGGGTTCGATAGAGGACTGTCGCTCATTCTGGAGCACTTGTTTGGACTCAGACCATGCTCTACTACGAGCGCGTATTTGTTTGCGCCTTACTGGAACCAAGGAAACCTCTTAGGGCTCTACTTAATGATAATAAAGCTAAGAATATATTTCAGGAACAACTAGAAAGAGAGTTGGGCGACCGTGTAAGTGATCCTAATCCCGAGACAGCTTGGAACGATATCCAAAAAGCTAAGGAAACAGCAGTGACATCTGCTAGTAAGGTAAACCATAAGGGTTAGGGAGAAGTCGTGGATCTCAGTAGCATCTAACGAAATGACAGATGATCGCAAACTCATCCCGCCTGGCTCTGAGTGAGATGAGGAGCGCAGTCAGCTCAGGCACAGGCTGATAAAAAGCCTTTGCAATGATCAAGAACAGCGATTGTTAGCCAAAGCAAGGGAGATGGAAAAGGCAGCGGCGATAGGCAACACTAGACAACTTTTCCGCCTTATCAAAGAAACCGGTATTAGGAACCCGAATGTAAGTGAAACAATTTGGGAAAAGGATGGTCTTATTATTCATTCTCAATCCAGGAGATTGGATCGATGGGCAGAACACTTTAGGGATCAGTTCAACTGGCCTTCAGCCACACTTCGTTTGCCCACGATCCCCAGTCATCCTGAATGGGAAACGGACATAAGTCCTCCGAATTTTTATGAAGTTGAGAAAGCGATGAGAAATCTGAAGTGGGGAAGAGCAACGGGTCCTGATAGATTCACCCCCGAGATTTTTAAGGATAGTGGTCCAGTTTCAGCAGCTGGATTGACTGAGATCTTAGATAGAATTGGGGAACTGGACGTAATCCCATCTGACTGGACTCAGTCGCTAATTGTCCCAATCTACAAGAAAGGACAAAAGTCCTCTTGTGACCATCACAGAGGAATTAGTCTAACTAATATAGTTTCCAAATTTTTAGCCTCCATTATACTTAGGCGCCTAACTAGAGCTCGTGAAGAGCAGACTAGAGAAAAACAGACTGGTTTCAGATCCCGGCGTGGCTGTATAAACCACATCTTCACACTACAAAGACACACGTTCATACACCCCACAATAGTAGTATTTCTGGACCCTAAAGCGGCATATGATTCTATGGATCGTAAAGTTCTGTGACAGTGTCTGTCATTAAAAGGTGTACCAAAGAAGTACATTAACCTTATACAAGCTCTCTACTCGAACACCATTGGTCGAGTGAGAGCTTATGGCGAACTGTCACCGGAATTCCTCACTTCAAGTGGTGTTCGTCAGGGATGTCCACTTTCTCCATTCTTGTTTAATTTTATCATAGACATGCTCCTAGAAATAACCTTATCCTCGTCTGAATTTTCAGGAGTAGATGTTCTATCAGGAGGTTCGCTTATTGACCTACAATATGCCGATGACATAGTTCTATTCGGTAAAGACGCTGACAAAATGCAGTCTTCTGACTACCCTAAGTAACAATGCAAGCATGTTCGGGATGCGGTTTTCCCCGTCGATCAAGCAATGCTGTTGTTAAGAAACTGGCGCTAGATAACAATGGTAGGTCAATAGACGAAATAATATAACTTCATCAGTTGAAGTGGTTGGGACATGTGTTATGTATGCCTAACCACTGATTGCCTCGACGAGCTATGTTATGCGATATAGGGATAGCTTGGACGTGAGCTAGGGTCGGCCTGACCAAAACATGGCACAAATCCATGAAGTCACTGACAAGTGGACTGAGTCATCTCAGTAGGTGTCGACTACCTGGTCGGGGTCCGCGATATGATAATAATCGATGGTTATAGACCTTGAGTGACATGGCTCAAAACCGTTTGCAATGGCGCAGCTGCATTTACTCTTTGTGTCCTATGAAATTCTAACCTTCTGAATTCCTCATTACCTCTATCTTTCTCCTTCTAAATTTACCTCACTGAATTATACTTCTTAAGAAATATCTTTTAATCCTAATCTCTGCGATTACTTCTAATATTTTTACTACCTCTACAACTATGGGATTTGAAATGACAATTGCATCTCTGTGCTTTGGTATGGCAACTTGAACTGATGTACATATGTACGAAGTTCTACGTTGTAACTGACTGGCTTTGTATGGTTGGGTTTTAATATTTTTTTCGTTATATAGTAGCCTCTGTGTATCTGTGGATGACACTGCTGGCACTGTAGCCCATCACAATTGGTTGTACGTCCTTGATCCTTTGATTTTATGATGCAAGTCTTATTTGTTACCCGGCTGTTGTGACTTTTACACGAGCCAGTGCAAGGATAACGTTTTAGTAACCAATGTACAACATGGACAGGATACTTGACAACTATATGCTCGGAAGACGGTTTAATACTAACTTGCCACAATCGAAAAGGAAAAATAATGACCATCAATCCAGGTTTCGTTACTATTTAGCGGCTCACTACTGGACTTCAATGTACACGAATGATCGAGTGTGAAATGAAATAAATTTTACTTTCCACTTCCGTATATTATACTTAGGCTAATCCCGTTTGTGCGATGATGGTAATAAGAACCCAAATACGGTTTCGCGGATGAATTTATTTGACGCATACAAGCTCAACAATGATAAAAGTACAAGTATTTGAGCTGGTGCTACAACTATATCTCAGACAATATTCACTGTATAGGCAGTCACACAATTTACTAGCCGAAATGTGCACCCTATCTGTAAACATCCATTTTGGAAAACAAGCGCATTCCTGTCTATCATTTGCATATCTCCTATTCTTTAAAATACTGATCGCACCATACATCTGGATCCAATACTCTTCTCTTCAACAGTAACTTTTGGGAGAAACTTCGCTGCATGTTGTCCATTATCCTAGCTGTGATTGTTATACATCACACTCGTACCTACTAGTAGTTATCAAAAATCTGTACGGCCGCCTTAAGACAAGTGGAGGTTAATTCCCACAAGATAGGTTAATAAACATATTATTTGAAGCTTTTTAATCACTCAGCATCTGTGTATTCTAATTTATCACATTTTAATGGTCAATTTCGATAATCCAGGATTAAAAAAATGCATTATTGAACCTGATTAAATTAAGATACATATATTGTGTTCAGTAGTATAAACGATCACTAGTACTCGATTTTTATAAGTATCGTTTTGTAACGTATAGGAAGTGTGCTTAGTTATTTAAAACTAAAATAAATCAACTTTTAGATAATTATTTAATTATTTAGAGTTACTGATCCTAAATTTGATTTACTTAATCTGACTTCTTGCTGTATTCCTCTATGCATACATAAAGATCATTTTTAGTTATCATTAAATCTAATAACATTGTTAATAATGAAGCTCTTAATATCGGGATCAGCTTGCTTTTTCCTATGTATTAACTGTAACTTACGACGTATTTTGTATTCTGTATAAATGGTTTGGTGTTTACTCTTTTTTTTACTTAATGTAGATAGTGTGGGATGAAAGTGAAGCAGGGGAAATTGATTTTGGTCCTTTTGATCTAGAGGCTGTGGAAGATATTGAAATTGATGGAGAAAACATAGTACCAACTTCTGTGTCCGATACAATGGGTAATCCAAGTGTTGACTCTGTCAGTCAGTTGTCAAAAAATGAGGGAAAACCTGTAGTTGCATCTGGTGCATCTGCTCGTTATCTTTTAGACTCAGTTGATGGACGTCAAGCTCTTTTAAATGATTTACTCGAATTGAATGCGTTTCTTCATCGTTTCCAGGAAGATTTACTCGAAAGATTAGATAATGAAAGTGGCAGTCAGCTCAGTAGAACTGGACGTAGTACATTCGGACCCTCTGGTGGTATTGGTTGTGATGCCATTCAAAATATGGTCATGCAGGTTGGAAAATATTTTGTTGTTCAGTCACAAAATTTGTCATAAAAAATTATTTATATTGCATCCATAGTTTTCCATAGAAATGTTACGTAACTGATCTTAATATCGCTTGATTTTACAGTATAAAATAAACTCATTTGCAATATATCAGCAGAGTAAGTATGTTTCGCAGTATAAATCATTCTGTTTATGTGATACAACGATCTTTGTAATCTTGTGTCGAAGGATCTTATAATCTACATTAAGTGACTTTTCGATAAATGCACCTAACACATCCTATCGATTTTCAAAGAAATCTTAAATCTAACCATTGAATTATGCTGGTCCTTTAATTGACTTGGGAACAAGGATAGTTACACACAAACTACCGAGATATACAGCTAGTAAAGTATGATATTTAAAGAATGCTGATGATGAAGTACGTGTCTTTTGATAAATTTGTTCCGAAAGACGTTTTCCATATTCGCTTTGATTATAGCTAAATTACAAATCAAGCAAACAAAATTTTTAAAACATCTATAAACCTATAGTAACCAGTCTTCAAATATCTTCACAGTAAGTCGCAGGTTTAACTATTCTCTCATTTTCTTCGCTTAATCTTTGAATCACATCAGAGTTGCCGCAAGCTTATGTGGTCTAATTATTTTTCCCAAGACTTCAAACGGCGTCCCTTAGAGGAGACCAAGCATGTTCTAGTTTCTTCGTTGATAATTTATTGATAACTGGGTCACATACATTGTTATATTCGACCGTACAATTTATAGTTGCAGGATATAAAGCAGACTTCCTAGGCTGTCTCCCTTTAATTTTCGGTACCTGCACTCCATGCAGGAAACCATATCACATTGATATTCAAAATTAGTCTGCCGTTAATTTGTAGTTGAATCATTGCCTAAGAAATTATTCACTGAAAGCATATTAAATGTGCACTCATTCACGTAAATTGGCTAAGACCAGTATGAGCAACCGTAAAAGAACTTTAATGAAGTAAATCAATATGTGTACATTTTTTATCTGAAAGAAGCCGATAAACTTACTGAATGTAAATTATCATTCAAACGTTTAGTATTTTATTAGTTTTATCTGATACGTTGTGCTAGTTTTCTCTCATATCATTCTCATTTTTATCTTTTTTCTGCTCAGTTAACACTTACTACTATAGTATGTTGAAAAAAGCAACTTTCAATAACATTAGTTTCGCGAAGCAATGATTAGTGATAAAAAAGTACTCAGTAGTCATGTACCAAACTTTGAGTTACATCTGTTGTGTGAAAGTACTGTACGTTACGTCTATAAGTGATAGTACCTACTTTTAAAGTGTTACTTAGAACATTTAGAACAGATTGCGTAAGTAGATGAAAATTCCTCTAAAATCACTATCGCTGTACAAGATTTTGAAATGACTGATAACTGAATAAATTTATAATTCCGACGAATTGCCCTTTAATTAACCAAATATCTATTTATGTGACTATTAATACTTCAACAGCAAGAACGTGCATACATCGAACGTCATTGTTAACAGTATATGTAATACTTTAAAACTTTACGTTTGCTTATCCTTTTTAGAATGCCCCTCATGACCTTCAGTCATATACATCAGATGACGTATCTAAAATGATTGAACTTGTTAAAGAAGCTTGTAATAAACTAACTACCAGGTAGGTTTAATAATTACTATACTAAATGTGAAATATCTATAATTTACAGCTAATCTGACTTATTTTTTGTTTACTTTAAGTTCTTTAAGCCACTTAATGATGATACGAACTAGAATGGGATATTTAGATCGATTAACTGGACGACTTTTGGATTATAGACGTCAAACAGAATTGGCTAGAACAAGAATTAGTCAAACAAAAAAACTAATTGATAAAGCATTGACGGAACAAGAAGATAAGACAGCACAACTGGAACAACTTAAGAGTTCTTGTAAGAAGCTAGTTAGTTTTGTAAGTGCCTTGTGCTATTCATTTATATATTATTACCATTTCTATCACTTTCAGTATTTTAATTGTGGGTTCATAAATTATTCTTACGTTGATATGCTGTAACTTGAGAAGCCTCAAATCCATGCACAGACCACTTCGTACCAGTAAATGATGCCTATTTCCATCACTAAAAATCAGCGCCCCACTTGATCACAACCTGTATGAGCAGATTAATAACCAATTTAAGCAATAGATACATAGGAACTATCTATACAACCCACTAGAAACAACATATCCCATGGCAGTTAGAAAACGATCTTTTAATACATTTCTATAAAAATGCTCCAAAAATAACCCGATTCTGTCAACTGATATTGTGTCTTAAAGTATTCCTAAGTATAGAAATGTACCAACAACTCAAGAATTATTTTAACCTATAACTGATTAGTAATCCTAATATTTTTGTTTAATACTTAGATTCGCTCTTTTTTGAAACTTATTTTAATAGGGTCAAACGGTAACTGAATACTACTATCACTGTATGCTTTATCACAAGTTGAGAATCTGCAGTTCTCTATTGTTACATTTAAATGTATCTTTTGCACTTTCTGTTGTATAAACCCCAAAATTTAACATGGTTCACGAAATATCGTCCATTCTTTTCTCATAATTTCAGCTGGAGGATGAATTATCCAGAATCTGTAACCGCCAAGTGCAAATAACTGGACAATTTTGCGATTTGTGATTGAATAACAGTTTCACGTCAACCCACTTTTATTTGCAATTGGATATTCAATTTTCATCTTGAAAATATTCATTGACTTATCTCCTAGTTTTTGAGAGTCCCTTCTTTACCCGTTTTTGTATTTTAAGACCTCACTTTGTTTGTGAAATACAGATACTCAAAGTACATTTTCGCACAATTGTGCACGCTCGTCTCTAAGCGGGTAATAATGAAGTGCACTGCATCCATTGGAAATCAAGATTAATATCTCTGGTCAGTTACCAGCCAGCTATACTTCCCACTCGATGACTTAAGTATTGTTTAAAAGGATATCCCTGTCGATGGGTTAAGCGACAAAAATCTGTATCTGCACACTACTCATACAACAAAACGCCAATTGACTGTAGCAATGGACCGTATGGCGTAATCATCTAAAATAGATTACAAACACCTGTCGAACTGCAGGTGATAACTAATGTATATCTTGCTACTGGAATTTCATCCTATATTGCTAGACTTTGAAGCAAATCTTTTTTTAACCTATAGCACACACCTCCCGTCCGTTCGTTTACTCGAACCACACAGCTTCAAAACTATTAATAAAGAATGGGTCTCCTCAAAATTCATCCTTTCTTTGAAATCCATATGTAAACACAACATCCAAACCAAGTACCTTCATCAGTATCTAAAAAACACACACCACTACTTCCCCTAGACTGGTCTAGTTATATAAAACGCTCTTTACAATGATGACAGCAGTACGAATTATAAATGTGTTTCGCGACTTCCTATCAGTGACCGGCTGCTTTATTTGTCCAATCATGACCTTATGGCTGGTCAGGCAGGACATAATAATAAAATAAACAATGTCCAAATTCTTAAGTCTCACTCTTACATCTTGGGTCACTGCTAGAAAATACAATCAGTCGACTACAATGTAGACATTATTGTGTACCTACATCATTTCCAGTTGTCATATCGCATTAGCACACAGATCGAGTTGTTAATTCAAATCTTATACTAGTAGATGTAGTAAAAGTATCAGCGGTAATGAATAATATTAGAGTTCAGAGATATGATTCGATAAGTGTAACATAGAGGTAAATTTAAAAAGATAAAAGTGGTGAAGAATCCGGAAAATTATAATTTGAGAGAAAACAAAGAATGGATGCAGTCGAGCTACGTTATTCAAGGTCTCCAACCATCGATTACTGTCATCCCGCCGGCCCCAAACAGGTAGTCAGCACTTGCTAACATGGCCCAGCACAGCTGTGTTACGCACGCATGTAAACATGTCAGTCTGATATGTCTGAACTATTACGAGTTTACCTTAGTCGGAAACGAGAGCGAGGATCCGGCGACACCACAGGCTGCTCTAATCAGAGTATCCCAACCTCAAGAAGAAGTCTTGATAATCAGGACGTCCGATGTGAAACATCATTGGAAGTGGCATTGACAGTTGGTACGACCAATAGGAGACAACGCTGAAGCGTGTGACATTAATAGTTAGGATGACCATGGTATTGACTAATAGAATTCGGCTCCCGAAAATAGCCTAGGATATATGATATCCTAACAAGCTGTCAGTGACAAATGAATATTTGGCATGTTTTGGTCTGGCTGACCTTAGTTTTTTTCCAGCCTACGCTTACAGGAGACATTGCTTGTTGAGGTAGTCGCAGATACGTAACACGTATCCCAACCACCTTAGTTGATAAAAACGCACGGCACCATCAATTGGATTGCCATGTTTACCTAAGACCTGTATCTTAATCCCAACACTGCTTAGTCCCTTTGATCCAAGATATGCGAGCAATGCTTCTAAGACACTGATGATCGAACACTAGTAAACTACGAATATCTTCTTTTCTCAGTGGCCATGTTTAACCCAGAGTAGGGCGGGACGAACTGATGGACAATAGTCACGTCCTTTGGTTAGCAGATGGATATCCGGCCCGTGCCATAAGTAATGCAGTCTGGCAAACGCCAGCCGAGCCTTCTTTATCCGTAGTGTAATTCCTTCAGGACTGAAACTCCTAAGCATGTCCATGAGAAAGTTGGGGAAGTGGACCCCCTGACATATTACTTGAAGTAGTCAGTTCCGATGACGGTTCACCACAGGCTCTAACTCGTTTGGGACATTTCGAGTCGGGAGCCTGTATACGGTTAATGCGCTTCTGTGGTACACCTTTTAATTACAGATGGCCACAGAACCTCACGATCGACAAGGTCAAATGCTACCTTAAGGTCGTGGGTGACCCGAAGTGCAGCTGAAGTCTAGTTGAGTTTATTCCTAGTGTTCTGCTCATGCCGATGATTTAGTTCTCCTTGGTGAGGACACAGACGAAATGTAGCGTCTTTTAATAACCCTAAGCAACAATGCATGTTCGGGATGCGGTTTTCTCTCGCGGAATGCATAATATTGCTTCCGGATTGGTTTGTATCGGCACGTGAACTAGTGATAAAGAGTGAAGTTGTTGGGCATGTCAACCGCTCCACCTATTTCAGGAGTCTCATCAGTGCTGATGGCCTGGTGACTGACGAAATCTGAGCACGGATACAGAAGGCTCGATTTACGCAGGCGAGCAGTCCGTTTGCTAACCAAAGGGCGAGAGTGCAGCACAACAGTTCGCCCCGTCCTTTTATAAGGCTGCGAAACGGCCTGTCAGAGTAGGACATATTCGTAGTTTGCTAATTTTCCATCAGTGTTGTTCGGATATTCATCAAATACCCCGAAAATAATTCTTGTAAGTCTAATCCTATTGGTCAATATTATGGTCGTCCTAGCTATCAATGTCACTTCAAATGTTGTTTCTTACTTGACTTAAATGTATAAATACACATTGTCGGTAACGCTTTATGACCCATACGGGATCCGGACGTTTTGTACTTCACATCAAATCCTCTTTTATTCAAAAGAGGTAGGGACACTCGGATTAGGGCAACCTGTGGTGTCGCCGGATCCTCGCTCTCGTCTCTGACTAAGGTAAACTCGTAATAGTTCGAGCAAATGACGTGCTTACGTGCGAATCGTAACAGTTGTCTACGAAGCATTGCTCCTATATCGTGGAGCAACCGACTAAGCAATCCTGTCGTTAGGAGACGAGTCCTAGGAAGGGTGTCAGATCAAGTGTTGGATCTTCAACAGTTGAGGTGGTCGGGACCACTAGACCACATTATTCAGTGGTTGGAGACCCTGGAATCATGGCTGGATAACCATTGCTGCGGCGCAGGTGAATTAATTTTTCGTGTTCTCTCAAATCCTAACTCATGGTATACTACCTGAATATCTTCAACTCTGATCTCGCCGAAAAACCTAATACATTTACAGCCTCTACTACTATGGGATTGAAATTGACCATTAGGTCTGTGGTAATGCCGAACGACAAATGAAAATGATGTACTTTCAAAGGGAGTTTTACGTTGCTTTTGATTTGAATCTTCCGCTTATCGATCTGACCTGAAATGAGAAGTCAAATTTCGAACGCAATCCTCATTCATAGGCCCGAATATCACCCATTGTCTCCTCATTAGATTTCGCTACGTACTGGTGTTCGCCATCATTGCGAGGGGTTCTTACCAGTAGTCGATCACCTGATTACGGAAGGTTAAGTTTCAGAACATCGCTCATTGCAGTTAACTTGATGTAACTTATTGTTACCATAGGTTTTTCAGCGTGAGCTTTACTCACACGGCTACCTAACTAATTTGTTAGTTACTATCTATACATTCTCTTGACTTAATGACGTAGAAACCCTTAAGAGCTTTTTCGCTGTCGTATCAAAAATAGGCCTCAAAACGTTATGCACACGTAATAAAGCATGACATGAAACTAGACATCCTCTTAAGATTGAATTGCAGTCAGCTATCGAGCAGATCTGCCAGTGGCTTGTAACACCTATTTAGGTTCGATGTTCATTCGAGTACAGAGTGCGCGATGTCGAATATGTTTTCCTACATACTTTTAGAAAAATATTTCCGATACTAGAAAAAGTCTCGATGGAAAAGTGCAACACCACGCATGTCGTCCTGGAAATAAAAATTCGTGAAGCTAGGTATCACTTCAAGGGCCAACCTTTTCTATATTCTTACTCTATCTTACTGAGGCAGAATCACTGCAGATGTTGACAATCTGAATCGAACACCTAACTTCAGCAGTAAGACTTCAAGCTCAGACACCAAGTTTATGTTCTCAAACTTACCTTCCTCTCATCGACCAAACCGATGTAGAAGGACCTAAAGAGATGTACGTTCCAGCTCGACCAAGTAATTGCGGCAGACACGCTCGATCATCACCTCGTAGTGGCTACGGTCGTATCATTAGGAACATCAAAACAGTGGATAGCCGAACAAAGCGCTCCCACACCTCATGAATACTTAGAGCAACATGATCGAATTTTTTTATCAAATAAGAAACGAAAAGTTACGGTCAATCTAGTTTATTCAATTTCGTAATGTGAGTAACGTGTACATAGAAGGCCTCTTGAAATCGGTCGCCTCAGACGGCGAAGAAATACCTAAAATGTAATAATAGATGCATGAGCGCATTTTAAGGTGAATAGATAAGGAACTCAGAGAAATTTATCGTCATGATAGTCAGAGACGAAAAATAAGTCATCATAGGAACTCTACTCACCTTTTTAGTTAGACAACGGGAGTAAGCAGACTGACGTCTACTACTGCGTTCAGTGCGAGCCATTCATAATCCTGTGCCGCTGAAAAGTCAAGTTTAAATTATTAGGAATGTAGAATAGAGTATATACAGTCCTTGCAATTACGATAGACACGCTAATATAAGCAATAAACCCTAAAAAATTCGGGGTCCAGAAAGCCTGACCCTTACTCCGAACAGTTGATTGAGATTAGCAGGAAGCAATTTGCATAATCAGAAACCTTAGACAGCACAACTACATGACATGCGATTCATCACCGCCAAGTTATTGTTGACAGAGACTTTACTAGCATGATGACAAGTTGTACTAAAATCTCGAATTGTGTGAATTTTCACTTAAACTGCGACTACAAGCGTCATATAGATTTGTTGACAGTTACGTAATTAGATCACTTGTAGTACCCCGGGGAAAGGACCTAAAGCTCACTACGACGCCACAGGGTCTCTGAATCGGTGAACCTTGATAGATTAATAACAATTATAGGAAAAGTTCATATAGTTGAAAAAACGATCATAATAGTGATTTCAGAAACTGGATTACAAGCACATACCATTTTTGCACGTACTTATTTGCGCAATAAGCTTAGCCACCTTGGGAAAAACAGCTACATACTGGGAATACGTGAACATGAATTCCTAACGAGCAATACATGCATACACCAAGCACGAAAGAGAAACATCACGCCTCCTAATTGAGAACGGAATTGATCTGAGCACGCTTTCAACTAATGCTTATACAAACAACAGACAATAGAGAATTTTAAATATTTAGAAACCATTTCTTAAAATTGCTTCACGAATGTGTGATTGATATTTTATTATTCACGACAGTTTGCAAACGTTGCATATATAAACGAGACCTACTTCAAGTGATTGTTATATCAGAACATCCAAATCATCTCTTACATTTTTCGTGGTGGTCTTCGTATACAATATCCAATATCTATTTCACGAGCTAGTGTAAACCAATTCGATTTCTTCGCGATCGTTTGAGACTTCACACTTTGAAGCTATCACCATACCAGAAAGTTAGATTAATCGCTAGTAGGTTCTCGCCGTATAGAGCTGGTACAGTTTTCAAGATTACTAGAACCAGTTAGGAGTGATGATCTATTCATAATAACCTCGCCATGTCGATCGTTTGGTTTGTTTATTGTTTGGAAAGAGGAGTGACCCTAGCATAAACTGCAATTTCGCTATCGAAACCAAGCTTACACTTTCAAGATTTACTGACCTATCTATAGCAAATGTGCTACGATGTACATGCACTCTATGCTTACTTAATTCGGACTATCTTACCGGCTACAAATCAGCCTATCCAGTGAAAACTCACCGGAGAATACAAGGTATTTACAATATAAGGGTCTGCATTCTGAGAATACATAAGCGGTATCAGTGACTAGAACGCAAACAATTTAAAGACGATGGCATTTTCAGGCAACTCAAATCAGCAGGAATTCATTGTACAAGCGTTTCAGTATCAAAGAAAGTTGAACGATGCAGTTTTCTCCGATTTGAAAGGTCTTTCTCCCTGCTGTTAGGTTCTGACCTTCAAATAAACACTGATATCAATGCAGCATCTGCTTACATTTGAAGTCATATATGTATTGAGCGAGTCAAGATACCAGATTGACTATGATCACCACTAAATATTCCGTATTAAACCGCCGTCATTAAAATCAAAACATATCCATGGTTGAGTATTTTATTGAAGGAGAATTAAGTTGTCCAGTGCCAGTCGGCGAGGTTTTGCCGTGAATGGGGTTCTGCATGTGACGATGTGGCTTACCACATAAATAATCACCAGTTGAATCTCCTCGGTTTCGTTACTTTGGGGAATTTATCGAATATAACATGAAATAAATAGTAATGCAAAAGATATATATTGGTGATTCGGTACATATCTGTTTGCGCGTTAATAACCATGGATTTGATATTCGACGAAATATCGAATAACGCAGCCTACGTGAATGGAATAGCAATTCATAGTGCTGTAGGAAATCGATACCGAGTATGGCTATAGGAACATCAGAAGGGATGAATGTCCATAGATACTTTCGTCGGTTATTCAGGTTGATAGTTAGCTGTCGTGTACCGTAGGTACGAATGACAGAGCCATTCGCAACGCGTGGTTTAAGCATCGTAGATTATGACTTACTGCTACCAAACGATACGACAGAAACCTGGGCATTTGTGGCCATCAAGTACCTAGCGTTATTGCGAAAGTCGAGCACGTAAAATAAACTAACAACCTGAAGTGACGAGGAGGAGACAGGAGAAAATGCAATGACCTGCACCTCGGAGTCTATTATTATAGCTATCTACCATTTTGAAACGTTGTTGCAAGTATAATACCTATTAAAGACATTATTAATAGTATCGCTACATTAAAAAAATGGTGATAGATGAATAATAGACTCGGCGTAATTGACTTCAGAAGAAACGTCGGCTCACCAATTGTAGTGAGCGAGTCAAGATACCAGATTGACCATGATCACCACTAAATGTTCAATACGGTCCTGTCTTGAGAATGAAAATAAATCCATGGTTGAGTATTTTATTGAAGGAGAACTTTGGCATTACATGGGGAGCAGGACATTTACAAAAATGGCAGCAACGCGAAGAGAACGTTGCGCGCAAGAAGTCGTGGAAGTGTTTTTGGTACAGTTAAACAAAACGAGGACAATAATGTTTATTTTTCACAAATCGTATTTTCTTCGTAGGAGCGTTCCACTACAGCAGCCCCCGCCTAAAAACGGTTTGCACTATTCTCCTTTTCTTTGATTTTTTTATTCCTAGCCTTTACCTCCAACCATAGCCCTGTTGTTACTGTCGACTTCAGTCAAACTTGGAGAAAGCTGGCCTGATCACCCACGATCTTGTCAATGCTCTCAGTTGATTTTCTGGTTACGAATAGTTTCGCACTGGCCGTTTCTGGTTCCGTCCTACGTCTGCAGCTTAATGTGGTCCGGACCCCTACGAACGCAATCCTCAGAATCTGGATACGTGCCAGACTGATGTGACATGCCAACCCGATAGATGAACTTGGCACGGCAGCGAATAAACTCTCGACGACAACTCAAGCTTCATTGGTCGCTCCCTGTTCGTCAACCCTCCCCCTCGAAAAACCAACCTAGGTCGACAAGCCCATCCGAACGCAGCCGCTATGTATCGAAAGAGTGAACCCTTTCTAGTGGTGGGCTCCTGTAGTGGAACTATATTGGGGAGAAAACATAATTGCTGACATATCAATACTTATTATTGAACATGTGTGACAATAACTGTTTTATTGTACATCTTTTGTTTATCTGTACTTAAAGTCGTAATTCAAGCGCCAACCTTGTGGCTTTATTGATCGCTTCGTGTTATCTCGTCGTCTGGCTGAATACGTGATATTATTTTGATATCACGCGACTTCCAATCAATAAATATAGTTATTCCATAATTGGCTTTTTGTGATTCTATTTTGTTTGGGAGTTTTTGCCTGGCAACCATCCCAAAAACCACATTGGTGAACCCACTGTTTGGAACACGCAATTAATTTTGGATAAATTCGCCATAACCGAGTCAAATTCGATGGGTCTGTAAGTTTTCTATCGATTTTTCATAATAATCATTCTGTTGCTTAAACTTATACGCTTTTATATATATAATAAACTAGTAGCAGCGAGTTAGTCATAAATAACAATGGACAGCTTTAAAAATAACGATTTTATGACAGACTTCCAGATCCAGGTCCTCAATTTTCGACCTATTCCCCACGATCCAGAGGTCTGGTTCGCGACACTGGAGACTCAGTTCGAGATCCGCCGCATTACTAACCAGTAGCAAATGTATGCCTATGCCCTGGGATCTTTACCTGGGGATCACATAGCAGCTGTTCGTGAGGTGGTCCTCAATCCTAATGTACCAGATGCCTATAATCGTCTCAAGCAGGCGATTCTCCAACATTTCCTCCCATCGAAGGAGGAACGTTTGACGACGCGTTTAGCACGTCACCCTTATGGTGTTACCTTGACAAAGATGACACTGAAGGGAAAAAGAGAAGGGTTACTGGCAGAGATTGTCCAACGATTCCTACAAATTAACAGGATACCAATAACAGCATAATCGCACAGCGACACTCATCAGCAACAGGAAGAGAATTACAAACGTTGCGAAAGAACCAGTGAAGGGTAATCACTCAGAGAGTTGACTATTCAAGACGATATAAATTTAAATGCATGACTATAGACCTGGAAAAGAGACGTACTGTACGGAAGTCACTTTCGAATTACCCGTGGGAGAATCACTTATGCAGAGTATTCAAGTAGAATTGACCAGCAGATTTCGATATCGCTTTGTGAATCCCTTTCATGTTTTTAGGCCTTGAAGGGACACTGACTGAGAGAGTGAGTAAAAGGACCTGGAGGACGGTCACCAAGATGTGGTAAACGACAATGAAGAAACATTTACGGTGCGCAGAACTTGACCCACGAAGGAGAGATGCTTAGGTGACTGCAGTTTGTGTTAATTCTTTCATCAAAAGATAAACTCTACAACACTCGCCTAAGCCATTTTACCGTAATGACACTTGCTTTTTTCGGATTGGTTGTTATCATAACTGTGTTCCAACATATTACTGTTTTAATGTATCTATAGAGTTATTCCACTTCAAGTTACTTTACCTAAATATTGATTTGCTTTAATCATCTTGAGTTTGTTTTAAACCTCGTTCGTCTTAGAAGCATTTCAGCCGTTTGTAATTCGAAATTACCGTAAAACTGATCCTAACGGTTTGAAAAATTTACAACAGTTATTTAAAAATTTGATTTCATCACCAAATGAACACCGTTCTACGAATCTACAATTTACGAAAGTTGGATAACAACAACAACACAAGAAAATTTATACAGTCATAAATTTGTATTGATATTCATCATTTACAATTATTATACAGTTGAAGAAAAATAAGTGGATGATAAGATTATTAGACATATCACAAGGAAAGAATATGTACAAATATTCTGATTATAATGATGCCTTAACCATACCAGAACTGGCTGTGAGTGCTGAGCTTGCATGTTCGATACATGCACCATCAAAACCATCTAGTGTTAGGCGACGCATACTAATTTCATAGTAATCAATAGCTGAATAAGTGGACTGGTTCGGTATGCCGAACAAAATATGTTCTGCACATAACTGCATGAGAGTAGGCGCTGAATGTGGAGCAAGCATTACGAGATCCGGTAACATAGATAATAAAGGTAGGGTAAAATTATCAGGTTTACGAGATCGCGTACAAAGATAAGGTATAATTGTATTGGTAACAGTTTCAGGAGCCAAATGAGGGAAGTGGTGTAATAACCGTAGTAGAAGTGTCACAGCGAGAGAAGCCACAGTTTCACAAGAATGTCCAATAAGTGATTCTAGTTCATTCTAAATTGAACATACAAATGAAAAAGGAAAAACTCGATAAAACACGTGTATATGAAAGAGAACGGTTTATTCGGTTTACACATACATCCTAATATTGATGTTCTTAACTCACACGCCCAAATCATTTCTCGCTTCACTCGTTTGAAGATAGATATTTTATTCAACAGATACTTTCGTAAATCATTTCTTGAGTAATAAAACTTACTAGATCATATCCCAGAAAGTTGCCGTACCAACCAAACATGAGGTTGAAATCAATATCAGAAAATAATAAACGGAAACCAATAAATACCCATGGAAACAACTCACAGGTACTAAATAACCTAACACTGAATACATAATGTTTGTAAAATTCAATCACACATAAACAACGTACGACCTAGTAAAAATATAAATCCGTTCAAGTTATCCCGCCACAGTGACGGGAAAAGAAAAAGATTAAAAAACATAGCAATGTAGAGGGTAGTTTGACCAAACATATAGAATATACTTTGAAAAAAAACGATGTATTAAGGAAATGAAAACAAGAAATATTATTAAAACTTCGTATTTAGCAGAGAAATAAGAAACGCATCATTGTAACACTAAAACCGACTCAATATAATCCGACCACCAATATCGATTATCGCGTGGATCTCATTCTGATAATGTACACCTGCCAACCTAGTTCAGACTAAGTCTATGACTTTATGGAATGATGACACAATTTCGTTGAATCGTCTCTACTATGTACCAATATCAATACACAATTGATTTTAAATTCACAGTGAGACAGATCTATCATGAATAAAAATATAAAACGGTTAATAAGAAATAAACTGATAGAGAATAAATAACTTACTTTAAAATATAACAATAGAACAATTCTTCGTTTCGAAGCAATTTCTAATTCATTCAGTAAATTGCTAAGCACTATTTAAAAAAGAAAATAATAATAATAACCATAAAGTATGGTGAAAATACAATTTATTTTTTGTTACATTAATTTTTTTTTTTAAATATACAAAGATATCTAACTAACTATAAAAATTAAATAAAGTATGTAAGCATTTGAAGATATTTCATCCACAGACATGGTATCATTGGGTATTTTTTGTTAGATTTAAATTTAAGCAGTTGATTGGATTAGTTTGGAAACTTACACTGTGACATACAACATTTTAAAAAAAGAGATTGCTGAATAAATACTTTACGAATGATTGACACAAAGAAATTTAATGAAACATGGAAAAAAATAAAAACTGTTTATAATGGATTATTATCGTAAGAGAAAATAATGAATAAGAGGGATAAATGTCAATGATTTAATAGATGTAATGTATATGACGCATATTTCCAATGAAAAAATGTGATAAGATGCATTAAAGTGGAAACATATTTGTCACATTAAGTATATAAAAAGAGTGAGAGGATGTCTCAGTGAATTATAGTAAAAAGTAACTAACAATAATAACTAACAAAGTCCAACAAAGAGCTATGGCAAAAACAAGTATTAAGTATGCAGATTTTTATTCATCAAGATAGCTTTTCACCAACAAATTGGGCAAATATTTTTTTTAAGTGTTGAAATATTAGAAGAAAAGAACTAGTAACGTCTTACCTGAGAAAACGTATACAAGAATTAATAACGATTAGTTATTTTTTTAAACGTTTGTAAAGTAAAACAGAATTAAATCATTTAATATAGAAACAATGGGAAGATTCAGCTTACTTACTACCTCACAAGAGGTTTTCAAAGATAATGACAGACTTTACAATAAATTCCGATATGGTGATCTACACTTTAGAAAACATTTAGGTGAGAAACTGGGACACGATAACAAACTAGTAGATCTGTAATAAGTAAAATGATAAATTTAAGGAAATTTATTGAACAGCTCGTAAACTTCTAAGCCCAAATTAGCTGAGTATAAACGTAATAAAATATAACGAAATGTTTCCAAGTGTAAATCTTACTGACAGTGAGTGAAGATAATTTTGATCATTCAACCAAGATTTGTGTCTATTTGGATTATGCAGATGACGTAGCACTTTTATTCCACATATAGCAACAGATGTAGGTGAAGAAATCCAACATTAAGCCTCAACATAGACAAGGGAGAAAACAGGGACCCTATATACAATACATTATGCTTTGGGAGATGTATAAGCTTTTACATATATGAGCAGTATTACTAATAAACAAGGAAGGTGTGAAGACGCGGGATTAGTAAAGCAAGAGCAGCATTTCTACAGTTGAAGAACATCTACAACTCGAAACAACTGTCAATCAACATCGAAGTCATAATTTTTAATACAAACGACAACACATTTCTATTGGGTGGAGTGGAAACTTGCGAAACTATCAAACCCATCATTCAAAAGATATAGGTACATATATAAACAGTTGCCTACGCAAGATACCCTAGATCTCTATTGACCATAAACCATCAGCAATAATCTGCCATTGCAAACAACGAACCATCTTCCAGCTAGCAAGGAAATTAGGAAAAACTGTTGTAAGTACATAGGATACATACTGCGAAAATCAACAAACTGCATTACAAGCCAAGCCATAACATAGAACACTCAAGAGAAAAGAAAAAGTAGCAGACCAAGGAACACATTGAGGTGGTAATCGGAGAAAGACGAATATCACTTGAAAGGGAGGCCCAGGACAGAATAGGCTTCACACTGCCGGTTGGTGTGCTATGCCCCAAGATGGGTGACAGGCGTCAGTAAGTACGATTTCTGATTAGTGATGGGGTTCAAATTGTTTAAAAACAGGTAAGTTATACACACTTTTACGGATTCTGTTTTCATGTTAAATAAAATATGAAACATGATTTTAACAGGTGTCCCAATACAACTAAGATATAACTAATCAATTCTCAAATTTACAAACTAATGTATGAAGTTGTAACTTACTTTGAGGATGAACACAAGTTCTGAGATGATAAATGAACGGTTGCATTACAGCTAAATTCCATTGTTTACTTATTTGTCCACGACATTTTGAAATAACTGAAAGAAGCGAAGAGGAATAACGATATTTTTCGCTACATGATTCATTTATTTGAGTTAGCATTGTAGGAATAGGAACGAATTCTTCAAATTGTTCAGCGAGTGTATCCAAATTGTCATTAATGTTTTCATCTTCTTTCAACAAATTAATAGTTTCATTAAAATTCATACTCCATGGAGCGAATTGAACATGAAATTGTAGAATTCTAGCTAAACGTTTTGGAAACCCACTAAGATGCCGAGTATGTCCACGAAAACAGGCAAGAACTCCAACTAAATTCGATAAAAGACGTTCCACATATTTACTGAGAAAAGAAATTATTACCATGAAATCATGTTTAGATATTATATAAAGATAAGAGCAGTTTATGTCATTTTTAAAGTATTAAAAAAAAGACAATTTAGCAGAGTGAACTAGGAAAACAAGCTAACAGAAATTTAAAAAAAAATTTATTATACAAGCAGGCATAAACTGAAGATTCAGTTAAAAGGTGATCTTAACTGTCTCACTGTGGTAGATTTTAAGTAAAATCAGGCAAAATTAGATAATAAATTTATTCTTTTAATTTTTTTCAAATTGATCAACATTAATCTGAACTATCTGAACTCATGAGGTGTTTTTATTTAAATTTCGCAGTGTAAACAGACGAATGAACAACAGGGATAACAAAATAAAATGAATAGATGATATCAGAGTTACTACTGATCATAATCAAGATAAAAAAGGTTACGTAAAAGTAGCAAAATCAATAAACCAGTATACAATAACGCGATCTAATAAACAGGTTAATATGTGAATATTAACAAGACCTATGTAAAAGGTAAATATTAGAAGAGTGAAATAAGTAAGGTTGAAGAAATTAGTGAGTTATTTAATAAACATGACAGAAGAAGGCTAGTTACATATTCCTCTTCAGTAAACACAGGTCAGGGTGGAAACATAATGCTTAAAATGGGATATGGTATGATAAAAAAAACGATGGAACTCTCAGGAGAAGTATGTATAAGAGAGCAGATTTTTCACAGCTACTGTTGTTTCCAATAATTTAATTCCTGCATTTAATCGTTTAGTTTGCCTGGCCACATGAGGTCTTGAAATGTACCTATCCAAAGATACAATTCATATAAGACTTTTTATTTCAAACTGGAATCAAAGTGATCAGTCGACAGAAGGTAAATAAACTTAAATGGGCTATATATATATATATATATATATATATATATATATATATATATATATATATATATGATTAGCATCAATATCTTTCAATCATAGTGAAATTAAAGAAGGACACTAAAAATCATCTACTGACTAATAAAAATTCACTGTAACGTACACTTTAGTTACTGCCACTAATTTGTAATTATAGAAATTCAATTACACAAAAATAACTATGCTAAGAGAGTAAGAAAATTCGTCCCGGTAAACTAACAATCAGAATATAAAAGTCTAATCATTGTCTGAGTATTTAGTTGTCTTAAAAATGCTTTTGAAAAAAAGTACAAAGTATGACTTAGCAAATTAACACATTGGTACTGTTTATTAATAAGAACATGAGAGAAATATTCCTAAGAAAAAGAGAAATTTCAAAATAATCCAGGACAAGAAAATGAATGATGAGGAATATAGGTGAGAAAGGTACACTGAATTTATACAGAAATAAGTAAAAGTACCTTTCTGTTAATGTTATCAATTTCAATTTGCTATCCAATCCTTAAAAGACTTGAATTTGCAAATTCGGTGCTTTCTCATAATAAAGGTTTGATGTTTACATACATGATTGTGAACTACAATCGAATGTTAATACCATATAAGTGTAATCGATATCGCAAAGTCATACACAATTGATGTGAACAGGAAGAGAATATAACAAAAGCCAAACTCACCTGTATGGTACCATTTCTCTACTGAATAAAGCATTATTTTCCACAGAAGATAAACAACCATTACCTGCGTAAATATCAAGTAGGGTTTCCACCGAACAGTCAACTGATACAGTCGATAATATTTCTAAGATGTGCAATAAATTGGAAAATAATAAATGATAACGTTTATTCATAAACTGTGTCCATGTTGTACCAAGTCGTCCCTCACTTAAACCACATATAATTGGTAATAAACGTAACCAAGCTCTTGGATGCTGAGTAATTAAAGCTTTACAAGCTAATTGTGCAGTATCCATAATCGACATATTCGATGAAGTTAAACTGACCAGTATAATTGGACCAATACGATCAACCTGTTTTATGAATGTAAAAAAGAAGTATGTAAAGCCATTTTTAATAAACCAAACTATTGAAAATCCTAATCATGTTTGGCAGAAACGTTGCTATAGTGATGATATACAAATCAGAATCAAAGTGAATACAGAGAGATACGATTTCGCGACGGTATCTTATGAGTAAATATGAGTAGCAATAAACAGAGTCTATTATGAATGATAACATGATTTATTAAAACAAGCCCAACTAATTTCACTACAAATGGAATATTCATAAGGTTGAAACAAAACGTTTCATTATCATTTACTTATTAAGTAGGTTTAAACATATGAGCCTTAAGTGGTAATAATACATTTATTCATATTGAATTCGATTTGAACAGTTTGTTAGTAAGATCATTACTTCTCACTTAAAATGTGTGGATTAGATCCGAATACATAAACATAAACCGAAATTTAAACAATTCAGAAATTCATATGATGTTGTTGATCAATAGAGCTAAAACCAGTCATCTGAAATTGTCCGTATACTTCTGTTTCTGAAGCTGTAACTCAGTGATTTCATTTAGATTGGACAGTATAATATGTTAACTCCTAGTCTTTTAAACAAGTGTTTTTTTGAAGTCACAGGGCTATGTACTAGATTTTGTAGTCCGTTCAAACAAAAAATTCAAATCAAATCATTACACGAAAATAAGCCAACTAACAGCATAAAAATACTCTTAACAGGAAGAGATAAAACAACGAGCACTATTCAGTTTCGAATCTCGAAAATACTTTACCATTTTACTAGACAAACAAATCGTCAAATTATTACAATGAATTACTTATGAAAAGGAGACTATTTTATTTTCATGTGAACAACTATTTGATACAAAAATGTTTACCAGCAAAAATCGCAGTTTACATAAAAACTAATTATAAGCATTTTTGTCCCAAAATATAATAAACTGTGGCAGTGACATCATATTTTAAAATATGTAATGTTATATAAATATTAATCTTTTAAAAATCTGTTATTTATAATATTTAAAACTTACTTCTGGTAGCGTAAAACTTGAGTTTTTCAAATTTGAAAGTCCAAATTTTTCAATTAAAGAATATACATTTGAAGATTTATTTGTCACAGGACTTGGATAGCATACTAGTTGTCGTGTAATGTCTGAATGGAATAAATATGATATACCGGGTCGTCGAAAATATAAAAACAATAACAATCGAAATGCAAAAATAGACCAAATCTCATTTGATTTTGCACGTTTGATAATATTACAGTTCATTAACACGGAATTAGGCAAATGAACATCAAAAGCATGCTTATTATTAACATCAGAGATGTTAATTAATCCACTTAATAATTCTAGTAACATTACACAACATTCTGACCACTGCACAATAGCAATATCCAGTAGAGCAACACGGTTTGAATATAAATTGTTCAGTGTCTGTAAAGAAAATAACAGATAAGAAAATGATTTCTTAGAATAGTGAAAACATTTGTAAATCAACATTATAAGTAATTAAAGGTTTTTTCAAATCTAGGTTTTAGTAGTTTAGGTTTGTCCATATCCTAGGAGGATATCATAAAGCAGGGTAGATTAGGCTACGGATTCTCAAACGATAACAGTAACGATACGAATTTTCGTGGAAGATTAAATGTACATTGAATTCTTTACCAACCGGAAACATATTTGTGAATAAATTTTCATTAATCATCATATACTAGAATAAACATCAAAGTGATCCAAATTCGGGTGATTTTTGTAATGTTCGTCACTAGGTATGCTTGAAGTTATTACGAGTTCACCTTAGTCGATAAACGCGAACGAGACAATTACCAGCGTCCAGATAGGCTACCTTGAATCCCAAGCTGTGAACAGAAGGCTTGGTAAGCGTAGAAAGTATATTTTACAAACACTCAGCAATCACAATACAATCAAGCATACAACTCTCGTTTATTTATTCATCATAGAAACGTCCTTGGGACAGTTACGAGGACAGCACACTAAAATCTTAAGGTCAACTGATCAGCCCATGCTCGCAAACGTGAATTCCAAGATAAGGCATTTATCAAGCGAGTTTTGGGGATCTAACATCCAGAACAATTTGTAGGATTCAAAATTGATACTCATTTAAAATAGAAGATTATTTGTAATTAACTTATTCAGAATCATTCGTTTCCTCAAATTTTGAATGATATCAAATTATTATTAACATTTCTAGCTCAGTACATACAGTTGAATGCTAAAACTATTTTCTATTTTTACAGTAACATAATTTTTTTTCGTTCAGTGATTATTTTGCTTGCCATCTGTTATCTCAACCTACAATAATACACCCGGTATTCATGAAATGAAGATATTCCTTTACTTATTGAATTGCTAAAAGATAATTCAAATCAAGTTGAACAAACAGACATTATCTCCGAAGAACCATTAAAAAAATATAGATCATTTAATTAATCATGATTTCATTTTGAAATGGCGAGCAGTGTACGCGCATTATCGTGAAGAGAACAATAAATAGTTATTCAGAATGATAATTAGTAAGCAGTGTGTATAGTACAGCCACTTCACAGTCCCAAATGTTGACAGACACTATTAGAAACTATAGATATGTTAGATTCTAAAAAACTAATATATTTATATAAGAGTTCATCAAGATTGTTGAACACTATAGTTCATATCTATGCTCTAAACAACTATCTAACTTAGGCCAGTCCGTGATACAAACTGATTGAATTATTCCGTTATTAACCGTTTTATTCCTTAAAAATAATTATCCACTCAAGGTATATCAAGTGAATAAAATGTTAATGAAAAGAATTCCACTGTATCTACATATAACTCTGATGTATAAATAATTAGTAACTACGGTATATTTTTGTTACTATACCCTTCAGATGCACAAAATTATGTCAGTTTCATTCGAAGTAAGATCGGTGTTTTTTGAGAAAAAAAATAGACATTTTCTTAACAACTATTGATTAGTATACTGATCATCTGCATAAATTGAGCAAGTATTCTGAAGAACTGAATGTATTTATGATATAAAGAAAACACTTTAAGTTGCAGTGATATTATTGCAAATAGTAATGTAAAAAAAGGAAGTGAAAGCAATAACATTGTACAAAATCTGAAATATGCAAACCAATTTAATGTTAAAAAAAAGAAACAGGAAAGTGAACTTACATCCCAGTTCATAAAATGCTCACTGTCATTGTTAAATTCAATGCATTCATAAGCTTCCATAAGTACATATTCAATAAGTTTGCATGCTTCTATCCGTGTCAAACGACGTATTGAGGTTAAAGCAACAGAAGCATCTGGACGATCTCGTGGTTCTGCACGTGGAACAGGGTAAGTAAGACGAGGTAAAGTGAATAATGCTGTGATAAAATCAAGGGATTTTGTTGGTCTAAAAGTGTTGAAAAACAATAAAAAACGAGGTTAGTAGAACTAGAAGTAAAATCCGTATGAAAAAATATCCGAAAGTGAATAATTACAGGACCTCGGGGTTTTTTGGACATAAATAAAGTAGTTAAACCAAATGAAAAGATACATATATTTTATAGATATCTCTAGCTAAACTTTGTAATTTCGCAAAAATTTGAATTTCCTATTTTTGCGCCAAAATGCCCATTATTACCATCCGTTTATTTCCCACCTGGAAGGTCATTCGTTCGTTTTCTATTTCAGCAATCTATTTCGAGACTCTTACAAAGACGCTTCTTGCATTGTATATATTACGCTTGAATTGAGTGCTTATTGTCTGTTCGTTCCGGCTGCTTGTGGATTATATATTCTTCCTGCTGATTTTGGACTTCTTCCTCTAATTAGCTGAACTAGGGGGGGGGAAGGGAAACAGCTTAGCTTATCTTGTTATTGTGTCGCTGGTTAGATGTTCCGTTAGCTGATATCAAATCGTATCTTAAATATCGAAAATATAATAAAACTACTTTATTTATTTATACGAGTCCAAAACACCGTAGGATAATATCTACTAGAATGAACACGAACAACAGCAACATCACGTACACCTGGCATATACAAACTGAATATTTACGCACATGATTATCTGATATGACTGTGTATCTATATGGTTATTTATGATAAAAAATCTGTTAAACGTATGCTAAAAATACTGATAAACAAGATTTTCTTTATCACCATACGCAAAGTAATGTGATATGATACAAGTCATATTTATTAAGGTACGGGTAATACTTGATGGATCAAGTGAAACTATATACCGACTGACTAAGATCACTGATGAATATGTCAGCAGGCCCTCTTATAAAAGCTCAAAAATATTCTGTAAGATTGAAAAAAATACAGTTCATACAAACACATTATGAAACTCAATATATATTTCTATATATTGACAACATACCGAATTCTTTCAGTATCATTATAATTCAATAATATCGAAACAGATTTATTCAAAAATGCTGGATTAGCTTGATTTAGTAATTCGGTTAGAAAATAATTATAATTTCCCCCTAAGTTGAATAAATTTAAATTTTCCATATAATTTCCATAAAATTTATCATGTTCAAATATTAAGCGATGAATAGTACATAGAATAGGATCATCTTGAATATCTTCACCCAATAAAATTGATTTCGTTAATAAATTTTGTATATCATTAGGTAATATATTCACTACTTCATATAGACCATACGTTTCAAACGAATCCATATCCCTGATAATATAAAAAGGAAGAAAAAATACCCATGACAGAGAACAGCATTTGATAAAAGTTGATCATAAATATGAAGTGAATGATAAAACATTACACTTCACAATCTATGTGATTTGTGATCACATATGGTTATTACATGGAATATATAATGAAAGATTATATTTATTAAAAATGAATTCAGAGTAACTGACAACATGAGGTGGTGCATCCTAATTTGACCGCTAGTTAAAATATACTCTTACACCTCTATAAGAACATCTGCCAAATTATGACTGCTTTTATGTACTACGAAAGATCAATAATGGGAAATCACAACTTTAAATCATGATTATCTATTTCTTACCTATGATATACTTGAACGAGAAAGTAAGAGTGGAAGAAAAAATTTCAAAGTGAAAATGAGAATAATCATGAGTAATTGTTTGGAAGATACAAGTGTTTATTAACAGTTGTTTACGCAAAATACTTCGGATTCGTTGGCCAGACACCATCAGCAACAACGAACTGTGGGAGAGAACAAACCAGATTCCAGTGGATTAGGAAATCAGGAAGAAGCGGTGAAAGTGGATAGGACACACACTGCGAAAAGCACCTAACTGTGTCACAAGACAAGCCCTCACATGGAACCCTCAAGGCAAAAAGAAAAGAGGAAGGCCAAGGAACACATTACACCGAGAAATAGAAAAAGATATGAGAAGAACGAACAAAGATTGGACAGAACTGGAAAGGGAAGCCCAGGACAGAGTTGGTTGGAGAAAACTGGTCGGCGGCCTATGCTCCATTGGGGGTAACAGGCGTAAGTGAGTAAGTAAGTAACTTTCTGGAATAATAGTTGAATGAATACACGAAATGATGATATAGTAGACGAAGTATTTGATTTTCAACCCCTACATTTCATGTTGGATTTCTGGTTGTTGACTAATGCGGTTCGGAGATCCATGTGGTATGATAAGTCCCCGCATAAGAAGCATTAGCTGTGACGTAAATGAGGCTATTACAAATCTTATTATTAATTGGTATCAACATTGCAAGAACTTTTGAAGTAGTTGAAATGAAAGATTTTGGTAAACATTAAAAGCATTTAAAATGAGACTACGTGTTGACAGATAGAAATTGTAAACAGATATTAAGCTGGAACCTGACGATACATATACACTTCCAATAACTCATTTTTTATAGTTTTGATAGACATCTAATCAATTAACAAGAAAATATTATTGAACATGAATTAACAAAACCAGATTATAGTTAGCCTACTGTAAGGCTTAAGCCTGGATTTTGAAAGATTGCCTTACTATTCAGATGATAAATTAGTGTTTTTTGCATATCTAGTTCATGAATATATCAAAGAGTGAATAAAAAAAACGATAGGACTTACGGAGTTGTAGGGTGAATAAAGTTATTAATCTTGTTCGTATCTGTTTTATCTTCTTCATCCTAAATATAAATTTAACCGAAAATAGATAATAAGAATAATAATGATAACAATAATATTATAGGACTACAGGGAAAACCAAAACATCTTCACACAATGATTATATGGTGAACCCATAATTCAAAGATTGACATGAAAGGCTAGTTTAGAGAAGATGATTAGACAGATTAGGCCGGTTAACTGAAAGCATGGAAATAAATAGGCTGAGGTAAATAATTTTAATCGTCAACCATATAATCTACACACAACAATTTGTTTTAAGTAGGTAATAGCTTATTTGAAGAAATCACAGCATTCAAATTGAGAAAATAAGATTTCAGAGTATTTCGAAATTCGAATTCGATCAAAATATAGACAATTATTTGTATACATTTATTTAGGTTTGATTGGATTTCTCTACAAGTTTGCTGAATTGCCTGAGTTACGGTAATTAGGTAACAAAAAAAGCAACAATAATACGGAATACAGAAGTTTGTGTGAAATAAACTACATGTGTGAGCTGGCTTTCGGTTACCTTAGACTACAGAATAATATGGGATAAATGTCGAATAATAATTCAAAGTGGATTGTTTCGCAATACACTTTTCCGATGATACATTGCATCTGTCCGGCAATAGGAGCCTAATTGCTGTTGTATGTTTCCTTTGCGGTGGGCTTTATATCAGCACTTATTTTGATTCAGTGTATGACAACATAGCTAGAGAGACTAAATGGAAACAAAATGACTTAAACAATTACCTCATTGAGCTAAGTCTATGCATAAAACATGTGATATGTTAATTAAATATATAATTAAGTTTTACATACAGATATTAATATTGATATTAATTTTATACTGATTACTTGTACTAGTCGTCCATAGTAATACAGTTTTACGTTAATTCTACTTAATTTTTTTTAAAAATTTGGTTGATAATAGATGATGATGAATATAAGAAAAGCTATGAAATACTTCAAAATACATACCACTTTCATTTTGGTAATACTTTCTTTTTCAGGAACATTGATATATGTATCAATTTTCATTGCATTAACTGAAGGTATTGTGACTAGTAATTCTTCAGGAGAATCGATATCCATTAAAGTTGTAGATTTTGTATCCTATAGAAGATGAATAAATAATTCATAGTTAGTAAAACAGCATATCTATGACACTAATCTGATAATGAGCCTAAATACGTAATGCATTTTAGAAGTAAAAGACATGCTTGAATTACGATTCACTGAACAGAAGATATAACAGAACTTTTTCCCAGTTGGATAGCACATATGTTTCATAAATGCATACAATATTATTTGACGGTAGTACAAACTTCATAAGCATAGAAATCAGTAAAATGATCAGTGAGTCAGAAATAGAGATTGGACAATTAATACTTTTTAATAAACAATGAATTCGATTATATATTCACCACTAGCATATGCTGTAGCTAATCTTTTTCACTCATAGCTTATACATTTTCGCTTTATTTTAATCTCAAGATTTTTTTTAAATATTTTAAATACTACTCTACTTCCTACAGTTAAAATATATTATTTCATCACATTATTTTGCGAAATAACCTGTTATTATTAGTTTATCGGTAGTTTACAGGGAACTAAATGTAGAGGTTCAGGAAGAAAACAAAGTGTACTCTACACACAGCGAGTAAATAGCAAACAATACTTTCTCAGTTGATTGAAACAATGTAGAAACATGTAACAATGAAAATAGTGATTAAGATTATTGCACTGAACAATATTTCAACCAATGAACAACATGCACAACTAGACGAATGTTATAGCATAAAGTATATATTTTGAAGTTTAACAGAAAGTATGACTACTGGAAATAAATTTATAATTGTTAAGTAATTAAGACAGAAAAAAAACACAATCAACCTGTGTTCATGTTTATGTGAAAATTGAATAGCAAAATCTATGAAATGAAACAGTAATTGTTGATTGAACCTACACATAATCCATCAGTAATTCCTTTGAATTTATTGTGTATATCTTCATTAACCAGATCTGATGATATTAAATTAATTTGTTCTGAAAGCACTTTCATCGTATTCTCATTTAAAACAAAGTGAGGTATACATTTTGTCAATTCAATCAGCTCTAATGATGTGATATTTATAAAGGCTAAATTGAAAGAAATGCACAATTGATCACAAATAGTAAAAGTTGAACTTTATTATTACTATTAATTTTATTAGTATCGATAATCTTCATTCATATGACAATAAGTCACCAAAAAAGCATTTACTCATATTTCGATTATTATTAGAAAAACATGGAACCTAGAACAGGTGTGAACCAGTTTCGATTGTTATGCTTCTCATTAGTACAATGGTGGAAAATTAACAACTATGAATTGTAGGAGAACCCGTAATAAAATCGATGTCAATGGATTAACGAGTATATGAAACAGCCAAAAACGAGTGAAGCAGATTGAACGAAAATAATTGATAAAGATGAAATTAGACAACAGCACCACTGCAATCCGTTTAGAATGAGATCACTTAATCTACAGGATAATTATTATGACAGCTATTAAACACGTTCACAAATCCACTGATTAATTTTCTATCTAAATTTCATACCTTGCAAGTAAACTTGTTCTAATTGCACGATTAAAACAAAAATAACTAGACCATAATATACATGCTACTATTTGCTTTATTTTATTTGGAATAATGATGATTAGGTAAAAAAAGGGCAATCTGAGATGATTCGATTTTAATTCAACTATTTCTTATTAACAGACAGTACAACATTAAATGATAAATAAGAAAAAAAATTAACGAAATGTTGAGAGACTGTATGAACAGAAAAATCGAATACATTTAAGTAGCTTCATCATTTTAAACTGTATTACGCAATTAAAACGATTACAAAATTACTTACCAGATAGTAAGTAGCTAATGAAAGTAAGAATGATGCTTTAATTACGAGAAACAGTTCGCTGCTGAAGTGTATAGCTGTTAGTCAGTAAATATTTTGGCCTCGATAAAGGTGTCAGCTTAAACAAATTAATACAGCATTACGTACGTCATATCAAAGACTCGAACTTCGTAGCGTCCGATTTGTAATGAAGGGAAGGGTAATTATCACTAGCTTTCAAATGAAGTGTACCTCGAAGCTGTGTAAATAAGCATGTATTTAGCAAATGCGTTGTATAAAAACAAATCGAAGTTTCCCCACCCACATATTATATACCTAACGAACATTAGACTAATTAAATGAGACAACTCTCCGTCATATCGTTGTTAAAACGAATTTCTATATAATTCATAGTGTGTAGACTATGGAAATGAAGTGAATGGGACATTTACAAAAATATTATGTTGAAATAAAAAAAATAAGTAAACTCATATATAAATATGTTTGGGAAATATGGAAATAATTTCTTTTAAATCTACGATTTACATAAAACCATTTACCTCCCAAAACAAGCGGAATTTGATTGGTTTGTATCAATCTACTGCGTAAATTAATAGAGAATTTTAATTGTGGTGTAGAATCACATGATGATGGAGTTGTAAACCAAATTTCCTGTTCAGTTTGTTTATTAAATCCATCTACCATACTGTCTGAACAAGAGAATGGAGATAATTCTGGCATACGACATGACAGATTGTTACAATTTGTATGATTATCATCAATATAAGTTAGGAACCAAGTATTACGCAATCGAATCCACCAGCTGGATTCATTAGAATCCGAATTTGTCACAGGTAGATCAGCATTTAAATGAGTTAGTAAAACAATTTGAGCTTGAATAAACTCAATGTCGAATGGATACTGACAGTCTGGGGACCAAGAGACAAACACACTCTGTAAAGAAATTACAAAATATAATAATGAAATCATTAAGATAAGTATACATAAAAGAAATAAAAATATTGACAGGCAAAGCTTTATAAGACCCTTCGTGAAATAATTTGAAAGTGAGTAAATTATAAATTGATTAACTGTTATTCACTAGGTAGAACGGTTAATATGTAATGTTGATGGTAGCGACTCTCATTAGCCTACTATTCTCAACTAGATTGAATTTGTAGTTCCGAAAAAACTTATCTCGATATTTGTTTGTGAGAAAAAACCTATTTTCAATTGAGATAAATCTTTACATTGAATACATTTTAGTTATGTGATTTGTGTAATTATTTGAGTTAATTAACTAGATAAGTATTCAGTGCAGAAAACTTTATTTTTTTCGTAGAAATCATCTATGAACAGCTTGTTCATTAGTAAATTTTCCAGAATTACATCAATATGAAACATAATCACCTCAATTTTATTAGCTCATTATGAACATTAAAAAACCACCAGAACTAATTGTAAGATTTGATTTGCCTACAGATAAATTTCTTGAATAAGTCTCTATACTGTCGCACAGAGTCTTAGCTTAGCAGGGGCTATGGTCAAAACAAGTATCTATGTATATAACCAACAATTATAATCTTTTTCTAGGATGTAAATTAAAACAACTAGTACAAAACCAGAAAATAGCAGTCAATCACAAAGCGAACAATAAACACATGTATAGACCCAATAGGAGTAGGGATAAAACAAAATGAATTGATAACGAAGGGTTAGTCATGATTATATAACTGATACAACTTAGTGATTGATAGTTAAATAGAAAAAGGTCAGAATAGCAACCAGTCTGAATGAATCTTATATGGTAGATATTTGACTCAAACATTATTGGTTGGTTCACTTATCGACTGAGATCAACATCGAGTGTGCTTAATGAAAAGTTCACGAAACGCTAAACTTGCTAAGTATAAATTTAATGATAATGATCACTTGTCCCACTTCAGTCAGTCAGATGAAACGTAGAACTTCGTATGTAAGTACATCAGTTCATGTCCCACTTGTTCAATAATGGATGAAGTACGAATCCTAACCTTGCAAAATTGTCAAAAATTACAATTCAGTCATCAATAACGTGCAGTTATGTAGTAAAACAGATAGTTAACAAATATAATTCAGATTATCAAGTTTTCATCAAAAACAATCAGTTTATCAACCGACTACAATCTTAAGTAAACAGTTTCTAGTTGAACATTAGGTATGAAATCTTATTGTACCAAATATTTATCTTAATTAAAGTAAAGTGGAATAGTACCAAAAACCAGTCTTCCTCTTGATGTTATGTGCGTATGCTATGAACGATTGAAGCTTTATTTTCAGGAACGTAGTTGCGAAATAGCAGGTCTGTTGATGTATAGCTCACATGCTAACTGAAAAATAATAACAATGAGCTCCTGAAATCACTCGTAAAATATACCTCCATAAAATAGATCTGTAAAGCCGATTTAGGAACGGACTAGGGTATTATCGAAGAATGTTTTAGGTGTCTGTTAAGGATTTCAAGAGAGCCGTTAAGATGATTTCGATATAACGGGAAACGTCTTAAAGAACGATAATACTTTCCGAAAATGTACTGTGTGTAGTTTTCTCAGAAATGAGGAAACCAAGTGGATCTCTATAATTTAGTCAAGACAGCTACTAAAACCGAAACATTACCACGCGGACTACAGATAAGCAGTAACTATATCAATGAGCGTAAAATGAATATGTGGTTGTTTTGCTTATTATGGAAGCACTGGAAGCTTGCCCAAATCAAAAATAAAGATAAGAATCGTGTAAAATTCTGAAATGTGTGACAAAAAATGCAAACAGTGATTCACTACAAGAAATACAGAACTAAATAAGTACTGACCTTTTTTTCTGTGATTGGAATAGCCTCAGTAACTGTACAACAATGATTTACATAACATGTAAATATCTCAGCCATAGCTTCTAATGCTTTGTATGCAGTTATGCGAAGTAAATTAGACGTATCATGACAATATAAAGCATTTCTATGTAGTAAACTAGATAAAGTTGTTGATCGCGTTAAGATAAACTGACTTAATGCAGTTACTAATGGTTGCCAAAGCTATGAAACCAAATAAAAGTAGATAGAAATAACAACAATAGAGATAGATTATACATGAAATATTAATTAAAACGAGAAAACATGAATCATACTTTTCACTCAAACATAAAGTATCTCATTGTAGTGAACCAACGGATTTTACTCTGATTGTTTTATTACACATAATTTGTAAATTAAGATCAGTTAGTTTTGAGGATTTGTGTTTTTACACATTTGAAACCATCAATCAATCATTGTTAGACCACCATTAGAAACCTGGAAGCACTGGACGGCCGTGTTTCGTCCTGGTATGGGACTCACCAGCATTGCGCATCCACGACTCCTGCACGTCGCAGGATTCGAACCCGGGACCTTCGGTATAGTGCGCGAACGCCTAGCCAACGGACCACTATCGATCAACAAAGTGAAAAGACTATATTTTTCGTAATTATAAAGTAACAGATATAAAGATGTTATCACATCCTAATTCATTGACTGAGGTGCAAATCAAAGCACAAAAAATTCTTCAAGTGAAGTTGCATCAGCACAGTTGATGATAGTAGAGTGATTAGAACAATAAAAAACAGAGCTTTTTACAGTATGAATATAAATAGTTCCACTGTCATTTTACAGAAACACTTAATTCATTATATACAAACATAGTTCTAATAGCCAATAACAGTTAGTAACTGTGATAGACTATTATTTGCAATACTTGTCATTATGAAATTGTATAAAACTTAAAAAAAAAAACATTTGGTTGATGGGATTCAAACATTAATTTCTTCAGACTTCCTACATTTTCAAATACCTGAAACAGCAAACAGAAATTGACGTCGTTTGATGAGAGACTCAGACTATATACAACCTTTTTTAACTAGGTGGTAGTCGGGGAGCTTTGTTAGGATTTTCTATATTAATTTTGTCAAAAGAAAGTAGTAAAGAATAGTGAGTTCTGATCTTTCGGACAAATGTTTTTCTTAATCATTGGGAAGGTTTTGTATATTTTATACCTGAGGGAAACAATTTGCTGAAGTTAAATTCTTATCTAACTAACAGTAACACGTTATTCTATAACACTAAATACAACCTAAATTATTTACCATAGACAATAGATGCCTTTTTTCCTATCGAACAATCTAATGCGAAGAAAGAAAATTACAAATCAAGAGATAAAACTAGCATACCCAAACTGGTTTACCGCAGAAAAACATATGTGAACTTTAAATATAGAGAGGGGCTACTAGATAAATATGTATCAACCAACACAATTGATGACAAAGATAAATAACTATAAATCAAAAGGCGAGTATACTGCACAACAGTTCATTGTAAATGTAATAAAAATGGCACATGCATTTACTATTTATTATCTACGTCCTGAAAATCTTTTCGGGTCATTTTACTTTCTTGATCGATATTTATATTTCTTCTTCATCGAATATTTTCTTGCTTTTGCAGTGTTTCTCAGTTGTGAAGTTTGGCGATTTGGACGAATATAATTTTCCGCGAAGTTCAGCGTTGAAAGCATGCTAAAAAATATCTGAGTAATATGCTAAAGACTTCTTACAAATCCTAAAATGGTATGATCCAGGCATTGATCAATGACTCATCTAGGTACCGCTATCTCTAATATCAACTTAGTTAATGAAATGAGAAAACCCATACATAAAAAAACTAGAATTTCGGGGATTATCAATCCTTGCGATACAAAATTTAACTTACTGTAAAGTCCGGTGAATAAATTAATTGTTTTAAAAATAATAAATAAGCAGTCAAAATATCCAGATCATTTTCCACTTGAAATGATGTCAACAATGGTCCAGTCAGTTGATGGTTTAATTCTTTCAATGTAAGTGTATTCGATGAAAAAGATTTATCATTTGTGTTTAAAACAGGTAGTTGATTCAAGTATTTGAGAATGTATAGCCATCTACAGGCGGTATCGGTGAGCTGCTCACCTGTCGAAACATCTGTAGTCTCAGGCACAAGTGAGAGAATGCACTAGGGGAAAAATTAAAAACTTGTTTTCAACACTACAGGTTCGATTGTGACATATATATACTCAAAATGATATCAATCAATCAACAGCGTATATATATAGTTACAAAATAAACAAAAAAGGGTGATAGCTGCTGTTATCAATCAGGGATTATTTTAATGGAATTTGATAGAAACACTGATAGGTAGAAAAAATTATCTATGAGTTAGTACGCATATAGCATTGTAATCAAGTTCTATCAGATGTTTTTGATATAGTAAGCCCATTATCAAGTGAGACCGTTTGATGACCATTAATATGTACTAAAGCACGAATGAATGTTATTTGTCAAGAAGATGGTTCATTTTCTATATATATATATATATATATATATATATATATATATATATATATATATACGATACACAAGATTCTGTAGCCAAATAGACCTTCACTTCACAACCATCCACCTGAACTACAAATTTTCTCGACCATCTCAAGATCTCAAGACTTCTTCTCGCTAAAATAGCCAGTTTAGGTTAGTACATTTCGTGATCAGATCTCGGGATCTGCACATTATAAAAGTTTTCACTAACAATTCTACAACCGTAGGTACTTATCATATTAGTATAGATAAAATCACTTTACCCATTTTAAAATAGTCAATTTCTTCGAATTAGACTGCTTAATTTGAAAACACAAACGAAATGTATCGTTATTAGCATGAATTATAAGTATCAATTATTACAAAACAAAGAGAATATAATACGATTTAAAAAAATTCAATAGTTGCTACATACTTGACGAGCAGCCTGTCTTACAACGCGCCGCGAATCACTTAGTCTACTGAAAAATGAATGAGTGAATGCATCAGCAACTGAAATATCAAACGAATCCAATGTCAAGGATTCCTGTAATTTAATTACCACATGAGATATAAGTTTACATTTACGATTCAAATTTAATCTTTCTAAAATAGAAAAAAGGGAAAGGAATAAATAAATGAGAAAAGCATTTTCAATTTCGATAAATTTTTTACCGACATGACCATCATTAGCATGCAATTGTAAAAACGGTGACAAATCAATCCATTTCTAACCAGCTGTAAAAGGATTGGAATATTTATTTTTGTATTCGAAAAATGAAGTGCTGATGAGTTATGTAGGGATATTTTTTGTTACGGAAAATACCAACAAGGTGAATTTACTCCGTATATAAAAAGAAAGCTTACTTTTGCTCTCTAACACATCGATATCCCTGATAGTTGAGGTTTTAGTCTAAAATACGTATCAATATTTGTAAGATTAGTTTCACATTTTAACTCCAGAGATCCATTTTCTTCTTGATAAATGATTAGTCGATCTGGGGTATGTATATAACATAGTTCTGGTTGATAAAGACCCTAATATAATACGGTACGTTCAAGAGACAAGGAGTGAAAATGTAAATGATATGTGTTTAATCCGTGCTAAAATCAAAAAGTCACCGCTCTAATAGCCTACATCGACCCCAAAACTGACGACGTGGTATTGAAAACTCGGCTGACGTACATTTCTGCTAAGTTCTACGCTGAATCTGACTTCGATTGCAGGCGGCTTAGTGCCTCAATGTGAAGTGCTAACGAATCAAGCTAGATCGATAATCAAATGTTGATAGTTAAACATTAAGGCTCTGAAAATACCACAAAACCGCCTCGATACTTTTTTTCAAAAGTCAGAGAGTCAAGAAACATACATATACCTGGTTTAATAGAACGCAAATTTTCGAACAAATCAATATTCGACGATTCTCGAATGGTTGTTGAAATATGTGACCAATCAGTTTCAATGGCACGTGAGTGTGTTATAGCATCACACAGTAGATATTCACATAAACATTGAACAGGAAGAACATCTAAATCATCCCCAGTGGATTCAACTAGGCGCATCAGCCATGGTTGTGGAACAACATTATTAGCTTGTAAAAATGGATTTCGAAAAGAGAAAAGAACGAAGGTATATGAAAATCTAATTATTCATTGATAAATCTAAACGAAACTGGTTCAACAAAACTTATCAATATTAAGTTTACAAGTTAAAATGACGATAATAAATAGTACGTGATAAAACTGAGACTGTAAAGCGTAAAACTTTGTAAAATTACTGTGAATTAAATTACTGTAGGATCAGAATTACGAGCTAAGTTAAAAATTCATTCAGATAATGGCTAAAATTAAGTTCTTCAACCAAAATATATTTCAACAGAATGCATAATTCCAAGACACTTTATCATTTGTAATGTCATTACAAAGTACAATCAAGAAACAGTAGGCTTTTCATGCGTTACAAAACCTTTTAGTTGAATGTGATGTGATCAAAGGGTTAAAAGATCCTATTTTCGCTTAATCGAAATAAAAGTCGCAAAACAAATAGATACATGTTTCATGTAAAGATAAAACAGTATTAGTACAATTGATTAGACAAAGGCCAAAATACAAATATCGTTGTGCAAATATTGGTAATACATCAGTAATCACACTAAAACCGAGGTTCATGTACGAAAACGAATATATCTTTAGTTTAATAGCACAATACTGGTGTTCAACAATTGAAAAACTAAATTTCTCTCATTCATTTAACGATCCAAACTCATCAGTTTAATTTATTCGAATGATCAGTTATTATTAATATCCCTGAAACCTAATAAAATTTAAATGCTGAACAGAAAGTCTCAAGCTTCAGACACATTTTACATGTTTTCCTTTAAACACCTTGGTGATATGACTAAACCTTATATTATTCAGTTTAGTATACTTTGTGCTTAATGTATCATAGAGGATGTAAAAATGACTGATCATTAGATGTTACGATGTGTATGAAGGTCTAATAAAAAGATTATTGAAGTTCAAAAAATTGTATAAACAATATAGTTTAGAACTTAGTAATACATTACATATGATAGCTTCAATCTACTTAAATTAAAGATATTTAGATCAAATTTTTTAAAGGGAGATTATTGCATTAAAACAAAAACGATACAAATCGAAGGTCTGTCAATTTGATCTTGTAATGAAATGTTAATTGATTACTTAAAAATTTTTCGCTATTTAAAACAGTAAATTGTCAACAGAAATATTATTAAAGCATGAATAGAAAAGAATAATACCTTGACTGTGTAATAGATCAAGAAGGAAGTCTGGATTTCTCGTACTCCATAGACGACGTTCAAGATGGAGACGTTGACAAAGGAAACGAAGGTAACAAAGTTGTTCTCCAGGTAAACGGCGACATGGTCCACGAGGATTATTTCGAACTAGTTTATTAATGAGTTGAGATGATTCAGGAGTAACCACAACAACAGAATCAGATGTGAATGGATGATTTTCTTCAGTATTTGAGGTTGTCGACGTGTTCTTATTTACATTTGAAAGTAAAAATGATTCTAGACGAAGAATTAATTGAACTTCTATCTCTGAGTTCTAAAGTGAAAAAAATATTACAAATTACAAATGTATTCAACAATCACTGAAGTAAAGTGCTAATTGTGTTACTGATAAAGTTTGACATGAAAGTATTTCTAATTCGTTGAAGCTGAAGAAGTGAATATAAGACTAAGCTTACATAACCTAATATAAATGACTGATGTGAAAGAATACAGTCATCTGATGAAAATACTTTTATATGTACTAATACAACTTAAAATTCAACAGTAAAAATGAATGCTTAAATACTGAAGTAAATCCGATTCATGAAATAAATACGTAGCTGTACTGATCATCACTAACTAAGAAACTGATATTTAGAACCATATTTTGCCATAGTAAAGAGAAATGATTTTACTTAAATATTTCAGGTAAACAGTCTCATAATACAGATATACTTTACCACATAAAAGCGTGTTCAATATTGCAGTTCTTATAAAGCTGGGACAAATAACACCTATTTTAACTAAACAATATATTGGATAAAACTCAGTCTCACAGAATGTACACACAATGATTACAGAAATAATGATAATAATAATAATATTATTAATAATCATAATAATTATGTTAAAGTTAAAATCAAAAACAAGTGAACCACCAGGTTGAATTAAATAATAATAATAATAATAGTAATAATAATAATAACTAAAATTACCATTTTCTCCGTTACTTCAACATTATGATTATGACTAGTTGATTCTTTAGTTGAAGCACCGATAAAGTCACTAAAAATTTAATTAAACAACATAATAAGCTCATGATCAACAAGTTGGAAGTGCAAACCAACATAGAGAAGAAAAATGGATTCAATTAGAAACATAATAAGTTTTTTCATACAAAGTTATGTAGTTGAACTCAGAACACGATATTGAGAAAATTATGATAAATATATCAACTTTTGGGACAACAGAATAAAATAGTGTTAATATTAAAATCAAGGAAATGGAAAGTTTAAGAAAGTTTTAGTTTAAAACATAAATTCTCTAAGTAAATTCATATCCCGTGAACAATCAGATAGTGTTCATTTGTAAAATGAACAAAAGAAATCAACATTTATTTTTAGTGCTAATAAATAACGTTCGAAGATGCAACTATTCACAAACAGAGGAATGAGATCAAAAAAAGGTAGAGTAATATATAAAGTAGAGTATTCTGTGTAAGTACAAACTGATAATTCGCAATAGTATTAGTTGGCTATGTGCTTTCATCAAAGACAAAATGTGTTATATATTATATATAATGTTAAAACTATGTTCCTCTGTATTTAGTTTTGATTAAACAAACAATTGAAGGTAAGAGAATTAATTGTTTATATCCTTATAAACAGAAGTATAAATCAAAATCATGATTGATTATCTACTGTGATCAACTTAATTTGAAGTAAAACATTTGACAATGATTAAACCAATGAATTAGTGAAAATTTAACAATATTCTGTAATTTGTGATAAAATAATAATTGATACATGATTTCAGTAGTAAACAACAATCTCTATAACTCTATAGTGAAAAATTGATAAATAGTTTAATAAAAACTGAGTGACAAAAATTATACAACATTCTAGTTCAGTAAGTTTAACATAATAAAATAGTGAACATTCCAATTACTGAACATTTTGTCGTTACGTAACAAATGTCGAGCAACAATTAGGAAACATAAAAATCAATTACTGGGAATAAATTCTTTTCGCCAAATACAGTTTGAAAGAGCACTTTTCTTATTTAAATGACAGATTACCAATTAGCACATGATAGGTTATTGACCTACTACTATATTATTATCCTACATTTCAAGTGTATTTAAATGAGTAATTTTATTGGAATAAAATAACAGTTAAGTTGCTGACTGTATTTAATTACCCACTATCTTTAGCTAAATTGTTACTGCAGCTAGTATGCATCAAACAGCAAATGTCAATAGCGCATAACTTAATGAGTTGAATTTAAGAAGTGAAAGTGACCAAAAGAAAATGTACGTGTGTATTACAGGAAAATCATATAAAGAAAGCATGTATAAACATGTTAGATATAATTCTGAATATAGGTTACATAAAACATTACCATAAAGCACGATTTAATTGAAAATATCTTTCAATATTATCAATATAATAATTTTTAAGATACATTAATACATCATACCTGCTTATCACAATTTCCATTAAACGTCTAACAGTAGGAAAGTTAGACCAAAGATATGAACCTAGGAAGTAAAAAAAAAAGTAACAAACGATATTGACCTACAATACAATGATCAATTGAATAGTTTTTCTTGTGTTTACATAATGAATAAGACAAATAACAGAATAATTTCTAATTACTAAATAAAGCAATCAGGCAAACTGATGTTATACTGAGGATTAGGATTTTCAAGTTTCATTAGGTAACTATGTAGGAAAAATTTACAATGAATTGTCATTATTGGTTCAATAGAATAAAAACGTGATAGTACCTGAAATAGACAAAATTTCACTATCTTATATAGTTCTAGAAACATTTAGTAAGTTATAAATGGTAGATATGATTCAGAGTAAATAGAATAAATCAAGTACACTATAAACTCTGAAAATAGAATTAGATACTAGATTTTGATGCAAAATAAATCAATGTTGTCTCTAGCTTAGCGGCAGTTGTATTGATCGATTCAACCTTTGTATGCTAATTGGTTGCTTTCTTCATATTCAATACAAAATATGTGATTAGTAAAAGTAGAGAAAATAACCATGAAGTTAAGATCATGGAGTCAATTTTCATGAGAACATGTCTTTTGACATGATGATCCAGTCGATTAATGCTGTTTCCCAAAAATGTAACACTATCAATCAAATAGAATGTAATTAGCTATAATCTCATAGTTTATTGTACATACTGATTACTAGAAAAAGCATTTCAATTGAATCGATCGAAATTATTTAGTTTGAAATTTGAAATTACACAAATTGTTTTTATCATGTTAATGAGCAACTAAACAGTTGTATTTTTCTCCCATCTATTTAACAAGACCTTTCACTCATGACAATATATGATTATTTATTTATACAAAGAAAAACGGTATGACTATGGTTTATATGGCAAGAAAGTTATGGAATCTTTAGAAAAAAATCACTCAGTTTTGTTAGTGTGACTTACCACAAGTACGTGGACAATAAGCAGCTAATATAATACAAGTTAATGTAGTTTTCCAATAAAGTTGAGCATAAGCCAATTCACTCATTTCACTGTGGAAAAAAATTGAAAGAGTATGAAATATAAAACATGACTTATAACAAAAATGAACAATATAAAAAAATATGTAGATAAATATTGTTATAAAACATTGTCAGACCAATTGTCCAACTCATAATCGTCGAATATTAAAGGTTCAGATGAATCGACCATCGATTAAAAGATGGAGAATAAATGTACTGAATTTCCTTTTAAATTTATGTATGCATGAGAAATAGGTGGTTTTTTCTGATTGATTGAAAATATAATAGTTAACAGAATATAAAATATAAATACCACCATATTTTACTATTTTGGTGTGACAGCTTAGAGAAATCAATCAACACTAATCTAAACCAGTATGAGAGTAATAAATACATTGATGTCAAAATCTTTGAAAAAGATAGTTAATTTTTCCTGTGTATTAATTGGTTAGATGACATTCCAGTTGAACAGAAAATTTTCAGCATAAACTAATACCAACAGTCTATTACTTTCATCCGTAACTTATATTATAAGAAAAAGAAATTTATTGCATCATTTGCAACGAATACACGTATAATTAATCATAAAATCAATTTAATGTATTGTATCAATGAGACATTCATTAATAGTTTAGCTGTATAATAGATGCATGATCATATGATATAAGTATTTTTAACTTTTGTTTAATTTGAAACAATTTCTTCCTTGATGAGTTGTCTTTTTTTATGTTTAAACGAATTTATATTCGTTTATAAATGTTGCTTTATTTATTTAAATACACAAAAATTACATTTTAATTGAAAAGATAAAAGATAATTTATCTTACGCTGGAATTTGTTGATCGGATAGATAAGTACAACTGGCAAAAAGAAGATCAATCAATTGTTCAGGTTTAGTTATAGTTAAACCTTCTAAACCTGGAATATAAAAAACATGATTAAAAGAAATTAAATAAGGTAGTAGTATCATCACATACATATTAAATATTAGGAAAACAATTAAAATTAAGCATATTATTATTATTATTATTATTAAATAATAAATAATAATTTACACAAAATAAGACAAAGATTATACTGATTCAATGACTGACTTTTATTGCAAATCATTTGCCAGTCGTTTAGTAGAACATACTTAGCAGAAGCTTTGTAATCATTATAATATAAATTATTCAGACAAGGTAGGAAGATTAAATTTTACTGTACAACTGACAACATATCATTATATTTATTCACAAAGATCTCTCATTAATCTTTAGTGAGCTTTTGTGATTACTTCAAAAACTACCGTTAAGAATTACACAAGTGATTTGATTTTACAACATAAGTATAAGTAAGTACGATTAATTTTGATATGAAGCCTGAAAAACGCTAGAAAATGAAACATCAGCACTAGCTTTGTTAAATTACTTGCCTATTACACAGAAACAACTTTTCAGCATAAACATAAAGCAAAGTTAGATCGTTTGAAAAATGTGGATAAGTTGTGTATGGGGTAAGATTGATAAACTGCCAAGTAACTTCAAATGGTGAGAATTTGTTTACTAGCCATGAAAACTATTGAAATGTCATGACTAGGAAACACTTATCAAAAATATAAACATCTGAGAAAAATCAACATAAAAAGGTTTTAATTAGAATAATATACAAAAAAAATGAGTAACTGTAGAAAATAATTGACTAAGATTTTCTTCAGATTACCTGAGTCACGAGATAGCATAGCACCACGCCATATAAGATTACATACTATTTCTCCAGCTTCTACAGCAGTAAGAAACTGCCATGATGTGTCTAGACCCAAGATTAGCAGCTGATTAAGCAGCTTTTCGGATACACCAGTATCACATATTAGGCGGGTTAGAAAACTGAAAAGAAATAAGGACATAACAAGTTTAAGTAAATCTAATTTTTAACTGTCTAAGAAATCCTATCAAATTAAAGCATGAATAAACGCAAGAATAATATTCTTTTCAATAGATTTTCATATTTAGATTCTGCAGTCATAAACTCAGACAAATGTTTTAAGAGAATCGAATAGTTTACAGCAAGTATATTGTTTATGATTATAACGTATGAATTCACGATTGTTTGCACAATACAATAAAATTGTTAATGTTGAAATAACAAGCAAACAATGTTAACTTGAAGAAATTTATACGTTAAAAGAATTGTGAGATTAACATGAGGATGAAAATATTTCAACATAAAAAATCATGTCGAATACAGCAGTTCCAAAAATTGTTAGTAATTATCAGATAAACAATTTGCTATCTCATGGTTTGATGCCTTTTTATGGTTATATTGAATCTTGGTGCATGTTTGTTCGAAGAGCGCTGTTGTTGCTGGGTATATTATTTTGAATGAAAACTTTTTTACGCTATGTTAGTGATTACGTATTGTAAAGCCATTCGTTATTGACATATTTTCATATGTAAACATTTGAATACGACAAAACAGTCCTTTTAACCTTCGCCAGTAAAGATTGCGTCATCCTGGTGAATCTGAACAGATTTAACAGTTGCAATACGAAATATCTGATTACTACTACTACCTCTAAACAAGTTAACAAGCTAATACTGATGAACTACATGATTATTCATTTTGACTTTTAGGATCATGAGGCTTAGTTCGATGCTATTAAAATTAAAACCTTGTATGATATTAAAATTTCAAAGTGATGATTATAGCACTTTTAGGTCAAACTAAATGTAAACCGTTATTCAAACAGTACTCTATAAGCCTAATTAATTCTAAAACAATCATGAGTAAAACAATCAAAAATAAATAAAAAGCAAATTACTTAGTGTCTTGATCCGGCCATATATCTTGTGTAGGATATATTCCGGAAGTGAGTTGATAGTAGGTTTCTGATTGTGATTCATTTAGTGGAGTTATAGAATCTAAAAAAAATGCTTGACGAATGAGATTGACTGGTTTGATTATCTCTATACACTTCATCAAAGGAATTGAACAATTTTGGCTAGCCGAATTGATAAATATAGGTAGTAAGGATTTCGTCCATCGTACAAATGCTAAACGAATCTGACGTAAAGTCAAATGATGGACTTTGACAGCTTCAGTAAAAGAACCTAAATGAGAAAGTGCTGAATTAGTATATTGTTTAAGAACTGAAAATGTAACAGGCAAAAATGACAAAAAAATTAAGTTTACAAATAACTAGGTTTCACAGAGTATTCACGCAACAAACTGGGTAGATTATTTTGTTAAGATTACAAACAAACCATTGAAGAATAACAAAAAATTAGGAAAACTGATAGAAATAAAAAAGATAAGAAAACAGTCAACATTTCGAAAAAATAAATATTCAGTTCAAATGACCTATGAACATATATTTAAAATAATTTTATTTAGCCAGACAAATTACTTAGTTTTCCTAACCGATTATCATAAATCAATCCATAAAGCATAATCTTTTACTTCAAAGAAGAGTTATTTGCACTGATTAAATTAAAATTGGCATAGGAAACAGGAACGGTATAGAATATTTTGTAAATTAAAACGAATAATATGCAATGTCAGGAATTTAATTAATTCAATAACTGCTCCCTAAAATTAGTATATTTATTGTAATAAAAAAAACTGAATAGAAAAAGAGAGAGATACTAGATATTATTACCCAGATTACTACATACATTCCAATTTGAGTCAAATAAAAAGCCAACACACGAAAATTTTAAAACTGAACAGTTGTGTTACGTATGTTTACTACAGAATAACAATAACAACGCAATAAATTTTCCCCAACTTACTTGTTCGTCTACCACTTGTTGTTGTTGATGAAGATGAATTACTGAGAAATGGTCTGTTAGCAGATAACATTTGTAGAACACATATTAAACTTACTAAACCACGTAAGTAGCATTGAAAAACAGAGATATCAGTTTTCAATAACTCAACGGCGGATTTCCCTTGTAATTGATTTCTTTGTTGAGTAAGTGATACGACTACTGCATTCACTGCTGTAGAAGCATTGACTGGACCACGGAATGAACGATCTTGTAATAATGCAAAAGCAAGCTCTGAGCATGGTAGATAATTCTGTTGGGATTGAAATACAGAACTTTGAGCTGTAAGAGCTGAACCACCAGTAAGCCTATCATTATCACTGCGCGTAAAACGTGCTAGTTCGCGTAAAAATTGATAGATTGGAGACAGACGACAGCTTAACTCGTTATATAACTGTGATTCAGTCAATGAGCTCTGAGAAGCTTGGTTAGCAGTGGCCAATGAAGACAATATTAGTCGTTCACTTAGTAAATCTCCAATGATCTAAAAATAAAATCAGTGATCAAACCACATTATTGAATAAACAGAGGTTTAGAAAGTGTTATGCTTTACCTAAAGTAACATCAATCAACTTCTAATATGTTTCAGCCGATAGGGAGATGAAAACAAAATGGTGGAATATCATATGTAAGCAGTTAAAAACTAGTAGTCGATGACATAAACAGCAGTGGTGATGTTTAACACTAGATGAATAAAAAAAGGATGGAGAGTTAAAGAATATACTATTTGCTTTCACAATAAAGGCCTTCCAAATTAAATAGGTTTGGTATAAAAAGTGCAGATGTACCGGTTAATGTGAATTGGAGTCATTTTTTCAAGAACAGTATCATTTAGTCCAAACTACTAGAATATGTTCTTGGATAGTTGAAGGCAGATGGTAGAAAGTCCAAAACCAATATATCATGCTGGCTCTCAAACACTAAACACTCATACTTAGAATAAAACGCACAAACAAGTCCTCATTACTTGTTTAAAACTTGTCAGACTTAAGCTTAAGTATGGTCTATTCACAATGAAATCGTTACAGAAAATTAACCAAAACTGAGCGATACATCCAGTTTTAGATTTGGTTAACTCGAGACTTGTAAGGTAAAGATGCAAATTGAGGACAGGTGATAGGGTGGATAAGTTAATGTCAATAAATTAAAATATGATTTGATACTTTACGTAGTCATTTTCAATTACTTGAGAATCAGTAAAGAATCTGTCCACTACTTCTGATGACTATAATCGATGACTCTTAAACACTAAAAAAATTTACTGCACCTTACACCTGAATTCAGAACTCCAGTAGTTTTTCGCGTAAACGACTGAAAATTGAGGAAAAGGTATAGATTTTTAACAGTTAATGATAGTCTGTGATGGGAACTAGTTTTATTCTGAGTACACCAACCAGTTTAAGTCACAATTAAACATGAAATAAATTTTGCGGAATCGACGGCAAGGGATTAAAGGAATGACAGAAACTATTATACAGAATGATTAACAATTATCCACAGATAATTTTACTTACACGTATCCACTGTGATCCAAAGCGTTGGTAAAGAAAAGGTAACAAAACACCCGCTGAACTGGAACCTCTACTTGACGCACTAGATGCATTAGCAGCTACTGCTGCGATTGCTGCAGAATTCATACTGTTATGTTGTGAAGTTTGACTAATACTTTCCGAGGATAGAGCTTGAATAGTTTCAGATATTTTCATAACAACAGAACTTAAGTTTTGGTTTGAATGACCAGATTCATTAGTACTCGGTGCAAAGCGTAACTCTGGAGCTGCTGAGCCTAAATTCACTATACAATACAAGTTCATAGGAGCTGCTTTGACCAAATGACTAACGCATTCAAGAAAAGCCGTCTATAAGAATTTAAATATAAAGAGTATAAAGGCACAACTAGTTATCAGCAGTTATAATAGTATTGTGTAAAGACTCAAACGGAATAGGGGGTTTATTGTTTAGCTGAAAGTTAAAGCTTTTTGACTAGAATTGACAGATATTTTCATAGGAGGCATTGATAAATCAGACATTAAGAAACAAATATGGTTTTGATAAATGTTATTAATTTCCATCAGCACTTACTAGCAAGGTATGATGGACAAACGAAAAAACACTTCGTTACAATACTTAAAGTGGCATCTTTTCTGTCTTAGTAACCAACAAAACCAACTGTGCTGTCAACTAGAAAATCTGTGAAGTTAATGAGACGGATATAAGAATGCTTCAAGATTACTGACGGATCGCTCTAAAAAAGCTTTCCCATTGCTTCAGTACAGTCAACTAAACTGTGACTTATGATATAGCTAAGGAGCAATTACCAAAATAAAGTGAAAAGTCACAACGTGCTTCATATTTCAAAAGGCTATAGGAAACAACCAGCAAAATACCTTCCAAAATAAGAGTGATATTCTGGTCAATGAACTATTGATTTATTCAAGGTGTGACTAAGTTACTTTACTCTGGAATGAAATGTTTGATACATCCATATTAAAACAGATCCCATATAATATGTGATTATCAGAGCACAAACCCGTTAAATATCGGGTCTAGAATACTGGGTTTCGCCATACTGTGGAGATTATAAAAGACTTGTGAAAAACTGACTTGGAAAGACTATGTTGCATTTGTTTAGACTATAGGTTTACTGATTATGTTCCAACTTTTCGCTAGTCTTCAAAACCGCTGAACGTAGTTCAGACCGAAAACCAGTAGTAATTATCAACCTTAGGGCAACCTTCAACTCGGTAAGTAGGAGTGAACAACAATATATATAATCTGGTAAAGTGTGACGTATCTCAGAGCCTTTTTATTATCTTATAACGTTTTTAGAAAATATACCTCACGCACAATGAGGGGATACAGCTGCACCTGTCCTAAACCAACAGTGACCTTAGGAAAAGTAATTCAATCTTGTCACCTCCCCATCATATTTATCTTCAATAGCATTTTGAAAGAGGCTCATAAGGAAATACTTAAAAAAAGACTGACTTTTAGATCTTAAGGTTAGAAATGATACTGTTCTGTTATGTGATGAATTAAATATTAACCAAGATGCAAATCAATAGTTGACAGCCAGTGCCCTTAAATATATGTGCCTCGTACTATTGAAATGTGGATTACTTTCCTAAGACAGATGTGAGGATTTCATTTGACGTAACTTTGGTGATGGGCTTGTGAGGATATTTGAGAAATCTGTGTATGTGGATAGCTGCATTACTAGCATGCTACACGACGTAATACATCCCCGAACAATCGACATCAATATTTATGCAAAGGATAGTCAGTCAGTTATAACGTACGTAAGTACATCAGTTCAGGTTGCCATACCGCATTAGTACGGAGATGCAACTGTCAGTTCAAATCCCATAGTGGTAGAGATAGTAGAAGTATTAACAGTAATTGAGCGGATTAGGGTTCGAGGATATTATTAAGTATAATTCAGTGAGATAAATTTAGACAGAAAAAGATATAGGAGATGAGGAATTCCGAAAATTAAAATTTCAGACAATACAAAAACAGGATGCACCTGCGCCATTGCAAACAATTTTAGCCATCTCATTCAAGGTCTCTCACCAACAGGTATTATCGTCTCGCGGAACCAAACCAGGTGGTCGACACCTACCGACATGACTCAGACCACCTGTCAGTGATTTCATGGATTTCTGCTATGTATTGGTTTCGCCACTCCTAGCTTTCTTCCAACCTACTCCTACACCACAAAACATCGCTCATCGAAGCAGTCGGTGGTTGGGCATTCGTAAAACACGTCTCAAACACCTCAACCGATGAAGTTTCACTACTTCATTAATTGATCTGCCATCCTTACCTAGTACTCGTTTCCTACGACAGCATTGCTTACTCGGTGGTTCTAGGATATATGCGCGACGCTCCGAAGACAAGCAATCTACGAATGTCCTCTACTCTCGCCCGCCACGTTTCGCATCCATATAGTAGGATGGAGGAGAATGCTGCGTAGTACACTCGTCCTTTAGTTAGCAGACGGATATTGCGCCTACACCAAAAGTGATGCAAGTTAGCAAAAGCCAATCGAGCCTTCTTTATCCGTACTGAGATTTCGTCAGTCACCACACCATCAGCACTGATGAGACTCCCAAGATAAGTGAAGAGGTCAACACACTCAACTACTTCATTCCCCATCGCTAGTTCAAGTGCCGATGCAAGCCAATCTTTAAGCAACATTTTGCATTTCGAGAGATAACAAGCTTGAATTGTTGCTCTGCATTTTGTCAGCGTTTTCACCAAGTAAAACTATGTTATCAGTATATTATAAGTCAACCAATGAATCTCCTGGCAGATTTACTCCTGAAGAGTCAGATGCAGATAATGTTAGTTCCAAAAGCATGTCTGTGACAAAGTTAAACAAGAATGGAGAAAGTGAACAGTGCTGAAGTACACCATACGAGATAATCGATTTCGATCACAATTCGCCATAAGCTCTCACTCGACCACTAGTGTTCCAGTAGAGTTTGTGTAAGGTTACTGTACTTCTTTGATACACCTATTAATGACAGACACTGCCACAGAACCTCAGGATTGACAGAGTCGAATGCCGAATACAGAGAATCGGAAACATTACATTAGATTTCCGAAAGAAAAGTCGTGAAACGGCATGAAACAACATTTAGATAATAATTACCAGTCATAAAATTTACTCAAGGGGCTGTCTTATGCAGCTTTTCAACCCAACTTATACAACATACATAATACTGATTTCACTAACTTACAGACACAGTAGGTCATACGTAACCAGAGTGATTTTGATGTATATTAGTTTACCTACACGCTGAGAGGTTAATAAGACGTAACAAGTTTTAAAATCTGTCTAATACTATAGCGTTCTAGTTATGAAAACGAACATTTGCCTAAAAAATCATCAGTGCGATAATTTTATTTTTACGAATAAAGGACTGAACTTACTTGGATATTTGGCTTTAATAGTTTGTAACGAATACGATAAACACTTGAAATCATGAAATCCAAATCATGTGGTGACAAACCACCTAAACGGCAGTTTGTAGCGATTAATGCAAATAAACCAAGGCCGTAGAGTTGTAGTTTAGGATTCTAATGTACAAACAGAAGCAAAAACAGATTTCGCTGGAAATAATAATAATTACATCTATGAAGATAAAAGTTAGGGATTTTATATTTAGAATTTTGTTATTAAGGTGATGTTAAGTAAAATTTTGCTAAAATGAGAAGGGAAATATATTGCTGTTTTTCCGAACCTTTAGAAGAAGAAATTATACAAAGCTTGCAGTTTTTTTCTGAGGCTGCTCAGTGAAGCATATATTTTAATACTAACATAAGGATATATGCTAGGTGATGGAGACACACTTCGTGAATTTAGGGTAATCAATTGTCACTCAATAACTGACATTTCTCGCATCATGAAAACTGGATGTACACACTGAAGCAAGTCCAATTTACACAATACGTTTCCGTATAAAATGTTAAATAATTACAAGTGTTTGTAGTTTAATGAGCAAGTTTTTGAAAAACGTCCTACCCCATTTCAGAATACATATTACATAGAGAAAGTACAGGAGCTACAAAACTATCATTATTGTTATTATTAAAACTCACACCGAATTAAATTTATCAAACTCCAATGGTAATTATCACACAAAAAGACTGTTACAGTGAATGCTTTAGACGAAATTCGGATATAATGACTTCCTAGTCTATAGAAGGACGTCTACATTTGGTTTTAGATCATTTCTGATCTTAGTTCTGTTCCAAGAAGTGTAACAAAAAAGAAGAGGTTGGACAATTTCCTGCATAATAGATTTCCGTATAGTGATAAACTGTAATGAAATAACCTCTAATCCAACAAATAGATTAACACCATAGTTGGGCGATTCGCTGAGCTCGTAACACGACAATAAATCCCATAGTATAGGCAATTTTACTGACTTCCTACATCAATAGAGAAAAAATATCATAAAGTGGATTCGGCGTGTGCACATACGTGATCACTACCACCATCATGATCAATAAATATACAACCATGCACAAATGCGCATCAGTTCAATTTGTCAAATTACACAAATATTCACAATGGAACATATTGTTAGATTATTATATGTTTAAAATCTGCCATTTAAAATGGTAAATAAAGAATAATATGAATTACAATGATTGATACAAATAATGAAGATATTCTTCTGCCAGTTAAGTACAACAAACATTTTTCGTAGTTTTATTGTGCGAAACAATCTACTTATTGGTTTTCAATTAGTGCTCAGTTTTGATGATGGAATAACACTAAAAATTTTAAATATTCAACCGAATAACATTTATGAAGCTACAAAAAATTTAACAATGACTCCGACATATTCATTTCACTACGATATTACTCATTAGTTAAATTGATTCATAGTTTTAACAAGCTTATTGTCAGGAACAAAATTTCAATTTGTATTTATAAACGGAAATCTAAGATTCATAAATCAGTAAACACACTCGAAGGAAATGTGTGTCACTTGAATAAGAATGATTATTTTTGAAAGGATTAGTGGTTGAAGCACTAAACTTACAATCATTAAATAGCAATGTTGAAACCCTTCTCACCTACTTTGGACAAAGAAATTGAACAATATCACAAAACATTACACAAAAATGTGGACTGAAACTAAGAGCATTAATCTGAGACTGCTTAGTGAGTTACATGATATATAATAATATAATTTTGATATTTCCGATCAAAAGTGAAGAGTTACTTTAAGAGACCAACATTGCTATGTAAACTAGTTTGCAAATAAAAAAATGAGTTTATTCCTGAAACTAAAAACTATCACAATCTTGTGTTACTCATTTGACAATTATTTTTCAAACGGTATTTAACTACTGATTAATTATTTTAAGGGATATGATACTGAAATAAAAAGCGATAACCTCAATAAGCGATCCTCATGCTAAATTCGAAGAAAGTTACAGTTAATTTCTTAAAACAATAGTTTAAGCAATTTCATGTTATAACTTATGGCATCACTAAGTGATTAAATCGAAAATTACTTCGAATAATAAAATTGAGAGTGAACCTACTGTTAGCCACGGTTCTAATCTACTTGCGACAAGCCCCCGAACTTCAGATATACCAGCTGCCATACCAAGTGTGCGTAGAAGATTTCTTAGTTGTGCAGCATCTCCACTAGTGACTGAAGTTGTTGAAGAAGCTGATATAACGGATGACGATGCACTACCAGAATTTGTAGTTGTTGCTTGTGAAGTGGATGGAGTATTACCACTTCTTCGACCAAGAGCGTCTCGCAATGTATTGATTATTATAACCTCTACAGCTTGACGGCAAGCCTCAAATCGATGTAAAATTTGAGAACTCATATCACAACCAAATATAGCCTAGGAATAAACACAATTTAAAGCGAGATTCGAAATATTGAACTCATTTAATTGAAAAAAGTACATCAGATTAAAAAGGATTAAAATTGTTAAGAACAATAGTTTGTTGACAGCCAGTTAGTCAGCTACAACTTTGTACGTACGTACATCAGTTCAAGTTACCATACCACATTAGCATACAGAGACGCGATTTTCAAATTCATTGGTAGTAGAAACACTGGCAGTAATCAGAAATATTAGTGATCGAAGATATTATTCGAGAAGCTTATCACAGTGGAATCAATTTAAAAAAAGAGAAAAGAAGGTCAAGAGGAATTCCGACAATCAAAATTTCACACAATACAAAAAGAGGATGCACCTGCGCTATTGCAAACAATATTAGCCATCTCATTCAAGGTCTCTCATCAACAGGTACTATCGTCTCGCAGAACCCAACCAGGTAGTCAACACCTACCGATATGACTAAGTCCACTTGCCAGTGACTTCATGGATTTGTGCCATCTTTTGGTCTGGCCACCCCTAGCTTTCGTCCAAGCTATTCCAACATCGCTTGTCGAGACAGTCGATGGATGGGCATTCGTAACAGGTGACCTAACCACCTAAACTGATGAAGTTTCACTAATTCATCTATTGGTCTGTCATCCTTACCTAATACCCTATTAGTAACAACAGCACTACCTACTCGTTGGTCGCAGGATATACCGACAATACTTCGGAGACACCGATGGTCGAATAATAATAACATACGAATATCCTCTACTCTGACTGACCATGTTTCACAGCCATAAAGTAGGACGGAGAGAACTGCTGTGCAGTAGACTTACCCTTTGGTTAGCAAACGGATATTTCGCGTACGCTAAAAGTGATGCAAGCTAGAAAAAGCTAATCAAGCCTTCTGTATCTATGCTGAGGCTTCATCAGTCACCAGGCCATCAGAACTGATAAGACATCCGACATAAATGAAGCGATCAACATGCCCAACTGCTTCACGCTCTATCACTAGTTCAGGTGTCGATGCAAGCCAATCCCAAAGCAACATTTTTCATTTAGAGTGGAAAAACCGTATCCCGTAAATGCTTGCAATTTGTTACGAATGCCCGTCCACCAACTGTCTCGACGAGCTATGCTTTGTGGTGTAGAAGTAAGTTGGAAGAAAGTTAGGGGCGGCCAAACCAAAACATGCCAGAAATCCATGAAGTCATTGACAAGTGCGCTGAGTCATGTTGGTAGATGTAGGCTACCTGGTTGTGGTCCGCAGGACGATATTAACCAATGGTTAGAGACCTTGAATGACATGGCTCAAAATTGTTTGCAATGTCGCAAGTGCATTCTTTCTGTGTTCTCTCAAATCCTCATCTTCTGGATTCGTCAACACCTCTACTTTTGTCTTTCCAAACCCATCTCACTGAATTATTCTCCTTGAATAATGTCTTGGAACCCCAGTCCTCTCTATTACCAGTAGTTCTCCTACTATCTCTACCACTATGGGATTTGAATTGACAGTTGCGTCTCTATGCTAATGTGGTATGGCAACGTGAACTGACGTGCTTACGTAAGAAGTTCTACGTTGCATCTGATTAATTGACTGCAACGTTGCTTAGGGTCGTCAGAAATACAACACTGAAAAACACTACAGTTAGAGAAAATTTCTAGGATACATAAAAGATCAAATTTTAAGTCTTTACTAGGCAAGACTATGGTTATTACAAAGTTTTCTCGTCAAAATAGGACGAAGCAGGACTGACATCTAGAAAGAACAGCTTATTTTGAATACTTAGAAGTAATGTATATTTATGTAAAGACTATGTGACTTCCAATAGAGACCTTAAAGTGACAAATGATAACAAAGTTCCACGTTCGTATTACCTGTTTATTGAAAGTATCCGATGATAAACAAGTGGATAGTCTACGTATCATGATAATACAATAAATTAATCATTTAACTAGTTTAAATGAACATTTACTCACTCTTGAAACTGAAGTCGACTGATTCTTTAGTGCGCTTGAAATTGCTTCACTTATTTCATCTCTCTCACACTGAATAGAAGTAGACACTGTAGGATCTAATCCCAAAGTTGGTTGCACACTTGTTAGACCTAACACGCTGAAAACTGCATTCACTGACGATGTATTCGTTGAGTAATTAACACTGCCACTAGGTTGATTAGATCCAACTGATCCATTTTGACTGGATGATAGAATTGAAAATAAACCTCGTGGATCACCATAAGTTTTTGGGAATGCGGTTTCCAAATTTAGTACAAATAATCGACATTCATCTTGATCGACCCAAACTCGGTTCGCTAAACTATCTTCTAGGTAAACCTACAAAACAAGGCAAGGAAAGATGCATTTGTTGGAACTGTGCTTACATCAACAGAAATAATTACCATAATAACCATAGAAATAAACTCCTATTTGTGAATAAACAACCACAACTAACCTTTACAAGTTTTGAAGGCCATTTCGCTTGACTGCTCAAGGCTAAGTACAGTATATTTGCAATAAGAACCTAGAGTAAATGAAAATACATCGCCAGTATTATTGGTAGTAACAAAACTGGAAACTATTGAATGAGCGCAGAGGATACGGTTTCTATAGAATACATTACTGCTTGTGACAAAGATCCAAGTGAAAGACTTACATGAAGTCCACGAATTCGAGCCATGATCGTTGTTACAGCAGTCGAAGGTAGGGATATTCCGAGTTCTCGCGGACTAAGAGATAAAATCAAAATAAGTTGGTCCAAAACAGTAGGTCGAATAAATACGTTTGGATGATCCTGAGCTAGTACCAGAAGACCAAGTGAAATACCGGGTAATAATCGCGAACCTGAGCCACCATGGACTGAGCGGAAATCAGGACTAGATGACAAAGAGGAGCCCAAAGTACCGTGTCCAAAACTAGTTTTTAACTGAGTCAATGCTGCAGATATTAAAGATTCTACCAGATTATTGTCACTGACAGATAAGGCCGCTTCCACTCGGGTAACTAATTCAGAAGGGTCAACTAAAAAAGTTAAACAGAGAATAAGTTAGACAAAGAAAACGGATTAAAATGCTGCTGAGAAACTATCGTATACAAACTTACCTTCTATTGACTGAGTTTTAGTCTTTTTAGCAGGATTTCCATGTGAAACAGGAACCTTCTTTGATTTACTTCCTAGTATTTTCAGGAGAAATTCAAATACATATAGAACTTACCCAACGAAATAAGATCACCAGATGGAATGGCGGCTAAAATGTAAGAGGCGATATAACATTATTATTATACATTGTCAGGGACTCATCAAAAAGTATTTAAAAACAAGAGGATTATTAAGAATTCAACTTACTAATGCTGTGGAATTTTTGTTATTTAAACAGTATAAATTACAGCGTGAAATTTTATTTTGTTGAAGCATTTCCTTAAGGAAGAGTACGTTTTAGTGATCCTAACAAATTTGTTCAAATCTAACCACAAGCCAAGAGTAGATTAGATAGCAATCCTTGAGCAATTACAGAAGCTGCCCAGGATTTCAGAAGTTAGTGTCAGGATATGTATCATCATATCCTCGGTCCCTAATCTTTTTGATTACCGCTAATACTGCTACAACCTCTACCACTATGGAATTTTAATGACAATTCGATGTGGTATGACTACTAGAACTGATGAACGTACGTTTAAGTTCTATGTTGTAGTTGACCGACTGACTGAGACCTGAAGTGATAAAAATTCAATAATCGATGGTTAGGGACCTTGAACGACATGACTCAAAATCGTTTGCACTGCCTTAGGTGCATCTACTCTTTGTGTTCCCTCAAATTCTAACCTTCTGAATTCGTCACTATCTCTGTCTTTCTCCTTCTACAATTATCTCACTGAATTATATTTTCGAACCCTAATCTTCTCTATTACTGCTAATACTTCTACTATCTCTACCACTATGGGATTTGAACTGAGTTGCGTCTCTGCACTGAGGCAGTATGCCAACCTGAACTGATGTACTCATATACGAAGTTCTAAGCTGTGACTAACTGTACATGACGAAGAGCGAAGTCAGCTCAGGCCTAGGCTGATAAAAAGCATACGCAATGATCGAGAACAGCGATTGTTAGAGAAAGCAAGGGAGATGCAAAAGGCAGAGGCGATAAGCAACAGTAGGCTACTATTCAGACTCATCAAGGAAACCCGAATGTGACTGAAACTATTTCGGAAAATGATGGTCCTATCATTCATTCTCAATCCAGGAGATTGGATCGATGGGCAGAACACTTTAGGCATCAGCTCAACTGGCCTTCAGTCACACTTCCGTTACCCACGATCTCCAGTCATCTTGAGTGGGAAACCGACATAAGTCCTCTGAATCTTTATGAAGTTGAGAAAGCGTTAGGAAATCTGAAGTGAGGGAGAGCAGCGGGTCCTGATAGATTGACTCCTGAGATTTTTAAGGATGGTGGTCCAGTTTTAGCAGCTAGATTGACTGAGATCTTAGACAGAATTTGTGAACCAGACGTAATTCCATCCAACTGGTCTCGATCCCTGATTGTCCCAATTTATAAGAAAGGAAAAAAGTCTTGTTGTGAGTCACAATGGAATCAGTCTAATTAATATAGTTTCTAAATTGTTGGCCTCGATAATGCTTAGACGCCTAACTAGAGCTCGTGAAGACCGAACTAGAGAAAACCAGGCTGGTTTAAGACCTGGACGTAGCTGTATAGACCACATCTTCACACTACGACAGGTCGTCGAAAACAGACTACCCTGAGCAGCAATCCAAGTATTTTCGGGATGCAGTTTTCCCTGTCGAAATGCAAAACGTTGCTTCAAGATTAGGTTTCATCGGTACCTAAATTAGTGACAGGGAATGAAGTCACATTTGGACGATGAACAATACTTCCAATCTTTCGGAGTTTCGCCTTTGACAAAAGGGGAAGGATCGGGGACCTTGAAAATGTCTCCTACAATATGTCACGAGCAGATTCGTAAGATCACCTACTCACCGGATAATTCGTTCACATTTCAGATAACTAAGGTGATCCATTTAATAGACATTTTTCAAACACATCCTAGCGAATATCGTTAGCCCAGAACTGTCCATTACATTCATTTTACTGACAACAGTTAATAACCGGTGCTTCGGTAATATTTGACTCTACGGAAGCATAAGAGGTAATTAACTGTTTCAATTATGGTCTTGAAGTTGTCATAACATCAAGATTCACATCCTTAATCGTGGTGAAAACAAATGTTGATAAACTTCTGGACAGCACAACAATAAGTTTTATACACGATATGAGAGACAAATCGAACATGTGTTATCAAGGAAGGATAAACGATAATTTCAACGGATAACATTTGACTATTCGTTTCCCAAGTACAACAGGGTACTCTGCAAATTATTTTGACTTCTAACTCATCTTATAATATATGATAATTAAGTATTTTGGATTTAGGCCCACTATAACCGTATTCCCTTATTACATTTGCGAACACTCAGAGATTATGAGGATTGTAACCGACGAATAATTGTATAATCCAAAGCTGAACTTATATTTTTCATGTCTTTAGAGAATTATTTTCGTAATGCATTTTTTTCCTCACTATTATCTGCTATGTTAAAACAGATGACCATTCTTAGGTTATATTTTTTTGAGATGTAAAATGACGATACTAAAACTTGTCTCTTAGTACGAATATGTATTACTGTTTGAAATTTCAACGTCTACATCAGTTACATTACCCACTAGCGACTATTAAAATTAGTTTTATAATCTGAGTCAATTGTTATTTTCACTTTCATTCATGGTCAGAGGAAAATAAAAACGAATTTCCGGGTAATTCAGGCAACAAGTAAGTCATGTACTGTAGAAGAGTAGGCGAGCTGAACTCGGTATGCATTCAGGAGAAAATCTGACAATCTAACGTAAATTCTAGCGAAAAGAGGACACTTAAACGATTGCACACATGTGAATTGAGAGTCTTTTGTCATATAGATGTTTACGCGAGAGGTCTCATTATTTCCCTGATCGCAGGCAAAAATAGGCAACACTTAGTTGCCAAATCGTCTGAATAAGGGCTGAATTTTCCGATCCAGTGTCGCTAAAATTTCACCGAAGTTAGCCTTTATTTACCCTCTTTCCAAAATTGGTTAAATAGTCACTCACGAACAACCTAATATTCATCGAAACTGATCTTTCGTTCAAGTTTTGAGGTAACGAAGCTTAGTAAGTGCAAAAATTACCTCTTTTATGTTCTCTCGTCATGTGAATAAGAATGGACCGACTGCAAACAACTACGGCAATTTTCAGTCGAAAATCGCACCAAACAACCGTGCAATTATATTGGTAGACCTTTGTGAGTATTTGATTGGTTATCCAATCCAATATCCAATATATTTTTCACGAGCTAGTGTAAACCAATTTGATTTCTTCGCGCTCGATTCTTGTTCTTTCGGTACGGTTCCAGGTGTTCGGTAATGTCAAATGGATGGAGGTCTAGCCACTCGACTGTCTAACTCTAGTCAATTGGCAGTGGTTTCTGAGTTCGTATATCCTGTCATTTGAATGAAAACGTCTGTTTCAGGGCAGTAGGGTTTCTGGATACCGGCAGCCATCACATTACCAGACCGGAGATCAGTTAGTTACTATGTGTATAGTAATATGGAGAAAATTCTAATGCTTTATAAGAGTAAGATTTCAGGAATAAGTAAATAACGAATTATTCAGTTTATTTGTTGGTAGTGAAGATTGTGAAAGAGGACCGAAGTGTAATCAAGGGAGAGGAAACAGAGATAATAGGCAAGATATATTAATTGAGTGATCTGAGGAGATGGCAATGATAACAACTAGCAGGTCTGAAGATATGTATCAAGCAAAGCTTTCCAAGAGGGAGATAGAAATCCATTTGTAAGTATGTGATTATCAAGTCTCTCCTTAAAGCTGTCCACTGAGAGGGTTATGGTCACCTCGGTTGACAGAGCATTTCAAGTTGCGACGACTCTCAGTGAGGAAAAGTGTGCTCAAACCTGAGTATTCTCCCTTTGATGCGCAATTTTTCGAGGATTGCCTCGAGGGGAGTGGTAGTGATGCGTCTGTAAGATGCTCACGTTGGGATGGTTTGGCGTGCTCAATATGTTGTACGGCATAATCAGAAAACCTCTGATCCTCCTGTAACTCAGTGGGAATGATCCCAAGTGCTGGAGTCTGTCTTCGTAAGGTTTATTCTTCAACCCTATCACCCATTTCGTTGATCGTCTCTGCGCTCGATCCAAGAGATCTATGTCTCTTGTAAGCAGTGGTGGTGCGACGACGTTGTGAACCTCAAGGTTTGGTCGTGCATATGTCCTAAACAGCGTCAAGAACAATTCAGGGACGATAGGACCAACCTGTCTTGAATTGGACAGTCGCATTTGCCTTGACTGCGTCCCCTATATAGTTTGAGCTGGTGTGGAGGCTTCTACTGGTCATCAAACCGAGAGTGGGCTCTGAGGAGACATAAGGGAGCGGACTTCCATTGAGAGTGTAAATCGTTTGCATCGGGTGAGGCAGAATGTACCTGACGTGACATTTTGGCAGATTGTCAGATACATCTCATCAAGTATTGACACCTGATGATGGCTAATTTTTGAGTTCTTTAGGTTGATGGCCTTTATAAAAATTGTTCATTTAGGCGATTCATTACTATTTCGCAATTTGAAAATGGGAAGTTAAGTTTTCTACGTTTTGAGGATTGGGATTTCTGTCGCATCCGTCGTACCAGAAGTTAGATTCAGGCCCGCACTGACGTTTTATCGCTGTTTGGATTCGTAAAAGGACTGTTCTCACATGTATTTTTAAGTCAGCTTCTATTAGTCTAAGTTTTCCATGTATTCATATACACCGTTTTATTTTCTTCTGAAACGAGTTCGATAGACACTTCTTGTTTAACTCACACAGCAGTTGTATTTATTGTGATTCAAGGTCATCGATGCGGTACGATAGCTGTAATTTATGGTTGCACAAGCTGAGTGTCAATTTGCCGCCAGCCGTGTATAAAGGTTGTTGCACACCGGCTTCATCCTGGTTATGCTGACAATGATATCTCAAGAATCCAATTCGCATAGATGAAGCCTTGAAACTTCTCATTCTGATATAGTTGCTGAACGATGATGCCCGATCAGTGATTTAAACATTAGACGAAGAGGCAACAACAACTATAAAGTCCAGTCAGCTCAATTATTGACTCTGAGCAAAAGGCTGAGAATTCTACCTCCAAGCTTAGAGAGAAGAGAACCTCCGTTCAGACTTTTGCTATGCGTAATCATAATGAGCCCTGCACTGTGGGCGCGCGTATGCCTTGAATAACGTTGAGAATAATTGTGGGGTGATAGCACCAGAGTGAATAGTCGCATTTGCCTTGAATACGTCCCCTATATAGTTCGAGCTGGTATGGAGGCTTCCAGTGGTCATCCAAGCGAAGTCGTGCTCTGAGGAGACACTAGGGAGCGGAACTCCATTGAGGGTGTAAATCTTTAATGTCGTGTGGGGCAGAACACACATAGCGTGACATTTCGTTTTGTTGAGTTTTCAACTCTTTTTCACTGCGCATTCTTCAATAGATATGGTCATTCTGAAACCCGATCAAGCCTCCTTCGCTTCTAATAAACCTCCAGATCTTCTGATCGTCTACATAGGTCACTGTCAGTGAGCTAACTCTGTCTGACAGGTCGCTACTAAATATTAGGAAGAAAAAGTAGACTTAACATGGTCCCCAGTGAAACTCTCGATATGGATACTCGTCAGCTCGCGTGCAATCTACTTACTTTGGTACGAAGATTTCTTTTTGCAAGGTAGTTTCTTGGCCAAGATACGAGCGGGCAAGTGAAGCCCATTTCCGCAACCTTTGCGATTAGGCGTGTGTGGTGTATTTTGTCGCAAAGTCGAAAAATAATACGTGCACCGGTATTTTTCGGTTCAAGCAGGATTTCCAACTGTCCAATGCTATGGGAAGATTAGAAGCCCGTGTTGAGATTCACGGAGTATTTTACTCATATAAATGTACTCCCAGCCCCTCCATTACCTTTGATAATATTAGCAGTAAAGTTGTAGAATCCAATTTGAAGGCTTTGTTTTAGGAAAATCCCTCCATGTATATATTTGTGATATGTTCTCACTGACTCTTTCTGTGGTACTCTGTTTAATCCCATTTTGTGATTTTAATATTTGTATTTTTTAGTGCCTTTATTGGAGTTTCTATGTTTTCTACTGAACTGTATTATGTTGTTTAAATTGATACTTAAGTAGGGCGTCAGCAATATCGGAATTGATACCCTGGGCGATGAAACTTGAGTCTGGACTGGAAGGGTGCAATTTTGGCCGTATACGGAAGCATGCCTTCCTAATTGGAAACACAATGTGTTAAAGTTGTTAAAGAACAGTGTAATATTGTTTAGGTAACAATATATACCCTTCTTAATTAATAGTAGAACCGTTTCCTACCCAAATAAATTGCTTTCTTGTTGGATTAACTGGGAATGTCGCGTATATAAACTTCTAGAACCATTCTCCTGAATTCAGAAGCCACTGAAAATCCCTTACCGTTCTAAACAGTATTTGAGGAAAAATAATCCTTTGGTTTTCCCCGCCTTCAACAGGTGCTGGTTACAAAAAGCTATATAGAAATATTTATTACTCTCGCAGTGAGCTCTGCATCCAAAAGGTGTAGGTTTATACGCGTCTCGCCCAGTCCAAGTCCAAAAATGATAAATTTGGGAAAGAACGTTTCTATTTTTAGTCAAAAAAGGAAATACAGACAATTACAAAACAGTATTACACCTTCGAGTTTCTAATCACAACAATAAGTTCCGATACTGGAAGAATAAGTGCTTCCAGTTAGTTGCAACAAGCTGCTGCTAGAGTATCAAATCCAAAAATGGCAGTAGCCGTATTAAGTATCAGTTTTAAACAACACATATATAGTTCAGAAGGAAACATAGAAACTTCAATGTAAGTACAGGATATAGAAATAATAACAAGATACAAATGATAAAATCCCAAAATAGGATCAAATAGAGCACCAAAATATCAAACAGAAAGAGTCAGTCAGATCACAACACAAATATATATAAGTGGAGTGATTTTCCAAAAACAAGGCCTTCAAAATAGATTCTACAGGCTACAGAAGTTCTGAAAAGGCTTTTCGGGGAATCGCATGTGATAGCCAGCGAAACTTAAGAAGAACTGTTTAGGCCAGGAAATGATTACAATGACGCAGAAGAGCTATCGAACCTAAGCATAAGGATGCACAACTCTGCCTTGGTGTTGGAGCAAATGAATCGCACGACTGAGTTGAATTCCTTAGCAACTTTTGAACGAATAGTGTAGCTTACAGTTAGAAGGAGTGTAGAGGATAGAGAGCCTACCTTTGCGGAACTCATAGAGTTTATATCGTCCCTTGCAAGGATAGCCAGTAGTAGTGGACGATTAGCTAATCCCCCAAAATTGGGCGTGATGTGAGAATGAAATGCGAATGCGTTGACTGTAAGGATCAAATATAGCATCTGTTCTGGCAACCGCGTAGTTTGTAAATGTCCCCAATTTTTAGCGCTTACAGTTCGAGATAGATGGACTCACGCTAGGAGAAAAGGGATATGCTTCGTCTGTCTGAAGCAAAGACATAAGGCTAGTGAATGCAAGGCGACAAATCGCTGTAGCATTGACAAGTGTGAGGTAAAACATCACATTTAACTGCACGAAAAAATAACGGGGATGAGAAGTCTGATACTAAACACTGTTTTGCACTCACTAGAGCACTGTTCACTCAAGTATGCTTAGGAATTATTCATGTACGAGTGAGATCAAGAAATTTCGACATCATAGGTTACGTCTTTCTGAATAACGGCTAGGACTCCACGTTAATAACGCCAGACTGCTTGAAATCGCTCGGATTGAAGGAAGAAGCAGCATCAGTGGAGTTCAGAAAGTAAGCGGTTATAAAACGACTAGGATTGCGAATGCTTCCTTCGAACTATATTCTTTAGATCAGTCTGAACATGTTGTGACCGAAGGAGCCTTGATCGTACCAAGCATACCAAGGCATAAGCCTACGATATCGGCAATAAGTAGCTTAATTAAACGACCGCGCTTAAGTGATATACTAATAGAGAGTTTAGACTCCGAAGATGTCCTAATGCTCATTGGTTGTGATGTGCCGGCAGCACATTGGGTGCTAGGCCAGCTGTTGGGTGGAAGGAAAACTCCGTACGCTGTAAAAACGTCACTGGGATGGACCATTTCCGGACCTATACCATACCCGGAAGACCAAATACGTAACCTCTATGATATGGAGTTTGCTGGTGTCTATTCTAGCGATAAGTCAGTATCTGTAGAAGACTAGGCTACCGTTGAGATTGTGGAAAGAGTCACACGTTTTGACAATGATCATTTTGTAGTTCCGATACCATGGAAACAGGATCCATCCACGAAAGCGACGAATTATTAAGTAGCAAGCAGTAGGTTACAGAGTTTGAAGCGAGGATTGACGAGGAATGACAGGTTGCATGTAAGGTATACTAAAGTTATGGAGGATAATTTTACCAAGGTCTGTGAGGGTAAAGTGCCTCAAATACAGCTGAGGCCAGATTATCGTCCCCAATGGTACTTATCACAGCATCCAGTGTAAAACCCAAAAAAAACCAGTAAAGTTGAGAGTAGTCCTAGAATGAGCTGCCGAGTTTGCTGGGATTTCCCTAAATGATATGATATATCAAGGACCGGACAATATCGCTGATCTAGTGTGTATATTACTACGTTTTCGCAATGAGGCGGTCGCAGTATCTGCAGATGTTGAAGAAATATTTATGCATGTGAAGGTACCTGAGTCTGATCGAGGAGCCCTAAGGTTCTTGTGGTGGGAAGGGGGAAATCTGTCAAAGGGACCATCCGAATTTCAGATGACCTCCCATTCATTTGGTGCCAACTCATCTCCGTTTTGTGCGATTTTTGCCATGAATAAGACAGCCCAAAGCTTCTCAGGGGGCTCTTAACGTTATGTCGTAGATGCGGTGAACGATTGTCTGATTGTGATTGTCTGATATCCTTTTCAACTTGTGACCAAGTAAAGAAGTTTGTCAACGAGATGAGCGAATTATTGTGTTCAGGAGGTTTTAAATTGAAGAAGTGGATCATTAGTTCGGAAGAAGTAAGATCTATCTTGCCTGATGTAGGTAAAGAAGAGGTTTTGATAGGAATATCAGCGAGTTACAGTGTCACTCATCGAAGTCTCGGCGAGAATAGGATTTCAAACGGGACGTATTTAAGTTCCAGTTTGATTCACCGGCGAAGCCCGTGACAAGAAGAGGGATTCTATCGGTTGTTCCGTCCTAGTTCCACCCTTCTGGCCTAATCGCTCCTAAAAACAGTCGTAAGGCAGCTAGTATTAATTGTCTGAGGGGCTTAACACCGATAATGCTTGATGGGTTACTCTGTGTTGGAGGAAGCCTAACCTTCTCTGAACTCGCAAGTGCGTTTAAACATTCAATAATATTGCCCAGCCGACACTCAGTGACAGAAATGATAGTTGGATACTATCACCAGGAAGAAGGGCATACGGTAACATCTCAAGTGCTAGCCACGATTTGCAAATACTATAAGAGTAATAGGTAGGTGTGTGACCTGTCAGAGGTTAACGTTAAGCTCAGGAAAACAGCTGATGGCACCTCTTCCGGCTTGCAGAGTGCGGAAGGCCTGGTATAGCTTCTCAGCCGTAAGAGTAGACTACGTTAGACCCTTTTTGGTCAGGTGAAGGTCATTATAAAAAAGATATGGATGTATATTTACCTGTCTGCAGACGCGAGCAGTACTTATACAGATGTCGTATAGCTTGAATACTGATTCATTTAAAATGGCCCTACTACGTTTTATCGGAAGAAGAGGGTGGCCATCAGACATGTATAGTGACAATCGACCGAACTTCGTGGGTGCAGTCTCTGAAATGAGGAGTTTTACGCAACAGAGGAATCAACAGAAAATCAGCAAGGAATTGTCAGTGAGGCAAATTCAATGCGATGGAATAAACGAAGGGACCATCAGAGATAAGTACGACAAACGTCGGAAGCAGGTAAATTGTTTAGCTATTGTGTCTTGGAAGAGGTGGTTAAGCGAATATTTACCGTCCTTACAAACACGTCAAAAATGGTTACTGGAACATTGCAATTTCCGAAAAGGGGACGTAGTTATCATGGCTTCGGATATTTCTACTCGTGGAAAATGGCCTTTAGGTATAGTGGGGGACTGTGAAAATTTTCCACATACAATTATAAATGATTCCCCAGATTCTGCAATATACAGTGAGAATGATTGGCGTGAGTTACGACGGTTGCGTTACGACGAACTGCTATTGACCGCAAAACAATGCAAGATAGAGCCAAGTTTGCATATAACAAGAATTGGGAAGGTAAGTATAATTGGATTTTTACCGTAGCGGTTCAAATGGTTCCAATAAGTGCAATTTGTACGCGTATCTCCCAGTCCAAGGTCCAAAAAACGCAACAATTCTAGGAGAAAACGGTCTATATTAATTAAAAGATGGAAATACAAAGCAATACCTGGAATTGATGCACTTTCCAGGTCGCAATTACTCCGAAGAGTATCCAAGACAAAGGGGAATAAGTGACGTTAAGTCCAACCGCCACCGTATCAATTCAAATATGGCTGTGGCCATATTAAAGATCAAATTTAAACAACATATACAGTTCAGAAGCAAACATAAAAACTTCAATATATGTACAAAATATAGAAATAATAACAATATACAATGATAAAATCTCAAATTGGAATCAAATAAAATACCAAAAATGTCAACAGAAAGAGTCCGTCATGTCATAACAAAAAATATGTAAACATGGAGGGATTTTCCAAAAAACAAAACATTCAAAAAGGATTCTACAGTAAGTGTGCTAAGATCTGATTTATATTCTTCAAATAATAAATTTACAGGCTCCTGGGTAAACTAACCAAGTCTTCGGCAAATATTCAGACTAGCGGAGGTGACCAAAGCGCCCTCAGTGGATAGATTCAAGAAGTGACCTGATAAACACATACGAAAATATGGATTATTATTTCCCTCTTGGACCAGCTATGCTTGATACATGTCTCGAAATCTGCTAGATGCTTTGATTACTATTTCCTCAGATCACTTACTCAGTCTACATCTCGTTTGTTAACTCTGTTTTCTGATGCTTGCCTACACTTCAGTCATTTATCGCAATCTTAATTACCAATGGTTAACTTATTCATCCATCTATTTTATTAATTCGGGAATATTTTTAGTATTTGGCTTTTCTCCTTACTATCCGCAGAATCGCAACTAACTGATTTCCACCCAGGTAACGTGATAACTGCTGGTATCTTGTAACAAATCGAATAAAATACTACTTCATGGGATAACAAAAGTTAATACCTTTACTGTGAAAATCAGATAAAAAGGCGATTCTAGAGGAAGAAAACTGTTTAATGCTAGCATCGTAATATCAAAATAATATCGATGCTAGAGGGCGTATAAACGGTTAACGTCCACTTAGAAGACGTGCGAAGAGGAAAATGGGAATAACACGCTTGGTGCGCGAGAGATAGTCTTTAGTACAGAAAAACAAGAGGTGTACAATATAACATTGTCAGAATCAAGTACAGTAATAAATGTTTATATTTCAGCAATTGTGTTTTCTTCGTGAAAGTATACCACTATATTAGCCCCCCTAGAAAGGGCTCACACTTTTGATACGTAGCGGTTTCGTGCGGAGAGGAGGCTGATTGGCTAACGGGCGGTTGTAGGGCGGAATGATTGACGGACAGGAAGCGACCAATGAGGCTCGAGTTGTCATCGAAAGTCTTTCACGTTGAACTGTACCAATAGTAATATGATAAATTTAGCGCTTGGGTTGAAATGCCACAGCAGCTTGGCTCGTATCCAAAATCTGAAGACTGCGTTCATAGGGGCTCGTACCAGGAAAAGCTGCAGACGTATGAGCGAACCAGATTGAGCGAAGGGGCCAGAAACGACCAGGACGACTAAGATCGAAACCATATATATGCCAGATACATTTGTAACCAGGACATCTACCTAGTGCATTGACAAGAGCGTGGGTGTCCAGGCCAGCTTTCGCCAAGATTGACTGAAGTCGACGGTACCAACAGGGCGATGGTCGCAGACATGGGCTCAGGATACAAAATGAAATAAAAAGAGTAAGTTGCAGCATACATGTAGTACCACATTGAATTGCCACCTCCACCTCCCTCGAAGGAAAGCATGAATGACTGCGCATCAAGTAGCGATTACTCAGATTTGTGCATAATGTTTATCAATGTGTGTCTTCGCAACCGATGTAACCACAACCCTTCACTAGATAGCTTTAAGAAGAGCCTTGATTTTTACGTACTCACATACTGATTATCGTCTCTCTCGTGGACAGACTATCCTTTATGCATGTCCTGAGGTTTGCCTGTTGTTATTATTGCCATCTTAGCTCAACAACCTAATCTATCTCGCCTATTATCTTTGTCTCCCTAGCTTACTGACACTTCGGTCCTCACTCACAATCTTCACTATCAATTAATAAACTAAATTATCTGTATATAACTTGGTTCTGGAACCCTGTTCCTCTTAGTATTAGAATTTTCTCCTTATTATTCTCCGCACTGCAAATAATTTATCTCCGGTCTCGTAGTGTGATGGCTGTTGGTTTACAGAAACCTTTCCTCCCTGAAACGTATTCATTCAAATCACGGGACATACAAACTCCCAACCAACTGCTAACTGACTAGAATTACACAGTCGAGTGGCTAGACTACTATCCATTGAACCTTACTAAACTCCTAGAACCGTACAGAAAGATTTGGAATTGAGCCAATTAAAAAACTATTGGATATTGGATATTTGACATCTCAACCACTTTAACATTCTGCGTCGCACTAATGACCTTGACGGAATCAAAGGATGGGGTAAGTGACGCCGGTGGATAGTCATCTTTAGTTAGTAACTCCGTGAAGATGCTAACCACTTTATTTAGACGATCTCTTTTACTCCAATTTTAGTGCTTTATGAAAAGATTACTGTTTTTTAGGTTCGCCACCAATTGTTTCTGCACGATATGAACCCGTTTTTTGTTGCTTCATGCTTATACGCGTCAGTGTTGGCAATTTTTCTTGCCTGAAAATATAACTTTATCATTGTGATCAAAATTTTTCTACGTGTATTTTCCTCTATACCTTGGGTAGAGTTTAGTTTATACTGACGCATAGACTCACTAGCGAAGTGTATGTCAGCTTAACAGCTTAATGAATAAATGTCTCGAATAACCGATTGATAAATGCAAAAGCTGAATAACCAATACATTCTTCAATGAACAATAAAAATATGTAGTCAATTTTTAAGATTAATAATGCCTTTACAAACTTCATATGTTCATGACAAGTCCGTCAGACATCAAAGGCCATTAAGTAGTAAAAACTATTATTGATCACACATACATATGTGCGATGTTGGGATGTGTTTACGTTCAATGTAATGTTTAATAAGGCAACTCTGTTCCTTTTTCTTCACTGTAAAAATTCATATCTTCAGTAACCAAAGTTCTGTAGCTTTTCGTCATTTGTAAAGACCCAAGTAAATATGTACAGTCATCCCGAATTCTAATATTCATTTTCATTAGCCCACCGTACACTCGAAACTTATAGGTGAAAGGCTTGTGAGCGCCTTAAGTGATCCCTCGTAGCTATATGCTTTGTATTACCTCGTTTGAAACTCAATTATAATGTCGACGAATTGGTTCAAAAGATTGTAGTCATTTTTATGTTCTCTTGAATACTGGAACAATTTCTAATCTATGATCACCGTTAAATATTTTTTACGGTTTGAGGAATTAAATCAATTCACTTGATGTAGTTACACAGACTAAGATTGCCAAGATAAATTTGGTCTTGATTTTTAAAACATTTATAAACTTTCCCACTTGTCCGATAATGTATCTATTTTGCGGTACTCTAGTTTTGGGCCAAGAAACAAGTTCTTAGTCCAGCTGAGTCCCCAATTGCAGTAAGGATTAGATACCTAGATTTGTACCTTGAGTAGTTCTGTCTTGCGATATACAGCGTTAAGCTCATTTAACCCTTCATGTTACCCAAGTTAGTAAAAAAGCATTAACTTAAGCTTGAAGATTGAACAAATGGATTTATCTATAACTATAAGGGAATGTTCCCCTTTATATGTAGCTTGCTAACATATGAAAATATTAAATTTGTTAGGGTCATTTGTCAGTTATAATGCAAAACCATCATTACAGTGTGTTAATAACCCTTGTTTCGTAGTGTCCCGGTTTTTTGAAAGTGCAATATGTTGGTATTTCCGACCTTTAGTCTTTCAAGTCCAACCTGGCGCCTCGCATATATAGAAAGTTTTCTTTTTAAACTATCACATGGTTGACATACATTTATTGAATCAAATTCGGAAAAGTAAAAAATAGACCTCAGGTCCTTCGGTATTTTTATAGTAATTTCAAACCAAAATAACGAGTGTAAACATCCTCAGCAGGAAGTCAACACTGCTGTTCCACAACACCGTTAGTTTCCATATAACCAAAAGTGTTGGGGCTCCAAGTTATTGGTGAGAAAATAATCTGAAACAACTTATGTATTAAAAGCCAGTCATAAACCTTTGTTATGAAGAAATATAGACACTATGAATCCCTAGTTAATACATGTGTCTTTTAGCCTACTAGATATGGTCTTCAGCTGGCTCGTAAACTGCACACAAAATACCATCCCAAAGGTCACATTTCACTACAAGTCTATCTGCTAGGGATTTCACTTGTGGTAAACACAAATAATCACCTTCACGGAAACGTTTCTATCTGTCTTATTAGATCTGTAGCATTATTCTCAAGTGCAAAGTGTTTTCTGATTATGATTTTGCTTTTCCTTAACAGTGAACTTCCAATCTTTACTTGTCAAGCTCATGTATTTACAATTAACCCTGAAACAAAAAAATCATGGATTGCGTCAAGCAGTAAAGCGGTCGATGTTAACTTCTTTTATGATTCAAATAAGCATTGTTATCGAATAATTAGTGTTGAGGATTCTTCTGGTTCAAAAAAGGTAATTAAAAAGTTCAATAAATACTTTATTATCATTATTCAAATTCAGTAACACTACAATATGGTAAATCCTTTGATCAGGTATGCATCAATTTTTTAGATCTTAAGCCGCACTAAGAGACGCGTGTAGTATGTCTAATAGTGGCTCCAAGTTGTGCATAATTAATTATTAAGGATGTGTTGAGACCGGAGATCCAATACTTATTAGTGGAGTAGGACAATGTGCAGTTTTACTGACCTGAGTGAAAAGGCCAACACGCTGACGGTTAGACTAAAGGTTGTTCAGGCCATTCTAGAATCTGCATTACTAAATTATATCTAGTTAGTCAGTCTCTGAGACTAAATAATATACTGAGAATAATAACTTACCGTATCTGCATGAGGAGATTGGAAGTACTAATTCGGAAAAAAAATTCAAATATTTTCTATCAAAACATCTTGATTTTTGAGAATGTAAGACTATGATGAGATTCCTTAACCTGATTTCATCTTGTTGCATGATTCCTTTATGGAACTTAGCATCTCAAAAATAGGTGGAGATAAATGTAAATTAAAAATGATATATATTCTTTGATTCACAATTAATGATCTCTCTTTTAAACGTTAATTTACGCGGCTTTGAAATATCACCAAGCTTTAATGATATTAGCACCGGTAGGTAGATGATAGATAACAATTTAAATCTACGTAGGTCTGTATCATAAAAATTTTTAGTCACGTTTTAGTAGTTTTTCTATTAGAAAAACCAATCACTTATGAAAAAAACAGAATGGTATGAAGTTCTCTGTTTCCCTCTTGCGTATCTAGATAACTTCATTACATATTATCACCAAAAATATTTTGATTGTTTGTATGTTTAACTGAAATGTTATTTAATGTTTGTTTTGTATATCAATAGTGAAAAGCGGAATCTATATTAACATATTTCAAATCAAGTTTTCTAATATTGTTCACTTAAAAGGTGTGTACTACTAAGTAACTTGTGTAATTAGGTGCTGTTTATGTCATATATAAAAATGTTCCAGCAAGTAACTTAAAATAATTAAATCATTAATGCGATCATATTCAATTGTTTTATTAACAATTAACTTGCATATCCTAAAAATTACCTCTTTAATTCAGCAAATCGAATTCATCAGTTATGAACAGTTATCATTACTGAAGTACAATTTATTGCGGAATATAACCTTTAAGTAACACAGATAACTACGTAGAGTATTCAGAACTCTTATTACTGGTCCAGTTCCAAGAGTCTATTGACAGGGATTCTGGGATTTCCAATTAATTTTGTCCATTAGTATATATATATATAAAGAACGCGACTACGTCATTGTTTAATCGGAAAACGAGATTACTAAATTATCAAATTTGATCAGTCGTTTGTCGATGATATTGGTCAGTCAGCTACAACTTAGAACTTCGTACGTACATACATCAGTTCAAGTTAACATACCACATTAGCACAGAGACGCAATTGTCGAGGTAGTAGGAGTATTAGCAGTAGTCGGAGAGATTAAGATTCGAAGATATTAATTAAGAAGTAGAATCTAGTGAAATAAACTCAAAAAGAGAAAGATAAGGTGATGTAAAATCAGGAGGATTAGGATTTGGGATAAGCCAAAGAATGGATGCACCTGCGCCATTGCAAACGATTTAGAGCCATGTCATTCAAGGTCTCTAACCATCGATTACTATCATCTCGCAGACCTCATCCAGGTAGTCTACAGTTACCAACATGACTCAATCCAGTTGTCAGTGACTTCATGGATTCGTGTCATACTTTGGTTTGGCCGCCCCTGGCTTTCTTTCAATCTATTCCTACACCGCAAAATTTAGCTCGACGAGGCAGTCGTTGGTCAGACATTCGTAACACATGTTCCAACCGCCTCAACTAATGAAGTTTCAATAGTTCATCTATTGATCTGCCATTCTTACCTAGCACCCGTCTCCTAATAACAGCGTTGCTCACTCGATTGTCCCAGGATATACTAGCAATGCTTCGAAGACACCTATGATCGAAAACCAATAACCGACGAATATCTTCTACTCTCACTGTTTCATAGCCATAAAGTAATACGGAGCGAACTACTGCGCAGTACACTCGTCCTTTAGTCAGCAAACGGATATCTCGCCTACGCCATAAGTGACGCAGGTTGGCAAAAGCCAATCGAGCCTTCTGTATCTGTGCTGAGATTTCGTCAGTCACCAGGCCATCGGCACTGATGAGCCTCCCCAGAAAAGTGAAGCGGTCTACACGTTCGACTACTTCACTCCCTATCAGTAGTTAAGGTGCCAATGCAAGCCTATCGTGAAGCAACATTCTGCATTTCGAGGGTCAAAACCGCATCCAAAAATGCTTGCATTGGTACTTAAGGTAGTCATAAGACTCTTCATTTTGTCAAAGTTTTCACCAAATAGAACTATGTCATCAGCATACTTCAAATCAGCAAGCGTGTTTCCTGGTAAAAGGTCCACTCCTGAAGAGTTAGAGGATAATAATGTTAACTTTAAAGCGTATCTAGGACAAAGCTAAACAATAATGGAGAGAGTAGACATCCCTGACAGACACCACTTGAAGTAGAGAATCCCAATGGCAGTTCCCCATAGGCTCTCACCCGAGCAGTGGTGTTCAAGTAGAGAGGTCACAACTTCCAAAAGTCGCCTTATTTATCAAATGTTTGTTTTATAGGTTCGACCATAGTTTTATAAAACAATTACATATTTTGGTGTAAAAGACTTGATGGCAGCACAAATATATCTAACTTTTTAATTTTTGACTATTCTTGCCTTAGGTTATCATTAATAGTACATTAACGGAAAAAATGACATTTAAGAAGACTTCACAAAAATTTGGACAATGGGCCGATTCTAAAACTGGAGGAGTTCATGGTTTGGGGTTCAGTTCAGAAGCAGACTTAACCATGGTAAGTTATGCAAAAGTACACAAGAATTAATCTCTGTTTTTTTATACATATAAAATCTATGGTACGCTTAACATGCAAACTGATTGATATATTACGAAATCGTACCCGAAAATTAAAATAAAATCTACATATCCACAGGATTCGAATTAATGATCTATAGTTGTCGATCACATTTGCTGACTTGGTATAAGATTACTATCCATAAGGTTTTAGTCTAAGTTGTTTGTATTGTGCTGTATTCAGCTGTTTCATACCGCATAAAATTTTGAAGTATTTATCATTATTGTATCTAAGAGAATAATCATTAATAGTTTGTCAGGAAATATCATCAAGGTCAGAAATTTGAAGTGATAACAAATCTCGGATATTTCCGAATTTACTGAGAGATTAAGCGTTTCAACATCGTTTTAAGAGCTGAGTAGCCTTATACAATTTCATATGAAGTTATTAATGTATGAAGCGTATACATATTTTGTGATCAGCTATATTTAATTAGATAAAATAGAATTAGAACTATTTCTCACTCCACTCTAGTTAATTAATTACCTTTTAAACGTTTAGGTTATATCGTTACTTTTTGTATTATGACTTACAGCATAATGTTCACACATTGATTATATTGACTTTTTTCTACAAAAATTGTTATTCCCAATAAATATACATCATTTATTTAACTTTACATACACAGTGCATAAATATTTAAATAGTTTAAGCTAGTCGTTATGTATGTATACGGTGTTTGCGGAACTAGAGTTTTCCAACATTTGAAACGATAATAATTTCATTAGATAACTAAATTGTTTAAAATAAAATCCTCGTTTATGTTACAACAGTTAGGATTGTTTAGAGCGATGTAATATTAATAATTTTGTAATTATCAAAACAATCTGTAACATTGTTTAGCACTTAATAGTGATTGAATTCTATTGTAATATGCATCAATGCAACTCCTTGTGTATGTGAAGCATTTTCCTCTTCATGATCAGAGTATAACAGCAGTTCCCCTGAAGCTAGTCTCAGTTGTCCTACCTGTGTCCAATGCGTTTCACCGATGCTGAGCACCTCAAGGTTGTATCTTTTCATTTCTGCCGCAACTTGAAATAGTCTTCCAGTCTCCCACAATGTACGAACGTTCCATGTACCTAAAAGAATGGTTGCTCTGGTTGTTATAAGAGGCATCGGCCCCGTGACTTCCGAGGGAACTCGGTTTTCATCACGTGACGTCATAATTCTTCTTCCAACACCCAGGGCAGAGTTAAAATGGTTGGGATCATTTTTCCTGGTTAGCGTTTTTTTGGCAAGTTAGTTTCAGTTGGGATGGGGTCGCCAACCCCATGTCCAACCCTCCTCCTTTACCCGGGCTTGGGACCGGCAGTAGCCCCTAAGGTTCTACTGGCGGAGTTATTTGCAATATGCTCTATTCAACCAAGCGGTGACTCAACTTCACACAGTAACACTTAAATTAGTTTGCTCATTCGAAAGTAATCAGCAAGAAGTTCTGAACCTACATAAGGTTAGTGACAACGTTGCTTATCATAGTGTATTAGGTTATTCAAGGGATGTCATTATCTTCGATTCATCAAGATTTCAGATGTAGATTAATGATAATCAGTTCTCATCTGGTGAACACTCTGGAACTTGGATCAACAGATTTCACTCAATATTATGGTCAATGATTACAATTTCATTATCATCACCTACCTACCCAATAACCTTAGTCTCTCATTTCCATTCAAATCATGTTACAAAAGTATAACATTCATCGAAAAACTAAACAGTAGCTGATGAGTTTTAACGGCGCATAAATCACACTTAATTGGTGTTGGCTCTTCACCTTATCAAACTAGAATAGTTTTCTTTTTACTTTCATAATCGTTGATATTTTTTATTATTCACCCTATCCTTGTTTAAATGTCACACACAAAAAAAGAGATACGTTAATATTATCTGTCCATTTTGATTTTCGTTCTGACTTTTTCTTCTATAAATATTTTTCATTTGCGAATGCCTGATTTCATGTATCATTCGCATTTTTATCTTGTTCCAATAGCCAATTTCAATATTTAATTCTTTTTTTCTCGGTTGGTAATAATCTAGGTTGACGCGGTCGATACGATTTACCTAGATTCTCAGGCTTCGTATAAACATTGTATTTATATGTATGTCCATATATATATATACATTAGTCCATGCCTAAATACCATACTTTTTGGCGCCACGAATATTCAAAATCGATATTCGTCTTAGGTTCTTCCCTCTCCTCTTTATGCCAATGTGCACTAATAATCAAAATACTATTAGTGATCTAAATGACATTTTATAGTAAATTATATATTGAGTTTTATCCTAATGTTGTCGGTAGTATGACATCAGTTTTACTTTTTCTTCATAATTTCGTGTTCTTCAAATAGGCCATCAAATCCATCTTAAAAATGTATTTATAGGTGTTGGTAATTTTAATTTTTTTTTACCGGCATTTTATTCTTTTACTTTATAAAAAATGATGTATACACAACACTGAACTGTTTATAAAAGAAAGTCAGTCAGTCAGTCATAGAAAGTGTAGCACCTGAGAAAAAGAAAAATTAATGTAAACCTGTAGCTTTCTAATCTGAATGTTTAGTTATATCAAACATTAGGTAACCGATTAAAACCTCTCTGTAAGTGAAATGTATGCTTAAACCTTACCATTGTGCATCGGTAAGAGAAATATGTCAAGAGCACTAACAGTGAACTCATCATTGACTGGTAGTGAAAAATGTCCATCTTAATAGTTCATTTATCTAAACATAAACATTGTTGCAAAAGGACATCTAAATATTTATGCGTCACACAAACGATTGGATTTGTGCATTGGCTGGGGTACTGTGCGGCTGCCAAAACATAAGTAGTTTTCATAGGTGATCACTCCCCAAACCATCATTAGTCTAAGTAACTCAACATGTTGTACATCATGTTAGATCGTTTAGTGGATTGATATGGTCGATAGAAAATTGGGTCAATAAACTATTCGGATCGCGACTGACTTGTAAACTTTCCCATTGACTGAATACTTCCAACTACTGATCATACCCTAGTGAGCGACATTTAACAACAGTTCATCAGTCGTGAACAGCGTAGATACTGGCATAGTGTATCAATCTACGTTAATCTACATATCAACATGATGATTCAAAATTTTCTATTCATTAGGATACTACAAATATATTATTTTTATTATTACTAAATAGATTTGTTCTATTGTTACTTGCATCATACTATGACATTTAGTATTGCCGCATCATAAATGATAATTATTCCATAATCGTCTCTGTTGAATTCTGCTATCCGATTCAGTGACAATGAACATTTTCTATGGTACACCAAAAAAACACCATTTAAAATTTAAAAAAAAAACAGAAAGTAGTAATGTTTAGTAGCAAACTAAATTATAGTTTATTTAAATCGTAGATATACGAATGATTACCTTCTGACTCAGAAAAGGATATGTGGGCTAAGATCTTGAGTATGTGTGTAATTGACCTCCTTCGATAACGCGCGTCGTTGATAATTTCGGACCTACCGTTTGACGTTTTGACTGCATGTAAGTATAGGTATACGATTTCTATGCTCATTTGGTATATTAGTGTCATTACAGTCCATAATTACGTGAAGTGTTATCTAGTTTCAGTTCAACTACTCTCAGTAGGTATTAAAAAAAATGAAAAGTCGTTGTAGTAATATATAATCAAACAATAGTAACCATTAAATTGCGAGTTATTTGATATTTCTCACAGAAAAATAATTTTGACAGCTTAATTATAGTCAGTGTTTGCGGCTAAACCAAAATAATCAGTAGGAATGACTATTTTTTCTGTCTATCAAAGCGACTAACAATCTATTTAAAGAACAATATGGGCATATGAATATCAGGGGACTATTGGACAGGTCTATTGTCTTATGATTCACATCGTGGGATCGCAGTTAGAAAACCAATAGGAACTGGGAAGGACTGGAAAACTGTTTCGTCTTACTGCGCATTCATGAAACGTCGGAGTTGAACGCATAACCTTTACGTCTCGTGGTTGGCTCTTGATCTTCATACCAATGATTCAATATCTAGCGGTTTGCATTTCTCACTTTAGCGAATTCACAATGTTGAGCGACCATCTTCCAATGTAATCAATATTTAATTGTCTCATGCCTGATATCGTTGTACTCCATTAACCAAAACTGTTCACTAGTACTCAGGGAACTATTCACCTGAATTAGTTATCAATAAACACATGATTTCGTTCTTTATTTTCTTTTGGATTTTGATTTCAAACTTTGCATTTTCGCGAATATCCATAACTGTTTAGAGGATTGAATCTGTCGATCAACAACATAGTTGTTTCTCACATCTGCTTCTTTATCTATATTCTAGGTTTGCTTATACTTATCAAGTGGTGCGTAACTAACTTGTCTTACTAGTGATTTCAAATGAAGGAACAAATTTGTCTAACTCTTAGTTTTTTCTTTGTAATTCATTTTACTTAGTATAGATTTATACATTCGAGCTTCTGATGATGTTGTCATTTTATGTCATGATTCGATCGTCAGTATCGTTTTTGTCCTAATTAATTAATGAGTTGTTATTATTATTAGTTGATGATCAGTCAACGGAATTTCTGGACAGCATTAACGTATTTACTTTTTCATATTTTGAAGTAATAACTTGAGTAATGATTATGAGACCTTTCCAACTTTTGTTAATATTAGGTTTTCTGAAATAATATTTAAGGCTTATGGATAAACACTCAATCACCATTAAATGACTAGTTTTAAAATCCCAACTAGTCAGTTTCTAGAATAATATCATATAACCATCCAGTCTCTAATATTGTTAATAAGTCTATGAAGTAATGACTACTCGGATAGTTCAATGCACACTTTACTTTCAAATAAGCTGTTCACAAGTTCATATTCCGTTTCAATTAGTTCGGTTTCAGTTAACTGTTTATTTGATACAGTAGAATTTTTACGATGTCATGGCCTATTTTTCGATTGCTCCAATGTGACAAAAAAAGAAGAATACCAATCAACAGATGATCATATGCTCTAATACTGTTCATACTGAATTAACAGGTTGCTTGCCTGATCAATTTATTTACTTAAGCTTCTTCTTATTAAACCGATATTACAAAACAAGACAGCTGCCCAGTAGAATAGGCTTTTTTTCACAAAATAACACTATCAGACGTTATGAACGACTAGTTCTTCCACACACACACACACACACACACACATGGATGATGTGATTCAAAGTTCAGTAAGTAAACTTATACTTGGTATGAATAAGTCAAGTTGAATTAAAAAAATCTGAAAGTATTTATTAGTCTAGTCCATCTTATTTCTCTTAGTCATTCCATTGAAGAAAATTTGAACCATACAGTTTGTTTCTTTGGAAATAAGTCGTGTTGCTTAATTATTGAATACTTTTGATCAGTGTTTTACAAACCATTACATTCAAAAATTGTACCATGTTGTGATGAAGAGTGTTTCTTTTCCGTTTTATATTATTTTATCAATCGAAAACACGAACTAAATGGTATTCTCAGTGAAAAAGTTAACGGCGGATATACATATATTTCATCTGATAAATTGTTTTGTAAATTATATGTTAAGGGAATCACGTAATTACTCATTATTTTTTGTTAAATTATGCTGAAGTCACACTAAGAACAATGACCACATATGGTGTTTCTTTTTCAAACTCATTTTTTCCGCATAACATTCACTTTTTTTCCTGATTGTTTATCATTACTTTTAATTTTCCCATATCCTGTACGCTTTCATTATAGTAGATATTGAATTTAATCGTTTTTGTCTACTTAAATATCAAGTTTTCCTTACACTGTCTTTTTCCTGGTGTTATGATGCCAACTAACGTTACTGTATCCACAATAAAACTATTCATTTTGCAATGAGCTCAATTGTAAAGTATCGTTGATCAACCAGGAGTTCCAAATAAACAATCCATGTTTACCAAAACTTATTATATAAAAGGAATAGTAGTTAGCAGTATGTCTACAAACATGTCGAGCCTACGGGGCTTGGTCTCATCCTTTGGACAACTTAACTGATCCATTCTTCTGGAGTCATTATTTATACTTTTTATGACCCTGTCAGTTATTCACTTATAACCTTGATTGTTTTTTTTATTTGAACGTGTGTGTGCACGCTTATTTAGCTTACTACATGTCTAGCCTATTACCACTGACAATAAATACTTAGCCATGTCTCCTCGAATTGAGTTGGCTCATTGGCCTTCACTTCGTTTTGCTGTTACACTGTGTTCTCATGTCTGTCTCCCTAAATGAATGTATGGGATAAATTCGTCCTCAAAATAGTATTCGGCTTTTTATTGCCACCGTCGCACAAACGCGATTCGCCTAAAAATAATGTAAGGAAATTGATGGGAAGATTTATTTCATTGCATACTAGCTCATTTGTCCAAACTAGAGTCAGATCATCGGCCATTAAAAAAGTTAAGTCTCAACTAGACACTGTTAATTTTATGAATTATATAATCTGTTCAAAATCACAGTTTGTCCCAAATTAATTTTCAAGTCGATTTTTACTTGACCAAAATCTTTACTTTAAAAGAAAAAACAATAACACATTTTCATCAAGTTTTGCACTTACTATTATCCTGTTTCTTTTTTTTTGTCTCTCTCTCTCTCTCATATTTATTATTCTTTATCAAGTTTATCAATCAATTTAAACAATGCGTAGATTCAATGAAAACTCAAATTCAAACCGAATCAAATGGTCCATCGGGAATTCGTGTACCAGTGAGTTGTTTTCTCTTCTTTTTTTTTTGTTTGCATTTCGAATTAATGTCTAAACTGTTTCATTGGAGATGTTCTGGTCTTTAAGACGACGTATGGTTTGTTTGTGGTTGTGAATTTTGCGTCATCAAAACAATGCAATCTTCGCAACCAAACTATCCAGCTTAAATATGTCAACATATCCAAGATTCTAACAGTTAAATCTTCCAAGTTCATTTAATTTTAAAAGTTCTCAGCCGGATAAACTTGTATCCTATAGTTGATATTCGCCACCTTGAAACATTAAACCCTAGTCCCTATCCATTTAATTATAAACTCATTTATCAATAAAGTTAGAGTGTAGATAACTATGGACTTCATCATATTTAATTATTATTTACTCTAAAAGGTTTAATATTTTCTTACTGTGTGAATTTCTTCGAGACTCAATGTAAATATCAAGATTGGGGGTTACAAATTTATCCTTACTCAACAAATTTCAAATTATAGCCAAATTATACAGCATGTATTCAAATGCTAGCCATTATCTATAAACACAATATTTGTGATGATCATTATTGATTAATTATAACTAACCTGTAATTGCTTCTAACCACAAGTAAATCATATGATTTTTATATTTACCTTATTATTACATAAAATTAATTCATGTTTATTGTTTACACTCAAACAGAATGTAACTTTTTCTACTAATAATCTACTAATATATGACACGTTCATAATTCACTTTCTGATCTCATTTTTTGTTTTAGTGAATCCAATATAAAATAAATGCTTCTTTTTGATAATAAAACTAAATTACCTAATCAGTTTCATCTCTCTCACCTTTTTATTATTCTGTCCCGACCGTAGCTGCTACCTCGACGTGGTGGTCGGGCTTGCCTATCGTGATGACCCAACCGAGCTATACTGGCTGGAACATTTGTTCCTGCAGGTCCTACCATGCCAGGCAGGTCGATTGGAGAACGATGAGACTAAAAGCAGCTACCCAAGGTCTGAGGGCGAAGTCGTACTGCTGACTGCAGAGGGGTGTGACAGCAGTAAGGTGTTTCCCTCAGACAACCAGCATCTGCAGCGATGCTGCCTTCTGACAAGGAAGGAAGGGTTAGAAAAGGTCGGCCCTAAAAATGTCACACCTCGCCCTACCTCATGGATTTCCGTCTCCTTGGGTAAGGGTGCCCACTAAGGGCCTTTAAGAACGGAGCTAATCCTCAAAAAACATTTGATAAAAAGGCCATGCGTGACTGGCCTCAAGCAGTTGTCCCTTGGGCTCTGCGGTCACGCACCAACACTAATCTATCTTCCTTTTCAGGTTCCTCAAGAAACAACCTTCCACGGTGTGGGCAGCCGGGAAGTGACAACCGCCCTCATACCCATAACAGCACGCGAGACCGAATTGGTCAAAATCAAATCCTTCCTACACCTCCTAGTACCTCTCTTATCTCCACGACTAACTCTTCTCACATTCATTCATCACAGTGCACAGCTAATGCAGACGATACGAGTTCGCGAAACGTCGTTCCTGGTCTCCTTAAACCTCGCTCTAGACTACATGTTGGAGCATTTAATGTACGGACATTGTGTCAAATAGGGCAACAGGCTTCCTTAGCTAGGACTTTAGAGTCTCGTGCCATCGATGTATGCTGCGTCTCGGAAACGCGCATACAGGATCCGAGTCACGTCATACACTTGACCACACCATGTCAAAATAAAGAAGCAGCTCGATTTACTCTTCGTGTATCCGGTAGCCCTGATGCTGCTTCCCGGGGTCTTGCTGGCGTAGGCATAGCATTGAGTCCGCGAGATGATAATAATCGATGGCTAGAGACCTTGCATGACATGGCTCAAAATCGTTCGCAATGGCGCCGGTGCATTTATTCTCTGTGTTCTCTCAAACCCTAATCTTCTGAGTTCTTCAACACCTCTAGTTTTTACTTTCTAAACTTATCTCATTGAATCATACTTCGTGAATAATATCTTCTAATTCTAACCCCTCCGATTACTTCTAATTCCCTTACTACCTCTTCTACTATTGGATTTGAATTGACGATTACTTCTCTGTGCTGATGTGGTATGGCGACATGAACTGATGTACTTACGTACGAAGTTCTACGTTGCAACTGACTGACTTATTATTCTGTAGATAATATTATGTAAATTGATTGCGTTTGCTACAAAATTATCTGCTAACTGATAACTCAAAATTACTTTTTGAAAAAAAAAGAAACAAATTCTACAAAATCTCCACACAATAAGTCTAATTAGTAATATACTCATTCAAGTCATTGGAAATTTGTATTTGTACACAATTTAAAGTGTAATCAATTTTAACCTCCTTTAAAGGAATCTCTATTACTGAAACGATGTGTTTGTCTTAACTCATTTCTTTAAAAGTTATTAGAAATCTATCTGTTCAATGGCTTTATTGTTTCATGTTTTATTTTATTTCACTATAACAATTACATTTTTTAAAAAAAAACATTTAAAAAGAGTTGGCTGTATCTGCAGTTAAAGAAAATAATCTATCTTGATGATAAAATTGATGACAACTAGTAACTCTTGGAGAATCACTGTGTGATGAATACTCTGTCACATTGTTTTGTATTTACTGACAAAGAAATGGCAACATTTAGTGTTTAGCTGTAATTAACTAAAGTCTACAATGCAATTGATCGTTGTTGTAATTTAAGTAGTAGCTAACAAGCTTGAAAGCTCATTTTCCGTATTTACTGATGAGCAGACTATATACAGACGTAGATGTTAATTGAATCTATCGCAGTTAACGTAATGTCCAATCCTTCCTAGTCATTTTCAAATTTTCAGGATTTCATTTAAGGAAAAACTGTTTACATTAGTAGTGGTAGTAGTTTAGTTAGCATCTCAGTTGATTGATTACCGGTCTTGTTTATGTGTTCTTTTCTCATTTACTTTTCGTGGGAAAATGTTGTTTTTATTGTGTCTTTTTTACCTCGTCACTGCTTAAATGTTTTCTCTTTCTTGTGTTGTCTTTTTTTGTCTAATCAATGATTCATTGGTGGTGTAAATAAATCAGTAAGCTGTTTGTATAACTATGACGCAGCAGACCCTGACGATAATAATAGTTATTATTATAATGGTAATATTAACAATGAGAAATAAATGTAGCATGACCGGCCAACTTGTCATTTGGTATATTTTTTAAAAAATTTTCGTCTCAGCTTACTAGTTATGCTTCTCGACAACTGTGCGAGTCATTCTTGTACGTATATATATATATATATATATATATATATATATATATATATATACCTTCCGGCTAAATATTAACTGTTTATTTTAACATTACCTATGTTGTGAAATTATGATAACGTCTTTCAAAGCGGACTTCTTATTTGCAACCTAAACTCTGCAAGTCTTTCATCACTGAACCCTAAATTGTATAACATTATCCTATAACTAACCGATTTCATATATGAATACAAAGCTATGATTCATAGCTCTGAGTATACCGATTTCCATAGTTGTTAACAGTGGTGTTACAGTAAGGTTTTTTTTTGATGAAAACAATAAAATGCATCTCTTTTTTGTTCTGATCAACATTCAACTTATGGGTATTTTTCTCAATGAGTTCCAACTGGTTTTATATCCATTTATTTTTTTATTTTAGTTGTATGCATTTTTGCATTATATCATTCTATTGATATCTATCTCATAATAATTTACTTAGTTTTATCTCTTTCTCTCTTGCACTCTATACTTTGTTTCTTCCTTCCTTCCTCCCCTTTGCTTATGAGTGTTTCTCAGTGATAAACAGAGTAACTGATGATTATTTATGTAGCTCTCGGGTTGCATGTCTCATCCTCCTTTCCATGCTTCCCTCCTCGACACACTCAATCATGCTGCGTCATATACTTGTAGTAGCCTATGAACTGTTATTAGTGTTTGTTATGAAAAGTAAAGAGTGATTTGTTTCTCACTCATTCACGATAACAACAACATAAACTAGCTGTTTAAGGACGTTGTTGAAGTAAACTTGATATTTGAACAGTCACATTTGCATTACTATTGTTAATTAGTTGGTAGTTTCATCTCCTTTTTGTATCAGTTATGAACGGCAGCTTTTTGTACCATTTCATCTACAATCACGGAGCATAGATTACAGACACCAATTGGAAAACATACAAATATCCCTATAACTTAGAAGAATAAGTTAATACCTTCATGTAGACATCGGCTAATTAGTCAGTCAGTCAGTCAAGGATTTGATTCTAACCGATTTGGTCTCGTATGCTTTTATGGGTATGAAGGTGGATGTTACTTGTCGGCTGCCCACACCGTGGAAGGGCTCTTGTTATCAGAAGGGGCATCGGCCCCGTGACTTCCGAAAGAACTCGGTTTTCATCATGAGACGTCATAACTCTTCTGCTAAATGAAAATCTTCTAACTCCCAGAACAGAGTTTAACTAGTTAATCTTATAGTCTTAGTCTAATTTACTTTCGTATTGGGATTTTTTTATTTCTGCCAAATCGATAGCATTTACTTCGCATTAAGAAATTTTGTAAATGATGAGACAAATTTCTCTTCCAATTTTCTTTGTTTTTATCACATTTAATGTGTAGTGAAAATAATGCATTATGAATGTCTGATATGTTTGTTGTTGTTGTTGTTGTCGTTGTTCTCGTCTACTTTGCTACCTTGCTTTACTTACAATTAGAATTTTTTTTATGAAGAAAAAAAAAGAATTCTTTTTATCTTATTACCAATTAATGAATAATTGGAATATTCTAGACAAAGCATGTGAAATCACTGCATTCTAGTGATTATTTGGCATTATCAAATAAATTTTTTCAATATATGCATAACATTTATATGATATTTATACCTTTTTTTTACAACTAAATAATTTTTGCTTCAAGTGAATTGTTATTGATAATGCGAATGTATGTGCATAAATATTATAACTGAATCATAATTGTCAATCATTATGTTGTTGTGAAATGTTTGTTAATTTAGTCATCAATATTATGATAAAAAGTATAGATTAAAAAAAAAATATATTTCAAAAGTATAAGCGTTTGGTTCATATTTTTATCCCGGTTTTTCTGTATAAAAATATACCTACACGTATATGTGTGTATATTTGTGTGGAACACCAACATCCTGTTATATAAGATTCATATTTATACTCGAAATTAAAAGAAAAATGATTGCAAAATAAGGAAAAATCTATTGGATAAAAGTACATGTCTGAAAATGGTTCTTCGTCATAATCTGACATCGGTTAATCAGTTTAAAGCGAGTAATAGTGGTGGTACGAGACAGTTTCTAGTGCGGTTTACATCATGGTGAGAACGCTCCAGAAACCATCGTTGTACTGTTTAGTACTTGTGTGATCCATCCCAGCTTTGGGACAGATATCCATAAAGCAGATAGCTTGTGACTATTGGGTCGTTTGGGCCAATTTATTATCTCTACCTTTTACATAGGAAATTGTGACCTTCAGCATAACACATGTCTTATATTCACACACGTCCTTGTGTGTATATCTATCACTCAACCAATGCCTGTCTCTTTGTCTACTCTTATCCATATTAACGCTTGTAATAGGTAGGTAAAGGAGTTGACACGTTTTCCTGTTTCTCATTCCTTAGTGTCTGTCTGCCTAAGCGGCTGCACAAAATAAATTCATTCAACTGAATCCTTATCTTATTACCTCTATCTGACAAACAGGGCTAGTCTATCTTTATATACACGGAATTATACTGAAGATTTATTTTCATAGTATATTTAATCGTTCGTCCGAATCGGAGTCATATGATAGACGACTAAAATCTGACTACAAAAATTAAGTACTTGTCACATCCTATTTCTGCGACCAATATGGTCATTACTAGTAGGTGTATCGATAGATGCATGCGTATAGAAAAAAACAACATAACCATTTATAGTTTAATGGGCTTGACCATAAAACAATATTGTAATTTGGTTTCCCATCCCTTAAACTGGTTGTGTATCTTGATCCCCAGTAAAATGGATTAAGAATGGAACCTCATTATCTGTTAGCAAACGTTACGTAACTTATTTACCAGAAATAGATTCATAGGTTTAGTTTTGATATAATTTCTAAATAGGATGACTATTGATGCTATCTTGTTGTTCAAAATGAATTAGGTGAAATAGGATTTGAATCTGCCACCTAATAGCTGAAAGTTGAGCTCCTTGATCACTGAGCAGCTGCTTTACCGCCGGTTGAAAGCTAATGAGTCTCATCATCAGGATTTTCGATGGATACATTTACACATACATGTGGTCGTATTTTTGGGCTCGATCGTTTGGATTTCTATCGACAATATCATCGTGCGATGACCATTCACAAAAACCGAGTTATTAACTCTGATATATCTGGAAAAAGATTAGAGAATCGATAACTTTGCTTCCTGATTTTCAAAGATACACTAGCTAGGATCAGTCTGTGGAAAATTTAACCTGCAAATGTCTATTCGATCATAATTTCTTGATCCCAATCTCCATATTTCACAGGTTGTTACCCAACCAGTAAAACTGACTCACCTATCATAAAAAAGCCCATCAACCCCATTTAATGTAAAAGATAACTAGCTGAAATGAAAGAATATTCTACTGTTGTACTTATTACCACCCAAAAAACAAAGAACAAATAGATACTTTTTTCGCTTTAATTTGGTACTCATTAGAGAACTACACATTCTGACATGGTCAATTCTACCTACCATAGTTTTACGCTAGGACACTGGAAGGGATCTATCGGGAAGCTAGCTCACCAGTGATTGTCAGGGAATTCTTATCTAGTTGATGGTATACGAAAACTGACTGACGGTAGATGAAATGGTATTAAAAACCAGAGGTAAACATTTGCGTTGTCATTGTTCGAGAATAACCATCTTCCACCATCCAGTATGTTAGTTAGTTAGTTACATGGTTCAATTTCTAACTAAAAGTGTCATATCTCAGTTTCCGGTTATGAAATCAATAACTTACAGCCATTAAATTATGGGTTTTGCTTAATTGTTTCTGCAAAATACAAGTTATCGCTATAGGGTTGTGGAGATTTTCGAGTTTCACGTACATCGTTAACTTATCAATGTTAGACCATCACAGTAAATTTGAAAACACTGGACGGCCGTTTCAACCCAATGTCCTAGGTTCGATTCCTGCTCATGGTGTCGTGAATGGGCCGTCCACTGGTCACCTAACATTGATCAGTTCATGCTTTTAATGAAAATCCATGTTCTTGTGTTTTATCAAGTGAGATAAGGTGACACTGGAAAACAAATCGATATTAACTTCCATTCCCTTAACATTGATTATTCATTGTGGATAACACGTATATATTTATATTTGAACTTATAAATAAAATCATTTTACTTTATGGAAACAAAAACTAGCCAGTTCAGCCTTAATTCACCAATTGCAGTTTTCTTCTTTACTTCTAAACTTGAAGTTGAGGTCAGGTCACACGTATTTGGTTTGTGTGTTTTCTGTCATTGTTGTATTAGTAAGGTCAATCTGATGGATTTTCTCTGTTAAATATTTGATTTCCTACTAATACTGAATACAATACAAACATAGATTTAGTAAGATAGATTTGGGGACAAAGGGTTTATTTGTTTGATTTTTTTTTCAAATAAAAAAAAACAATTGAGGATTTACATCGATTAGTATTATATATCACTGACTCATAAATTGTCTTGATTGGTTTAATAATTTTCTATATGTATACAAATTTTACTAAAGTAGAGTGTGATAAAAGATCTCATTTAAAAACAATATTGTCCTCTGACATTTGTTGTTCTAATTAGTAAATTGTTCATTTATGATTGAATATTTGTCATTCTATTCTTTAATTTTCTATGAATATTCATACACACACCTATGACATCCACTTTTGAAATCGAATCGCAGTGAATGTTAAACTATTGAGTAGTTGATGAGTTTTTTTCGAAACATCCACTTTGGAATAAGGAAAATGTATGCATATGTATACACTAGTGTCGAAGACATCATTACTCATGGGTCTCGCAAAATACGACGAACTGACATATGAAATTATCATAAACACGTCAACGCTTCTTCGAAAGCCTTTAGTATTAGAAGCTACATCGGATTATACGATGTAGAAACAATGAATGACTTCCTAGTTGGAAGAAAATACCCTCGATCAAATAATGATCACGTTTTACCATGTCTAAAAGAAAAACATGCCCAGCTAATGAATACAAGCGGATTCGCGGTTAAAAACCTACCATCTCATAATTGAGAAGCATTAGATGAATGTTGTTTTCTATTGATACCAAGCAATTTATGTTACAAATTCTGTGTCGCTACCGTCATATCATCAGAGATCTGACTGAGTTTTTCCATGCCTTACGGAACCAATTACCATTAACGGAAATTAAGTGTTAAGTCTAAGAATGAATGATAGCTTACTTATGTCTCATTTGCACACAGAGTACAACTTTTGAATGACGGATTTCCAAGATCTCTTCAGTCTATAAGTCTATTCCATTGCATTGTACTCCTTTCAAACCAAATTATCTGCTTGTTAAGATGATTTTAAATGAATGTTCAGATAAAAGTTAGATGAGGATGACTTTCAACTGTACAAATCTCTTATAGATATTCAATATTTTCTTACACCGTACTTTTTCAATATGCTACCTAGTAGAGATTAAAAGTTTCCCCTTAAAAATAAGTAAAACATTTTCACACATGATTTAGTGAGAAAAAAATAGTGTAGTGAAATATAATCATCAAATAACTTATCATTCTTTCTTCTGAGTACATCATTTCACTTACCACGAGATTTTTAACAGTGCAAAAATCATTTGTTTATGTGACCTATTTGAAAAATACGATTTCTAACTACTGACTAATAGTTAGTAGTTACAAACTAAGGCCATTTATAATCGAGATAACGTTCTATATTCTCATTGTAATATTATGGTTTAATATACTGGAGTTAAACTATGCCAGTAGTAGAATAATTATCATTGGTTAATCATTGAGCCATATTGACAACCGACTCAAGTTGGAAGTGTGTACCATTCGAAGCCAATCAGTTGTTTTCGTATTGTTAAGCGTTGTTTTGCTATCTGGTGGCGTAATTTGCTAAGTAGTCTCATGCTAGAGTGGAACAGTTGTCCAACGGTACCATAACTAAGGTCACTTCATGACCAAGGATATTTTCTTATTAGTTACCAGTCAATGTTTTAAATTTGAAACAAGGATAAGTTCTCAAGGTTTCAACCATTTTCCTGTTCTCAGAGATTAAAAATAATTTAGTACAATGGACATGCATTGTTATATGGTACACACTATTACCAACAAGTCGCATTTCATATCAGATTTTAGTAAACTGCTAATATGTTTCCATACTTTTCTAAACTACACCAAATATCTGTGATCAGTGTTCATGAAAAAAAAATTGTAAAATTTACCATTTAAGCATCCTTAAATTTTGGTTTTGTTTCCAAAACTCAATTTGACATATTCTGACAGGTAACCAATATTATAGTGTTTTAGCGAAAAAAATATTTTTTTGTCTACAACGTGTCTTTCTTTATACTTCACTCAATCTGTTTCACTTTCTATCTATTTAAAAAAAATTCTTTCTATAACAAAATATAGTCGGATTCACTAAATTTAACACAAGACAATTTATCAATCCCCATACAAAATGGTCAAATTCATTCACCGACATCGAATAGTACTAGTATCCTAATTAATCAACCCACTACACCGACATTCACACCTACATGTTTGAATTCACACCAGAATATTTCAAGTCCAATATCTATACAACATGTGAATTCGGTATCATTACCTACAACAGTTACACTAACAACACAATCATTATCATCAATCACAACAACAACAACAACCAATGCACTAAATGAAATGTATTCAAATCAATCTGTACAAAATCAATTGAAATTAGCTCAAGCACAAGTGAAACGATTAGAAGCAGAAATTAATCATTTAAAACGTCAAGCTATGCCAATAATGGGTAGTTCAATGAATAATGGATTAGCATATACAACAAATTATGGTAATATTGATGTAAGTTGACTAAAACTGTTTTGTTTTTATACAGTTATAATAAATAAAGAGATAGATAGATTATATTTTTATAAGCTGATGACTAGATAGATAATTATAACATTTCATTTATTTTTTCAAACCGGACTTAGATACAATATTTACTTAAATGGTCTTAATTGATCACCAGTGAATTAAAACTCATCCCTGATGCATATGTGAACTTAATAGTTAAGCGGATAAGCCATTAAGCGTTTGAAACTATAGGCACTTAGTTCAAGTCTCATTATTAACATTAACACTAGAGTGTAGGTAGGTACGTCTAGCTGACAAGTCCAAAATAGGACCGACATGACTCAGTCCACTTGTCAGTGACGTCATGCATTTGTGCCATGTTTTGGTCTGGCCGCCCCTAACTTTCGTCTAACCTATTCCTACATCGCAAACATAGCTCTACAAGGCAATCGGTGGTTAGGCATACGCAACACATGTCCCAACCACCTCAACTGATAAAGTTTCACTACTTCGTCTATTGACCTGCCATCCTTACCTAGCACCCGTTTCCTAATAACAGTGTTGCTCACTCGGTTGTCCCAGGATACTAGTGCAATGCTTCGAAGACACCTATGATCGAAAACTAGTAACCTGCGAATATCTTCTACTCTCACTGTCCATGTTTCACAGCCATATAGTAGGACGGAGCGAACTACTGCCCAGTACACTCGTCCTTTAGTCAGCAAACGGATATCTCGCCTACGCCATAAGTAACACAGGTTGGTAAAAGCCAATAATCAGAACAAGGACAACTTGACTTTAAACTTTATCTGTTCCTAAACATAAAAACAATTAGATTAGTATAATAATTAAAGAAATTAAGATACTAAGTGAAACGAGCAAAAATACCGACCAATATAGCGTGTCTTATGGAAATGATTAAAATTATGAGTCACATCAATATAATAAGATAATAATGTCCTTCAATTAGTAGATCATTTACAACAAAGATAGTTTACAAACACGTCAGACTAGATCACGTGGTCAACGCTTAAACCACGATTTGATCGTTTAGTTATGTACATAACTAACAGTTTGAACTCATTTTTCCTGTTCCAACTTTGCGTCATGGGGATCCTAGCAGTTCCCGTTCCTCATTATAAGGAGTAAGATGGAGGAACTACCGTGGTTTCCTACCGATTGTCAAGTAAAAGCCGTAGAACTGTGGATATAACAGAGTTGATACGTACATAACTGCAAAAAAGTCGGAAATTAACAGAGGTAAATACACCTAGGTAAAACAGTAGGAGAACGAATTTAAGTGGGGGACGGGGTTAATTTACAAGTCCCAGTTTTCAATACAACTCTAGTTATAGTTATAATTCAGTTCCCACTCAAAAACAAACTTCCGTTTTAATCATGTCGTTCGTGCATTAGACGACGCAGTTACAAGTTAAAAATGCGTCACTTTCAGTCCCAGATGTAAAATCAATACACCAATTTAATGAAGATTTGTTCATTTAATCTCACTTACTGTTCATCTTAGCGTTGAAGGAACATATACAATGATGGGGGAAATTTGTAGCTCAGGTGAATGATTTTGGTGGAATTTCGTTCTCTGAGCTGGATCTTTTGGTTGTGAAGCTTTCATTGTTCTTCTGAACAACATCATCAGCACAAACTTCAAGTAGAAGTGAAGTATTCGAATTTCTTCACGTATGCCTTGTAGCTTGATCGGTTGTTATTGACCTTTAACCTGTCATTGTCTGCCAATTCGCTTTGATTATATCCCCCTTTGAGTTGATTCTTGATCCTCTGCGTGTCTACGACTTTTCTGATTGGTTGATAAGTTGAATCACTGTCGACATGCCGTCTCGTTAAGTAAAAGGATTTTGATCTTGGGATAAACAGCACTATGATCCAGGTACATCTAGCTTGAGACTCAAAAAGTACACAGCACACTTCTTGAATTCCATTATTAGTCACAATGCAAATATACTGAAAGCTTATAACTAAATGACATTATTAAACCATACAGCCAAAATACAAATATGCCAACAGACTGACCAATCATAGTCATAGATAAAAACAGCTGGGAAATACAACTTCATACTAACTATGATGTTACTGTGCTATCATTGTTCCCATATCTAGACAGAGAAATTTCTAATCTTAAAGCCAGAGGGTATAAATTCCTAGGGTTTCATAAATTACATCTAAAAAGCTCAATCTCAAAGGATTAAATCTTTTAATTTGTTATCCCTCGCTAACCATGAGACACTAAATAAATCATGGTAAATATACCAATGAGACTATCATTGTATATGTACTTCATTTTACAACTAGATTAATTTATGCAGTATATGCAGTATAGAACCTAAGACATGTGTGCATTCATTCATTTTGTTTTACTACATTAAACACATCAAGATGAAATTATCAAAACAAATCCTTAGAGTATAAATAACAAGAGTATCGGTAACAGAGAAAAGATTTTGCGACTCAGGATCTAAGGGAAGACAATAAATGAACGCAGCTGCACGACTAAAAACGATCCGTAGTAGTATCATTTAATGGTTCTAACCACTGGTTATGATGACCGTGCGGACTCAACCGAATAGTCTGTATCTATCTACATGACTCACTCCAACTGTCAATCATTTCATAAACAGGAAATGTCATAGTTTGTCAGCCCACAACTCTTCTCAAAATCTGCTTAGTAAACTAGATATGATTACTCGTTTAGGTTGGGTAAACGTACCTAGACAGTCCAGTCACTTTAATTTAAGGAAATTTACTACTTCATTGACTGATTTAACATCTTTTGCTTAACCTCATCATAGTTAATTTATTGGTTTAAAACTACGTAGATGATGCTTCAAATACACTTATGATTAATTAAAATATATTGGAAAAACGATTAAATCACACCATTACACTGATTAAATTCACAACCAATATGTAATCCTTTTTTTTCTCAATGAATTGTCGAAAACTAGTAACTAATGTAAACAAGCCAATGTAAATACAATAAATCATATTGATTTCGCATAATAATTCAGAATAAATTTACTCAATAATTAATAATGTTTAGATTACTACAAATAGTTATAATCGTACACTTGAGTGTGATTACTTAGTTACCTTACTTTTGCCTGTTGACCCCAATGGAGCATAGGTCGCTGACCAGCATTCTCCAACCTACTCTATCGTAAACCTTCCCTTCCAGCTCTATCCAATTTTTGTTCATTCTACTCATGTCTGTCTCCATTTCTCTGCGTAATGTACTTTTTGATCTTCCTCTTTTCCTTTGGCTTTGAGGGTTCCAAGTGAGTGCTTATCTTGTTTAGCGCTTTCCTCAATGTTTGTCCTATCCACCTCAATTGCTTCTCAATTTCTTCTTCAGATGGAATATAGTTTATTCTCTCCTACAATAGACTAGTTCTAATGATGTCTTGCCAACGGATCCGAAGTATTTTCCGTAAACAACTGTTAACAAATACCTAAATCTTCTGGATGATGGTTTTCGTAGTTCTCCACGTTTCTGCCCCATACAGTAGAACTGTCTCGACATTTCTATCAAAAATCCGGTTTTCGGTGTTGGTTGATAGAAGTGTCGAAGAAGCCTCCATAGTGTTTTCTTATCCATGCTATCAACTGCTTTCCTGTAGTCAATGAAGTTGATGTAGAGTGGTGAGTTCCATTCAATTGATTGTTCCACAATGATCCGTAATGTTGCAATTTGGTCAGTACCCGATTGATCCTTACGAAATCCAGCCTGTTGATCTCGAAGTTTGGGCGTTTATTTATTTATATGGAAGTAGCTTAATATAGAAGGCATTTTGCTTATGATTTTACTTCTAACATCTGTAATTCAAATGTATTAACGTTATACAGTAGTGAATCTGTATATTTAACAGGAACTAGCTTTTGTTTTTTTATGCACAACTTTTTAATGAGTTCAGATCTTCAATGAAACTCAAATTAATTATGTGAACTTCGTATCAAACTATGTAAAATAAAATTAACTTTTAAACCTTATCATAAAGTATCTATAAAAAGTTCTCTAAACACGCAATACTCTCAATTATTGATTTCCGTTCAGAATTTAATTAAACAGCGGAATCATCTGACATAAAGAAAATTCTGTAATACTATCTCTCCATGAATAATACAAAAATCAATCCTCGAAACAGCTTAATGTTCTGTGATGTTTTCACATTACACAATTTGTAAATGAGTGTCTAAAAACGAAAAAAAAACACTTTGGAAGCTTCCACTGAATACATTAAGCTATTTGATGATTGAGTTTTTGATTTAAGATCTCCCGTTATTCTAAACATCAGTAGGCGGCTCTATTAAATAGATGACCTGATTGCACTAGAGATTAAAATATTGACTTGGCTATTATTTGGATTTATGTTTATTGTCACGACTTTTTTTTCTCTTGATTTACATGTGAACAGCCAGGACTATCAATGGATACTGTTGATAGTTCAGATCTACGATGTAATATTGCTCGTTTAGAATTGGATGGAACTAATGGCGGTGGAGCTGCTGTCGTCAATAATAATGGTGAATGGGTCAACGAACTTAGTATTAATAATAAAAGTAAACCAGTTGGCACTATTCATCCTTCATTAATACAAGGAAACCAAAATAGACTATTATGGATGGATCGGACATCACAAGACACTATAAGATCATTGCATATACGTTTAGGAAATATATTAAAAGAAGCCTTAGAAGTTCATAATCGTCTCAGTTCTCTTCTATCGATTCCATCTGTAGAATAAAGAATTTTGTGTTTTAAATGTATTCAACTGACTAATTGAATGACTACCCTTTATATCCCTTATCCCTGTGTACATGACTTTTAGAAACTTTTTCCATCTTCATACTTATTTAGCTTAGATTTTATCAATGTTGCTGTTGAGTTTGTTTTTTTTCATTCTGAAACTAATTTTTTTTTCTTAAATTAACTTTTTTTCTCTGATAACCATGCAAATGTTTTCAATTTATTCTTTCTAATTACCTAAACGGATGATGCTAAATGCCTTTTTTTTGCTATTTTCAATCATCATTTTCATATAATGTTGTACAGTTCATGTAATCATTCTTCTTCATACTGGTGAAATGTGATTTTTCTTTTTTTTTGTCTTTAATTTGATACAACGAACAAAAGTTATTCAAAAAAATTTTGTTATTATTATACGTAAATAATAAATGACACGTTGATATCGATTCATTCTAATTCACTAGGTTTATTTTAATCTTTACGAATATGACGCTTTTTATTTCTTATGAATTTTATTCCTTTTCTTTTGCTTTTCATAATAAAATTCCGAGATTCATTTTGCTAAAACTTCTTAATAATAGTGAATATTACTTTGAAACTAGTTAATTATCTGCAACGTTAATTACTATTGTTTGTGGTGGAATACCTAAGATATTTTCTGTACACATCATTATACTAGTAGCTCTAACAATAACTTCCTATGATACATAGCTTTCATAGGACAATAATAAAAAGTGGTAACTACATTTCTCCCTACACAGCAAAGATCAAACGACTTTCAAGCACAAGATGTGAGACATTATGAAAGCGAATAAGTTAACTGAATGTAGCAAGCGGATATACAAAAGCATTCGAATGAGTCATCACGGGTCTACTAAACTTGAAAGCTATGTATTTTCACATTATTGGCATAAAATACATTCGACTATCTATAACACAGTTATAATGGTATAGATGTGGACAGAAAATACGAAATTATTGCAATTGGTCTCTTGTTGTCGTCAAATCATTGCATATGGTGAGAACGGGATGCGTAGTATGAACGCTAGATGTGATACCCTGAGTAGACCAGTCCATTTTGAATGCTCTCCTGTCGTCGCCTAAAACAAACTCAAAAGTAGATTAAGCTTTATACCAACCAGAATGAGATACAACGCCGTCGTCCAGCGGACTGGTTGTGCATCCAGCTCATGTAATAGACTGGACGCTTTTTGATTAGGCTTTAAAAAAACACCAGAAATTAGTCGTTTTATTCTAGTTCTTAGGACACAGATGAACCTCACAAGAAACTAGCATGAGTCCGTGTTAAACAATGACCACTGAATTCCAGTAATGGTATTTGGAACGTTGATCTGTCATAACATTGGTGTCGCGAGGCAAAAAAGGAACCTTTGTTGAGAACACCTCAGCTCAGTAATAATAAGCATTGGATCTTCAATTTTAGGTTACATTTTATTTCCATCCGCAGTTGTGCACCTACAATGTGTGGATCAAAATTTAGTGCGTATAAACTTTCATTTCATTTTTTAGGTTTTCACCAATTCAGGATATTACCAGAGTAGTGTAACGTAAATTCACAGAGCAACTGAATATCATTGGAAAAACTATGAATTCCCTTTGTTGTCAAATGTTCTAGTGGTAATACTATGTATCATACTACCGTATGACCTAATGTAAACAAAGATAAGGACTGCTGTATATTGTAATTCAATCAGACTAAGGTGACATACAACTTTTATTTATTTATTTCGCATATCCGATACTGGCAAATAGTATTACTGGAGCCCCATAACAAGAATTATAGCTAAAAGCGAACAGCTCTACTTGTAGCTACTTTACCTGTCGAACCACCTTGCTTAGCTGTTTTCAAAAGATCACAATCAGAGGTCTCCGATGTTGGAAAAAATCTATTCATGTACTGAACAGGTGTAGAGTAATAATAAACCATCCAGTGTCCGAATTAACTTATCTCAACAGATCGGACACCTTCGACAGAAGCTAGTTTTTGCTACTTTTCCTCTTATATGATTCAGATTAACGATATGTAATGGCTAGAGGACTTATGAATATGAATAACTATAATACCACGAAATATTTTCGCTAGAAACAGCCACATTGTTCTATATATCTGGACTATGTTTCAACAAACTTGCAGAAAGAAATTTATGAAGAACTATTTTGATGTCTGGAAATTAAAAAAAAACCAGAAGTCTTTTGTAGTATAAAAACTGGAATGTAATTAATTTTTAATGAACGCTGCCAATTTATTCAACATCATTGATAACAAACACCGAAATAAAAATGTAATGTCACTTTTAACGGGGAAAGTCAAAAAATGCCAAATGTAGTTTCAAATATAAATGCTGACACCGATTATTATAAAATATGAATGGAGTTTTGGTTTGGCCATAAAACCAAAATTATTCTTCACAAACAAACACCTCTCGTCTCATCCGTTTCATTTGCTGATATGAATCAGATTCAGGATAAGCGCTACGTTTACGACAGGTTTTGATGCTTTGTTTCACCACAACAAAGTGTAATGAATCATAATATCCTGAAGATGAGTCTTCTTCACTTTCTGAAGCAACTTCGTCGTATATTGTTTTACTGTCATCGAAGTGAATAGCCTTACGATCTATGGTACTGAAAGCTAATGGTTCTGTTGGTAAAAAGTACACAGATGATAGTAACTTCTCAACAGGTTGAAATTCTGTATTCTCATTTAGTTCACATTTCATATGCTTATCAATAGGAAGTACAATATCCTTATAAACAGATTCGTAGAGAGTATATTCGTTAGACACTTCAATCGATTCGTTTACTGAAACTTTATTATCTAGAATCGCATGATTCGAATCGCTGACAACCTTTTCATACAGTGGAACTACATTTGTGTGACAATTTGGACAAAATGCTATAGGTGATTCTTTAGAACATTGGTTTAAAGTTGGAACAATTAAATCATCCCGTTTAAACACTTCTTCATAATTCCCCGACCCACTTGATAGAGAATCGGAAGATGAGAACCGGTTGGTATCAAATTTATTGAGTATTCTCGACTTGCGATGTTGCTGCACCCGCCTTGATTTTTGATTGTCTACATTCTCTTGAAAAGGACGCTTAACAGTGAAACTCGGTCGTTTTCTTGTGCATAATAACGACCATAACAACGGTTTTTTCTTGATTTCTAATTTATTTTCCACTAATGCGCGTTGTGAACTGGAATTTTTAGAAAACAACCACCTCATTATTGACTAAAAACATAAGGTGGGAAAACAAAGAGTTGATTATGACATTTTACCGCTAGGTTTCTTAATAACAAATATTTTAACTGTTGGCAAGTCTGCAACCAAGAAATAACATCGGTTGTCAGCTGCAACGCAAAACTTGGTACATAGTAACCGGCGAATACTGTCTATTCTAACTAGTATTCGATCATAAGTGTCTTTGAAGCATTGCTCGCATATCCTGGGACCATCGAGTAAGCAATGTTGTTGTTAGGAAGAGTACTAGGTAAGAATGGAAAATAAATAGGTGGTTGGGACAAGTTATTGAAACCAGTCAGATGGGATTATGCCCAATTCCCAGATTCTACCTAAGATCTCAGTCAAACTGCTATAACTGAACAACTGTCCTTAAAAACCTCAGGGCTTAATGCACCAGCTCCTGCTGCTCTCTCGTTTTACTTCGCCTTTATCTTTTTCCACCTCATTAAGATTTGAAAGACTTGCATCAACTTCACATCCAGGTTGACCTGAAATTGTAGATGAAGGATGGTTGAACAGTTCTCCAAATGTTCTGCCCATCGATCTAGTCTCCTGGAGTGAGTGAACAAGTTTCAGCTTCTCATGAAAGTATTGTTAAAGACCGGATTCTCAGTCTTCTTGATAACTCTGAATAGTCGTCTACTTTTACTTATCGCCGCTGTCTTATCCATCGCTTTTTCTACCCACCACTGTTCGTGTAGGCTTTAATCTGCTTGCGTTTAGACTGCTTCCGCTCCTAATCGTGTTCAGTGCCGGGAGGAGTCAGTTCCCAAGCATCTATTAGTTCAGTAGATGCCACTGAAACCCATTGCCCCTCCCTAACCTTTTAGTTTAACTTACTAAAATATATCACTGCTGTTTCCACAGCTTTCTAGGTATTTTTTAGAGCTGTATCGGGTTGGGCATTACTTAAATGGCTGTCTAACCGTTTTTTCAATCGTTATTATAAGGTACTCTTAGCTTTTTTGCCGTTAAGTTGAACTCTATGAGGTTTCCTTGCTGTGTATTTCTTACGTCCAGCAAGCTGCAGACAAATACGTGCTCGTACTAGAGCATGATCTGAGTGAAAACATGTGCTTCGGAACGAGCAGGGCTCTTCTGTCTTCTTTCATCTATTTTTCACCTCATCTGAGCTATAATCACTGTGAGCGTAAAGAGATACAAGAAAGAGGCAAAGACGTGTCCCTACTACTGCAAGTTCTTACTGTTACGCTTAGTCGGACAGCGCAAAAGCGACTGTTTACTGGAATTCTGCTTTTGGACATAGTGCCCTCAGTAAGCCAACGAGGAAATAGGTAGTAGCAGTGGGGCCCTCAGATACACAAAGGGTAAACCAAGACGGTTCTTTATTTTGGCATGAAGTGATCAAACCAATGACTACTCGGATCCTGGAAGAGTGTTTCAGAGACGCAGCATATATCTATAGCATGAGACTTAAGTCCTGGTGATGTAAGCCTGTTGTTTTATTCGGCAAAGGGTCCAAAGATCAAAAGCTCTAACATGTAGTTTAGAGTGGGGTTCAGGTGACCAGAAATAAGGATTTGTGTAGTCAGATGGTTAGCACTAGAGGTGCGGGGTGATAAAGGAATGTAGAAAGGGTTAGTTATGGATATAAGAGAATTATTAAGATGAAGGGGAAGGATTTGGTTGTGAGTAAGTTGACCTCATATGCTGTTAAGCTTATGAGAACGGATGTCATATCCCCGTTGCCCACACCGTGGAAGAGTACTTCTTGAGAAACATGAAAAGGAAATCGGATAAGCTTTGGTTTGGGCGACCTTGGAGCGTGACTATGGAGCCTAGGGGACAACTGCTTGGGGTCAGTCACGCACGGCCTTTTAATGAGATTTCATAGTGAATCCAGCGTTACCGCTGGAGGCGGAAATCCATGAAGTAATGTGAGGTGTGACATTTTCTAGGGTCGACTTTATCTAACCCTTTCCTTGTGAGAAGGCAAAATGCTGTCTGTGAGAGAAACACATTACTGCTGTCACACTCGTCTATGGTGAGCAATACATCGCCGTCAGACCTTCTACTGCTGATTTCAGTCTTACCGTTATTCAACCAAACTGTCTGGAATGATAAGACCTAAATGAGTATATGCTGCTAGTGCTTGTTCTATAATCGTGCTTCTCGATCATAATCGTAGTTAATTGGACGATTTGGAATGCTAACCAACGTTAAAATAAACATTTGAAACAAGCACTAGTTGGTAACTTTAAGCGATAACGACTAATACGAAAAACTAGATATAGAAGGTAATATTTAGTGATCATCAAACGTTGCGTAAATCAAAGTACTGCTCACAAATGTAAATCAGCAACGTACATGTGTCGATGGTTGCAGGCGTAATCCAATTTGATGGAAATGATGTGAAGTCCTAGCACACGTCGAAGTCAAACCTTGCGGTTATTGCCTAACCTGGATCCCGTTATCTTGACAACCAAGTGACTGGCCACAATAAATACTCTCAATAAGAAACAGAATATATTAGCATTAGCAAACTGGAGCCACTGTTGCATGCGTCCGTTCATGGTATGTAAGCGATTGACCTCTCCTGGCTGTCCTTGACCTTAACGAGAATTGGCAAACTACGCATAAGAGTAGATCTCTGAGGATGACATCGGAACCCATTGTCCTTTCTTGATTCTTTGTCTCGCGTTGTTGACAGAACTCAATTCTGTGTTGAGAGCAGTGATTTACCTTTCTGATAAATTCTGCATTTTGTGTGTGTGCTAGATTCGAAAGGTCTTTGTTACCCTAAAATGTCTATGGATTTAACCCTTATCGAGACATTTCCACAAAAGTGATCTGCCTTTTAAGGGAAATGGAGACAGATCCCCAAAACGAACACCATTATTTGGATTTTTAGTTTGTTTGGGACGTGCCTTCGAAGCAATAACCTGGAATATAATCATGACCTGGTTAATATTAAATCCTAATTCGTCCTCACCGATGCCATTCACAAAACCACAAAAATACACCATAAAAGAAACACGAGGACCTACCGACCGCTAACACGGTAGAGCATATAAATCACCGATTCCATTTTATAGTCTCATTCATCTTCATTTTTAACCAATGGCAGAGAAGGTCAGCTGATTTAGACCTAACCAAACAGCCAACGAGAATGAACCGAGACTAAGCGAGTAAGTAAGGTTGACTTTTTGTTCTCCCCCTACCTTGGATCTTGCTCTCAGTCTATTGGCTAAAATTAACTAACTTCACATGCTTTGTAAGCGTTTCAAAACGTCCGGTCTGGTTTAGTCTATTACTAAGCTACGTCATGCAACTTCGTTTTTATGCAGATTCATGGTCCTAATAATACTAGCTTTAATAAAACGTGTACAGTGTGCTGTTATGACTTTATTTTGTTTAAGCCAACCTATAACTCAATCACTTCCAAAAGGAATGGATATGACTGTAAATAACTTTCGATTCAATTCATTACGTGTATTCACATACGTGATTACAGCTTCTCTATCCACGTAACAATTCACCTGTTCTAACAGAAGGCTGCCACCTTGTGCAACGGCTTGGTCTTCGGTATTTAGCTTTATCAGTGAGGAACTATAGCTAACATAATGTTGTTTGAGATATCAGCTTTCATAATTATCGAACGCTAAACTAGATCTCGGGAAGCGCAAATCTAGGGAAGACAGTTTGATTTAAGACAGTCCAAATATTCACCCTCCATAGTTTTGAATCATTGGCATCCTTACTGACAACCAATTGCAGTCATATTTCATAACCTTCAGCATGTAGTCGACTTCGTTGATCGACAGAACATACAACAGTGTTTATCATCGGAAAATATTTACTACACGTAATAAAACAGGAAATAAAGCATTGAGGAATCATGTTCACTAACAAATACCGAATAAACCCTTGATGTATACCACCATGTGAATGTGAAACAGATTACTAATATTTAAAAGAAATTGGTCTGAACTTCTGTTGAATAAAATTATCAACTATTTTATACCATTACTTTTTATCGGCGCATCAAAATTTTGAATAATGTAAACAGTAATAATAGTCATTATCTGATTGTCTCATAGATTTGATGAAACTGGAAATAAACTGAAGTATACTAAGGATTTAACTTCGTAATCTCTAAGACGCTTTATTTTTTGCAAAGCTTCAACGATAACTCAAGTACATGTGAACTTTTATTTATTCAGTCATTTGGTGCTGATAACAACGTTTAGAAAGGCAACAAAAAGCAGTTAAATAAACTATACGAACAAGAGGAATGAACGCTATTATGATATATTGCTGCGGACTGACAATTTACGTCCGAATGTCTTAACTGTTATATAGTTGGTCTCACTGCTGATTGACACAGTCTGGAATAGTTTGGAACTTTTTTTTATCTCTAGAAATGTAATATTCGAACAAAACATTTCAATGAAGTTTAGTTTATTCAAGTGGATGCATCAAATATTCAGTTAAGTATATGTGGAATGATGCTTCGAATATGATGTGAACAAAGACTATCGGTTAAAGAATAATTCGTATAAATATTGAAACTGTTAGACAAGCTAGTTTGGCTATCAAAGACAGTAATTTGTATTTGAATGTTTATAGAAATCACAACTATTCAAGTGTAGGTAAATTTATATAGGTTTCAAACATCATTTAATGAAAGTATTTTTATCTTTTCACATTAACATCATTTCACAGTATAATTCTAAAACAATAAAGTTTAATTTTTGTATTATGAAAATAAATTTCTAATTCAAGTCAATACTAATCAGGAAACCATTGAGAATCGATGATCAATGAACGGTTACAGTATTTTATTTCGGGACCTTTCATAAGTCTCAATTAATAATCCTGAATGACAGTCCACTCGAGAAATTTAAGAGTAACATTTATTAAAACATCCGCTATGATATTGGAACCATTTAAAACCGGTTATTTAATTATCCTCAGGATGTTTAAATGTCCCTGGTTAATGTATAAAATTAGTACTGTGATATCAAA